TTTGGACAACTTCTTACCCGTGAGTAGACAGAACCAGATGAATTATGGCCTGTTCCACATCTATAGAAAGTCATAAACTATTGTAAAACAGAGTTATATCCATTGAGAGTGTGTTGAGATATTCATTACACTGGAAAGAAGTTGGGTTTGAAACATACTGTGCATTTCTATAGCCATCTTGCGATGTGAGTTGCTCATGGGAGTCCTGTACAACTGACCCGTTGTTGCTGTATATTCAGTGATCTCTCACCCCAGAACAGAGGTTCATATATATCTATAAAAAGTCATGAACTACTACTAGATTGAGTTGTATCCACTGAGATACAGACAGAGTGAGCTGTCTCAATGAACAGCAACTGCTTCCATTATATCACTATGCATTCCTATAGCCATACATTGTAGTAGCATTTCATTGAGAGCCTGTGACTTCTTTTTCATGGTCTGATGTTCCAAACCCAAGTCGGGCTCTCCTAAAAGATCAAGGGGTATTTCGTGCCTATAAAAACTCATGATAGAACATCAGATACAGCCATGTCCAGTGAGATATGGGTTGTGCAAGCCATCTCAGTGGACAACATAAGATTTCTTGATATTATTGTGCATTTCCATGGCCTGATTTTTGGAGCCAACTACCTGTGATCTCTTTCTCTGCTGAATACTTTTGATTAGAAATTTTGACGTCAGTCGTACTCCCGCTGAACCACAAGGTGTTTTGGATACCTATAAAAAGTCATAGACTAGTATGAAAAAGAGCCACATCCAGTGAGATGTGTGTGTAGTAAGCCATTTCAGTGGATGGCATAGGTTTCTGTGATACTCTTATGCATTTTTATAGCGCCTTTTCTACGCAAATTGTGTTTTGGAGGATGTATATCATGGACTGGTACTATCTATATATGTACTCAGTCCCTTCTAACGGTTTTTAGGCAGGTATATCCCCACGGTATAGCACTATGTCTATAGATATAGAAAGGTGTATAGCAAACAAACACACATAAGTTGTTTACACCGACATAAGAACTCTATAAAGACACACACCTAGCGAGATACAGTGAGTAACAGCTATGGAAGGAGATATATCATATAGAAATCATGTCACTATAATAGAAAGAGGTCACGTGTAATGGAATAGTATATTAAGAGCAGAAAGAGCAATGGAATTCAGTTTCTATGACTGCTAGACAGCCAGCGAGGGACAGTACGCTAAGCTTAGGCCTTAGCCTTGGCCTTTCCCTTGCCCTTGCCCTTGCCCTTGGCCTTAGCCTTAGGGGCGTGAGGAGGAGGGGAGAAGGGGTAGGCAGGCGGAGGACAGGGCGGATAGGAGGAACTACATCCTCGGACTCCTCTCTAGCCTGCTTGCGGGTGGCGGCAGCAGGGCGAGCAGGGACTATAGATATAGCGTTAGACAAGGTATCGTAGTATCAGAAGAATATTACTTACCCTCACGCTTGCGCTTGTAGCCGCTAGCGGGAACGATAGCGGGGGCAGCGGGGGTGGGAGAGGCGGGAGAGGCGGCGGCGGAGGGTTCAGCGTCTATAGATATGTTGTTAGACAACGTACTAAAGCAGTAATGGAACCACTTACCTTCACGCTTGCGCTTAGAAGCGCGGCGAGGGGGGGACGACGGGGGAGAAGCAGGGTCTATAGATATGTCGTCAGACAGCGTACCATGGTAGTAGAAGCAATACATACCCTCATGCTTGCGCTTAGGAGCGCGGCGGCTGGTGTCAGGGCCGAGAGCGTTTCTGATCTTGTTTAAGACGCGAACGAAGTCATCGTTGGCGGTCTTAGGCTTGCGGCCTACGGCATTGCCGACGGCCTCCCACTTCCACGACTAGATGAGTGGATAGGTCAGACAGCTGCTTATGATAGATGTAGTGTAAGAGCCTTACGCGCTGGTTGCACTCGGCGTGCTCGAGGACGCCGCGAAGCAGCTTGGCCTCGTTGTCAGTCCATGTAATGGTGACAGGCATCTTAGCGGTGTATTCGTTGTTGCTGCTAGATGGTTTGGTGAGCACAAGGGAGGGAAGAGCGAGTTGCGCAGCGCTCGCGGTGAATTTGTGCGGCGTTGCGCTAATTGGACACCCTGATATGAACAGCCAAGGCAGTTACGGACGCCCGAGTGATGGTTGGCTTATCGGAGCATTCACACGTGAGGCGGATACTTGCACCCCTGCTCGGAGGTTCAGGTTCTTGAAGAGAGGGTTTGTCCATCCACTGAGATCGGACAGTAGGTAGCGCAGTCAGCTAGACTGTTGATGAGTCTTCTAATATTGTTCGTCGAAGACAATGTAGGCGAAAGGCCAGTCTTCGTTGTTATGGTGACCTTCTGTAGCTGATGATGCCTCACAGACGACCTCCTCTTATCACTAGATGCTCCCATTGGATCCTCGAGATGGCACATAGACTCATAGGACCATGACTGGACGAGTTGACACATCGCCAACGATGCTGTTCTGAAAGCAGAGTGTCCACCGGAGAGTCGTACTGGGCCAGATGATGCTCTCGTGGAGCTGCAGGCGCTACTCAAGGCTACTGTCATTGGCTCCAAACGTCGGCAAGATCTGTGATCACCCCTGATCGAGGCACCATTGAGCATTTCAGTCGTCCCTAGAGGCGTTCATATCGACAATCCTGGCTGGAGATCCGGATATCGAAAGAGAGGGTTCGTTCATCCATTCGGACAAGACATCGGGTAGCCTTGTCTTCGGATTCGGTGAACAGGAACATGGCAGGATGCGTGACAATATTTCCCAAGGTTGGTCGGATCCGAGAGACGGCGTTGCAGCAGCTTCTTGCTGTGGCTGCTATTGACAAGAAGAGGTTGTGGAGAATCGTACTGCTCCAGGAGACGTTAACAGAAAGACCGAAGGTGTGCTTGCAAACACTCTCTCAGATCGACCTCAATGGCATGAGCTTTGCTACGAGCGCAAAGCATGTCAGACCTGTGAGGACAAGCAGCCGTGGTGCAGCAGGTTTCGCCGGCATTTAGCCGGCTTGGAAGACTGTCCGAAGATGGCCAGCAAAAAAGCTCTTCAGTTGCATTCTTGAGCTTGTAAGATGCTTTTTGGCTTGCTTTGACATCTTCTCATGCACTCACGGTGCATGCTGATGCTCTACAGATTCATAGCAAGCATGAGTGGGTGCTCAAGATGGCCCGGCGTCATGTCGAGTACGTGCATGCTTCAGGAGAAGCAGAGCAGCAAACATGATCGCAGAAGCAAGGACACCGGGTGGTTGGAAGTGAGGCATACAAAGCATACAGGCGGTATGGAGTATGTGTAATAAAGGATGATGCTTGAGACTTGACATGATGGGAGGGAGCAGGATGCAACACATCTGCCATAGGCAGTATAGGATGCTAGAAAGGATAAAACAGGACATGCAAAGCCAATATGGGAGCTTGGGTCATACGGTAACGAACAGGAGCATTGTGCTTGATATGCTGTCCCTTAGGCTTCATCGGACATTGACATGGGAATGCTTGCCAGGCAGAACAACTGGTCAGGACCTCATACGAGGACTTCAGAACACACAAGCAGCGTACAAGGTTGCCATATGAACGAGGACATGTGATGAGGGAGTGGATGGTGCAGGGTTTTTGATGGGTACAGAGATTTTTTTTTTCTTCAAAGCCCAGCCATAGGCCAGGAAAGCAATTGATGAAAAAGAAAGGGCCTGTCAGAAGACCACCAACGCCCACCCAGTCAAGCCGACCGAAGCCAGACACTCAAAAGGGTCGAGATCATCACCAACGAGGCCGGAGCCAAGTTACTCGGTATCACTCTAGGGCATCGGGGTTGTATCTCATCCGCCAGGTTGGAGTTCTGTGGCTCTTTTGAAGAGTTCAGATAAGAAGACTAACTAAAGAAATGATTCTTTGACTAATTAGGAAGTCAGTATGATGTCCAGAAGGTTGGTATAGACCATGGGGGTGGTGGGTAACTCACAGTAAAGTCGACTGAAGAAGAAAGGAGGAGGGCGAGGTAGAACGCTGTTTTATACAGCTTGACGCGGCCTGTGCACTCAGAGCGTTTGCTCTGTTTGACTGACAGAGTTTTCCGATTCTCTCAAGTGGTACTGGGACTGTGCCGTGATACAATATACGCATATGAGGTGGTGAAGCCTTGGGATGCGATTTGGGACTTTGGCAGCACTTTTCACCTACCACTCATTTTCTGCATGTGAATGACAACCATTTCTTCTCGTGGTGCCCTTGGATGTGCTTAACCATGCGCTGAATAAGTACGAAAATGTTGTGGTGGTCAGCAATAGTAAAATATGAGGAGGATGTCTGGTTGAGAGGAACACACTCACTTCGAGCAATTGCATGCGCTGTATATATTTATCACGATTACAACTCTTGAGCACAAGCTACTTGAAGAGCATGCTGTATCAATTTCATGAGGTTGCTCGTGATTTATTGGTATAGAACTGATACTGCGACCGAATCCAGCGTATGTAAGAGACCCGCTTCGACGGATCTGGATACAAGCCTGCCTTTGACACAAATACGGTGATATCTTCTCATACGCAGATAGATCATGTACAGTATATAGCCATAGACATGCACAGTGTCTTCAAGAGACAGGGAAACGTCCACTGAGACTCGTTGTCGTATCAGCTCTGTTAGGACGCATTATCGGAATCAACTCAACTGTGCATTGCCACAACGCAAGCACTGCTCTGCATTGTCATGAGATACAACCCATGCGTGATAAACGATGAGCGTGTCGGCGCTCTCAAGCGTGGTCGGGCGATGTTGAATGGCAGCACCTCCGACTTCGCCGTAAATTTGGTGGGGATGGCGCTTGGCCAGAAACAAGAAGTTAGACCGAGGGGTCAGCGATTGAACGGCTCTTGCAAGTCTGTTGAATGTTTCCTACAAGTACGTGACTCATTCACAATCGACACAATCACGAGTTACGATCATTTGGAAGAGCAAGGGAGAAAGGAGAACAAGAATTGAGCGACACAGACGCCCAGAGAGAAACATCAAGATGGCATCGCATACCGCATCGCAACGCTACCTGAGTACCAGAGGAGGCTCCTACGACGTATGAATACACTAGAATCCCCCACGACAAGTCTCCAACTGAGCAGAAGCTGTTTTAGNNCTATCATTCGAGGACGTCGTGCTCAAGGGTCTCGCAGCAGACGGTGGTCTGTTCATCCCTGAGGAGGTTCCTGCTCTGCCCTCAGACTGGCAGTCCAAATGGCGCAACCTCTCCTTCCAAGAGCTCGCCTTTGAAATCTTCAGCCTGTACATTTCCGGAAGCGAAATCCCCTCCGCCGACCTCAAAGATATCATCCACCGCAGTTATGCCACATTCCGCGCCAAAGATGTCACACCCGTCGTCACTCTCGACAAGAGCAAGAACCTGCATTTGATGGAATTGTTCCACGGTCCCACATTCGCTTTCAAGGATGTCGCACTCCAATTCGTTGGCAACCTGTTCGAGTACTTCCTCGTGCGCATGAACAAGGGCAAGGAGGGCACTGATAGACAACATTTGACCGTTGTTGGTGCTACTAGTGGTGACACTGGTTCTGCTGCCATCTACGGTCTGCGCGGCAAAAAGGATGTTTCGGTCTTCATCATGCACCCCAAGGGCAAGGTTAGCCCTGTTCAGGAGGCTCAGATGACTACTGTTCTTGATGCCAACGTCCACAACTTGGCTGTTGATGGCACTTTCGACGATTGCCAGGTACGTGAACAACAACCACATCATTTCACACAGTGCTGATGATATANNCAGGACTTCGTCAAGGCTCTCTTCGGTGACGCCGACATGAACAGCACCCACCGTCTCGCCGCCGTCAACTCTATCAACTGGGCCCGTATCCTCGCACAAATTACCTACTACTTCCAATCATACTTCACCCTCGCCCGCTCGCTCGATACCGAGAACCCTCAAGTCCGCTTCGTCGTCCCCACTGGCAACTTCGGTGACATCCTCGCCGGATACTTCGCCAAGCGTATGGGTCTGCCTGCCGATAAGCTCGTCATTGCCACAAACGAGAACGACATTCTGCACCGTTTCTGGCGCAGTGGTCATTACGAGAAGAAGCCTGTCCACGGCCGTGAGGCTGAGGGTGGCTTCGAGCACGACGGCGCAAAGGCACATCTCGATGGTGTTAAGGAGACACTAGCACCCGCCATGGATATTTTGGTCAGCAGTAACTTCGAGCGTCTGCTGTGGTACTTGTCATACCGCGTCAACGGCAGCGACAACGTTACTGAGCGCCGCAAGGCTGCCGGCGAGCAAGTCAAGACCTGGCTGCAAGCACTTAAGACCGACGGCGGTTTCGGCGTCGAGAAAGCCATTTTGGATGCCGCACACGAGGACTTCGAGTCTGAGCGTGTATCAGACAAGCAGACTCTTGATCAGATCACTCAGACCTACGCTTCAGGCAACGGCATGACACCTGTTGGGGAGAACAGCGGCGCCTACGCTACACAGGGTACCGTCCACCAGGGCAAGTACATCCTCGATCCCCACAGTGCCATCGGTATCGCCGCTTCGCTGCGATCCATCCAGCGCGCACCCAACGCCCACCACATTGCCCTTGCCACTGCTCACCCTGCCAAATTCTCGTCCGCAGTCGAGACGGCGCTTGGTGGTCAGGAAGGTTTCAGCTTCCAGGCTGTCCAGCCCGAGCAGTTTGTCGGTCTCGAGCAACAGCCTCGTCGTGTCACCATCGTCAAGAACGGCGCTGGTTGGCAAGATGTTAGAGAGATTGTTCGTGAGGAAGTACAGCTCGAGATGGAAGGCAAGGCCAGCAGTGGTCCTGGCGAGATCGTCAAGGGTTAAAAGCTAGAAGATGAATCATAAAAAGTTGATCATATTGGTTGAAGCTGAAGATATAAAGTAGATACGAGAACATGTTTTATCCCTTTCCGTGTGCAAAAGACTGCCACTCTCTGATCGACTCCTCTCTCACGGTGACTGATGATAGTATCAGGCGATAACAATGCACAGATGCTATGCAAACAAAAATGCTGCCATGGAAATGATCTGCGATGGCTGTCCTGCCTGGGGCTTCTGGGAGAAGTTTTGCTCCAAGACTTCCAACAACCCTCAATTCTCAACCACTCTCATTCGAATCACGCTACAATAAAGACCACCAGTAGTTCAACCCATTGTTTGCTCAAAGCGAGAAATCTGATTCATGGTAGATGTGCTGGTTCAAGGTGCTAGCGTTGATTAATGAGGACGGAGTGCTTTTGTAAAAGCAGCTAGCCAAACTCCAGAGGATAAAATCCAGAAATAGTTTTTGAACATCGATGCCGCAAAACTTACACCTTGCGTTTCTTATCGCACCTGAGTGTACAGTGTATACTACAAAGTCCTATGACGGGCCATAAGAGCACAAATAGATATTTTGTTGCTATGTAATATCATTGCCGATGCTCGAAAGGCTAGCGGAGAGGGCCACCCTGGTACGACCATGGCAGACGTTGAGAACGTTGTAGACAGGCTATCATGATCGTGGTCATGATGATCATGATCATATCACGATACCTGTCGTCGAGCCCCTGCATGGCCCAGGACACCGATAGTGACGAAATCTTAATGGGAGTTATGTATTCGAGGTAGACTTGATTCATGATAGCACCAAACATATTTCAGCGCATATCCACGCGTCTTTGCCGTCGCTGCCGTGTCTGACCCACGAACGGTTCGTGTTCCAGTGAATTTCTTGGAAAGAGCTTGGTGAAAGCTTATTGCGGAGCTGATGTGGCTGAGACGGCCGGAGATGTCGCACCAATGCGGGGTGTCACTATGACTTCATTTGCGTCGTGGACGAAATCAACAAAAGCCTCAAAGGTCGCCGTCTGCTTGCCCAATTCCTCTTCATTTTCTCAATTCTAGTTTTGCCCATTATCCCACAGGCAATTCGAAATTACCTTCACAATGTCGCACGATATCAAGGTCCAGCAGCACGGTGAGAACCATGACATTCCCAACGAGCACCAGGTCTCAAGGTATGTGAAATCACCCATTGCTCAGGAGACGAGCGACTAACAACAAGACAGACCCGGCGCTTGGTTGCCCACTGATCATCGCACCCACCACGAGTGGCTCGGTGAGCAGGTGAAGAACGCCCACAAGAACAAGAAGCCCTTGATCCCTGTCCTTCAAGAATTCAAGGAGTTCATCGAGGGCACCNCCAGAGTCTACATGTACTTCACCGCCATGTTCGAAGAAGTCCCCTTCAAGCATGTCTACCGCAGAGATCCCACCGGCCGCAAGCAAATCCGTGACTACGAACACATGCTTGAGGTCCTCAACCATGTCTTCGGCTCCGCCCCTGTTTGGACTGACTCTGCCCAAGCTGTCGGTATGGTCGGTGTCCCTATGTGTGCCATCCTCGATTACCCCATGTCTACTCCTTCTGGTCACGCCGCCTTCCTCGATCCCGAGGTCAACAAGATGATCAAGAAGGTCCTCAACGAGTGGGGCAAGTTCCTCATGTCGCCTGAGTCGGCTGGTGTGCTCCACGAGGGCAAGACCGGTTGGTTCGGTGAGACCGGAACCTCGGACATGATGTCTGTCGCCAACGCTCCTTACAAGACTCAGCACAAGTTCGAGGACTTCTTCGTCTGTGACACCAGCAAGAAGCACTATGGCTACACTTCGTGGGATAACTTCTTCACCAGACACTTCAAGGATGAGGTGCGCCCTGTCGACAGCCCTGACGACGACAGCGTCATCAACAACGCGTGTGAGAGTAAGGTCTTCGCAGTCCAGGAGGGTGCAAAGCTCAGAGACAGATTCTGGATCAAGGGTCAGCCTTACAGTGTCAGAGACATGCTCGCCAACGACAGCCTGGCAGAGCAGTTCGCCGACTGCACTGTCTACCAGGCCTTCCTGTCTGCCCTCTCCTACCACCGCTGGCACGCTCCCGTCAGCGGTACCATCAAGAAGGCTTACGTCCAGGATGGTACCTACTTCAGCGAGCCTCTGTTCGAAGGTCTCGGTGACCCCAACACAAAGGAGATTGATGCCCATGGTATCTCGACCGGTCAAGGTTACCTGAGCGCCCTCGCCACAAGAGCTATCATCTTCATCGAGGCCGACAACCCCGCCATTGGCCTCATGGCCTTCATTGGTATCGGCATGGACGAAGTCTCGACTTGCGAGATCACCGTCAAGGAGGGTGACCACGTTAAGAAGGGTCAGGAGACAGGTATGTTCCACTTCGGTGGTTCATCTCACTGCCTGCTGTTCCGCAAGGGCGTCAAGGTCAGCGGCTTCNCCCAGCCTGGCAGACAAGAGAACGTTCCTGTTCGCAGCAAGCTCGCTACCGTTCAGTCGAACTAGAGTAGCCCCCAAAATAGTCATGATTCCCAGACATGTAATTAACGAGTAACGGAACCTCAATCAATTCTAATACCATCCAACCAATACACAACTCTCCACCAGTGTGACACAGAATCCCTTGGTGACTGAAGACATTTTGATCGAGGAGGATTCCCGATCCTAGAAAAGATGAACAAACTGGCATAACATCATGAATGCTAATTTGCTTCTAGAGGCACCTTATCCAATAAACCTCTTGTCGATATACCAACACGCACTGCAAATCATCTAGCCAAGAGATGTTGGTGCCACCAGGGAGCTCAGCCGCCATGCCAAGCTCCCAAAGAATCCTATTTGATCCTCCATACACATCCTCCGCGAAGTTTCTTTCAAGAGCTTGCGGAGAATACCCACATTACATTTTGGAAACAGAGAGGAGGAAGGATTACCGGGGAAAGAGTTCAGGTACGCCTGACTTGCATCAGCCTCTCGACTTGGCTGCATTGCCAAGTGACCTATTTCCGGATCTCATCACCAATGTCATGATTGACCAATCTTCATTCTTTACTCCTTCATGACGCTCCTACTCGACGATGCGGTATTGTCGCTCTGCTTGGTATGTAGGCTTGAGAATCCTATACCGCAACATTTGGGGGCTCGGATCCTTACAACATAGCCTCATGCTCTGCATACCTGCCCTTTTGGGCACGACTCCACAGCTCCCTGACCTACTGATGCAGAAACCAACAACATTCCTTCCATCTTCCTTCTTGTGCTCAGCCTTCAGGATGATCTATACTCGTTCGCAATGTTGAGCCTTTACGAGAAGGGACCCAATCGAAAATTCATAACCTCGTTCAAAACACTCAAAGAGCAATCCCTTCTGGCCCCCTCAAGCATCAAGCAATGTCTTCCTTCGTCGCCAAACTCTCCGTGGCAGCAGCCATGCTTCTCGCCTCTCTTTCCCAACCCGCCACTGCAGGTCCTCTCCCAGCCGCTCTCGAGAAACGGACAGGCTGCTACAGTGGCTTCCCCTTTAACCACCTTCACGGCGGCTACAATCACGATCTCTCCTCCGAAGTCCTCGCCGACATCACCTCGACCTGCCAAGCCGTTGCCGGAAAGACCATCGGTGATTCCTCTCCTTTCTGGCGCTGCACAAACTGGCAAGAGACCTTTAGCTGGCACGAGACTTGTTTCTCAGACTGTGAGGATGGGTGTGCTGCTTTGCCCAAGGGTAAGATGAGCAACCTTACAAACCGTGGACTTGCAGACTAACAGAAAATCGTAGACTATGCTGCTGCTTTGTGCGGGTCGGGCTGCGATGCCAATTGCGACCCTGGCCCGAGCTATGGCTACAACCACATTGATTGGGCTGTAGAGATTAGAGATGGTGGTGCTGACAAGGTCATCGATTTTGACACTTGTATGAATGCTTTCAAGACTGAGTTCGGTGGTTGTCAGTCTGGTAGTGAGCAGTATCATGATGGCTTCTGGTTCCGTATCGATCCTAGCCAGGGAGGTTGTCCTTAGGTATCTCCAGCGATCGGATGTGGACACGGAGAAGGGGTTGGATTCTGTAGTGATGGTTTGAGGTTGGATTGGAAAGGGATTTGTTCTTGCGTTTCTGGTTCTGGATATTGTTTGTTCCTATTCTGTCGCTACTGCTTTTTTACTCCGGCTTTATCTCCAATACACAGCTGTTCGTCTTGTTGGCTTCTCCGAACCTCCTCGTGTGCTGAAGACGATCGTAGTGGCACTGTATGAATGCACAATACTTTCAAGAAAGAAGTGGTAATCACAGAGGGAACGTCATCTCAGTCTGTCTCCATGGCCACACATTCACTCGGAAAGCGACTGTGTAATTTGATAGTTTGTATGATCGTACTCCATCATAAGAGAGAGGTCGATTATGGGATGTTGACAGTCTTTGGCACACAGCAAGGCAATGTGCTCGAGTCGAACAAAGTGTTGAGTAAGGGCAACAATCGTCAATGGCTTGGTGCTTGGAACTGGTTAAACGACACGATGATGTATGTAATATCAAGATGAACTCTGACAGCAATTCAAGCGAGTCTTGCTTACCAAAGCCATTCTTGTCGAATCATGCTGGCAAGTGTCAGTGATAGCCTAATCAGGCTTATCAGATGTAAATCAGCTCGTTGTGACGATCATCCCGCACACCCACGTCAGCCTGACAGCGGAGTGTCTTCCGTGCTCAGCCAGCCCTAGAAAGATATAAGAGCAGTCGCAGCTAGTGTTATGCAGAACATATCACTTCCTACCTCATCTGTACCTCATCAAAACATCTCAATCATGGACACACTCAAAACCGTCGCCGAAAGCGTCAAATCAACAATCATGCCCACCACCTCCCAAGACCGCAATCCCGTCCCCGACCAAGCCGAAGACGACGCTTACTTCNCCTCTCCCTACTCTCTCACCCAATACGTGGCCCCTAAGACCGATTTCGACGGCGCAAACTACCCCAACGCCTACCAAGGCAAGAAATGGAAGATCCTCGTCATTGGCACGCAAGAACGCTATCTACTCATGGCAGACGGAAAGTTCTTCTCTACTGGAAACCATCCAGTGGAGATGCTGTTACCTATGCTGCATCTGGATGCCGCGGGCTTTGATCTCGATGTCGCGACTTTGAGTGGCGAGCCTGTGAAATTGGAGATGTGGGCGTTCCCTAAGGAGGACGAGGCAGTCAAGGGGTTTTATGAAAAGTACAAGCAGAAGATGAGGAAGCCGCTTGCATTGCCTGATGTCTGGGGCAAGGGTTTCGACAAGGAAACTCCTTATATCGGTGTTTTTGTGCCTGGTGGGCATGGAGCGCTGAATGGGATTCCTCAGTCCCCTATCGTTGGCAACATCCTTCGCTGGGCAGATGCCAATAAGCGGTACCTTGTTTCCCTCTGCCATGGTCCTGCTTGCATGCTTGCTGCCGATCTTGCCAAACCAGAGGGAGAAAAGTTCATCTATGAAGGCTACAAGATTGATGTCTTCCCTGATTCTTTGGATGATGGAGCGAACATTGATATCGGATATATTCCTGGCAAGATGGAGTGGTTGGTAGGAAAGGAGTTGAAGAAACTTGGTGTTTCGGTCATCAATGACAAGATCACTGGCCAGACGCATCAGGATAGATATGTGTTGACCGGAGACTCGCCATTGGCTTCCAACAATCTGGGAAAGCTTGCTGCGAACACATTGCTCAAGGAAGTTGAGAACTCGTCGTAGAATGGAATGATCTGACATGACGCAGCGCTATATGATAATGTACATGAAACCCGAACAAGAACATCTACTCTGAAGACAATCACTCCTCCTCCTCCTCTCCCGAAGAAACCTCCAAACTCGGCCTCCTCTTCTTACTCTCTTCAGTCTCAATAATCTCCGCCCCAGGCCCATCACTGAACGTATAAGTCCTACACTCCGCATTCTCCCACATCCTAGTCAATTGCTCACCCTCCTCCGAAAAATTGCCCGTGATGGCGTGAGCAAAAGTACCATGGCTAACCAGCACCACATTCTTCTCTTCCCGGTCGCGGATATAGAGGCGTAGCATTCGGGCGCGATCGATCATTGTTGCTGGGTCGGTGTCGAAGCGGCCGCAGTTGGTGTGCCAGTAGGGGTATACGTCGGCGATGCGGTGTTCGTCGACGAGATCGCCGAACATTGATTTTATTTCAGAGACTTCGGAGCCGGTATCCATAGGCTCGTCGCTGCTTTCTTGGGCCAAAGGCATGAGGAGGATTTGTAGACCCCTGTCGACTGCGGGCTTGAAGCTGAATTTGCAGGTTTGGATTGTGCGTTTCATGGGACTGTGTGCAGATGGTTAGTATATTTGGTGGACGGTGTTGAATGTGGGAGAAGAGGTGGGAACGTACGAGGCCATCAGCATATCGATTTTGTCGTGATGGGGAAAGTTTTTGCATAACTCGGCGCATTGGGCTTCGCCTTTTTCGGTGAGGAGGGGGTCGTGGATGGCTTCGCCGTGCCAGGAGGAGTTGTGGAAGCCTTCGGCGTGGCGGACGAGGTGGAGGGTTGGTGGCATTATGGAATAGCTTGAAATTGAGACTTGTAGGAGAAGGTAATGCTTGGAAAATTGACGCTTTGAGGTTACGCTAGATGCAAAGAGTAGAAAGTTGAGCTGGATGAGAGATAGATGATGTAGGACAGGATGGGATAATGCTTCTTGTACTCTCGAGGATAATGAGGCTCTCTTTGCCTTTATCGTTTTGCGTGCCTACGTCGTTTGATCTCTACGATCATAGTCTACCGCCGTAGAGGAAGCATACTTCTCCCCTCAGTAGTGCTGGAAACTTGAGACGACGACAAAGTCAGCAACTCTACCCTTTGTCTCGAACCTACGCGCACACTTGCAATACCTCTCCGCGGACGCATATGTAGACCAGAGAAGTTTCTGTCACAAACAGAAACCGCAAAGCCACTCTCGATCCTAGGACCTACTGTACCTCAAAAAGCGTATATCTGTATCATGCTATTCCCACGAATGTCACTCCGCTATTTGACGGCGGGTCGTTGCGGTAAAACCATCCATCGAGCTAGACCAGTTCACCCCCGCGGGTCCGCCGGGAACCTTGTTTCCCACCACACGTGTCTCGCACGCACGCGGAAATAAGAGACACTTGCCATCGTCATAGGAGACCTCCGTCGTGGACCTCAATAATGTTGTAGCATGCCATCGTACACAGCGGCTGCTTCACCGATTCGGTTGTCCTCCGCCGTGTGCCTGTCGCATCGGTGCTCTACTCCGTTGTCTAGACCTTGCCAGTCGTCGGCAAAGAAAACTGCTGCGCCTCAATGTTGTACAACGTTTGCGAACTTGTGAGTTTGACGCGGATGGTTGCTGTCTTTTGATCGTTGCAGGTGGTGGAGGAGAAAAGGATATCGAGGAGGTGGAAGCGTCATTTGTGCCAAGCACTGAAGCAACCTCTTTTACCAACAACAGAATGCTTGGCCATTACTCTGAGATTCGTTCAAGGAGTATAGCGAGTGAAACCTTTGCTGTGAAGTAGAAAGAACCTTAGAGACATGTGGTCTCAAGCTGAATTCTCTATTTCTAATGCATACGCTCCCTCCACTCCTTCTGACTACGATGCCAATTTGCAATGGAGAAAAAGGTACATTTTGGATATCTTTCAAAACAATGATGCAGACAGTAAACAATGCACTAACAAGGTCTCTAACCCAACAAACCAGCAGCCAAAGCCTCCAAGTCTGCAAGTGTTTCCGGTGCAGCTTCCTCTCTGCCCATATCCGTCCTGCGACCCTCTCCCTCGAACCATTTCTTTTGCTTCTTCTTTGGCTGCTCCTCCTCGTCTTCTTCTGCTTCTGATCCGTCTTCCGATCCAGCAAGGAATTTCTTGAAGTCTTCTGATGCATCGGCGAGTTGTGGTGCCTCGTCTTCGTCGTCGGAAGCACCCTCTTCTCCTCTTTCTCTCTCCTTTCTCTTTTCTCTCTTTGCACGCTTCTTTTCCTTGGCGAGTGCTTTGTCCAAGAGATCTGATTCGCGGACTCTTTGTGCTTCTTCCTCCAAGAACTTCTTGCGTTGTTCTTCTGCTGTGCCCTTTGCCTTGAAAGCGTCTTCGTCTTCGAGCTCGTAGATTTGGTGTGCGTTTCCTTCGTCGTCGAAGACGAGTTTTTGGCCACTCTCCTTGAACTTGAGTAACTTCTTCTTGCTCTTGAGCAATTTCTCCCTCCTCTTGCTGTCGATGATGAGGGCGTCCTTTGCTCCGGGTATGTGAACAGCCTTTGCGCCAGGCGGTAGATCCATGTCTGCCACTGCTGGTGTGGTCTCCTCGTCTGATGAATCCTCCTTCTCTTCTTGCACGGGGATACGGCGTTTGACACTGAACAAATCGTCGTCGGACATTTGGGTACCGTCCAAGGCTTCGATGTCGTCGTCGCGGACCATCTTGGCGTAGTGGTCTGCCAGGACGTCCTGGTTCTTGCGCTCGAACATGCGATCGTACTTTGTGCGGATCTCCGGCTTCTTGTTCTTGTCTCCCTTTTCGCCTTCGCTGTCGTCTTCCGAGTCGTCCATCTTTGCTCTAGGTGCGTTCTTTCTAGCCTTTGCGTCATCTCCAGCAATAAACTTGATCTTGGGTGCACCAGGCAGACCAAGACTTGCGGCGAACTCTTCGAGATTCAGTTTGTCGAGTTTGAAGACCTCCTTGTCTTTTTGAATGTGAATGCTGCGAACGTAACTGGCAAAGGCCTTTTGACCAAGGTATTTGAGTGTTGGGTCCTTGAAGCACATGTTTTGTAGTTGAGGCTTGATGGACTGTTGTTTCTTTTGCTTGACACTGATGCGTTCAATGGGGACCTTTTTGGCTTCAAGCCGGGACAGCATGCCCTCTTCTTCGCTGGGGTCGAGGAACAGGACAGCCTTTCCATCGCGCTCGTAACGGGCAGTACGACCTACACGGTGGATATATGTGTCGGCATCCTCGGGAGCATCCAGTTGAACGACCCAGTCGACAGCAGGGAAATCCAAACCTCTTGCAGCGACATCCGTTGCGAACATGCAGGAATGTTGGGCGTGTGAGAACTTTGTGGTAATATCAAGACGAGCGGTTTGCTTTTGACGACCGTGAAGATGTAGCAAGGGGATACCAGGTTGCATATGGCGGAAGGCTTCAAAGACAAAACGGACCTGCTTTCCCGATGACAAGAAGACGATAATCTTTGACTTTTTGCAAGTCTGGATGAAGGACCACAGAGTGTCGAGTTTGTCGGGAAGAGGAGTGAGGACGTAGTTTTGTTGCAGAGACTTGGGAGTGGCAGACTCGCCCTGTTCCGAGGTCGAGACATATTCAGGGTCTCTCAGACTGAGACGAGCGAGGTCAGAAACACGCTTTGTCTGAGTAGCTGAGAAGAGCAACGTCTGACGGTCTTTGGGTAGGTACTCGAGAATGGCGTCCAAGTCACGCTGGAAGCCCATGTCGAGGATACGATCGGCCTCGTCGAGAACAAGCATTTGCACGTTGTCGACAGAGAAGAGGGCGGTTTGCGACAAGTGCTGAAGCATACGACCAGGTGTACAAACGACGATGTTCATACGGGCGAGAGCACTTTGTTCTTCCTGCAGACTCTTTCCACCGATAACCAGACCAGCCGAGAACAAATGACCCTTTCTTCCAATCTTGACCAGGACGTCGAAAATTTGAATGGCGAGTTCGCGGGTAGGAGCGATGATCATGGCACCCAGACCGGCATCCTGACCGACACACTGCTTACGGTACAGGTTCTCGAGGACGGGGACGATGAAGGCGAGAGTCTTTCCTGAACCGGTTTTGGCGGCACCTAGGATGTCGGAGCCATGGAGGGCGAGAGGGACGGCGCGTGCTTGAATCGGTGTGAGGGTGGTGAAGTGGCAGGCTTTCAGGCCTTCTTGGGTAGGCAGAGAGAGCGGTAGGTCGGAGAAGGAAGTGTAGCTGCCCTTGGGATCCAGATCCTGGACCTGCTGTTCCAACTTTTCAACGTCGACATCGTCTCTCTTGCGCTTGGTGGCGCGCTGCTGCTTCTTGGGCTTTGTCGGCTTGGTGCGACCGGTGATATGTGGCGCCATGTTGCCTTGATGTGAATTAATCAGGCAGGAGCCTTTGGTGTATCAAACAGGCAGGAAGGAAAAAGTCCAGGCTAGGAAGGACTTTCACATGCTTAACTCCGTGACAACTTTTTGGGTGCACGCGCCACTCGGTCGTGCCTTCCGTCACCCGCATTTCCCTCTTCAGCCAGACTCGACATTCAACTTGCACACACAACCACAATTACCCATCATGTCGGACAAGAAGCCCGAGCCAAAGGAGCTCTCGGACGAATACATCCTCGCCGCCATTGCCAAAGAGTCAAAAGAATTCGACAAGGTCCGTTTCTCCCTTGCACTCTTCTCTTGTACTCCATGCTGACATCTCAACCCAGNNGACGCCGAAATCGATCGCATCCTCAAAGCCTTCCGTCTAGATGCCTATGCCGTTCTCGACCTCCAACCTGGTGTTCCAGACAACGACATCAAGAAATGCTACCGCATGAAATCCCTCCTGATCCATCCCGACAAGACCTCAAATCCTTCGGCACCTGATGCCTTTGACCGACTCGCAAAAGCCCAACAAGCGCTACTGGATGAAAAGGAGAGGGCAAAACTCGACGAATGTATAGCAGATGCGCGTATGCTGTTGATGCGCGAACGCAAACTCACCGTCGACAGCGAAGAAGTCAAGGACCCGGATGATGACTTCCGCAAAGCCTGGAGGGAGAAGACAAAGGTTGTGCTGGTAGACGAGGAATTAAGGAGGAGGAAAAAGATGAAGGCCCAGATGCAAGAGGAAGGTCGTGCACAAAAGAAGGAGGAAGAGGAGATTGCCGAGCGCAAGAGGAAGAGGGAGTTTGAGACAAAGTGGGAGCAGTCGCGTGAGGAGCGCATTGGTTCCTGGCGTGACTTTCAGAAGGGAAAGCAGCCCGACAAGAAGAAAAAGAAGATCAAGACATTGGGTTGATGAACGTCAGTCTGTCACGAGCCACGATCGTTTCCTGCATCTTCATCATCACCATTTAAGCATTTATTATCCATGCAATTCAGCGAGGCGTTAAGGCGTATAGATTATCTTCTATCCTGTATTCCAGAAAGACACTATGGAAACTCCATCATCCTCTCTCTTTCTCTCCGACCATGCAGATGCTTTCGCTAATATCAATGCTTGACCACATGTCTGCAACAACTCCAGATCTAAGACCTGGCACCAGCTCTTCTGACATCCAACTCGACCTTACTATACCACGCAGCACCTCCCAAAGCAACAACCATACCCATAGCATTCATCGTGCCCACAGCAACATCAAACAACACGGTCCCCAAGACAACCGTCAGGATCTGCTTGACATTACCACAAACACTCAACGTCAGTGCTCCAGCCAACTTATTGGTCTGGAAACTGGTAACATTAAGCAAGAAAGCCAAGAACCCGTTTCCTAGCAATGCGAGAATGAGATAAGTGCTGAGATTGCCTTCTGCCGTGAACTTGAGGAAAGCAGAGACTTCGCCAGTCGCAGTTGCCCACAGCAGACTTTGTACAGCAGCCAGAGGCGACATACGCAGCAGCAGTTCCAGAGCTGGGAGTTTGAGGCTGCCGGTAAGTAACTTATTCGTCGCCACCGTTTTGAGTGCAGCCAAAAAGACGCCCAGGAAAGTAAGAGAAGCACCTAGTAAAGTAGCGTAGTAATCGCCATAGGTGCTTAGTCCCACTCCAGCAACAATGGGGATCAGAGAAACATAAGTCATGGTGCCATAACTGCGTCCCAACCACCGATAAATCAAGACCGTAGCCACTGGGGTAGTAGACCTAACGATTTGATGAAAAGGCACAGAAACCATGGTAAGCGATACATTGCTGATAGCAATGTTGACGGTAAACAGCACCGAAAATGCCACCAGAACCATCTGTTCTTGCCTGCCCACATAACTCAATTTCAACTGCTCCGGCGCAACCAGCATGATAGTCCAGCATCCCAGCGCCGCAGAGGTGGTGTGAAAAGTCGTCAACAACCAAGGAAAGTTGAATCTGCCCAAGACAGCCTTGTTGTACAATGTCAAGCCCAGATTCATCAAAAAGTACAGGCCGAGACAGAGCATTTTTGTCCTGGTGGTGATTGTGTATTCGTGTGCTTCGTTCTTTGGCGCCTGAGCATCTACAGGGCTTTGTTTTTCTGCGTCGTCCATTTGGGAAAGGAGGCCTGCTGAGGGAGATGTTTCGTCCATTTCGAAGGATTCGGCAAAGGAGGCTGGACTGCGTAGGTCGAGGGATTGCGACTGAGAGCTTAGGCGCGGTGAGGATGCTGAGTCCGTGGGTGGTAAAGAGGTCGCCATTTTTGTCTTTTGTGTGTTGTGTTGATCGTAGATGGTTGTTCGAGATGTAAATCTTTGCTCTTCCTCTTCGAGATTCACAGACCTTGTTCACAGCCTTTCGCTCCTATTGACGTCGAGATTGATATATCCGTTACCGATCCAGTGATTATATGCAATGCGCAGACAATGTCGTAATAGTACTCTCAATCCGCAATCGTGATATCCGCAAAGTCAAGGCAAGAAGAGAAAATCGGTTCCCGCGTTCCCCATTTCTCCGGAACAGCGCATGGTCCTGGTTTTGGTGTCTCCCCTGCCTGGTCATACCCTAGTTTTTGCCTATCTTTCTTTGGTTCGGATTTGGCGAATACCAAGGCCCGGCTGCTTCGGCAGGATATAATCTCTTTGCTTGGCAGGGCCAACACCTTGGCAGCCTTCTCAATTTGTCCGACCTATCACGATTTGTTGCATCTGCAGCCTTGCAGGGAATGCTGTTGCTGTTGATGCGCGTCGTAAGCTGTTTCTTTGCTATCTGCAAGTTTGGCAGAGGAAGTCTGGGGAAATAGCCCTATTTCTGCTTGTCCTGCTGATATATGTTGTTTCATCTGCATAGCACGCCATTAGATGAGTATCTGGCATCATATGAACTGGGGAAACCAGTGTCACGATTCATGGGCACAAGCAAGTCGTCGTAATACAGTCCTTGGCTTCTATATTGGTATAACACTTATTCTTCCTTTGCATCCTTCAGTGTTGCTGGCGATAATATGCCAATATGTGACAAATCACGAGGGTTTGCCTCATCAAGGCTGGCTTCTTAACTCTATTCCTCTGCGCCCGAGGAACCATCTACGATCTCTGAGCGTCTGTTGTTCCGCATGCGTGACGTCTGGTTTCTGTATGCGAGCCAAGATATGCAGGATCTCGGTCAGCCAAGCATCGGATGCGTAACTTTTCTGCTTTCCACAATGGTCAAGCAAGTCGTTATTAATCCCGTTAGGCGAGGCATGTGGATATGGTTCGCTCGGGGCTTACTCCGAGGAACAAGTCACATCAAACTCCTATGACGATCTTGGAAAGTATCAAACATACATAGGTTGGATTTGTTGTACAGGTATATACAGTTGTAGGTGCAATTAGTGATGTAGCAAAATCATCTTCTCCAGCCTCCCTTGCCGCCGCTCTCGGAAAAGTCGCCTCCTTGACGCTCTCTTTCCACTCTTGCATCAAACTCCTTCTGAGCTTCAATCTTGGCTAACTGTCTCTCTTCGTCTGAAGAAGAGAATGAGAAGGAATCGCCCAGTGTTGAACCCTCTTGCTGCTCATTTCTGACTTGAGGGGTGGTGGTGGGTGATTGACGTGGGGAGCCCTTGGAGCTGGAAGACTCTTGTCTGATGCGGTCCCAGGTACTGCCTGACGAGCGAGGCGCGGGTGCAGCCTGCTGGGCGCCGAGTGGAGATACATCGTCACTGCTGTTGTGGTTGTTTCTTCGTGACTGATCAACACGGGATTGTGCCTGAGCAGCAACTCTAGACTCCTCGACTCGTTCGGCACGGTCTGCATTTGACTGTTCCTTGCGAGCGCGCGCGTTCAACTGCTCGTCTGTCAATAGACCAGTGTCCTGAGCCTCCTGCTTATAGTCGTCCATCCAAGCACCTCCAGTAGGACTCATGTCGTCGTAGTCGGAAGCCTTGCGCTGCACATCTTGACGCTTCCATGCATCTTCCATACCGAGTTTCTGCGATGCACGTTGTGCCTGTTGATCCATACGACCTTCTTGGCTCATGATCGGGTTGCGTTGACCTTGAGGTTGCATCTGGCCAGTGTGTCTTTGTGCACGATTCTTCAATGCTTCGATATAGTCTTTCATGCGAGGATCCGAGCCAGTCTCGACTGCATTGACCGAAGTGGCATAACTGGCAAACAGGAGGGCGCCAGTGAAGAAGCCAACAGCGCCGTAGAGCTGGAAACGCAGAGTGTGCCAGGCGTAACGAGCCATCTGTCCACGTACAGGGCCGAAGCGCTCAGGGTTGAACGCACCACCCTCGGCCTCGGTCTTAGGAGTATATCCAGGGAAGCGGAAGTTACTCATGGTGCGGTATGCAGCGATGGCACCACCAGCCATACCAACTGGCGGACCCCATGATACCGTCCGTAGTGACTTTGCAAAGTGGTAGCTGATGGCGTCGACCTCTTCCTGGCGCAAGGGGCGATGTATGACTGCTTGGGCTTCATGACAGCTTCGAAGGATGGTTTTTACTATGGCATCGTCTCGAACTGGCACCATGAACAAGTTGACAGGTCGCGGCAGCTGATCGAGCTTGATGTGGTAGCGGGTTGGTGTTTGGGCGTCATTGCCGTCATCTGGCGTGGGAAGCTCGCCGAACGAGTTGGGCTCACTGTTGTTTGTCGCTTCTTCGAGGACCATGGTTGGCTATACTGATTGTTGCTATTGTCGAGAAGGCAAGAAACTCGTGGGCGGGACAGAAGCTCTTTCTGCTGTCATGACACGCTCAAACAAAAGTCCGGGGTAATGAGGTCATGGTTTGCTTTGTGCATGCAGCATAACTCGATTGTAGGCATAACTATGTTATGCTAGCTATACCAGCTATCTTGCCTCTCTTCTTTTCTCTTCTCTGTATGTTTCGTTCCACCTGATACCACAGTCTCTGGTTCTATGTCCAATACATAGTACCTTTGATCCGATTGGTAATAAAACATTTGTGACTCTGCATCCTCGATCCTTTGAAGGATTGAGGCTGACATGTCATCCCGTCTTATTCTCCTAAACAGCATCCTCGACTTGGCCCTCTTGATATGGCTTAGCAGATCCACTCAGAATGTCTTCCTCCACTGAAACATCACTTGACAACTACACAACCCTCCCACACCGCGAGCTCAATCCCACCGCCAAACAAACCATCCTCCTAATCCACGGTGCCTGCGGAGATGGCAACAGCTGGAATGCCATAACACCTCACCTCACAGACTACCACATCCTCGCCCCCGATCTCCCCGGACACGGTATAGCAAAGTCACATCCCTTCTCAGTTGTCAAAGCCGCTGCTGCACTACACGCTCTCCTCCTCGCTCGCGCACATGACCAAGTCGCCTACATCGTAGGCTTCAGTCTCGGTGCCCATGTAGCCATCCATCTAGTCTCCCACTACCCTGCTATCGCAAATTGTGTCCTGGTATCTGGGTTCCAGGTTTTCGAGACAAGCAAGGCGTTTTCTGCATATCTGCCTTACGTGATATGGGCAGAACAGCGATTGGAATCTGCAATCCCGCGCTCATGGGTTCGGTGGGCGATGGATGGGATTGATATTCCTCGCTCTGATCCAAGTATATGTACAGTGGACTATTATCGTCAAGTATTCGCTACCTCCNCCGATGCGGAGAAATGGCCGAAAGCGTGGCCGGCAAGGACGTTGGTTATCGCGGCGGGTAAAGGTGGTTTGGTGCCTTCGAACGACAATCCCAAAGATGCGAAAAAGTTGGCTGGGATCGGCCGTGAGGTCAACAGTGCTACTAGAGCGGTCACTCATCCTGATATGAGGCATTCTTGGGTCTGGCAGGCTCCAGAGTTGTTTGCAGAAACTACAAAGCTTTGGTTCGAACAAGGGACTGTTCCGGCAGGATTTGTATCTCTGGACTGAGGCCTCGCAGAGTGCCATTGCACGAGATGTATGTAGTAATATTATAGACACGAGTAACATGAATTGCAAAATCATGACGTTCGTCCAAGCATTCGAGCACATTCTCCAGCTCTTCATCAATTCAGGATTACCAACAGCAGGACCAAAATAAGTATCAGGACACCAATAGTAACCCAACTCCAATTATCCTTTGCCTTTCTCGCCACCTTACCCAATCGTCCTCTTGCACGATCAAGGTTTCCTTGAAANCGATCAACACCTCGTTCCACATCATCCAAGAGCGCATTCTGATCATCCATCTCATCTCCCATCTGTATACCCAGCATCCTTTGTCTGCCTATACTGCTTGACAACTGATCGAGTTGCGCATCCTGATCTGACAGCACTTGTTTATGGTAAGCGTGAATTTGCTGATTGCTCAGGTCCGTCTGGTCGGGTACGGGGGCNTCGTCATCGGTATACGCTTCTTGCGAAGCAGAGGAAGAGGTAAACAGTTTTCCACGATTGGCGTCTTCGGGCGAAGAGTCACGGTATGGTTTATCGAAGCGCACGGATTTGTTGCGTTGTGGAGTGGAGGTCGCGGCTGCAAAGTCCGGTGCTAGACTACTGTCGTTTGGCGTCGTTGTGGCTGTTGTGGAGGTATGGCCATTGAACTGCGCATTTAGGTCTTCGTATTGTTTGCGTAGTTTGGAGAGTTGGGTGTGTAGGTCGGATACACTGTTGTGTCTCATCGTCAGCATTTCGTCTTCTGGCAACCTGTGGAGATCATGGAGAAGGAGGACGTACTCTCCACCAGTAGATTCTTGCTCCTCAGCATTGGACGTCAAGGTTTCTATGCCAGCACGTAGGGACTCCAGCGACCGGGTCAAAGGGCCATCGTTTGTGTTGTTGCCTGGGAGTTTGAGAGATTGGGCGCGTTGGCGTTCAAGGAGGGAGAGTTTGATGTGGTCGGCGAGGATAAAGAGCTGGTGCGGTGATGTTGACATGGCTGCTTGGTATCCTGTCTAAAATCTGTGTGTTTTAGAGTTGAGGTCGAGAGCAATGATTGAGGTGTATGTGGTTGAATGGGAAAGTTGTTGCCTTTCCCCAGGATCGACATGGTACAGTTCAGCCACCAATGCAATTGCCAAGACTGGGTCGTTCCTTCCAAACGAACATCAAGGTGTTCGCTTCTGACACATCTGCTGTATCTTCCTCGGCCTGTCATACACATAAGGAAACATAGAATCGTGAGACAAATTATCGCATTACCAATTAAGACCTAATACTACGTAACTGGGGTATTGAACTACATCTTCTGAACCACCTCATCACAAAAGAAATCTTTCGTCATCATGCTTTAGTAAGGAACCTTCTCCTCAAAGATGGGAGACTCGCGGATTCTCTCCTGGCTCCACTGCACCTTTGCCTTTTCATTCAAGGTAGCTTCCTCGTCGGAAGCAGGGATATCGTGCTCCTTGCAGCCAGCAACCTCCTGCGAAGAAAGACCGTACTCATCACGGGCAATCCACACGAGCTGCTGCTCATTAGCCAAACTTGGGGGCTGGAAAGCAAACTCGAGCTCCTCATTAGTGTAAGGGCGGGTAGGCTCGTTGAAGTGGGAGGCAAGCTCCTTGCGCACAGTAAGCCACTTCTGGGCGAAGCGGGAGCTGAAGAAGAAGTGCTGGAGTTTGCCTTTGATGCCTGATTTCTTGGACTCGGGAGAAGTGGTGGACCCGGCAAGGGTTGGTGAGGTGGCGCGGTTGGAGGTGGTGCTGGGCTTGCCCTCTTCCATCGTCTCTGCACCCGAGTATCCTCTGTTGCTGTCCTCGCTACCAGGCATCATCTCGAGACCATCGACAATGGGACCGAGTGTCTTGCTCAGGATGACGTGATAGATGATGGTGAAGACGGTCAGGATGATGGTGATGATCAGAGGACCGATAGCAGCTCTGTCCGAAGCAATGCCAATGGCGAAGAGACCAATCAAGCAGAACTCAAGAAGATATACACCGACTGTGATCTGCTGCAGAGCACGAGCATAAGCGCGACCCTTCATATCGATAGAGTCGTTGCCAACCACGTAGAGGAGTTGGTAGCGGTAGGCAAAGTACAAGAGAGCAAATCCGACGGTTGCAAACCCAAGGAGTAGAGGAGCGATGCAGGAGTATGCGATAGCAATGACTCCGAGCATTGCATTGGCAGGGTAGACGGAACCCCAACCAAGACCGATCAAGTTGACGTAACGATTGTAGACCTTGCGGGGTGTCGAGTCCAAGATGCTACCAAGAATGGTGATGAACAATAGGGGNGCAATGTTGAGAACGAGCACGGCGGCCTTGTTCAGCATAACAATGACAAAGTAGGCAGTGTAGAAGTTGGAAGCAAGAGGAAGGTTGCTAGCGAGAAGCGTAGGTGCAGATGCAGGCTGGTCGACAATCTGCTTTGCAACAGCGGCAGCTCCGGATGAGAAGGTGGTCACGAGGAAAACGTCGACAACCTGGAATGAGAAGTACCAGGCCTGGACTCTCAATTCGACTGCAGATTTGGTAGGTTCAAACATGCCTGCAAGCAGTCTCAAGATGATAGGCACCAAGGCCATGAGCACAGCAAGCAGAACAGAGGGCAACAAACCAGTAATGACACCGAGGATAACACTGGGAATGCTGCTGATCCAGGTCAAGCCAGGGATAGTCTCGAGAGTCTTGACGTTAGAGATGGCACCAACGAAAGCAACAGGAATGGCCCAGAAGACGATCATGAGAATAACGAAGATGGTGGATGCAACCATGATGAGACGGGTAACCATGTTCTTCTTCTCCAGGTTCTTCCAGATGACATCCTCGGGCTGGACACCAACAGTCTTGGGGGTGAGCTTGGCTCCCTTGACTTTCTGCTTGGTTCCTGACATTTGACGGTGAGCAGCCTGGGCGAGCTCAAGAGTCTCGAATTGAATAAAGACGGCGGGAACTTTGTCGGCGTTGCGAGCCTTGTTGAGCTCTTCGTCAACCTGTTTGTTAAGACGGACGATCTCAGGACGGGCCCAGTCAATTGTGTCGACCTTCTTGCCGATGAAGGGAATCTTTCCAAGACGGTGAGTGGGGCGAATCTTCTGGTCGACCTCGACACGGCCGCTCTCGCGGTCGATAGTTGACTTGTCCTCCTTACCCTTCTTCTCAGCCTTCTTGTGGGTCTTGACGAGCTTCTGGACGAGCTTGTTCTCTGCAGCCTCGAGCTTCTGCACAGCTTTGTCTCTTTCGTCGACAACGTCGTCGAGCTCCTTGGTGTTAGGCTGAATCCAGACGCGGGACACTCCAGTGAACAGCTCACGCAGAGCGCTTTCCTTGAGGTAGTCTTCAGCGACGTTGGTGAACATGACAGTTCTGGCCGACAAACGACTGCTGTAAGCTACCGAGGTGATGACGGATTGGCGGAGACTGATAAAGTAGATGATCTCGCGGGTGACGACAATCATGACGAATCCAACAAAGACCCAAGCAAGGATGGCATGCGCATAGTAGTAGTTGGTGTGGCTAGGAATTGCCACATTGCTGAACGAAAGGAGATCGAATTGCTTGTTACCAGCGCCGCCNTGCAAACTCGTCAGACCAAGGAAAACACATGGAGAACTTACGAAATACATACCAGTCGCATTGATGGGGAAAAGGATGGGCCAAGTAATGATTGCACCGACCAGGCAGATGGTGAAAAGAATCTTGAATAGACGCAAGTAGAGGTAGTTGTCCAGAGAAGAGTGCATCAAGATGTGGTCATCATTGAGACCACGGAAGTTCTTGATCCATCCGAACTTTGTATCCGAAGGCTGTGGTGTATATTCGCTANNATAAATGGTTAGAACAAGGCAAAGGGGATTGGCCAAAACTTCAGCTCACTATTTCCTCAGGAGCGGCAGATAGGTGCGCGGCTCGTAAACTCTCTTGTACTTGGGACGGAAGATCAGAAAGACTGAGAGAACGACCGCAACAATGAGAAGAACAGGAATCAAGGTCGACAAGAAAGTTGATGCCGAAGGCGATTGGTTGCGATGACTACCTGCCTCGGTGGAAGCCATGATAGCGGTCTTGTTGATTAAAGCGCTGTATCAACGCGATTAATCGTGTGGGAGTGGTGACAAAAGAGTGGGAAGAAAAATGATGGGTTGCGACGGTGGAAATACTTGTAGTTGCACACGCACACCGCAGATCAGTCTTCGGGCTGCGCAAACACACACCCTCGACAGCTTTTACTTGTTTGGACGTCAAAAACGGGTGATGTTTGATCAACCTGCAGCTCGGCTGGTCAATAACCTTTTCGTGGCTCTCCCTGTGGCGCAAAGCTTCAAGGCCCAGAACGATTTGATGGTCAAGACGGTCAGACGAACAACGACACACAGCCACGGTGAGATCGATTCTTTTCGTAGGGCGCTCGTTCAGTGTGTTTAGGAGAGTGGTGGGTAAGGAAATAATTCACTAGGCGATGGCGATCCCTTGCGTTGGTGGAAGTCGCAAAGGTATGCAACTGGTCTTTGTTTCATTTCGAAGCATTTTCACATGAGCGAAGCGTCATCGGCGTCATATGCGCCATGGCCGTTGATCATCTTGCAGCACCAATCTCTTGGAGCCGTCAGCGCGGTCTTGGGAAAGGGTTTTTCCTTTTGGATCGCGGGGATCAAGGATCATTCGATGATCACATTCAGATGCTTCAGACCCCTGGATCGATATTAACCTGATGGTACTGTAGTCGGGAATACGCAGGAAATGTTGTTACGAAACCATGTTGTGCACCTTCGCGAATGCGCTAGGTCATGGACTGTGTCACGCTTGGGAAATGCAGATGGCAGGAAAGGACAAGGACACAAGCGTTGCGCTGCCGGGCCAGCTGCTGTAACGCACATGGGAGCGCAATAGATTGTTGACGCACAACTGTCTTTGGCGAGGGAGCAGAAACAGAGCAAGAAACGGTACACTAATCTGCCTATCCCAATTGCTGACCCCTTTCGAGTTCGAGGCTGAAGCTCTCTGTATTGCAGCCACAATTGAAATTTGGCCGTGGCTGAGTCTTCTGTGGCTCAGAGCTGTAGAAACTCGTCGCATACCTTTGCCTCTATCCAGCTACCATACAACGGTAAGTGGCGGACGTGGGACGGTCGAGCTCGGACAAGTACTTCGATTCCCTGGTCGTGGTTGTTGTTGGGAAAGGTACGGACGTAGCTCCAAAGATCAATCTCTTCGTGTGAGAAACGGTGAGCGGACAGCACCAGACGCAGCCCAGCACGCCCGAGCGAGTCCGTGGCTGTACCATATCCCGACGACCCACATGTGTTTGCATTAAAAGAGATTCCGTTGCGACACAGAAACTGGGGTCTAAGAAGGATGAGCAGATCGCTGAAGATGTTCAGGAACAGAACACCGAGATAGATTGATGGTTCATCTCTGCCAAGTCATGCACGCACTCGCTCGAGTTGGCGCACGAGTCGTTCATTGAACAACGTCATGCCGTGCTTGACGTGATACCTTCGCATGGCGTCCTCCCAGCCGTCTACCTTCAAACACTCGAGAGGACCATTTACACACCAAGATGGTAACAGCAATGGATTTCGCTCTGCAACACAAAGGCCAGCTAGCCATCGTCACAGCATTGGTTGTCTACTCTGCCGCCAAAAACAAACTGACACCAGGCGGCATCATAGCTGCATCCGTGACAGCGGCAATACACATGGCACATCCCTGGGGAGTCTTCTTCAACCTCCTCGTAGGTTTCTTTATTGCCGGCACTTTGGGAACANAAGGTACGTGTTTCATGACTCTTCTCTTGCATCCTCGGGCTTGGGATGATGTACTCTTGATCATGTCGCGAAAGCGAGAGAAAAGCAATATCGTCTTTCGCGGCGTTGTCAAACACCTCGAATAATCGAGCTGACATCCGAACCAGATCAACCACACGACCAAGGCAACTCTTACTCAGTCAGCAACTGGGGGTGTGGGAGGTGAAGGTGCACGCAACTACGCTCAGGTGTTGGCCAATTCTGGCGCTGCGTCGCTCTTGATTCTATGGCATCTATATGCCTCGCAAGAGGGTGTCAGTCTGAAGAACGAGTTTAGCTTGACTGATGCTATACCTTTTGGTATCGCTGCGTGAGTTGTCATTCTCTGTTGTGAAGATGAATTGGAAAACTGATTCGTTCAAGCTNCATACGCCGCCGCGGCTGCCGACACTCTCAGCAGCGAACTTGGTATCCTCTCGCCAACTTCTCCTGTTCTCATCACAGCACCATGGCGCAGTGTACCTCGTGGAACCAACGGCGGAGTCACCTTTACTGGTCTGCTCGCCGGTCTTGCAGGTTCTGTATTCATCTCTACCCTTGCCTACTTCAATCTGCCCTTTTCTCGAATGGCATGGACCGGAGACTCAAAGTTCCTCTTCTGGGTTGCATTGACAGTTGCGGGCTTTAGTGGTACATTACTGGATTCGCTGTTGGGTGCACTGGTCCAAGCAACAGTAGAGGACAAGAGCAGCGGTAGAGTTGTCGAAGGAGATAATGGCAAGAGAGTCAAGGTTACTGCAGGAGGCAGTAGAGTGCAAAGAGGCATGGATCTGCTCAACAACAATGGTGTCAACTTCGCCATGGCGGCTACAGTTGCTGCTGTCGGCATGGCTGTGTGGAACTCAATGGTGCAGAACGTTATCCTGGCCTAGGATACCTTCAGCTTCTAGATCAAGCAGGTCAGCGACTAAGAAGTCTTACTCAAATACAACATCTCGATACAAGATACCGTCAACACTTGCAACAAGAATAGCATGTGCTCTTCATGCGACCACATCCGATCGACCGCCCAAGACTTTTAGATGAGGGCGTCACCCTGCTTACACGCATCACTCACTTACACGAGATCCATACAACGGTGGACTTGGTATCTTCGGACGGTATGACTAGTACGAGTACGATTCTGTCTGTTGAAGTAACTTTCAGAAGGTTGTCGGCTGTGAGCGACTCGTTGTAAGTTTTTAGATTGATTATCGTTCCCATCAGAGCTTTGGTTGCAGTTGGGTCCCACAACCCAGCACTTTGTGGTCACTACCATCGCAAATCCAAAACCAAATCGGTGATACCGACCATCAACCCTTTGTAATAAGTACCAACCCATTAGGTCCGAGCGAGTCGCGTAATCTTGGCTCTTGTGAGCCATCTATGATTCTCTCGATACAAGCCGGAAATGGAAGGCGTGATGCACGGGAGACGCCGAGAAAGCTTGACGTAGCCATCTCTCTTTGTCTCGTGCTCCACCAACCTCTTCTTTCCTACCTCGAAAATCAACGAGATGGCCATTCACATCAAGACAAGTTTTATTGTGAGTTCCTTAAAGGTGAGTCGCGTCATTCCGACGCGAAGTTGTGATTCATGTGTGGACAAAGTTCTTGTTTCTCAAAAAGATATATGGCCGTTTGCGGAAAAGACGCGGTTTGCTTTGTCTTGATTTACGAACAGAGTACTACATTATGTTCCATGCCTGAACATACAACAGAAGCTGGCCCAAGCTTCGTTTTGACAATCTGATAAACTCACCATCAGATTCAACATGGCGGACAACAACATGACTGGCAATGTACCTGTTGAGGCTATTCAACAGCAGCATGAAGCAATCATTGCAGCTGTGAAAAATGCCTCGGACTTTGAGACAGAGACTGACAATGCGATCTCGACGGACGAGTCGATTTCACAGACAAATGTCGAAGACCAGAAGGATACCTCGGCCTTGACGGATAACGAAGACCATACAGATGACGAAACTGAGTCTAGCTGCCCCGAATGGAGTACTGGCAGCATTGTTGATGACTAAGAGGCGGTGCAGGCCTTCAAACAGAAGATCATTGCCTTAGGTACCGAGCTCCGGGTGGGTTTCGAGGATATCGAATATGTCCGAGAGGGTCACATAATCCGTGCTTTTCGACTGACGATGCGAAATCCTCCAGAGGGAGCTACATGGCAAGATGGGACGCGTGCTGTCCTACGTCTGTACGGACCGTGGGGACTCGATCACACAACTCAGGGTGCTGTAGCCGAGAACACTGAGAACGTGCCGTCCTTTGAGGAAGCAGTCCCAAGTGGTACTTCTGACACCAGGGAAGCTGACACGACCTCTTCGAGCTCATTCAATCATGTTTATTTCGTCGTTCAAGCCGAGGAAGGCGGAAACGAGAACGTGTCATCTCTGCAAGAGGTTCATGCCGAAAATGACGAAAATGCGTATGAGATTCAAAGCCTCGTATCTACCACGAGCGAATCATCTCTTGGCAGCAACTTTTCTGGAAGTACTCTAGTCGACGAACCGCAAGTACGCGTTGCCGAAGACGACGAGGACGATGGGGATGACGAGAGCGACTCCGATGATGAGTCGTACTATATCGTGTACCCGGAGTTTGATCAGTGGGAGCTTCTTGACGAGGCTCTTCTGTTGAATCTCCTTGAGGACCACGGCATACCCGCTACACAAACTCTTGCATTCGACGTAACTTGGCAAAATGCCTTGCAGAGACCCTATTCTATCTACGCTTCTCTGCCGGGAGAAAGGCTTTCGGATCTCGAGAGAAAAGAGATGTTACTCAAAGACAGACTCTATTTAGCCGGCGGGGCAGCCGAGCTTCGTGCACGCTTGGAGACAATCCATTTCCAAGGCACAGGCAGAGTACAAGTCAAAGTGAATGAGAACATGACTGCTGGAAGATTGCCACTGGATATGTCAGCTCGTGCGGATATCAACGAGCATCTCGATACCCGCGGCTTCCTGGTAGAGCCCGACAATCACAGGTTAGACAGTCAAATTATACATCGAATCAATTGAACGCCCGGAGATTCGTAGTCAATAACAATACTACCATGAAAATCGTCTTGTCGTGATTGGAGCACATACCTTGTGACACTCGTCATTACAAATCGGATGCGATTTTGATGCCAACACTAGGTAGCTATCTACCGAATCTATTGAGTTGTTGCCAACGGGTTAGGCTTGCCAAGCCTTTATGTGCTCAGGACTGCAACTCCTGGGGGCAGCAGTCCTTTCGATCACCACATTGCTTCTTGCTCTCCTTCTCCTATCATTAACCACCTCATCATACGACCGAGTTCACCACTGATCGTAAACATGAGGCTGTGGCTGAGTGACTATGTCAGGAATGTCCGCAAACGACAGTTGCGTTGCAAAGGGGAACAAAGGAATGCAAACGCCCGCTTTCAGCCCTCGCGGTTGTGATGTTGTTTTGTAGCAATGCTTACCTTTACTCAAGTGGACGGTGCAGGGCAAGTCATCTTTGGTTTCTTTACTAGTTTCAAAGATCCAAGTCTGTGATCAGTTGGACGGGTCCATACCACAGGCTATATCGCCTATTTCCGACGAACCGAACACCAGGTCCAGCGACGACATGGAGAGTCACGACGCACAAGCTCCCTTGGACATCGACGATGAAGACAATGATTCTGTTTCAGATGCATCGAACTCGACTGCTGTGTATAACATGAGGCTTTCGAGAGTTTTCAGCATAAAGTACTTGCACTCGGTACAGAGCTCCGATTGAATTTTCAAAGCCTCGAGAGGCTTAAAGGAGGCTGCCACAACCGTATCATTACCTTGACCATGCATAATCCTCCTAGTGAGACAGGGTCTGAGGATACAACAAAGGCCATCCTGCGGATTCCACGGCTTGACGAACCCGTGTCTCCTGGGAACGGATTCGCCGAGTACGCAATCGCGCACAGAGTCGAGATCCAAGCGACTGAAAACACAGACAATCCTTACCTCTGGTTCTGCAATGCTTTCAACGACAACCTAGCGCCAGAGAGTAACCATCTGGAAATACTTGATGGAGTCGCCATTCTGAAACTGCTTACCCGCTTCAGCATTCCAATTCCTCGGATTCTAGCTTTCAATGCAACTCAAAACAACGCGCTAAGGTTTCCTTATTCACTGTATACTCGCCTCCCGGGAGTCACCCTTGGTGACGTATGGAAGGATATGCCTACAGATGATAAAATCAATATCGCAGGCGAGCTTGCCACACTCCTCGCTGATCTGGATACAATTCGTTTTCCTCAATCCGGCAGACTTCTCCACGATGAGATCACCACGAATGCGCAGTCACCTCTTGACCTTTCCAAGCGTAGCGAAGTCGGAGAAAATGTGTTCGTGGGTGGCTTCTGCAGAGGGCCCAATATCATTGAAGGAAGAGACAAGCCCACAGTACCAACGACTTCATCGCTGTACGACCTTTTTAGTACTCATCTCGACGACAAGATCCAATACGCCAAGTTCAGGGAGCCCGAAATGCCAGACTTTGGGTTCTCTAAGTTGCAGACTATGCTTCAAGATATGAAGGATATGAACTGGTTTGCTTTGGATGATGGAAGCGCAGAGTACAGCATCGTCAACCATAATGATTACGATCCCAGGAATATCATAGTTGAACATCGCCAAGATGCCGATGGATCCTCCGGCTGGCATATATCTGGTATCGTTGATTGGGACGACGCTCATTGTGTACCACCGGTACTGACCAGACGACCTCCTCTATGGCTGTTTGACTTCTCTGATGACGACCTGCTACCTGAAACGGTCTGGAAGTATTATTTCATGGATTATGATATGATGCCACTTGAGTACTACAAAGAGATCAATCCGGATCACCTCACTGTAGAGGGCGCGAAGATCAAGGAGCGCTTCGAACAGGTCATAGTCGACAAAATCTACACCCCACGCTATGGTGCCAGGGCCATGGAATTCTACCAGGACGACACGTACGGCAGAGGTCGTTGGCTCAGACGTGTATGGCGCTTTGCCAACGAAGGCATGTTCGACAACAGTCACTACCGTCGACTCGGACAAGTGCTTAAAGAGTGGGATGAATTCAAGGAGACTGGTCAGGTATCCCACCGCACCGTGTTTGGTGAGGAAGACGACTCGCGTTCAAACGCAACGGACTCGACCACCGCATACGACCACGAACCCTTCGAGACCTTCCAACACAGAGTCAGTACATTGGGTTCCGATCTTGATGTTATCTTCGACGATATTAAACACATGCGCGGAGGATCTTTCAATCGTGTAGTTCCTGTGACTCTGCGGAACCCGCCAGAGACAGCTTCATGGATCGACAGGATGAAAGCTATCATACGTATACCTCGTGTCTGGGATGGAGATCTCACCAAGGTTCCTGCTGATGAACATGGACGGACTTGCAAGTGCGACGCACATCCTGACCGGCAAGTAGTCGTCAGTGGCGGTCATGAGAGTGAGTCAGGCAGCACCTCTTCGACCGCTGAGGAGACCTCCGAAGACCTTCCAACGGTTGAACGCTCCGTTGGAACCGAAGAGACAGACTCATTCCCTAACGATCAGACCCCAGATAAGGACTCATCATCCGAGGATGATGATGATGATGCAAGCGACGTCGGCGATCTCCCATCCATCACACTGGCGCCGTATGGAACAGCTCGACCGGGAGTGGACCGAATACAAACGAGCGAACGGCATCGAGTATGATCACATTGAATATGCGAAAACAATGCGTGTCTACTCGTCGTCCGTGCAACACAACACAGCCAGGAAATAAAGCCGAAGTGAACCCACAAGCAACATTCAAGAAGCTACTGCAGAGTCTAAGATCGACACTAATGCAGGAATCGATAATTCTCAGGGCGGTAAGCTTCATCTCGTCATTCCTGGCCATTCCGTCGCAACTTCGTCTGCAGATAATACTGCTGGAAACCCAGAGCAGAATTTACCACGCTCCAAGACTTTCAGCACTTTCCTGCACTCTTTCAAATGCGCTCCTTCATAGAATGTTTCTTATCTCTATCATTTCTCATCTTAGTTGCATTTCTACCTTTCTTGATGAGATCGCATCGTTCAATCCATGAAATGGAATTCAGTATCGACGAAAAACTTAATATAAGACATCTACAACTAGCCTCGAGCTCCATTCTATCACGTCTAGATGTATTCCCTACTTTGCCACTTTCTCGGGCTTGCCAGATTCAACCATTGCAGAGTCAGTCCTGACTTCCTTTACAAATGCCGATTTTCGCTTATTTTTCTTCTCCTCAGCAGCCGCTCTGGCGGCTTCCTTTTCAATCTCCATCTCGCCTACGGGATCCCTGTTTGCCTCTCGCTCCTTGAGCTCTCTTTGCTTTATGACATTCTCTGCCGGTACGCAAGTAGGACAAGGTTCCCATTTGAGATGAGCTACTCTGGGGTGCTCTGGACATGGTTTGGCGTGGGCATGACAGTACTTTGAGCCCTTGGGTTTGTGACAGGGTCCTGGTCCCTTGCCGTCTCTAGGGCAGTGGTGGACTGTACGGGTGTGTAAGATTCCAACCATGGTGCTACTATATCTAGATTCCTGAATCTAATAGTAGGTAGATAACGAAACTGCTGCTTCATGATCAGTACTGCGCTGCCAGAGTTCTCTAGGCCAGATACCGTACTTACTGTGACAAGAATAGTAATGCTCGATATGATATACTCTGGTTATGCCGTGTTTCAAGGGCAGGCTCGTCTGCTTTTACATTCCTATCACATTCATTGTTCTCCTCCATCCATGCGCTTAAGCATGATTGACTGTCTTTGTGGTCTTTGACACTCTTTGATGAAGTCGAAGCCACAAATTCGAGGATGGCTCGACAAGCATTGCAATTGCTAATTTGAGAACGAAAAGCTAGCCATAACCGGTGAAGAAAGTACAAAGGAGAATCGGTGATGCTTTACGAGATTTGAGGTGACAAAGAGAAGTTTGAGAAGGGTTGCATTTGGTAAGGACTCAAACGTGATTGAGATGCCTTTGTTACGCCGATATCATCTATCAGCTTGTTTCATCGTATACAACTGGTGTGATCTGGAAAGAAGATTTGGAAGTGCTACGAGTTCGAAGGCCGCATGTGTGTCCAGCCGAATAGCACATAATGAGGAGTCCAAAGATGCAGAGTTTGATCTCGATACTACTAGCCCTCTGTCTTTAGACGGGGTCCAATCTAGGACTGGAGAGCCCCAAGATATAAATAATGTTACAGACCTAACCGCTCTCTCTAAAGGCTAGTCGCCTCCCTCAATGTAGTAAAAAAGAACTGGTAAATAGCAACTCGTTGGCGGCCATTCGCCATCCATATCCAGTCTGAGCTGACTGGAGCTTATGTGACTGGGATTGTTATCGCGGTTGTATCAGGCTCAATTTTCTTGCCCTTAGCCTTTCCTTTTATATTACCACGACAGAGATATATACGAAAGGAGCAATAAAAAATCAAAGTCTGGCGCTTGTTTTCCAGATTTCGTTTCTTGCAGTCGTTAGGTACTGGGGACCTCTCTGCATCAACAAATGCTTTTCTTACGATTGTGATTGGCGTTTTCTGTGTAGCGCTTTCTGCTGGGCCTCCGGGGACTTCTCCGATCCACTATATGAACATCATACCCGGAAGTCGTACACCATGACTAATGCAGCACAATCAAAAGGCCATAAAGGAGATCGTGCCTCTCCTCATACTATGGCTCGCGGTTCCCTCTCGACTTCATCTTGAAGCGTCAGCGTCATCACAAACCCCATTGCTAGCATTCTTGTTACCTACACGCGTGAATCCTAAGTGTCGAGAACGAGAGTCCTCCGGTCGATGATCCCGATTAGGGTCGTATCCCCCACAGACACTGTACTGCATACAAAACAGAGCCCCGTTCTTAGAAGAGACGAACAATTACGGTGTAGTGTCATCGACCTGTTAGCGTCCTTGACAGTCTGCGCTTCAGGGCTTACGGTCTAAGAAGGCTCGGTGGTAGCAATCAGATAAAGGGCAGGAAACGAAGGTGTGGCTTGTTATTAGTTGTGTCCAGAGTTACAAAGGACGTTTGTTAGTGCAGAAACTCTTGGGCACTTTCCATGGAGTTGACTTTGCAAACAGTAAATTACATCTTCCTTTCTCTTGCTTGTAACATGTCCACATCTTCAGAAAATCTTCTCAGGAATGTGCAACATCTACTTCTCCTCGACATCCAGGTTCTTGAGGCCCTCCTCAGCCTTGCCGACATTGACTTCAGCACTGCCAGGACCCTCAACATGACCATCAGGCTGAGCAACAACATCCTTCTTGGCAGCACCAGGGAATCTGGAACCCTTGTCCTTCTTGACCTTGACCTTCTTCTCAGGGGCGGGAGGGGGAGGGTAAGCCAACTTCTCAACCTTCTGCCACTCCTCGTTGGCCTGGAAGTCTGCTTGGATGGGCTCGAGCAGCTTGTTGAGAGCATCGGTAACAGCAGGCTTGAGGATCTGGGGAGACAGGATATCCTCGCGGTAGTCGGAGTGCATCTGTGCGATGGAGGTGTAGACGAGGGGTTCGCCTTCTCTGCGCTCGACGACGAACTTGGGCTCGCCGGTTTGGAGAGCAGAGATGGGGAGGAGAACGTACTCGACGAAGCTGAGGACACCGTTGTCCTCGACAACCTTGGGAGCAGCGACCTGTCGAAGTATTTTTAGTGTCCATCCAGATCGAAGCAAGCAAAGAGCCAAAAGGAAGAAGGGGTGAGTAGAGAGGGGAGTACAAGCAATGAGAAGAACAATGCAAACAAAAACACAAAACAACAAATATATGGTGCAAACTTACAGCCTTCTTGAGCTTCTTCTTGACGATCTCGGGTCCGTCCAAAAGGTCGATTTTTGAGTCAGGGTCGGAACTCGACATCTTGCCTCCTGTAAGACCAGGAACCATCTGTATTGAAGTTACAATCAGTATGTTTCTGATGTGGAAAATGGTGCACTACCACAAGGATGCCCCGGCACAGAAGCTTGGATAACATCTGGTGGCTATCACTTGTGGTGTTCGTGCCCTCGCATACTTACACTGTTCATCAAGTGGGCACGCTCTCTGAAGCCGACCTTTGGAAGGATCTCCTTTGCTAAGGTTTCGTCAGTCATCTACCCAACGACCGGGGAGCGAGCATTAAACTTACCAAGAGCGAAGATCTTTCTCTGGTCAACACCGCCGAATTGAGCGTCAACGTCGAGGTCTGCCAGAAGTCAATATACGTGGACGATTCAAGCGAAGGTTCAAACTTACACTGCTCATCGAGACACTGCATGATGGGGTACTACAATAAAGTCAGCTTGCGGCCCATTTTCACATGGAAAGACATCCGTACGATCAATGCACTCAAAGGGGCACTGTCTGTTCAGATGTCAGTCAAACGATGTCTCAAGAGAAGCAAGTTTCTACACACCAGTCTGTTTGACGACCTCGGCGCCAGCTCTCTTTGCATCGTGTGAGCTGACAATACTGTGGAGACGGTACTTGAAGGATGAGTTAGTCAAGTTCATTGCAGATTGTGACTTTGATCTACTTACCATGTCCATGTTGAACTCGGGAGTAAGCCTGAACTCGTCAGTAACATTATCAATACCAGCTCAGGGGCGAGCTGCAGCCAGTGATCTGATCAATCTTTCGATCATAGGTTGTCTTGAGGTGACCAAGAACGTATGATCATGTATTGAAGCCCCTGATTTCAAGATGATCGCACAAAACTCGGTGGTATCACTGACTGCAGTCGCAAGATACACTTACTGGTAAGACGAGCCGAGGACGAACTCAAGCCTATAAAGATAATGTTAGTACATCAAATCCCATAACGAATGGGAAAGACCGACTTCTCAATGGACACACCAACGGCCTTCAGAAGACTTGTGATGCAGTGGCGGTAGCTGTGGAAACCGTTAGATTCGTACAGAGATAATTCGTTCATTCTTGACGTACTATTCGGCACGGAACTTGACAAGCTCGATAGGTGCCTTGAAAGAGTCAGACTTCTGCTTCTACACATGTTTCGCATGATATATCACCTTCACTATGAGATTGTCAGCATTGATCTTTACCGAGTCACGAGATATGCTCCAGTGGCATGATTTAAATATACTTACAGTTGTCAAGGAAGCCATGGATCTTTCCTCGCCGTTAGCAGATTGACAAAATATCAGACTTTCCAGAATAACACACATCGGCAAGCAAAACCTTGACACGGCATCCAGCTCTAAGGAAAGAAGCGATCTGAGTTGCAGGTACCAGGTAACCACAGTGAGGACTTGGAGAATGATTAGTAAAATTGGCTTAGGTTGTTACTAATGTGTACAAACCGGCCAGTAGTTGCAGTTCCCCAGTACAGAGAGACGGTTTCCTATCACAAGTTCATTAGGAAGGCCATGAGCTGGTCGGATCAACTATTGACGTACGCCTTTCTCAAGTTTGGCCTTGATAATGTCTGCACCGAGCACTTCCTGCAGATCGGAGACGACTAGGTTGCGAGTATTAGTATTTGCCGTATACAAAGAGCAGACTTGGCGATGGTTGGTTGGGTTTGTGGAGAAACCGAGCGACTGTGTGGTGTCGAAATTGTTTCGGTGTAAGTGGTTGACGTACTGAGGTCGAATTTCTCCTGAGGAGTCTGGGGTTGATGTTGACACCAGGCATTTTGAATGGTTGCGCAGTGAGAAACAATGGCGAATATGGCAAGAGCGAACGACAGCTGTATACCGCAACCAAAAAATTGCGGAAGTGAGGTCGCCGGAGGAGAACGCCAAGACTTGGAACAGGTGAGTCAAGATGTGCAGATATGTATAGAGTGCACAAAAGATGCGGCGAGTTGTGCAAAAGGCGCGGAATGTCGCACGAGTCGTGACACGCGTAACGGCCTTGTCAGGGACATGGTCAAGCAGTTGCACCTTGTTGGACAGTTGCAGCCGTTTCAGGAGCTGTCGGAACATTTCTTTTATTATCATCTCCTGCAATAAAGAATGAAACGCTGCAGTCTTGCATCTCTCTTCAATACTCCTGCATGAGCGACAATGGACGACAAGCAGCACGCGACAGCACCAGCGACTCCGCCGCTCGCTACGGATGACGCTATGCAGAATACCATCAATAACCACCATGAGAAGCACGACACGCCCATTCACGACAAGGTGACGGCAAACGAGCAGAACGATACACGAACCGATGAGAAACAGCCACCTGCAGCAACAGCTTCAGCTGCAAGCATGCAGCTCCAAGACATGGTCGACAAAGCTTTGAATTTCCTCTCGCATGCAAGCAACGAAACTCTCGGGGCTTGCCTTGTCGGCCTGGCTGCTCTCACCTATACTCTACTGGGGAGGATAGGTCTGGTGCTGATTGGAATTGTCGGCGGCGTAGCACTGCATGCCACATGGGAAGCTTCCCACTCGTCCGATCGACTCGATGCGAACGAAGCCGAGCGGAAGAAGCGGAAAGAGGTCGGCCTTGACGTTGTCCAACGCCTCTTGCTGTCGAGGGAGAAATCAAGCAAGAGTGCAGACACAGACGAGTCGGACGACGAGATCAAACCATTGCCTTCCAACAAGGCCGACTTCTCTTCTTTCCGCCCCGCCACTCAGGCCGCTCTGAATGTTTTTACTGATGCCATCATCCGGGACTATGTCAAGTATGCCACTCTCCCCTAGTCACTCACCCTGAGTTCTGACTGACATTGATGTAGCTGGTGGTACTCACCTGTCCTTCCTGGCGAAGACTCGTTTCCTTCCGCATGTCGTCAAGTCCTGGTCGGCTTCATCGTTTCTCTGTCCAACCACCTTTCTCGCAAGCGACCCGTCGATACCTTCCTCGATTTCGTAACCAATTCATCCTCGATCGTCATTGTCTTTCTCAACGAGCTCGCCGCTGCCTTGAATGCCTCGCCCAACGCGACCTGTGAAGAGGCCGTCCATACCTACCTCGAGTTGAAGCCCGACAGCAGTCTCGCCAGCATCATGGACTCGAAGCATCAAGAGAAGAAGCTCAAGGTCGTCGCAAATGACATCCTGCTAAAATACCTCGACAACAAGACATACATGTGTGCCCCTGCCCAAGTCTTTCTCAAACAGATCCTGGCCAAGCTGGTCTTGTCCATGACTGTCGACAGCTGCTCCAAGCCAGAGTTCATCAACCAGTGGATTGTCTACGCCCTCGAGGATGGAGAGCCCGAGCTGATGGAGGTCATTGATGCTGGCGTCGAGGGTTCTGCCCTTGTCAACTCTCAGCCATCTAAGAAGCAAGTCTCTGTGGGTGAACAGGCCGACAAGCCAGCATCCAGTCCCGAGGCTGTCCGCGAACACAGACGCAAGGCCAGTCGCAACAGGGCCGAAGAGGCCATGGACGAAGCTATGAAAGAAGCGCAGAGGCTTAGTCTGCTGATCGCTGAAGAAGAGGCAAAGAAGTCCACAACCGAGTCGTCTGCCATCGTCAGCAGCGGCGACGTGTCTGAAACCACTACACAAGGCATTATGACTCCATCATCGTCTCAAGGCGATGCTGACGAGAGCGTCAAGTCTGATGCATCAAAGTCGCCGAGTTCCAAATCCACAAGAGAGTCGGAAGATTCGAAGAAGCCCTTCACCTCCTTCGACCAAATCTTGCCCGCTACGAGCCCTACCGCCCTTTCTAGCAAAGAAGACAAGCTCCGTCTCAAGCCACCACCAGTCTTGACATTGCACAATGCCTCGATCAACATCTTTGATGATGCTTCTCCTGGAAACAAGACAGTCATGCGATCAAAGCCTAATGTGGATTACATGATTCAGATTGAACCTACTTCTTCGAGCTTCCCTGGTTGGATGATAGTTCGCAAATACACCGACTTCGAAACCCTACATGAGGTCCTTCGCCGCATTTCCGTTATCACCGGCACTCGCTTCACTGACACCCATGCCAATCTCCCCTCATGGAAGAACAACACCAAGTCTTCGCTTCGAGATGAACTCGAACGCTATTTGACTGATGCTGTTCGTCTGCAACCACTGGCCGAGAGTGAGGGTATGAAGCGTTTCTTGGACAAAGACGGAGGTGCTTCTCGCTCGCCTGGAGGAAGCAAAGGTTTCGGATGGCCAACCCCTGTTGCCTTTGACCAAATGGGCAAGAGTATGATGGACACGTTGACCAAAGCTCCCACACAAGTCGCTGGAGGTGGCAAGGCAATCTTCGGCGGCGTTACCAGCATTCTAGGTGGCAAGCGCACTTCTGTCGCATCAAACCACAACGCCAGCCGTTCATCCATCTCGTTGAACCCTGCCAGTTTCCTTGAGGATAGCTATATGGGTAGTATGAGTAATGTTGGTGTCGAAAGGCAGAGTACAGACAGTGTCAGAAGTGTCGCAGCACCTCTGTCACGCACTCCTTCACTGTCAAAACGTGTCCCAGCACCCGCTCAACCCAGTCACAAATTCGAACAGTCAGTCGATTGGAAAACTAGACCTAGCTTCTCAACTCCTCGCACATCCTACCAAGGCACAAGAAATGGAGAGCTCAGTCGTCCATCATCCTCGACAGGCCTGTCGAAGCTTGACATCAACCTCCCTCCCNCGCCTTCCGACATCCCTGATGATTACGCCTCACCAACAGCTGTATCACACCAACCTGCTAGAATTGATGACGACATGACCTACAGCTCTCCTGACACTCGCTCGTCAACATCCAAATACCCTACCTCTGGTACCAGGTCACGACGCACATCCAGATCTCNNCAGAAGCCACTTCTACACGTTCCACGCCTGCAGTGACTCCAGCCGCTCCAAAAACTACGAAAACCATACCACCCANTTTCAGAACAAGAGACACAAGTCACAGTGGAACTGCTTTTCGCAGTGATCACCGAACTGTATACTCTGTCTTCCGCATGGAACATCCGCCGCACTCTGCTCAACGCTGCAAAGTCTTTCCTTCTTCGACCTGGCAACCCTCAACTCGAGGCTATTCGTCAAATGATCCAATCCAACGTCATTGAAAGCTCTACTTCTGATGCATCCATCGCTGCACACATCCTCAAGATCCGAGAAAACTCTCTTCCTACTGAGGAAGAGTTGAAAGCTTGGCCTAAAGAGATGACTGCGGAGGAGAAGGAGCAGCTGAGAATCAAGGCTAGAGGCTTGCTTGTGGAAAGAGGTATGCCTGCTGCCTTGACCAGTGTCATGGGAGCTGCTGCAAGTGGAGAGGCTTTAGGAAGAGTGTTTGACTGTCTGCAAGTCGAAGGTGTCGGGCGAGGTGTTGTGTTTGGTGTTCTTCTGCAGGCACTCAGGGCCATTGTGCAGTGATATTGGCGATAGTGATACCCCTTCCCCCCTCCTTTTTTTGTTTAGGATAATTATAATGAGTAGTTGCATATGAAGTACGAGTATACCTTGGACCTGAAGTCTTGTCTAGTGATGTGTCTTTCTGGACATTATGCAATTTCTGAAATTGCTGTGAGTTTTGACAGTTGTGGTTTGGCGAGTGCGAGATGCAAGGAGGCCCACCTATTCTGCCCCTGCTTTTCGTTAGGTTAGGCCAACACTAATCGATCGTGGCTATCAACTTGCCATTTTCGACTACTATTTTCCTTTTCTTTTGTATACTGACGCAAAAGTTCGTTGCTTTCTTCCGGATACTTCGGATCAACACGTATGGAAAGGTAGAAAGGGACAAGGCATCCTGCCAAGATGCCTAGGTCCATGCCGAGAACGTCGAGTACCGGGTCGATGTAGTACTACATCTTATACCATTAGTTAGGAGTATAGTAGCCTTCTGTTCTTATCTATTCTGCTGTCCATCAAGTTATTCCTTCCACTGGTTGGATAAGGAGAGTATAATCAGCTTTATCGGCCTGTTTACGTCGTTTGCCGTCGGCGACGTCGACGTGCCTACCTAGAACGTCGACAAAGTCTCGCCATTTGTAAGAGTAAATAGATGGCTAGCAGGAGTGTTTTATACCGGTCGAAAATAGGGCATTCCTTGCTTTAGATGAATTTAACCTTTGCATCACTCGGATTCTGATATATAGCCAGAGGCATCTTTGTCCCTAATAGAATCAGGGTTGTAGTAAAGAAGATTGTGACATGGATGCAAACTATTTAGGTATTATACATTTAGGTAATTGGCTGTTATTTATAAGGTAAAATCGGGTTGTTTTCTAACTACAATGGAAATTCCATCTTCTAGTAAAAGTCAACGGATAACAGGAACTGTATAAGTGGTTCTTCTAGTAATGGAAATAGCGAAAAGCATGGTGAAACAATGTTACTTAAACTTATGTATATTCAAACAAAAAGAAAAATGGAAACGACCCTAGAGAGATATCTTAACCATGTCACTAATATCTGCCAAATTTTATAACCAGCCAGACCGGTGAGAGAAACAAAGACTCTAAGATTCTCTCCGGGTTTTCTAGTGATTGCAAAACTCTCTTGCCATCAGTCACATCAGTGATCTGGATTTTATATCACGACGCGTCTAAGCCGAAGCCATCATCCAGAGAAGGAAAGGAAGAGAACAGGTCTGTGATTTTGACTATGCTTTTGTAGCCTCACACGTGTCCCTCGATGAATTGATACTCGACTTTAAGATGGATGGAAGCAGTGTAGAAGGAGATAGACAAGGTATAGTCGAGGGTCACAGACCTGATTGCTCCTTCCTAACCGTCGTTAGTAGTGGTGGTTACGACTTTTCACACTGCCTTGATACTTCTTTCCGCAGCAGAGTCGGACTCGGGTGTTGTTAGATTGAAGCTTCTTGTGGTGTCCTCGACTTCGGTGATGACCGTTAGGTTTGACAGGATATATTGGTTATGGTTTTAAATACGGGTTTTAGACCGGGGTTCAGTTTAGTCTCAGATCAAAAATTCAAGTACCCAATAGTTGATTATCCTGGGTCGTCTAAGTGATCTAAGAAGATCGTGAGTAACAAACAGAAGAGTTCAAATCATGCATAGAAAGGGATCTCGTCATCCTTCGCCGAACACAATCGCTTCGAACTACGGAGCCTAAGTACAGAGACTTTGTTTTGCTCCTTGACTTGGTGCAGGTGCAGGTGCTTCTTTTGCCTTGCTGTATATTGTATATCGCCGACAAGCAACGCAGAAGCCAGGGGCATGAGGTATTTAAGTTATTCCTCACGGACGTACTACACTTCCTGTTCGATCAGCTCTACTCAGAGAGCATGATTACTACAATGGTCAGACGAAGAGCAGGACAGAGTCAGACCAGCGGGTATTCGTTGACAACTTAGAGCTGTATGACACCCAAGGTAGAGGAAGATAGAAGGTCGGTGAAGCTTCAATCACCCTCAGGGCTCCCGAGTCGAAAGGACTGGGAACCCTGTTCAGTTGATCATGATAAAAGCAGCTGGTGGTGAAGAATCTCACGGAAACACGGCGAGGGATCATGGACCTGGTCACCTCATTCTTCCGCCGCTGAACGTCGTGGAGTTTGAAATTAGTCTTGCACAAAACAGTAAACTGCTCACGATCCTTCTCTTTGCCAGCGCCATGATCCTCTGCGGATGCTTCTTGGTACTGATCAAGATTTCGAGAAGAAGCTTCCTACTTGGATTGAGCCAAGATGGTCAAGAGTTGCCTTGAACACATCTGGCAGGTGGAGTGTGAGTATTTTGGTATCTCTTTGGCGTATATCATTACAAGAACATGAGTATGATAGCAATCCTTGTACAACATGTCTATACATTACGTTTATATATGTCTCCTAATCTTTCAATATCTAGAATCTGTTCTGCCTAAGGAAAGAGCCAATGAACTTATAAGCATCCATGGCGGTGTAGTGCAAATTGACACCATGACCAGTCAAGGGAGCCAAATAAGTTCCATTGGCAGAAGCAGCAGGGTAGAGCATCTTGATCGCAGCCTCAGCCTTGTTCATGGGGTAACTACAGTTTCCGTAACAGAAAGGCAAATCCGCGTCTCCATTGACGATAGCAACAGGGCCGGTAAAGTTGGATGCGACACCAGCTATGGCGGCTTGGGTAAACAGTTCACCGAAAGTGACACTGCCCTTAGCAGCCTCTGCGGCAGCAAGGATTAGAGGGTCAAACATGGGTGCGCGGAAGAATCCGTATTGGTTGCTGACGGCGGAATAATCAACCAGGTATCCGTTGTTCAGGTTTGCGAATCTGTAGGGTTGGTTCTGAGATGCGATTTGCAGGTTCAGGGCAGTGAGGAAGGGAGCGATGGCGGATTGGTTGGTGGAGAAGCCGGTCAGGATGGCGGCATCGAAAGTGGAAGGGTGGTTAGCAGTAACGGACTGGGTTATGGCACTACCGAAGCTATGGCCGACTCCAATCACGGTGGTAAAGTTTGTGTTTGCAAACATAGAGCTGCGGAGCATCATGGCGAGTTGGTTTGCAATGCTGACTTCGAGGGGTCCTTGGACAGTCTTGATGGGGTCGGGGGTGGAGGACATGCCGACACCGAGGCGGTCGTAGCTGAAAGTTGCGTAGCCTTGTTCGATTGCGGAGTCCACATAACTGTAGCCAGGTGCGAAGTCCCAGTAGTAGCGGTCGAATCCAATACCGTGAGTTAGGAGTTGCACAGAGCTGGGCATAGTGCCGTTGGCGGGCATACACAGAGTCGAAGCAATGGTGTAGTTTCCAGAGATAGACTGCATGCCTCCCATGATGCTCTTGGTGAATGTCGAGCCTGCACTGATGAGCTCGAGGAAGGTGTTGGTTACGTCGGATTCGTTGGCAGGAACGTTGAAGTTGAAGTTGACATTCTGAGCAGTAGCTTGAACAGCAACATTGCCAGAGACGCAGATGGCAGCACCTCCGCGAGAGGGTTGGACAGTAGGGTTGGTGAAGCCAGCAGTGTTTGGTGCACAAAGACCAGCGGGGATGGCACCACCGAAGCTGCTTGTGTATTCAGCGGCGGCCATGCCGGCAAGAGCAAGTAAAGTCAATCCAGACATGGTGAGCGACTGAGTGTATTGTGTTGGTTGTTGCGGTCCAGGCGATGGCGGACCATGGTGTTCTTATAGCTCGCGACCTCAAGCTCTCGACGTGACGTCGATATTGATTGATGACCCAACATAATTTGGAATATGGAATTCTCAAGCGACTAATGGTACACTACAGATGTCGTCGAAGGTTTCTTGTAAGACAAATGTTGACTCCGCGTAGCATCAGGAACATTTAGTGACGTACCGTCTGGGGTCTAACGGGAGCTAAAGCTTACGCTCTTTCTAACCTCAGGTGCTCACTTGCTGCTTGACCATACTTGTGTTGGATTGATCGATTTAGTATAGTGTTCTGCACTCAATTCTGAATTTGGACTTCGGAAGATTGCAAGAGGTGTTAGTTGATGGACTTATAAGTGTTGTGAGACTTTTCCATTTATCCTTCATATATCCAGGACGCGTTGAAGTTGTGATCGTCTCCGCGGCAGAATGCGGAGAACTGGCCTTTTTGCTTGGGCGTTCGATTACCCGATAGAGTTGAACATCTCGATATTTGTCAATGCCGATTGACGTGAAAGAACATCCGATTCTGAATGGCTTGATCGGTATATGGCAGTCGTGGAAAGACACAACGGGGTTGATCGATGAATGGTTTTGGTACATCGAATTGTGTATGGCATTGCGAAAACCCAAGGCATTTGCGAATCCGCATGCCAATCTAGGAGGAATTGCTAACACTTAAAGTCGAAAAGTCATGTCCATAGTAGTGTTGGAGCGACTGAGACGCCATATTACACCATGCAACACCTCCGAGTCTCCGTGCTTTTGTTCAGAAGTCGTTCGCAGATGACAGTACATTCTTGTCCCTTGTCACGACAGAATGCTGCGTAAGTCGCCTGGTTCGTGCCCAGCTGTCCAATGTCATCGTTACTGTCGTAGTCTCGTAGCATTCCTGTGCTTCAAGGAAAAGTGATCGTATCTCAGTGTTGGTGGTTGGTAAAGTAAGCATGAAGCTCTCAGATGTAACGAAACATGTTGTTCTTGACAGAGCGCTTCATAGAAACAGGTTGACCGTCCTCGTACTCGATACCAGCATCGCCGCCATCACCAGAGTGGCCAGCCATCTTCTGGCGAAGCTCCTCGTCCAACTCAGCCAAAGTCTTGTGCTTCTTGGGCTGCTCAGGTTGAGATTGAGGGGTTGACTGCTTTTGGGTCTGCTGTTGTCAGATAATGAAGATGTTTACTAGCATGCAACTAAATCCGAACTCACGTTTTGAGTGTCTGTCNGGAGAAGAGGCGGATTTAGGGTTTGAGCTAGCCAGACGACTCTGGCTGAGGCATGGTGCTCGCAGAGCACAAGCTCTTGAGAGCACCCTCTGTGGTGATCTGAGTGATGATAACGACATGTTTACCGAGTGCGATGATAGGAAGTGAAGTTGTATCTACAATGTTCGGTGTTTTCGAGGCCTCTCACCCTTGGGTTCACGACGTCACAAGCAAGTCATCCCGGACTAGATCCAAAAAGGGTGCTAGCACGTGACCCGGCCCTCAATCGACCTGGAAGCTTGGCATTCGAAGTCGCGCGTGCTTGTCGCAGTGCTCAAAGTCGACACTGCTACTGCTCCAGTCAGTCTTGTCGCAACCGCCAGCATGCCCGTCGTGAAAGGAGGAGTCTGGACCAACATCGAGGATGAGATTCTAAAGGCCGCCGTGTCCAAATATGGACTCCAACAATGGGCCCGAGTGTCCTCGCTGCTTGCGCGCAAAACTCCAAAGCAGTGCAAGGCAAGATGGTCAGAATGGCTGGACCCAGGCATCCGAAAGATCGAATGGACCAAGGACGAGGACGAAAAGCTTCTGCACCTGGCCAAGTTGATGCCCACCCAATGGCGCACCATCGCTCCCATCGTCGGAAGAACTGCCACACAATGTCTGGAGCGCTACCAAAAGCTGCTCGACGATGCAGAGTCGCGCGAAAGCGATGAGTTTGGTCTTGGAGGTCCTACTGGAGGCGAAGCTGCTGCTCCATCAGCTGAGGATGTGCGCAAACTTCGTCCTGGAGAGATGGATCCCGACCCAGAGAGCAAGCCTGCCCGCCCCGACACCATCGACATGNGACGAGGACGAGAAGGAAATGCTGAGTGAGGCTCGTGCACGTCTGGCCAACACTCAGGAAAGAAGGCAAAGAGAAAGGCAAGAGAAAGACAACTCGAGGAATCAAGACGCTTGGCCGTCCTGCAGAAGAGACGAGAGTTGAAAAATGCTGGAATCAACATCAAGGTCGTCACAAAGAAGAAGGGTCAGATGGACTACAACGCCGATATTCCCTTCGAAAAGGCTCCCGCTCCTGGATTCTACGACACTGGAGAGGAAATTACCACAAACGAACGCGAACGCGACGCCTTCGATCCCCGCAAGCAGCAGCTCCAGCGCAAGCGACAAGGCGACCAGGATGACAACCCCGAAGATCGCAAGCGTCAGAAAAACGATAAGGGTGGAAACCAAGCTGCCTTCGCTGCGGCTGCAAAGGCTGGACGCGAGCAAAAGTTGCGTGAGGCCGAGCGCAGCAGTAGACGCCGTGGTCTTGTTTTGCCTTCTCCCCAAGTCAGCGAGGGAGAGCTTGATGACATTGTCAAGATGGGCATGGTCGGTGAACGCGCAAACCTACAAGCCGGTCAAAGCGACAACGAGGCTACCCGTGCCCTGATTGGCGACTACTCGGACGTCGTTGGCTCGACACCTCTCCGCACACCTCGAGCTCCCCAAGAAGAGGACCGTATCGCCAACGAGATCCGCAATGCCAGAGCAAGAACAGAAACACAGTCTGCCTTGCTAGGCGGTGATAACAATGAGCTCTACGAAGGCGATGCTACGACTGGATTTGGAGGTGTCGCTCCGAGCAAGCAGGCTACTGCTACGCCGAATCCAATGGCCACACCCTTCCGTCAGAACGGTATCGCCGCAACACCGCGTGGTCCCGGTGCTACTCCCCTCCGCACACCTCGCGACACATACGGCTTGAACACCGGCGACGGTATGCAAATGATTGCACAGACACCACGAGACCTTCGCCTACAACAGAACGCTCTGCGTAACGACATCAAAAGCAAGCTGTCCGCCCTTCCCAAACCAAAAGAGATGGACTTTGAACTTGAATTGCCTGAAGAACAACAAGAGATTGCTCCTGAGATCGAGATGAGTGAGGAAGATGCTGCACGTCGGGATGCTAGAAACAAGGCGGCGCAAGAAGCACTTGCGAGAGCAGAGTTTAAGCGCCAATCACAAGTCATCCAACGAGGCCTACCACGACCGAGCGTGGTCGATGTAGATGCTATGTTGAGGAATGCCGCAGACGACGAGGACCCCATCAAGGGCAGTATCAACCGTGAGATGGCATTACTTATCGCAAACGATGCTCTCAAGTTTGGCAATGCCAAAGTCAGAGGCACTCACAAACCTACAACATCCTTCTCAGATGAGCAAGTCCAACGAGCACGTCTTGACATTGCCCTGGAAATGGGTAAGGACGAGAGAGGTCGCGCTTTGTTGGCAGAAGGCTTCGGGCAGGCTTGGGAGAAGGCTCACGAACGAGGCATGCTTCCTGGTCTTGCCGGTTATGCAGAAGATGAGGTCGACGAGCACCAACTAATGACCGAAGCTTTTGACGTAAGAACAACTTTAAAATCGCACACGAACCTTGACTAACGTTCTGCAGNNGACATTCAATCTCGCATCATCTCGTCTGCCGAGAAGGGCAACACGTTAGAACAGAAACTCGTCAAGCATCACACAGGCTACATGATCAGATCANAAACCCTGCGGCAGAAGATCAACGAAGCAGCGGACTTTTTGGCAAAGACGAGTATTGATGTCGATGTCAAAAGGATTGCGGCCGCTGCTGAAGAAGCAGGGTTGAACGAGAGACTGGAGAAGATCCGTGAGGAGGTGAACGTCGTCGCGAGAAGGGAGAGGGAAGCACAAGGCACGTTCAGAGAAAGGAAAGAGGAGCTGAACTCGCTAGTGGCAGCATAAAGAGCCTTGCCATGAACGTGGTATCCGTGCCGTTTTTGTAAAATTTGTATACCCGGGATGATCCAACTATCTATTTCGCAGGATCTTATTTTGTGCTTGTACCCCATTCGATTTGTGGCGTCTGTTCAAGGATTGCATTGCTGTACAATCAAACGGTCCTGCTTTCTTGCAAGCGACTTCCTTGTCAAATGATATACGAGCTTAGTAAGCTGACAAAGTACCCCACCCCATCTCCTCCCAACCACCTCACTTCTTCCATTGCCAACAAGGCCACTCAGACATTGTCGATCATCAGAAACGATCCAGCTATACCATTCCATCATCTCAAACAAGGCCAAGAACCATGGCTACAGAAATAACCTTCCATGACTTGACGTCCCAAAAATGGCCTTATTCGTGGTCGCCATTCACCCTCCGCACAACGCAATGCCTAAACTATCTCGAGCTCACCTACAAACACAACAAAATCTCGTATCCAGACATCGCAAAGACACTCTCGTCACTAGGCGTCGAACCTGAGCCCGAAGATGTTGGCAACGACATCCAATTTACCCTTCCCGCCATTTCTATTGACGACGAAACAATAATGGGCTCGTCCGCCATTGCCGAAAAACTCGCTTCTCTTGACAAGGATTATGAGAAANAGCTGTTTCCCCAAGGCGATGAGTCAAGGGATGCGGTAAAGAAGTTTGAGAAGGAAGTTGTACCACAGATGGCGACGGGCATGGGAGGAATGCGCAAACATATTATTGGGTTTGTGCCTTTCTTTNTGGATGAGAGGGGTGCTGAGTATTTCTATGCCACTCGCGAACCCCAGCTTGGTAAGCTGGACGATCTCAGAAAAGTGGCTTTGGAGGAGGAAAAGGAAAAAGGGTGGAAAGCATTGGTCGAAGAAGCCGTGATACCCGTCTTGGACTTTTACAAGCAGATTGATGGCGAGGAAAAGGGCATTTTTGCATACGGAGGGAACGAGCCACAGTTTGTCGACTTTTGTGTTGTGGGCTTTGTGCAGTGGTGGATTTGTGCTCGTGGAGAAGAAGAAATTATGGCTGCGTTGGAAGAGGTCGGAGGTGGTAGGCTTGCAAAGATCATGAAGGGCTGCGAACGATTGATGAAACCTAGGGAAGTATGAGGAAAGGAACTAGGTATACATGTTCTCGGCAACGCGTATGCTTCTTTGGTATCAAACTCAAACTTACTCTTAAGCTTGGAACTTGGACTGACGACCAACAACTGACGGACCTCACCATCCTCAAACTTGAGGATTGCAAACTTGTTCTTTGCAACCTCTACCGTCTCACCTGCCGCGACTTTGCGAATCTGCAACATATGCAACGATGGTTCTATTCGATCAACAATATTGCGTCCTCTGCGGAGCTATTTGGAGTTTGGAATATAGACTCGTCACCGATACCCGCTATATTCAATCAAGAGACTCTATCCTCCCCTTCCACATCTTGTGATTTCCCTCCAGTATACAAAGAGGGAGAACCTCCAGCATATACGAAGAGCGACCTGTCTCCACCAGCATACGAGACAGGTCTGGTCGAGCCACGTCAAAAGCTGAGAAGACCTATGACACAAGGAGAAATGCGGCTTTGGCCTCCCGAAGTCTTGCCAGAAACAACCACGCTCCAGGATCAGTCAATACTTCGGCCTCAGGAAGATATGCTACCTCTACCCCAGGTAGAGTTCATGCCTCGACCACGAATGTCTAGTTTCCCTCGATCGCGGACGACAGTCACGCCGCGTGTGAGATCGTCACCTCCGCCTGGAACGCAACTGGTGATCACACCCCGAGACGAATTAGAAGATCTGCTGCGTCCGTCTCGACCACAACTGGGATACCCGCTTCGACAGCAGATTAGACTCCTACCTCGAGAGCATCCACATCGACAGCTCAAACGATCTCGATCCATCTCGATGAGTCGGCTAGAGATACGTATTCATGCCGGTATGGATCGTGTAGCGGCCCTTGTTGCAAAGTTCAAGAGATCCGTCACGACTCGCAAGACCAAAACTCCTGCAGAGACCAGAGCAGAAGCCCCGGAAGCCTGGATCGAATACGGATAAGGCTCTTGACCAATGACAGCTGACAGACCAATCTTTTTGGTTTACCTCTGGATGGCCTCACAACTATTGTGCATTTTAATAGCTTAGGAATATTGGTCTGTGTTGCCGTGAGGTAGAAGTCGACTTTCGTTGTTCGATTGCGTGCTCAAAGTACCTTTTTACGTGACAGGCGGGGTTGAAGCATCGCACCTTCTTATCTTCCAACTAACATCACTTTGCAAAGCTATTGCGACATCCATAACCACTCCTGTTCGCTACATTGGATACTCAAAATCAATGTTGTCTTCGCACATGCCCATATCTAACCCCAATGGAATCCTTCACTGTGGGTTGATGGCTTGCGTGCTACATTGCCCAAAGGATGAGCTACCATAAACTTTTATCTCACTCTGAATGAATGCCTTGTTGTGTTCGAACCTAGAACTGGGAAAAGTCAACCATGGATATCAAGACGGTCGCTATTGTAGGCGCGGGTGTCAGTGGTGTGTCATCCGCCATACATCTCAGGAAGGCTGGGTTGGAAGTTACGGTCTTTGAACGAGGAGACGTTGTCGGAGGCGTATGGTATGTTGTCTCAATCCCCACCAATACACCATGACTTTCCTAAACTTTCTGTTTGAGCTGTGTATATACAAAGAAAGCTGATGATCTGAAAGGGNTCTACAATCCTCGGACAGCTGTTGAACCATCTTACCCGGCCACCTTACCTTCCACAGGGGACTCGCCTGCTTTTGATTCTCTTCTTGGGTTCAGCAACAGAGATACTCGAAGAGATAGTCCTGTAGGTCAGGAATCGCTGGAACCGACAACGAAGATCGACAAGAATGATTTGGAGATTTTGCATGCACCACCAGNNGGTATTGCCCCCTCTTACTTCCTTTTCTCAAATGACTTCTTTCGTTCTTCGGCCCCACTCAGGAAGTGACTGACTGGGTCTCACAGACCATGCTACGAAGGCCTTTGCAACAACGTCTCGACTCCGGAGATGAAGCTTCGCACCCACGCTTGGAAACCGAACACTCCTGATTTTGTATCCCATGATGTGCTGGCAACATATATTCAAGACACCGCTGCTGCCAACGACATACTCTCAACCATATCTTTTCGCACAAGAGTGACCAAAGTGGAAAAGAAAGGGAAGAAATGGGAGGTCAGCACTTCAAAGTTGGCTGGGGAAGGTGATGGGACGGAAATTAGGAACTCAGTACAGGTATGCGTGGCTTGCAAGAAGATAAAGGAAAGAATTGCTGACGGAGGAAAACAGCTTTTCGATGCAATTGTGGTGGCCAGCGGACACTATCATGCTCCAAACATTCCTGATTACCCCAACCTTGATGCTTGGAAGACTGCTTTTCCAGCACAAATCACGCATTCGAAATCTTACCGCTCACCTGCGCCTTATGCAGGAAAGAATGTTCTGGTCATTGGAGCCGGTGTATCGAGTACAGATATCTGCCGCGAGTTAGGTGGTGTTGCGAACAGAGTATGGCAGTCGAGTCGAGGGNGCGAGTATGATCTGCTGCCCACCATGTTGACAGACAACTGCACTCGTATCGGACCTATTGCCAGTTTCTCACCTCTCGCTACACAAAAGCTGGCAGACAATGACACGCTTCCTGGCAGTGCAATCTTATCCTCTGGCGACACTGTCGACAATATCTGCCACGTCATTCTAGCAACAGGCTATCATATGTCTTACCCTTTCCTTGCTCACCTCCACGCCGACACCCTGCTTCCTCATCAAGCGTTAGAGACAACACTGGTCACCACAGGACAAGTAACCCACAACCTCCACAAAGATATCTTCTACATTCCCGACCCCACGCTAGCATTCATCGGGGTCCCCTACCACGTAGCGACTTTTTCGCTCTTCGAATTCCAAGCCATGGCTGTTGCTGCCGTATACTCTGGCACTGCAGTTCTGCCTGAAGAACAGCAGATGAGAAACGAGTATAACGAAAAAGTGAAAAGTAAGGGCGTGGGAAGGAAACTGCATTCGTTGAAGGATGATGAGGGAGAGATTCTGTATGTGAGGGAGATGATGGAGATTTTGAACCAAGGGAGGAGAGAGGAAGATAAGGTGGAAGGACATACGAAAGAGTGGTTTGAGGCGTATGCGAGGAGATTGGTGAGGATGAAGGAAAGAAGGGGCTAGAGATCAACAAGAACTGGCCTTGTTAGATCTGTAGAAGCGTAAGCAGACGGTTTCGATATACAGATGGGACGCTGGATGGGCATCTATAACCTTCCGCCCATCATGCTCTCATTTCAGGTCTTGAACAGTCAGAGGCTCAAGGCTGTATCAGATATCTACTGGAAACGTGTCGCCTGATTTTTGCAAGAGCAAGAACACTTGATATCACACGAGCAATTGCTGCAAAGCTGATCTGCGTTGAGGTCCGCAAGGCAATAAGGCTCCGGCAGAAAAGAACGCATCTCCATGCCAGATTTAAGGTGCAACTAGCGTCTGGTGCTGCTTACATAATCAACATATCTCCTTTCTCAACTCCATACCATCTTGAGTCACATGTTATACCAAACAAAACCAACATCATCAAAACATCAAGACCAATGGCCACCAATAACCCATGGCTCTACGCAGGCCTAGCCTCCTCCTTCCCAAACATCTCACGCGCGGACAACAACAAAACACGCATCTGCCTCCCCACACCCGACCCCTGGGACGAATCACAAAACCAACCAACCCAAGCCTGCAAAACATTCACAAAACCCTCTGATCCTTCCACCACAACACTCACCCCAACACCAATCACCGAAGCAACTCAAAACTCCCTTATGGTATTCCGCTACAAAGAAAGGATATACGCGATAGAATCGGCTTGTCCGCATCAAGGATACCCGCTTACCAAGGCTTCATTATCGGATATCGAAGATTTTGGTATCGTGTTGAGTACGGGAATTACGTGTCCGAAGCATGGGTGGACCTTTGATTTGCATACGGGAGAGGCGGATGTGAGTCGGTATAAGTTGGGGTTGTACGAGGTAGACTTGAGGGATGGTGAGGATGGAGACGAGGGAGTTTGGGTGAGGAAGAAGGAGAAGAAGAGGATTGGTTGAGGGGTTTGCATATGCTTTGCTTGGGTGGAAGGTGTAAGAATTACATTGCTGCTGCTAGATTGGAACTTGATTGAGCTGGATGCAAGATGGGCTCTGTCAGAAACATTCTAGCAGATCATAATGGCTATCTCGATGAGATGGCCAGGGGCTATACGATATTTTGGTTGGGCTGGTACGATCGCGACTCACCTACATCTGGTTGAGACAACCTCAGCAGGAAAGAAATCAATTGGGCGGCTCCGCATTGTCGACGAGTATATGGTGTCAACGGTATATGCGTGTCCTCCGGCCCGAAGCCAGCTCTTACAGTACCGTATCAAAATGTAGTATGCAGCTTGGCGAGTCTGCTTGACTAGTCTAGCTACTCTTCTTCTCTTCTTCTACTTGCTCTTTCTCTCTGGAAGTTTCTGACTCTTTCGCCATCGGAGATTGTATTGCGGATGGATCCTCAGCATCAGAAGGATCAGGGTTTGTTGTCTTTCTTGTGCCGAACCACTTATCCTCACAGCCGACTGGCATCGCTTTCGATACGTCCGGATAGCAATAGCATTGATGACACTTGTAAAGACTTTGATCTGGAATTTGCTGCCCTAGAGGATGGGGATGCTTAGTCAGTATTTTTCTGACACAACGTGTAGGGTGCTTGTTAAAGGGAAGATCGACCAGGCATAAGAGCCTTTTCAAGCAAGCCACCCGTAGCCTTTAAGCTTCTGTTATGCTGAGTAGACAGACTCTGAGAACACTCCACCGCTGCTCCACTACAATTCTGGAGATCAAGATTCTCGTACTTACACCATAATTTGAGTCCGTTGCGTACGGGATAACCGCAGCCAACACACGTGTGCTTGACTTTGTGTTGATACAAGATTGGGACGTGAGTTTTCCACACAAACATATCTTCACGCCCCTTTTTCATGTGGTATGTGACCTAAGACTGGCCATTAGCATACTTGACACAAAACATTGCATTTTGCCCCACAGATGTGATTATCATACCCATCTCTTAAGTCTAATGCTCCGTTTGGACTGTTGTAAATGGGATTGTGAATGCAAACGTGTGTGTACGATGAAATAATGGCGCCAAACACAACACCCGCGACGGGCTAACAGTTATGGTATAATCGCAAAAACATATAGCACTTTTTCTAATAAAGCAATAAACACCGAGAGAATTGAATATCTAGACAATTTAATGGCTGCATCTCTAAGTACAAAAACACTGTGTATTTTGATATCGAGTAGACTATCTTAATACTGCATAACGTTATAGGAGAAGGTTCAACAAAAATTGTAGAGGCGGACATGCAAAAAGATCGACGCCTAAGAGATTCGAACTCTTGCTCCCGAAGGAAATGCCTTAGCAGGGCATCGCGTTAACCACTCCGCCAAAGCGCCTTGATGTAGGGCAAGATTTTTGAAGTCTTGGTCCCGTATCCCGAGGTTGGTTGGACCTTGTTACTGGATGGGAAGGTGCGAAAACGCCGGGTATATGTACCTCGTTAATTGAGGAAGGAGCAATTCGCAAATTCGAAGAGGATGGAGCAACCAAAGGACTCACATTTTCAAAGAGGAAAGAGCGACCCTCGAATCCGTAGAGGAAGGAACGACCAAGGGTATCGCAGGTGTCGCAACTAAACCTCGTGATGGCAGAACACAATGAGTGTTATGCGAGGAGCAATGATGTGAGAAATGCGAAGCGGAGGAGAAATTTTGCTTCGAGTCGGATTTTCTGCCTACCCTACCCAACGGCGGAGATTAGCCTTCCGACCACTACATCTTCTCTTTGATGCTCTTTCAGTTTTGCTTATGAGCTATGGTATAAATTTTGCGGAATGTAATACCCATCGACGTCCGGACTGGATTCCCTCCTAGACTTGGACAGACAGCTGCCAGTAACAGACCACCTCACTCATGAGCCTGTGTCTTGTTGCCCAACCAAATGCTAGATCGTTCAGTCAGAACTCTGAAGTATATTATCTCGGTTTTTCGAAGACATCAGGTTGGTCAAGATGCGTGTTCTGGAGCATGTCAAGGTAGGTCGAATGAAGGCCAGCTATTGAGAAGAGCACCTGCGTCTCGAAAGGGCTGGCACGATTCCACAGTAAGCCCTTAACTTCCTTGGGACAAGCAGATCTCTTTGAGGCACACGCTATCCATCATCAATACAACATGAATTGTTTGTGGAACATTCAGCTGCGATATGCCAACGTCCGCAATAGCCGATCCCGTGCGAAAGCGGGTGACTCACGACAAGCCATGATGCAGGAACACACCATATCTTATATCAACAATCTATCCTCAATCCTCTCATCTGCGAGATCAGAACAGCAATCACAATGGTCAAGTTCTATCCTTTCCTCTCCCCAGACCTCAGCGAATGGTGCATGTCACAACCCCTCTTCTACATCGCCTCCGCCCCACGCTACGGAGACCACATCAACATATCACCAAAAGGCCTTCCCTCCACCACCTTTTCTATCCTAGATCCGAATAAAGCAGCCTACATTGATGCCACTGGTTCTGGTGCCGAGACAATCGCTCATTTATACGAAAATGGACGATGTACCATCATGTTTTGTTCATTTGAAAAGGTACCCAGAATCTTGAGATTGTTCTGCAAGGGAAGAGTAGTGGAGTTTTGGGACGAAGAGTTTGGAGTTTTGACGAGGCAAATGGAGATGGAGGTGCCGGTGGGTGCGAGGGCGGTGATTGTGTTGGATATCTTCAAGGTATGGGAATTTCTTTCTTGGTATAGAGAAGTTATCCACTAACTCTCTTCTTTCCTGAATAGGNTCCAAACTTCTTGCGGGTACGGAGTACCGCTTCTCTCCGAAACGGAACAGAAAGGCCTCTTGGACCGCGAGACTCTCGGACACTGGGCTGGCAAAACAGTTTCTGACAACAAAATGGTCGACTACCGCGCCAAGAACAATGCATACAGTCTGGACGATCTTCCTGGCCTAAAAGCTGGAAGAAGGACGCGAGGCGAATGGCTTTGGGTGGGTGATGCAAAAGCTTACTTCACAAGCCTATGGAACCAGATGGACGCCATGGTGATTGGGTTCGTTCTAGCCTTTGTGCTCATTGATTTATTGCACTTGGCTGGCATAAGGATCAACGGAGTGCTGGCGGACTGGAGATGACGAGACCTATCAGAGTCGCAAAACAATGCGGCAGCAGAATGCGCATTTTGCTGGAATCTCGTAGACTTTTACACAAGAGCAAGCTTGTTCAGGATCTCTCGTGTTTCACCACAGCTTTCTTTGTTCCGTTCATTGTGCTATGTTTTTCATAGTTCAACACCTTTTCACATCTTCTTCTCATTTCACTACACTTCGCGCAGAGGTTTACGCAATACCAAAGATACGATTCTCCTTGACTTTCGCTCGCGTGGTCTATTATTATGTTGGTCCTTCTGGAGGGAAAATTTGTTGTTCTCTCTCTTCCCTTCCTAGAGTGTCCACTTACACTTGAACAACCATAACCTAAGGTGACTTGATTAAATACTGATCAGCTACTATGGACAACATCAACATCTCCGAAGGCGACTGTGCCCACTCATCTACCATTATGGACACCGACCACGACCACGCTCAGACCGCCTCAAACCACACACAAGATGCTGGTAGTGACAAGACTGTCAACATGAACCTCGCTCTCAACCAGTTCGAGGAGATCAGCACAACCTCCGACAGCCCTGTCAAGACGAACAAGAAAGACACCAAAAGTCTCGACAAAACTGGCACCGCGATCAAAAAGCACAAGAAGACTCCCCACGGTATGCCTTCTCTCCTCACTCATATGATCTCCATTCACCTCCCTCTCGGTCATTGGCGCTCAATTCTCGCTCACCTCATGATCCTGACTCTCAAACAGCAAACAGACCCGCCGTATCACCTTTCCTTCGTCTTCCCTCAAGCCTCAGTTTCAAGATCTTTCTTCAAGCGACGGAGTCCCCTGCTACACCCACTGTATCTACACAACCGCCCGTGGCTGCTTCACCCATCAACAACCATAGCACAATCACTATCGCGACTACTTCCTGCTCACCCTGAACGAGCAAATTCACGTCGATATCCAAGCCTTGATGAAAGCAAAGAACAAGGCCAACGTGGAGGATGCCGTGAAGAAAGAGATGGACGAAGTCAGCAGTATGCTTGAGAGATCCTTGAAGCTACACGCAGAGCTGGGTGGAGACAACACCAAGTTTGAGGGCTTGGTTGCTGATGCTATGGAAAGGTTAAAGAATGTCGGCAGAGAATGACTTTCCGAGGGACTCGGGAGGGAACCTTGAATGTCGGGGGACGGTAGTGGAGTCACTGCTCCAGGAATACCTGAAGCACCGTCGCTTCCATCATTCTATGCCACAAATCTTTGGCGAAAGGCATTCATGGAGCTGGCAAGCAGAGGCATGAAACTGAGCCTAATGGGCACTTGATATAGAGCCATACACTCACTAACGAATATCTTGCAGAAACATGAGTCCAGTTCTCTCTAGATATTCAATGTATCCGGCTTCATACTCGTTCAACTTCAAGATTAGAAGTTCGACATACAGCTCAGCTTTTCCTATACCATCTATAGGACCAGAGATGTGGTGAGCTGCATGATAGCTGCTACTTATACGAGACCAGACTGAAGATCTGATCACACCGTATCACTCTGACTGCATATTCGCACATGCTCATGCATCACCATCATGCAAATCATTTGTCCGCGCTGTGGGTTTGGAGGAAAGAGCGATGGTTGGTGGTGGACGTACTGTATATAGCGGGGTAAGCGCCTTGCCGAGAAAGATAAGCTTCCTCCGAACCTCCTATCATATTATCGCATGCCGATATCTTTTCCGCAGCACAGATAGGCGGGGTACGGCCGAACGTAAGTTGATAGGGCATAGTTCTAGATTCGTATAATGATAACCAACCTCTCAACCTAACTATAAGACACGACATGCCCCAGTCACGCTGACATCCCTCACCACTCGCCAATCAAAGTCACTCACAGTTTCCTTATACAGCATTCTCTGAATCATGTCCAAATCAATGACTCGTGTCGCCGTCGCTCAGTATGAGCCCGAATGGCTTGATCTGAAGAAGTCAGTCCAGAAGACTTGCAAGATTATAGATGAAGCAGCCTCCGGTGGAGCGGAACTCGTCACCTTCGCTGAGGCATTCATTCCCGGCTACCCAGCTTGGATCTGGTAATACTTCTTTCTCTCGTATGCGAACGGAAACTCATATCGCACGATTAGGACACGACCCATAGATCCTGTTCTCTCTACACAATACATCCAGAACTCTCTGGCAGTCGACTCGGACGAAATGAGAGAGATACAGGATTGTGCAGCTCGCAACAAGATTGTCGTGTCTCTCGGATTCTCTGAAAATGACAACAACTCTGTTTACATAGCACAAGCCCTCATAGACTCTGATGGTAAGATGTTGATGCATCGTCGCAAGCTCAAGGCCACGCACATGGAACGAACAATATTCGGCGACGCATCAGGGGATAGTCTATCTAATGTTGCAACGACAAATTTGGGAAGAAGAGTTGGCACCCTGGCCTGTTGGGAACATGCTCAGCCGTTATTGAAGTTTAATACCATCTCTCAGAAAGAAGAGATACATTGTGCTGCTTGGCCTCCGATTGTACCTCATGATGCAGGCCCTGGCTTGTGGTCTATGTCCAAAGAAGGTGAATATTCCTCCAAGCTCTTCTGCAGCAGTACAGCGATTGACACAATTCACANNGGCTGTCAGAGTTTGTCCCAAGTTTATGCCATCGAGTCCCAGACATTTGTTCTCCATTCCACGACTGTAATCTCAGAAAAAGGCATCAAACTCATGTCGACTGAAGGTGGCGCCCTCATGAGTAGCCCAGGAGGAGGCGCCTCTGCCGTCTTCGGGCCTGATGGTAGACTTCTGACTGAACCTATGGACTCGGCGACAGAAGGACTCATATTCGCTGACCTCGATCATACTACAGCCATATTTGCCAAGAGCTTTCTGGATATATGTGGCCATTACAGTAGGCCGGACCTATTGTGGCTTGGTTGTGATACTAGAAAGAAGTTGCCCAGGGTTCTTGATTCTAGCAATGGATGTATTTCCAAAAACTAAGCTTCTTCATTTTTGGGTCCACGACTTCTCCAGACACCGAAGGTCTTGTTGATCTGGCTAGCGTTGCACAACACTTTATGGTGTAAGGTGTGATTGTAAATATACTAGGATGGAACGCTTCCTCCGCAGGCATTACCTTTTATCAGACAGGGCTCTTTTTGAGTCCGCGATTCCCTACCACGAAAGGCCCTCACATAGTAGCTATAGAAATGCACGATACCTTCAAAAAGGTAGACCCTCGCACTCTGGGTACAGGAACGGGAACCAATTCCAAGCAACGAATTTTGCTCCTTTCGACGTGTCACAGATCAGGCGATGATCTGCGCCTTCACTCTTCCATACCTGATGCCTTTTCTCTCACTTGTCACCTCTGCCTCTTCTTTATACCTTCCGAAGTTGTTTGTCTGCGACCAAGAACCACACCCACGATACCCGGTCATTACCAGTCTTCTCACTATCGCAGCACCAAATTTTGTTCAATGAGACGGGATTCACTCTCACTCACTCGCCACGTTCAATAAAAGCCATCCTCCGGCGGCAATATTTATTTCTCCCCTCCTCTCCTTTTCTCATCAGCAGGAAATATCGGATCGACCTAGCCACTGCAAATCTCTCCACGATTTCCTACCGCCACTCCACCCTTTTTCTGTCATCTACAATCCAATCAACAACAGACTTCAGCAGCACCACCAAGTTATCTGCTACGACGAGCGTTGACTCCATACCTAATGCCAAAATAGGGCCGTCGCAAGGATTCACATCAGAAGCCCTTCACTGAGACGAGACTGATATTCACTCACTCACCACAACGTACAAAAGCTAGCCTTCTGCACGATACCTCCTCTCCTCTCTTGCTCCACCTCAGCCGCAGAGATCGGCCCGTTCCAGCCAACTCAGACCTCTTCACTGCCATCAACATCCCGCCCCACCATATGGGAGAAAATGAATCTACAGTGTATCAATCTATTGAGTACTTATTGTTGAATGTTTCTTTCGAGGCTCCTCGAAACTTCAATCCAAGGAAGATATTGGTCGATAGATTGGTAAACGCAACTCACTGATACAAGAAAAGCCACGCTATGTTGTTGAGATCAACCACTCCTCATCTACAGACGTGGTCGGTTCCTCCAAGAGCGAAGATAAAGACGAAATCGTGTCTCGAAGACGCGGAAAAGGCTAGAATGGAAGAATTCTCATGGGTGGAGACAGAGCAAGCCTGAGCATAGAACTTTGTCTACCATATGCTTGGACATAGAACCTATTGATCTTATTGACTGTCGACTAACGATACCAACTTCTTACCATCGATAATTGAGACCATACCCATCTGCACAATTTACTTGATGCTCAAGTCAAGCATATTTCACCTATTCCCACCCATCCATCTTGCGCAGGTCTTCTAGGCAGAGTTTCCTAACCCTATATCCTTCGACTCCTCCTTCGTTGGTTGGAGCAGAAGAAGACTGATTCAAGGCAGCTCGTCGCCGTTTCCACAACTTCTGCTCCTCAGCCTTCTCCTTCTCTCTCTATTCCTTCTCTTGTTCGAGTTCCTCCTCAAGTCTGGCGGTTTGTCCAGTCTGGTGTGCCACTTCGTCCTGCAGCTTCTTCTCCTCCTCCCATGCCTCAGATCTGCGTTTTACTTCTGCTTGATGAGATGATTCAAGTCGCCGCTTGGTGGCTGCCAATTCTGCTTTGTGAGATGCCTGGACTTTGGCCAATCTTGCGTCTATTTTCAGCCTGGCATCGATTTCGAGCTTCCGTTCCAGGTGCTTCAGTTGTTTCTCGCGTTCTTGCTTCGCATGCTCCAGCTGCTTCTTGTGCTCTTGTAGGCCGATCGATTGCAACGCAGATTGGCTGGTGACTTCGACTGGAGTTTCGGTTTGATGACGAGCAAGTTCAGCTTTGAGGTTCTCTTTCATGGCTTTCATGTAATTCCAGATCATGGACGTGGAGGTGCTGAAACATCTCCTATCAATAGACATTCGTGGCAGAACTTGATAGACTGAGACATACATTGGAGTGAATTGTGTTGCTTCTGCGCGTTCCTGGCTGTTGGAGTTGGGAGTCAAGCCATCGAATCAACGATCCAAGTGGTCTTCGGCTTCTGACAGATCTCGTAGAACTTCAGCTGAGGAGGTCGAGGAAGATGGGTCGTCTGCCATGATGAAGCGAACTTGAATAGAAAATGTGAAGGTGGGATGGAAGCAGGAAGTCGAGAGTATCGCGCAGTCACTCAAGTCTGTGCGACAAGGAAGACTTTCTGGTGGTTGAGGAAGGTACCAAGCAAGTGCGAGATCGAGGCAGGCACAACCGCCTGCGAGAATTTGTGACAGCACAAGGACGCGAAGACAAACGTCGATCAAATGGAAATGATCAAGAAATCCTTCTATAGACAGCAGCTGAGAGTTGTCTATCCGCATTTCGCTGAGTGGGGTGGTTTCCAGTTGTAAGATGTTGCAAGGGAGTCGGCAATCGATCAATGGAAGCATAATCAATTTTGAGATAGAAGGACGTCGACGGGCACTGCCTGAATCCCCTGGGTAATGGATACTGTATTGGTGTAGCTGTGGGGATACACAGTGGTGTCGGATGACAGGCGAGTCTCGAGGGGAGCAGATAGTATCCTGGCTCTCGGTGGACACTTTCTCTTTTTGATAAAGTATACTGTATCTTGATAGCAGAATGACTTACTGCGTATCACTTTCTCTAAGAACGGGGTGCGCATCCCACCCGCGGCTCAAATCGCCTTTCTTCTTTGTCTATTACCAGAGTGGCTCACTCTCGGATCTCACTCGGCATCCCGATCAGTCACTCTCGAACGAACCTCTTATTACACTCCTCTCTTGCTTTCCATTCCTTTTCCTTTCTGCGACCCTCCACCTCTTCGAATCACAACCCCTTTACATCAACGCATCGACTTCACCAACCATGTCAAGTCTCAAACTTCGTCGTCCAGGTGATGGAGAAATGAGTCCTATGCAGTGGGTTCCCTACCACCCCTGCGCTGTACAGCTTCGCGTCGACTCGTACGTAGCGAACGAATCCAGAAGCTCGACAGCATGAACTTTATTGACGATCTCAGGCCCATAGTGAACTACCACAGAAAAGAGTGCATCAGGATCCTCGTCATCTTCGGTCAGCAAGCTGTTTGCCTATGCAGGTGGGGACGTTGGCCAAATCAACCAAGTAAACTCTTGCCGGAGCTCGAGAGTCTCGTGGAAGACATCGAGGACAGAAAACTTGATCCCTATCTTTACTGGTTGTCTGACAATCTCAAGGCTGCTCTCAAGCAACGCAACATTCCTTTGCCTGCCGATGATACAAAGTCCGGCATGAGGGAGCGCATGAGGCAATCCGACTCTGAACATCCTTTCAGATTCTTTGATCTGCCTATCGAGGTCCGCAGCCGCATTTACAGTTTCTTACTCTGTAGTGGAAACAACGGGAACCAGGAAATCGGAAAAGGCAGTCCACGTCTCCCTGCTTTACTTCACGCCAACAGGCAACTCCGCAACGAAGCCATTCCTATATTCTATGGTGAGCCACACTTCCGCATCAGGCTGCACACGATCTCCGAAAATAAGTGGCGTGATATGGACACCAGGGCTGGAGACTGGTTCAATCAAGTCAGTGCCGAAAACATCAAGAGGCTACGCCATGTATCCTTCTACTTCTTCGCTATTCACAACGAGTACAATCTTCACATCGATCTCGTCAGTCGAGTCGGCTCCACTTGGAGCCTCACAACCTCATACAAGGTTCCATGCCCGTGCAGACGCCTGCAAGTTCACACACTGGGTCAGCTCCGCGACTACTTTTTCGATGCCATCGAGAAAAAGCCTCTTCCCGAAAGCTATCCGCTCAGAGACGCCCTCAAAGCTATCGAGCACAGTATCCAGATTGCCAACAAAGCCGTTTAAGATTACAATAATCTCTGCCATGAGCCAACAGTCGCCGGACTCCTCATCATGGCCAAGGCTGCCAGACGGATTCTCTACCACAGCACCAAGTGGAATGGACTTACACAAAAAGTCTTGGAACAAAGACTGGCACAGCAAGCGTGATGGTCGGGATGAGCACGAACAAGACAGCAACTCTACACAGGCGAGAGATCAAGGACGAGGTCAGAGAAATCTACAGAAGCAGCGCTCGGAGGATCAAGCGCAGTGCATTACTCGGAGGTCGATCAGCGACCAGTGAGTTCTTTCGTTTATTTCCTCTTGCTGACAACTAAAGTCATTTCTTTTTCCTTTGCGCTTTGTCTCTACCTTTTGCTTTGCCTTTACCTTTCTCTTTCCAGGTCTCATATCTTCTGCTTTTCCATCAGGACGAGTGCGATATCAACTGGCAATCAGCACAGAGGGGAGCATTCAGTTTCAACAACAGTTCACCAATCAACATTCAGCTCACATTGGCATTCGACCTTACGAGTGATATTCGTACCAGTTGCGGTAGCGTTGACATTCACGAAAGAATGGGAAGAATACACGTGCAGCTTTCAACTCATATCAGCGGCACCGAGTTCAAAGTTCACTATAGCCATCAAGTAATAGACTGTAAGTCTGATTGAGCCTGAGACATGTACTGTAATCGTGTTGATACAAGGGTGGATAAAGTATGAGAAGTGATTGTTCTGTACCGGTTTCGAAAGATCTTTGGAAGCCATAGTCGAGGTGGGTATAGATTAATCGCGGTAAGTGAAAGCAGGGAGGGGCACCTGCCTATTGTCCCGAGATCATCAGTAGCTATGTGAGAGGTCGCAAATGAATTCCTTCCTTATTCGTTCGTGTTCAGTGTTGTTTGAGCCTAGATTCACTCGGCTGCAACACGTCAGTCTCACTTTCACTCGCTATCCTTTACTCTGCACAGACCGCCCCTGCGCCGACCGTCGAAACAACCTTCCCGTGCAATCCCTCTGTGAGGGAAGGTAGCGATAGTTTCACTGTAAGTGAATTCACTTTCCGGCGGCACTCGCTCGCAATACCTTGGCGTCACCCTGTTTCCTGGGTTTATTGACTCGCTGTTCTTTCTTCTTCCTCTCTTCCTCTTTCAGAACTAACACAAACAAAAGACATAGCATCAAGACCTTGAACAGTTTGTATCCAAAGTCTAACAAGTCTGAAAGACCTTCTTTATTAAAGATCTTTGATTAACTTCACAACAGCCTTCAAGCCTTGACCCCGAACATCAAACCATGTCTTCAGCAGAGTCAACTCCCTTGCAGAACGATGGAGGTGCTGATGTGCCTCCTGTTCCCACCCACGCTCCCATACTTGCAAGCTCTGGCGGTATCAACGTTCCCATCACTCAGCCTGGTGGCAACAACACTGGTGGTGTCAACTTCTCCGGCCCTCAGCTCCCAGCCAACATCACTGACGGCGGCAACTTCTCCAAAACTCAGCCTGGTGGCAATGCCGCTGGCGGTCCCAACTTCCACAACCCTCCTGTGACACCCAAAGCTCCAGGTACATCTCTCTTCTTTCCATAATCTTCATTCATGTACTCACACATTTCTTGTCATGGCTCCGCCCTCCGACGCGATCCCCACCATCATCACCGACGCCGACATCCAGCAGCTCAAAGACGAGATCGCAGCACAGAAGAAAGACTTCGCCGAGTTCCTCGAGGAGACTTGTCCTGTACTCGCCGAATACTCCGTCGAAGACATTGAAAAGATTGTTGCAGAGAACGTTGCTGGCCACAACACCATGGTGGCCATGATTCCTGTTAAAACTTTTGAGGCTCTCACCGAGTACAGAATGTTGCATACGAGCGTCGCATACTGTCTGAGCCACCGCATCGGCTTCGCTTTGCATTCGCACCTCGAGGGGTTGCAAGCGCTATCTTCGAGGAGAACTTCGCGCGCAGACAGCTCAGCAGTTCTGATGAGTTCATGGTCGAGATCGACCCCGCCCATCTTGCTTCTTCTGATGATTCGGAGGACGAACTTATGGAGGACTAGAAGACAGACAAAGCATGTAGGCTTGGGCGAAACAAACAAGTAATTGATGGACATGATCGAAGCGTACATCATGAACAGAAGATCATCTTTGCACAGACGGTAGATTGACTCTGATCAATCGCCTAGCGTCACAAGTCTCATCAATGTTCAAATCCCAGAAAGTTTTATTCTAACATGATTCCATTGTTTTTTTGTCTATGTTCTCAGAGTTTTTCTCCTCCTGAGCAATTGCAAACCCGATCATTTGTCTCGTCCGCTTCCGAAAACTTCGTTCCCCTCCCCAAATTTTCCCTGTCATCCTCCATGAAATACCGAATGGGAACTCGCCTGGATATTTTTTTGCTCTTTTTCTCAACTTAAAAGATTCCGCAACTTGCCCCTCAATCCATCGAATGGAAATTGCCTGGATGATCACTGTCCTTTTTGCCTCTCGTTTGGATATCTCCGACCAGAACTTGAAGACTTTCTGCGTCTACTCCTCGTCGCTGTCGGTATCCCTGGGGTTCTTCTTTCTGGGTGTCTTGTGCTTCTTGTGCTTCTTGTTGGTCTTCTTCTCCCTAGCATTCTCCTCCGCAGCTCTCTTCAACTCCTCCATGGCCTCGGCGTATGCGGGAAGATGTGGTGGGTAGTTCTCGTGGACTCCGGAGTGCATATCTTGTCCAGAAACGAGCACACGAAAGCCGTCCCAGAAAGGGCTGTAGATCGAGGGTTCCTCGCGGACATCAAAAGGGCGGTCAGCAAATCTGCGACGCAACTCTTGGGAAACAGTGACCGCGCCTCTAAAGAGCCGGAGCCTCAACTCGAGATCATGACAAGCAGGCTGCTGAGGAGGCCCATGACAAGCTGGCTGCCAAGAGCGACCAGAACATGTAGGCTGCCATGGAGTCAAGCATGAACCAGTGAAAAGGTCACAGACATGAAGCAGAGGGTAAAGCGATTGAACATCAGAGATCAAGGGAAGGGCAAAGTAGAGAAGGCGCCAAAGATCAAGCAAAAGGCAAAGTAAAGAAGGCACCAGACAAGATTGTAAAATAGCGTGCATCTGCCTCCAATCGAATTCATCTCAACCTTGAAGAACTTTCAGTCAAAGTTTGATGTGATTTCCATTCGTCATGATATTTGAAGATGTCTTGCTGGAAGAGATTGAACCAAATTTCTCCTAGCCTCCATCTCAAACTGGCCTTGATGAGCCACCATTCAGCTCCACCGCTAACTTCTCCACTTCTTCCAAGAACATCTTAGCCTTCTCTGATGGCAGTACGGCCGGCAACAACAGCTGCGCACGCTCTGCCGCCAAGTCCTCGAACAGTCTCTTCTCTTCTTCATGCCGCTGATCTGCTATGGCCTTGCGTTCGGCCATCACTTCTTGGTAGCATGACAGATTTCGACCACCCGGTGTGTTATGTTCACACCAATTAGTCCACGCCGTCCAGTTATGGGCGCTCAAGCCAAATGTGGGCACACTGTTTAGTCCGGCCGGCCAATGAGAGAAGCCAGCGCCATTCTCAGTGTAACCTTGCCCGAGCAAATGGAAAAAACTTCAGCAGTAGAAGCTTGTTGAGGACGATGGAGTAAGAAGACGACAAACTGATTAAGTTTGTACTCATTCTCGAAAAGAATCTCGCAGCAAGAGTGGAACAGGTTCATTATATAGTTGGACCTTTCGAAGTGGTGTTGCTGGTGGGATTGAAGACGGTTCTCGATGTCGGCACCAAACCCGAACTCATGTATAGATCCCGGTAGCGGCAGAGACTGGTCATGGCTGAGCGCGATGTTCTTGATGCGAGCATCAAAGGCGTTCAAGAACTTTCGTATCTGAGTCAAAGCTCTTCCAGTCGTTGCGTATCGTAACTTGGACTTGTCAGGCTTCTTGTTGTGGATGTTGTCAATTTTTTTTNNCGCAAGTGGCACATCTGTATAGTTGATGTACTGTCTCATCATGGCGACAACTTGATTGCATTCGCCGAGAGTCAGAAACTCGCCTGTATCGGTGTGTCCAATGACGTTGCAGTAGATGCCCGGACGCTTCCTTTTTGCCGCTGGTTCGCGAGCGAGGAAGTCCAGGACTCTTCGTGCAGTCCAATTTGAGAAATATCTTTAGGCCAGGTCACCTTCTAGTACCCCAGCAAGTACTTGTGTATGGGTTCTGAAAAGTATTTCCGTAAAGCTGGAGCGCAGAGCATCGGATGGAATCTGCTGCTTGGTGCCTTCCTTGTGTTTTTCGGCCATGAGACGAGTAAGACTCGCTGATGTCTTGTCTTGTAAGGCGTCGATATACAAGTTCAAGCCGTCTGGTCTCCGAGAGATCGTAATATCTTTGAGTGGCTGTTGAAGCACTGTTGGAGGTGGAGAACGCCGGGTCGAGTCTATGAGGGCAACGGGGATGTCCTTGGATATCTCATGTGCAGCGTCGAGTGCCATATTCAATTCCTCAATTGACATGTCGTAAAACTTCGCCGTGGCCTCGCGAGAAGCTGCGTCTGCGACTAGACTTGATGCACTGTCTTGTGTCAGGCTGGTCATTGCTTGTTCCACTGGGTCATGCCACTCACTCCACAGGCAAGTTGGTCGCAGCCACCAGATCTTCTGCAACTTCCATGGATTCGTCAGAGTCCTCGGTAAGATCAATGGGCACATCTCGACTGTTTGGGAGATGTGTGGTAGCAGCGCGTCCTATCATTTCTTGTGAGTTGAAGTTGGAGAAGTCGATCGCTTGCAAGAAAATAGGACAGAGCCGAGGTGGTTCACAAGACTGGCCAAGTTGAGCGATGATAAACTTGAAGTGTGCTGGCAAACAGTTGGGTATCGCGCTCTGAGGCCGCAAAGTCAAAGCCGAATATGGGAGGGGATAAGAATGCAAGTTCAAGATGTGGAAGGTGCATTCTGAAACCACGGCGTGGCGATTGGTGGAAAAGAAAGGGAAAGAGGGAAGCGCAGCTCCTAAAAATGTTATAGGTGTTCGTGACGGGCTAAAAAGGATATCAGCAGACGATCTGCTTGGATGGTGTTAGCTGTTGAGCTGTAGGATTTGACGAACCGGGATCATAGGCAAAGCCAAGGCAGTGTCTTCATATTGAGCATATTCGGGTGGAAGAAATAGTAATTCGCACAGGTACATTGTCTAGCTTTCCTGGGGCTACAAGACGAACTGATCAAGGGGCCCTCTCCTGGTCATAATGATGCCCTGGAATAATACTGTGCTTCACCATCAACCACCTGTACGATTGTTCCGTTGTGTCCACCACGACCACATGCATGCATTACATTCTCATACGCTGGAAAGATCGATGACTGCAGGATGGAGTTACCAAAAGACCTTGAACCTTTCGCCGACTGACCGTTGAACCCAGCTCTTCTTGGGACACCTTCAAGACGAGACGGCGGGTAGACAAAGAACGTGGTGGGAGGTGATCTGGCAGGACGGTGACTTTTGTATCGGTCATGCATGGTGCCACTCGCGGTGTGTCTTCTTGGGAGCTAGAGGGGCGAGAATAGGGCGTTTATGATCAGTCTAGAGACAGCCGCATTAGTATGAAGACCAGAGAACACAGCATTCAAAAGGAGGGATACTGACTGACTCTTGGGATCCAAGGTCGGCGGTCACAATGCTCATGACTCTGATTGGTCTCGTTCTGATATGAGCGAATGACGTGATTGTAAGAAGGCTAGACCTGACGCCGGAGTGCTTGCGAGATAGCAGTACTGCACGGCAGAGGGCTGTGGAAGGATACTGGGGTGTGAGGTCGAGTGTATGGTGGGTTCATGTAGTGGCCGAGACGAAGACCTGGATGGTACTGGCGTAGCGAATCCTGGATTCAGGAACATCTTCCTCTTCATCCTTCATGTTCTGGTCCTCGCCTTCTGGTGTATCTTCTGGGGGAAGAATATCGTCAATGGCGCCGACAGTGCCAGTCTCGATGCGAACATCGTACTCGATTCTCTGCTGAAACCACAGAGCCAGACTCAAGGCCTTTGCGATAGCCTTTCCTGTGGCCTTGAGGACAATCTCGTCTTGGTCGTGTTTCTGAGCAGCCATAGTAGCAGCTACGCGCTCAATATCGGTGATGTCGTCGTTGATGTGCGAGTACTTGGGTCTGTTGGAGACTTGGTCGGCGGCTGATTGGGCAAGGCGCTTCTCGGCTTGGGCCAGTAGTTTCTGCACACGCTTGACGGCCGACATGAAAGGTGTTCTCGTAGAGACATAGACAATCTTGGCCACGTCGGCGCTGGCATACTGGGATGTGATCTGAGGGCGGAGCAGTGGTCGCTTTTCGACTTTGTATTCTNNGCGCAGTGTGAGCTGAGTCGAAGCACGTCCAGTGAGTATAGCTGCGGACTGACCCTTAGGCAAGCGTGACATCTTGCGCGGCCTCTTGGAGGCATTCTGTTCCTTTGTCATGGTGTGCCAGGGTCGTTGTGAACATCAAGGTTGTTGTTCGAAGATACAAAAAGCTCTCCGCGTTCAAGCCACAGCCACGCGCGTCAGCCACAGTGTGAAGCCACTGACGATCGAGCCTTCTTTCGTTGGCAGAACACCTTCTATACTCATCGCCGACCATCCAATTGAACATGTTGATACGCCATCTGAGACTAAAAGGCATTGTGCCATACGCCAAAGCCGAAGTTCTGCAGCAAGATTTGGTCAAGAAATTTCTAGCCCACAAGGCGTCTCCTACAACGACACCTGCTCCAGTCCCGACCATCATCACTGCTCAGTTTTCTCCTGTCTATACATGTGGTCGACGCGAAGTCGGCACTGTCTCAGAGGAGCAGCAGACTTTTCTGAAGGACAATGGCAATGCAGACTTTTACGAAGCCCTCCGCGGTGGCCAGACCACTTTCCATGGTCCTGGTCAGCTCGTGGCATACCCTATCATCGATCTCAAAAGACACAATCTGTCGCCAAGAAATTATGTGTGCCTATTGGAAAAGACCCTCATCAAAACTTGCGCTCGCTATGGTATCAAAACCATGACTACCGAGAATCCTGGAGTTTGGACCACCCCAGACGACAAGATATCCGCCCTGGGTGTCCACTTGCGCAGAAACATCACCAGCCACGGTATAGGTCTCAACATCAATACTGACCTTAAATGGTTCAGTCGTATCGTTGCTTGCGGTCTTGAAGGCAAGCGGACCACGAGCTTTGGAAATGAAGGTGTCCATGACCAATCTGTTGATGAGGTTGCCGACACTTTTGTTCAACAGCTTGCCGAGTCGCTCCAAGAAATCGATGGCGTTCAGGAAGAACTCATCATGTAAACCATTCGAATAGCCATCTTCCCATCTCCACAGTGGAGTGTCTTGCGGAGCTGCAATTATGCTTTGGTACCGTCAAAGCATACTACCTATAACAAACTCATGTGAACTCAATCAGAGCTGCTCTCTTTATAGAGTTCAACACAAACTTCTTCATCTTTTTCCGACCTCAAACCGCAACTCTCCGACTCCGACTTCCCGTTCGGTTTCCAGACTGGGTCTGCTCAGTCAGAAACCGCCGTCACATACACGCGTGTCTTCAAGTTCACAAGCTCCGTACCAGTACTATGGCCCTCGCCTCTCTCAAGCGACAGTTGTCGCGAGTTCTTGCCCGCGATACAACAACGAATGGAACTAGCAGCTGTGATGCGCCGGAACTGCCAAGCGATGCACAAGTAGACGAACAATGTCAACGAGCTAGCCCCAAGGCATCGATATACAAGCATTCCCCAGCTCACTCCGGCACTACACTGCACGACCTGAACCAAGCGCCAACAAATGTGTCGCCCGAGTATCTTTCAGACGCCATGGTACATGTCATGACAGTAGGTGACAGCATCATCACAATCGAGACACAACAGAGAGATGCCGAACAAGGCGAGCAACCAGCAGTAAAGCGAAGGAAGAAGAGCTTCGGCCTTCGTAGGGTCAAGACAGAACCCGCCTCGCAGAGTACTCCGCTTCATGGCTCTATCACCACCATAGAGTCCGTCCCAAATGGCAGTCGTTCTCGAGCTTGGTCATACCCACTGGTCAACTGGAAGAATCTCAGCTTAGTCCGTCGAATGCGCCGAAGTGCTGACCTCAAGGAAGCTCGTAAAGAAGCACGTAAGGGCAAGGCTTCTTGTGAGCTGGTCCCTGGTGATCAACCTCAGACTGGCGATGCTGACGAAAATACCACTGCACACCTAGCTCCACTAATGCCGGGTGCTGTCCAAGGGTCACCATCGCACATCAACCGTCTATCAAACGGGCTTGACGCATCACCACGGGCCTCGGTTAACCTTGGCATTGGCGCTTCCGCTCCAGGACAAGACAAGGAGTCTTCAAAGAAGCACTCCAACAGCTCCAGCGAAGAACAAATCAAGCGCAAAGATTCACGTTTCCACGAGGTAATGCAGGCAGGAGAAAAAGCTGCAGCGGACATGGAAGCGAACACCAGAGAAGTTGCATTTGAGGAGCGACCACAAAAGAACTCGGCCTTCCTGTTACACCCCATAGATTGGATCCGACAACACCACGCCACTGTCTTTCCACTTCCTTCATCAGACTCTTCGTCCGACTCTGACTCACGCCCACCGTCACCAACAACTCGCCCAGCACGTCCAGCTCGTCGAACTCAAGAACCACATCCCGTCCAACCACAAGCTACTCGCCGCAGAGGATCGGAAGCTCTCACCCGTGACGAGCTGTACATGAGATCTCGGATCAATCTACCTCCTGGTATGGATATACCTGCTGTCGGCCAAGCAGGTCCGGTCGACTGGTTACACCGCGGATGGGAAGAACACTATCGTCAGTTAGCCGAGTCTTCGCGTCGAGCCTGTCACCCTTTGGCCGCTGCGTGCTTTCTCCCTACCAGAGGTGAGGAGATGCAACGGTACGTTCCCGGGTCTCAATGTCAGAACGGACGAGGACGTGCATCGACGCAAAGAGGACAATCGACACCATATCCCACAGGAGTATACATCCAAACTTGTGACTTTGCAGTCCATGGCAAGGGAAAAGGGATCATGTATGTGCAAGATGTTGGGGCTCAAGATGGAAGAGGGAGACGTGAGAATAGGAACGCTGCTTTTCCAGAGTACGAGAGACAGAGACGTATAGAGGAAGGGGCATGTGTGACCACTCTGACACTCGGCGAATGCAATTTTGCGAAAGAGTTGGGACAGAATGCCTCGCAGGACAGTATATCAACTTGAACAAGAGTAATCGGAGAGCAGACATGATTGAATCCACTTTCAGTGGTGAGCACTGTACGGCAGACCTGTCTCTCTGTCTCCTATAGCGATATGTGAGCTACAGTATGCTATGAAAATTCACGGTGGCCTATCGAATTGAACTAAGACCATTGGGATGACACATGAATGACTTCTCTCTCTGGACACCAATGTTTTTCGAATAAACATCGTGCAATTCTATAGCTATACTAGGACAATCTTTGGTACGTGGAGAGGCTGCAAGGGAATATCTCGTACAGCACTCCGGGACCGTTACGATGAACCCGTATCTCTACCTTCTATAGTAATATGTATTGTTATCGTATGCTATAGAAATACACAGATGTTTACCAGATTGGACTTTGACCCTTGAGATAGCATAGAGATGTCACATCTCTTTGGACAGTACCGTGATTTTCAGGATATTGTGCGTTTTTATGGCTATCCTATAGCAGTCTTTGGTAAGTGGAGATGCTGTAAATGAGCATCCTCGTACAACACTCTATGACCCCCCCGACAAACCCGCCTCTTTGTCCCCATAAGTAACACGTATGGCTATCTTATACTATAGAAATACACAGATGCTTATCAAATCAGACTTTGGCCATTGAGATGGCATAGTGAAGACCAGTCTCCTTGGACATGATCGTGATTCTGAAAGTATCGTGCATTTTTATGGCTACAATATAACAGTCCTCGGCATATAGAGACGCAATAAAGGGGTATCCTCCGCAGAACCCCAAGCTACTTTTTCTCAAACCATGACTCTTCTTAGGCCTCCACTGCCCCCNAAAAGCCTGCGTCCACTGACAGCACACCTGCCCCTCCCATCCTCCCAAGCACCTTCTCTGTTCCCACCCGTGGCTTCTTTCCAGCCTTCTTCAGTGTCTCCTCCCTGCATGAAAGCAATCTGTCGCGGATGTTCGCCTTCCAGCCAGCGAAAAATGCAAGTGTAGCAGAATACGTAGCCTGTTTGTGCTGCTGTGGGCGTCTGAATGGCAGACAGACAGATGGGACAAGCTGAATCTGCAGCAGGGGGNACAGTGAAGATGGGAAGATTTGTCGAAGCGGAGATTGGCGGCTTCGTCTTCTCTTTCTCGTCTTTTTCTTCCTTGGCTGAGGACTTCTCATCGGAGGTTGTTGCGAATGTGACACCGGACTTTGAGGGCGGAGTGGGTGTCTTTGGTATTCCTGAGATGGTGGGAGCAGGTAATTCTAGTCCTTCAGTAGCTTTACGGGACAACTGTCTTGCAAAATCTGATGCATGCCACCATTCCAAGAACTTGAGGGCGAAGATTGAAGTCGGAAGGAGAATCTTCAGACTCGATAGTAGACGCGGGTATACTGTGTGCGTCAATGTCCTGGGACTAAACAGTGATTGCGAGACCGATGGTTTTGCACCAGAGATGGGGGCCACGGGCGTAGCAGCCTCGGCGATGGCTTTATAGTCTGCTTGGTTCATGCGTCGTATCCTCGTGCCGATGAGCCAGAAGAAGGGGTTGTGATATTTCGAAGTGTCGAAGAGGTAAGCGAGGTTAAACGCCAGCAAGGCAAAGTAATACGCGGCATTGACGCTCGGATACACTTTCCTCAAGAACCACTTGTAGTAGTGGAATATGCGTTGCTTGTAGGTGGCACCTTCTGGCAGGGCATCCCCTCTAAACGCAGGACCCAGGATATTCGCAGAGGCAGCGTGGATATCGTAATGCTCATCCAACTTTCTCTTCGTGTACGGCAACGCCACCATAATAGCAAGATTCTTCCACACATCTGCGTCTCGCAGTTTCAGCGTTTCGCGGACCTGTTCGGGGGCTGCGAGGGCAGCGCGAGGGATCTCATGGCCTTTCGTACGCAACACTCTTTCTCGTTTCAGTCCATAGAAGTTCTCTGTAAAGCCGCCACCGTAAGTGCGTAGGTAGTGACGTTCAACAAGGAGGGAGAGGAAAGCGTAGAGTTCGTCGAAGGAGTTGAGGATGCGAAGGAGGTAGCGAGGGTAGCGATGGGTGGCAATGGCGAGGAGATAGCGCAGAGACGGCGGGATCAGAGCACCCAGTTGTTGCTCGGAGAGAAGTTCTGGATCGAAAGGTCAGCTTTGCGACAGTTCATGGTGACTGCGGCAGGTAGAATGTTTACCGAAGAGGGAGGGTTTCTGCTCATCGAGTCCGTTCTGTAGATTGGTCATGAACTCCATATTGGCTGTGTTCTTTCCCTCATCCTACTCTAACGTCGTCCGCTTCTCAATGTGGCCTCCTGAAAAGTGTTGTGTTATTCTGCAAGTTCATGCTTGCCTTCACATGCTGTTGGTGACGCGAGAGGGTCAGTCCGGGGATGCTCCACAGGCCGAGGTCCAATGTCTTGGCACCAGCTTGCGCCGATCAAATGTCAGCGGTACCACCCTGACACTCGTGTTCCTACGTATGTCTATCTCTATGGCCACAGCCTTGTTTGACAGTCAATTGTGCATTTCTATGATACACTGTTGATATTTCATCGCGATAGGAAACACTGAGAGGCGTCCCCATTCAAGTGGGAGATGCCCCATCACAGCCTTCTCATGTGCCAAACGTCCATATAGTATAGCCATAAAAATGCACAATACTTTCCAAGATATAGTGACGTCCAAGGAGACATATCACTAGGGTGCCATTTCGAGGATGATACTCTTGTTTGGTAAACATTTGTGCATTTCTATAGCATATTGCTAGCTTCCATATTATCGTAGGAGACGGATATAGAGTCCTCCGAGGAAATCTTGGGGGTGATGTAGATGATACCTGATGAAAGCCTCCCCTACATATCAGAGACAAGTTAGTATAGCCATAGAAAGGCACGATATCTTCAAGTCCAGAGTGATGTCCAAGGAGATGTACTGTTTCACCACCATTCTGATGGCTACAGTCAATTCGCGTAAGTAACTATGCATTTTCATAGCCTACCATAGCACCATGTCGGCATGTGAGAGACAGGGGGTTTACAGTACCCTAGGGTTTCGGGATACCCCTTCACAGTCTTTATATGCCAAAGACGTTTGATATAGCTATCGAAATGCACAATAGTCTACAGAATGGAGTAACATCCACCGAGAGTTGAGGCTTTGTCTACTCTCTGTGGCGTCGTATCTTTTTCAGTGACATTTGTGCATTTCTATAGCTACGTCCGTGTAGACTCGCACGCGAGAGAGATCGCCGACTCTGGATTGCTATCAGAGAGCACAATAGAGAGAAAGATTTTCATGACAGAGACAAAATACTATTTTGCCATTCGAGAAGAGAAAAGACAAAGGTATCTTGGGAAAAAACAAGAAACACTCGGTCGCTTATGATAGCTGCCCAAAACGCCATGCACAAGCGAACAACCCATCCAATCATCAACGTAAGCAGCATTTAGATAGCCGTGAGTAGCTCAATCCTCATCGAAGATTTGGAACGTGTTTGTCAGGATCGTGTCCAAAACCCTTGCCTGCAAACTGGCGTCGGCGATCTGAGGACCTGTATGCGAGCCCATCAATGATGGTGCGAAACAGATGGCCAGGTTTGAAGTTGACATGCGATTCTTGGCGTAATGCTCCTGGACGCGGTTGAGGTGGAGGACCAGAGCACGGAGAGTAGCATAATTGGGGTCGGGTAGCTCGTTGATGACCGAGTGCACAGCGTCGCGACGTGTAGTGCCATCTTCGATGCGGGCGGCGTCTATGAAGTTGTTGTACGAGCGGCGTGTCAANAGAGGATCAGGAAGTTCACGGAAGAATTGTTTGAGAAGGCCGGCGACGCTGTTTACATCGTGGTAGAATGAAGCAGGGTTACGGAAGTCGACGGTTTGGGAGTCTGCAATCTTGTTAGAAGTCAATTCAACGATGGGTCAAGGGGCTGACATACCGTGGTCAAAGAGAGCCTTTATCTGTTGGACATGGCTGGCTGTACCACTGAGACGGTAGATGCCCTCAACATCGAGACCGAAAAGATCGACAGCCTGCATGCATTGGTAGACAATCATGGGAACGGCAGTCTGATCTCTGTTGTACAAGTCATCCAGGGTAACGCCGAAGACAGGCTTGAGAGGAGGAGGAAGAGCAGTCGCAACAGGACCAGGTGACATGGCTGGAGGCTGAGAAGAGAAGCTCTGCTGAGCTCCCATGGCGCCGGGTGTCGCAGGAGAGTANGGAATGCTGGCGCCTTGGGTCTGGGTCGAGGTGGAGAGGCCACGCGGGGGTCCTGGGCTGGTGGGGTACGGCGCAGTGTTGTATTGCTGAGGCGGATCAGTGGGGTAAGGTGGACTTGCTGGGTTGCCGTAGGAAGGCTGAGCCATATAATCTGTTGTGGGGGAAGGACTGGGCCTGGTGATGTGGGATAGGTAGACTGCTGTGTCGGGACGTTTGTAAGCGGTGTTNTCAGGTAGCGCTGGGCCTGGCAGCGTCGACGAAGGTTGACGACTGGCTGGAGTGGGAGTCTGCTGCTTTGATCTGAGAGTGTAGTGTTGTTCGTACTTGATGTCGGAGATCCTGTGGGGAACCTTGGAGACGTGACCAGACAGGTAATTGTCGAAATCGGCCTTGTTGTCGATTTGGAGAACAATGTCGCGCAGACTGTGTTGGACGGGTGCCAAAGGGTCGGTGGGAGGAAGCGGGCTAACAGCAATGCCATTGCCTAGGAGAAGCTTCTCGTTGAACGAGGCAAACTTCTGGAGCTGCAGAGCAAGTCCTGAGTCGCACTCGTTGATCAACTCCTGCAGCGCCTTGACAGCCTGGGGTCGCGATGTCTTGATAAGCTCCTCTCTCTGCGACTTTGCTGCCTGAACCTTGGCCTGATAATCCGAGTCTGCGACCTGAAGCTTACGAAGAAGGTCTTCCTCATGCTGTGGAGCACTTTTCATGCCTTTGAGCCCGATACGTCTCGAGCTCTTTGCGTCGCCAGTACGAGCACGATCGTAGTCTTCTGCTAGGCCGTCGTACTTTGACTTTGCCTTTTCCATGGCAGCCTCGGCATCGGTAGCACGCTTCTCGGCGTTCAGACCTTCGTGCTTCCAGTGTTTTCTCCCTTTTTCCATGTTGAGTGATAGTTCATTCAGGTCCTCGTGCATCTGGTGCAGAGCTAGNGAGAACTGCATCCCATTGTCGGCGATCCGGTCGTGAAGGCGCATAGCCTCTTCAATGTGGGTGACATATGAGCCCTGGCGAGACTCCCTGGAGTGGACATTGTCGGTCGTCTGCTTGACCAGGCGTCGCAATCCTTTGGCATGGTCCTCCTCTACAGCTCCACGTTTCTTGAGGAAGTCTGAAAAGTCNCTGAAGTATTTGTTCAGTAGGGCGCTAATTTGGGGAAGTGGTGGCATTGAGCATACGCGCGAAGATGCAATGCTTTGCTTAAGACGGTTCAGGAGGGTGTTTATTCCAATCTACTCAAGTCAGTCGGGGTCATATGTTTCGCGATGCGACGAACGGACATCCGAGTATATGACCATCTCCACATGCTTGGACATGGGGGCTGTCGACGTGGCCGACGTAGTCGCTGGCGCGACGGATGGTACATCGTGTGAGGTACCATTCGAGTCGCCGTTAGTGGTGAGATCGCTGGTTCGCGGGAGGTCGGAAGACATGGCGAGATGCTGTGTACCCAAGCGGTGAGGCCTGAGACAATGAAGAGGTGAATGGTACCTATTGTTATAGACGAGAGATGGACAGACTGCGCTTGGCACGCGCGTCGGATGCGAACGAATGCTGGGGCTTGGACCGCGCGCCGCAGCTCGGCGTCGTCATTCGATCTTGAGAGAGCGTCTCGATCTTCAGGTCCGTTGCTTCTCATAACAAAACACTGCTGTTTTCTCTATACCACAAACACAAGAAAATCATGTCTGACGCGCACGCTCCTCTGACCTGGGAAACTTCGACCCACACTCAGCCTCAGCTGGCCACGTCCTTGCCGTCCGAAGTCGTCAACTGCCTGGAGAATGCCCGCTATGTCCGTCCACCTTGATGCTTCCTCTCCAGCATGTGTTAACACTTACGACAGCTGCATCTGGCAACCTGCACAGAGCTGCAACCTCATGTTGCTCTCATGAATTACACCTACCTCGCCTCACATCCCTTCGCCGCTTCTTCGTCGCAAATGCCTTCTGGTCCCGTAATCATCATGACCTCAAACCCTGCCTCGCGCAAGACTGTCAACCTCACAGCAAATCCCAATGTTTCGTTACTTGTCCACGATTGGGTCTCGCATAGACCTGCTACAAACAACAGAAACTCGTCGCCTGAAGGCCGCAGGGCTCCTGGTCGTAGTTCTCTGGCTTCCTTGCTCATGGGTATGAACACTACTCAGATGGGTTCAATCAGTGCCACCATCAACGGCGACGCTATCGTCTTACCTGTCGGATCAGAGGAGGAGAAGTGGTGCAAGTTGCAGCATCTGGAAAACAACACTTTTGAGAGGGAGGAGACATCACAGAATGTCCTGACCCGTTCAACGAGTAATCCGGAGGATGAGGAGGCCAGCAAACAGTCCTTCTTGCAGGATGAGGACATAAGAGTCGTTGTCGTCAGGATAAATGAGGGCAGAATTGCTGACTGGAAGGGTGGTGTCAAGGACTGGGTGCTCGCTCCTGCTGAGAGTACAGCTAACCTTACCAATGGTCTATAAGGAGATGAGCCTGAAGCTATCCCATAATCAAGAAACTGTTAATACTCGACCATCCCGTCACCCTCTGCATACAATCTCCAACCTCCAGCTGTGCTGAAGTATAGCTATAAAAATGCACAATAGTCCTCGAAGCCAAGGTGGTGTCCTTTGTGAGGCAGAGTATCGTGGGCTCTCTCTGGTTACACCTCTGGTCTGGTAACTTTTGTGCCTTTTCATAGTCGAAAAGTCGCTGTATGCCACTGTGAGAGAAGGACGCGGGGTTAATACTGGTCAAGTATATCGTCGTCTTCTGCAAAAAATCTCCTACCTCCACATATGCGTAGAATAACTATAAAAATGCACAGCAGTCTTCGAATATAAGACGGTGTTCATGGAGAGGCAACAAATTGTAGGCTCTCTCTGGTATCATCTCTCTTCTGGAAGCCTTTGTGCCTTTTTATAGTCCAAAAGTCGCTGCATGTCGTCGTGGGAATAGAGTGCGAGGTTACAGGCCTTACGGAGGTCGGACTGCCCTGTCAAGCCTTCTCGTGGTGGCCTCAAAGCTGTTCAATATCGAGTAGCAGCAGAAGAACTTGACATGTTTTGTACAGCCATGATGAGAGACGGTAAACAATGGAAGAAGAAGGGTCTCGACAAGGTCGAGTCACGTGCAGTTAGCGCATCTTGGCGTTTCGGCTGCCCCTCGCAGTCGCTCTCAACCCTCTTTCGAACTTCACAACATCGCAACTTCTTACGCAACACTCTCCACTCAATCAACAGACGACAGTCACCGCGAAACTCCCACCAGACACCCAATCAACACACCTTTTTCACTACAACCCTTCCCCGGAAAGAGAACAGCAACTGCGTTTTATGTCCGCCTCGATCGAAAACCTCAAGTCCTTCGGTATGTCGCCGCAAACCCCCACTACGTCAGGCCCAGACCGACTTCCTCCCGCCTTGACTCGCTTGCTTGGACACCTTCGCTCTCACTCACGGCATATGTGTTGATCGTCCACTTGGACTTTCATACCATTTGTCTTGTGCGAGAGTGAGTCGAAGCGCCGACCGACGCCGCCGCCACGCTTGGGTATCATCCGCTGACTCGCGTGACTCGAACAGACCCCTTCGCCGAAGCCGATGAAGACACCGGAGAGATAAAGCAGTCGAACCAGAGCAGCTACATCCACATCCGTATCCAGCGTACGTTCTGCCTCGTTTTTCCCATCATCTGACCGCCTTGGCACCACGCGCTGGGTTGGTTACACAGAAAAAGGCGGGGTATGCTGACACAACTGCCACATCACANNGAGCGCAATGGACGCAAGACCTTGACCACTGTTCAAGGACTGCCCAAGAAGTTCGACCAGAAGAAGATCCTCAAGGTCATCAAGAAGGCCTTTGCTTGCAATGGCACCATCGTGAGCGACACCGAGATGGGTGAAGTCATCCAGCTTCAGGGTGATCAGAGAAAGGATGTCCAGGAATTCTTGTGCGACAAGAAGGAGGGCCTCGGTCTTGATGCCAAAACCATCAAAGTCAGTTTTCTATGTCTGCTTCATCGCCGCTGTCTGATTCTAATTGATCTGCGCAGGTCCACGGTTTCTAAACGTCCAACAACCGCGCCATGCACCCTCGTCGGGTACGAGAGACCAGCCGGTGGATTATCACGACGTTTGTTTTTCTTCGAATCGTCAACAAGGCGCCCATTGCCACGATCCACACGGCTTTTCTTTTTCTCTCTACGACCCTTACGAACTTTTTAGACATGATCAACATCATCACCTTTTGAGATCATGGCGCGAAGATACTGGCGTTGCTCAAGATACCCAATCTGTCTTTACTGCTGCAGCAACTCTGTTACGATTGCTCTATGCTTTTTCCTATACTTTTCAGCCGAGTTTTTCTTTTGCCGCCTTTGCTATGCTCGCCAGGCCAGAGGATATTGCTACTTGAAATATGGAAATGCTCAGTATCGCTTTTACAAACATTCTTTTCTCCTGTGACATTGCTCTTGAATCCAACCTAAGCATTCTTGTGATCAAGTTAACCCGAGAATTCTTCGAGTCAGATTAAGCGTTCTCTTGATCAAATCAACCTAAGCATTCTCCTAATCAAAGTAACCTGCGCCTTTCTTTTCTCCTTCCTGTTCTGTGTTTTAACTGTGAAGCGAATTATTGGACGAAAACGTTGCTATGATACAATGTATATATTTTGAAGAGTATTGTACAAAAGTAGACCCAGTCTTTTATTTTGCAAGAGCCTCCTTCGGATCAGACTCGGTAGTAGTACCCCAAACCATCCAAGGACCCATCTTTCCCCTTTTACACAACCTCTGGACAACCAGATACTCAGTAACAGGCTTTGGAGCAGCCGAACTTCCCTCCTCCATAACCTCCACCGTCTTATTCCCCTGCTTAACCCTCCTCACCTTCTTCAAACTCTGCAAACTCTGCATCCTCACACAGACCTGCTGGATCGTGGTTTGTTTCGTCTTGTCCTTGTTGTCTTCCAAGCTCATGGGCATGTATTTGTGGCTCACGACTTTGGGCTCTGAGGTCCAGTTGTGCAAAGTCCATGCGATGCCGACATTGGGGCCTCTTTGTTGTATTCTTTGCTCCAGGGACATGTGGACATTTTCGCAGAGTTTTGGGGCTATGGGGGCGAGGTTTCCGGATGCGAAGGCGGTGTACATGTCTAGGTAGAGGGATTTTGCGATCGAGGGGATGGCGGAGGTTTGGAAGTCTGCGCGGGGTTTTACATGGAAGTAGCCCATCCAGTGGCGGCTGTGGAAGTGTCAGTCTCGAGGCTTCTTGGATTCAAGAGCGGGAAATGGATAAGGCAAGATAACATACCCAAAAATCTCCTTTATGCGCACCCAAGCACGGTGCTTTTCCAACGCAAATCTCGTGCTGAAGTTGGCAGTAAGAGAAGGCAATCGGTTTCCAGTAGGCATGATGAAAGTAGCAGGGATCAAGCCTACATCATTAGGCATCTGATCGATGTTNTTCATTTGCTCTTTCTTCATGACTTCAAACGACTTTTGGTTTGGCTGTTTCATGCCCGTCTGCTGTGGTGCAAAGGACTTGGACTTGCGTACGCCGGCGGAGGTACGAGGGCTGGTGCTGAAGAAGCGGGTGCTGGGTTGTCGCGAGCATGGTTGAGGGAGGCAGGTGGTGAGGGGTGAATAACCAGTTTGTTGCAGCAGTAGGCGCTGCATTGGCGTGCGTGTTGACATGTTTGTGTGCGGGTGGCGTGTGTGAGGGCAGCGGTATAGATGTTTCGCGGTGGAGCAAATGGGAAATGTTGGAGGAGCGGAGGGCACGGGCCTTTTCGGGGGTGCTGGCCGCCAAAGAGTATAAAGGTATAACTGTGTCGCGACTTGCTTTTCTGGACACTTCGTGTACTCGAGTATGGACCTTCCAGGTAGGTATATTGGTGCTTGATCGATCTTGCCTGTAGTCGATGGGTTGGCGTGTCTCAATAATGCGAATGACTTCCTGCAAGCGTCCGGCGGCTCATCTTGCTCGCGAGTATGATCTGCATTAGCGCTCAATGTGTAATGAGTGACACACCTCTAAGTAGGTTGTTCTCATGAGTTGAACAAACATTGACACCTCGAATTTTTCCTGTCACCAACGGACACACCGATTGTCATCGTATCATGGATCTTGGTACGGCTCTCGGAGTCGTCTCTCTCGGCCTACAGGTCTTGGAGGGTGTGATTAGCTACTACAGCTCTTATCAGGACTACGGCGAGGATGTCCTTGCTCTGTGCACTTCCTCCGCCTCTCTCATCCAGACACTTCGTTTCCTCCATGGCCAGCTAGAGCGGAAAGACTCTGTTCAGAACGACTTTCATGCCCACATCCTAGCATCTATCTACCAATGCCATGATGGCTTACAAAGACTGCAAAAGAAACTGGACAAGATCAAAACCGAACCAGCATTCATAGAAGACAACTTCCTTGAGGGCCTCAAACGTCAAGCTACCAATCAACTACGCAAAGCCTCATATCCATTCAAGTGTAGCACGCTGGCCAAGCTGAGGGAAACTGTCCAAAATCTCAGAGATAACCTGGCGCTTGCTTTGCAGGCATTTGATCTCGACACAGCAGAACGGAACACTCAAATCCTGGCAAGGCTTGATCTGCGAGTTGATGAAGTGATCGCCAAACTAGAGAACCTCAACAATTGTGTACTCGATGATGCTCTCAAGAGATGGCTATCACCCTCGAGTCCAGAGACATACCTACAATCGAATCTCAAGCAATGGTCACCTCAAAGTGGTGACTGGTTCCTCCAAGGAAAAGCCTTCGATAACTGGATGCAAGAACCGGGATCTTTATGGCTGACCGGAATGCCTGGCTGTGGCAAGTCGATCATGTGTTCTGCTGCAATCGCCCTGATCGAGCAGCGACGTGCGAGTTCGAGGCCAATTTTGATAGCTTATCATTTCCACACCTTTTCTGATTCCGACACACGGACAGTCGGTGCAATGCTACGGAATCTTGTACATCAACTGGCCTGTCAATCAGATGATATCTGCAATACTATGACCGACTTGTTCAAGAAATGCGGTAGTGGCAGTCGGCGACCCTCAGATTCTGAGCTTACCGACTTGCTCAAGGCGGCCCTATCTCACGATGCAGAAGCATACATCTTCTTGGATGCTCTGGACGAAAGTGATGAACAAGTCGAGCTTGTCGATCTAATCACGCATCTGGAAACTCAAGCCTTACACACTCATTTCTTCACAACGAGCCGTCGTCATGCTGCCTTTGTGGAAGCTATCGAGTCAGGAAATTTTACTGAGATTGCCATGGAACGCGCTACAGTCGACATCGATATCGAGCGATATGTACAGCAAAAATTAACCAGTGATTTCACACTGCGAAAGTTCTCGCCAGCAATGCGTTCGAAGATAGAAGCAAGGTTGTCAGATGCGAATGGCATGTAAGTTTTAGAAATCCTGTCTTTGTCCTCACAACCTCCGACTAACACTATAGCAGGTNTCCGTTGGGCATCTCTACAACTACAAGCACTTAAAAACCCAAAGCTGACTAGAATGGGCGACCACTTCATCGAACGGCAATTGAACAACCTGCCTAAAAGTTTAGATGAGACCTACGATCGCATTATGGATGATCTCGGTGAATTTGAGCGACATGAAGCAGAAAGGTTATTGACCATCATCTGCTTCGCCAAAAGACCATTGACACTTCCCGAGATCGTCGATACCCTCGCGATCGACTTTGAAGACCCTGATCGGGGCCCATTCGACCCATGCTACCGAGTCAAGGATCCAATGGCCGTGTTAGAGTACTGTCCCGGTCTCATTGCTCTGCAACAAAAGCGTCGTATCAATGCTCCACGCTGGAGGGACAAGCCTGTTGTAGCGTTAGCCCACTTTTCCGTCGACCAATACCTGAGGCCTCGAGTGCACGAATGGCGGTTTGGAGAAACAGCGACCGCACACGCCCTCATCGCTCGCACTTGCCTCAGATATCTGCTTTACTTTGACAAGCCAGACGAGTATACCAAGACGACCATACACGAATACCCATTCCTTCATTTCGCAGCCAAGAATTTCGCTAACCATCTCAAATCATCAAACTACGATGCACAAGCAATGGATCTAGCATGGCATCTCCTCACCAACGAAAAAGCACTCAAGACTTACTACACTGTCTCACAGCCCTTGGCTCCCCTCCTCGATACCAACGACTTTGCAAAGCGCAAACGACGTAAACAAGGACTCGTCTTTACTTCATGCACACCCCCTCCACTCTTCCTCGCCGTCCTCTGGGACCTACCACTTCTAGTTGAAAGACTCCTCAACGACCCTTTGTACATCTCCTCAATCAATGTCGTCCTCAACATCGGTATGACTGACGATCTCGCCATCCCCAGAACAGCCATCGAAGCCGCCGTCTACAACAAAAACTTTGAGTTGTTTGTGCTGTTGCATAGATCTGGCGCTGAACTAGGAAACTGTGTCTATGTCATTTCGGATTATATAAGGGAGCAACAGATTACGAACCCTTTAATAGAGGCGAAAGATGATGGTGAGAAGGAGATGAGGAAACGGTTCCTCGAGTATATCAGACAATCANATGTCGTAGATTCTATGTTGCTGGGAGTGCTGATTGGAGTTGTGGTCCATGACAAGATCGAGGAAGTGTATAAAGAGCTAGGAAATACTCCAAGTAGATCAACGATTGTGTTCCCGTATTTAGACGACACCAAGACTGCCCTCCGGATCCTTTTCTTTACCACAGCAAGTCCCATCAAGACTTGCGCTCCGTACCTCTTCGCACAATGTCTGCTGCCAATCCAGTCGCTGCTCATTTCGTCTACCCTCCGCGTCTCGGGTCTCATTCGACATTGTCTTGCTTCGGAGATCACAGCTCCACGTCCATCTCCAGTACAGTCACTCGTGCGTAATCGCAAAGCTAAATCATGGCTCTCGGATGTGAAGAAAACTAGCACATCTCCAAAGCTAGAGGTTTTTGGCTGCCTGAATCTCCTTCGACATCGTTTCTTCGCTGGATCGCGACTCTACGTTCAGCTTACTACTTATCACTCGTGCGTGGACGCAAGAAACTCGTTCTCCAATGTGACCAGCGACACGCGTCATTAACATGGCGCAAAAGTTTGCCGCACATGCTTGAACCGCTTGGTCCCATTGACCAAGTGTCGAGGCCCAGGTGGTTGGGTATCCAATCTTTGTCTGTTATGAGCTAATCCCTGGCTCAAAGGGCTGCAAATCGAAGTTCGACTTTGTCCGAAGAGACTGTTCGTGAATCATGCGCCTTTGGGAATTCGTAATGTTTGTTCATTCTGTCTTGATATTGAAACTACCGCTACCAAGCCAAACTCATGTCTTTCTTGACTCTACATACGCTCCGAAACCATTATCGCCGTCCCAATAAAAACAAACCTTGCTCGTGCTATGACCAAGATTGAGAGAAAGCGAGTGTGTGGACAATGCAGAAACTCCTCTACCTGCCAGACCGTCCCTGGATATCATGCGCTCAAAATTCAAACCACAAACGCCTCGGAAAAGAGCGGTGACAAAAGAAACAATGAAGCTCAGCGTGCAAGTCTTTACAAAGCAATGCCTCTGGGACTACCCAAGACACGCTCAGCCTTGCTAGTGCTCATCGTGCGAGGTCTCTCAGGCATCTCATCGTACATTCTTGATGCTTGCTTAGAAGCGCTGACAGCACGAGACCTGTTCGTAAGATTAGGCGAGACAGTGCGACCTTCCTTGGGAACTGCAGCGATGGGAGTGACGCCGCCAGATACTCGGACACGCGATGTAGGGTTGCGCTTGAGACGGCTGGTGCGCCAGTTCTCGTACCACTTCTCCCGGGAAGTGACACGCAGATCAGAGCGCCAATCGCCAAAGACGCATTCGCGGAGACGGATGTAGTCACAATGAACAGGGTTGCAAGGGTCTGCCTCGCCCCATGGGAAAATGCGGGTTAGAGCACCTGGTGAGGTGTGCGAGTCCGGACTCAAGATGGAGAAAGGAAGAAACAGCTCCTCCGGTGCGGGAGTACAAGAGTCTGCACGTTTAGAAGAGACTGGGCCCAGCATTGCTCTCGACGACTTTCTAACCGGGAAAGAGTGGGCCACAGTGTCGCTGTCTTCGGCATTGGTATCCTCAGTCACCTTGCGTGGTGGCGAACGCGCTACAGGTGGGTCCTCGTAGTCCGAGAGCGAAAACTCACTGTCATGAACCTCAGAATCAGGAGACTCATCCTCGTCCTCATCATCCAGATCCAGAGCCTGGAGCGGGTCGAGCTTTGCGTGCTTCACGTTAGACCAGACAATACGCTTCAGATGAGCCATGTGGGCAGCAGTAAGAGTGTCGGCCTTGGCGATAACAGGAATGACGGTTGTCTTGCCTTCGAGGGCTCTGATGACATCGAGATCCAGCACCTCGTCTTCAGCACCCGTGAACTTCTTAGTCGAGGAGTGATCCGTGGAGCGCATAGTGTTGTCCAGACGAGAGGGATCGAGTAGCAGGAGGACGCAGTGGATGTGGGTGTCCTTGACCCCAGGTGTGCGTACAACTCTGGACTCCTGGTTGAAGGTTTCCTCGAACTTGGACTCGATGAAAGAGGCTAGATCGCGAAGTTGAAGGTCGATGATGCTCTTTTCCAGACCCTGAGAATCCCAGAGTGTGACGCCAATGCGCTCTCCTTCAATGTCAGTCTCGAGGTATGATGACTCGAAAGGAGAGTCGTTGTGTAATGGAGGCGGAGGAGTGTGGCCGCGAGTTTGCTTGTGTGGTGGCAGGGCCATAGCTGTCTTGAGGAACTCCACGAACGACGTCTTTCCCGAACCTTTAGCTCCAGTGATGAGGATGCTANNTTGGATGTGTAAGTCGTGATCGATAGAATAGGATTGGTGATGATGGGAGACATACTTGAAAGCCTCTGGCTCCTTTCGGCGGCGCATTCTGCGAGGTGAGTGCATGTTGGCAGAGATGCTGGGAGCGTAACTTTCTCTGCCGCGGCTGACGATGCTCTCAGTGCGAGGCAGAGAGCTGGGCATGGGAGGCAATGGAACGCCGTAAGGATTGGTGAGGCTGCCGGTCGATGACATTGATGGCATTGACGAATTGGATGTGCTTGTCTGCTTGGCTCCAGGACGGGAGAAGTTGGCTGCGGCGGAGGATCTTCTTGGAGGGAATTGATCACCTCTTTCAGACGAGGTTGCGATGGGCTGGCGTCCGCTTTCCATGGGCTCCATGTTCGGCAGGATGGGCAGCTTAGGAGGAGAACGAGAGATGACGGGCATCTGTTGCTCTTGACGACGGCGTTCCTCCTGATCGCGGAGTTTCTTGTTGCGTAGCATCCTTCGTCCTGATGGGCTGCGGATGATTGGGACTTCTGATGATTTTGAGCGAGTGAGGAAAGAGAAGCTACCACGGCGTCGGGGTCGTGACTGCTCCGTTTCAGGATGCTCGTCACTTTCTGAGCTGCTCATGGCAGTCGCTGCCTGGACCGTGTCAATTGGTGAAACTGCCATGCTGACTGCAATCTGTGTCGGATTCGATAATCTTTTTGGTGGTTTCGCCGGTACGGGTCTCGACGGAACAAATTCGAGCGAATCGTCAAAGGACATCGAGGACATCGAGGCCACCGACATGTTTTGGGTGTGTGCAAGAGATAAGGAAAAGTCAGACTTACAGGTCGCATCCAGCAGGCCGAGAGCCGCCTCTTCTATACGTCGACCTTCCCTCAGATAGATAGTCCGTCTAGTGGAGAACCGGCACCGATCTGACGTACAAGACGCTAATTGTCATGATAAAACCCTCGAGGATCTCTACGAAGGAAGAGCTGATGCAGGGTCGAGGCCGAATCGGTACGGAGGTGGGGTTATTCCAAGTTTTTGTCCTGCAAACCTCCTGAACGGTGCAGACGTGGTCGATTTGGCGACCACCACGACGTGCGCCGCCTGCTCTTTATCACCCATCGTCACCTGCGTGAGACTGTCCAAACAGGCCCATGAAACACAACAACAGTTACAGCACCCTTCACTCAATTTATTCGTGGTATAGGGCTGAAGGTTGGTGAAACCGTGCCGCTCCCGCTGCGCTCCAAGCTCAACCCGAAACTCTGGGGGACTGTCTGCATCTCGGACCCGATCACTGAAACGCGAAATCTCCTTGGTTGTTCCAGCTGTTTGTTCTGCAGCTGACAAACGATAAGAGTTCCTTGCCGGCCATTTCTTTTTCCTTGCCTTTATCACCATCGCAACAATGATTCTGCTCACAGTCAGTCGGCGACACGTGAAGAAGATATCCCGATACCACGAGTCCAGACACGACTTCTCCGAGAGTATGCAAGAAGCTTTATTGCTTGCCGGCTTTCGACCTGAAGTCCCACCCTTCCCACCGAGTGGTACAAAGGTACTTGACCTATAGAAATGCACAATGCTCTTGCAACGTACAGATTCGTCCAGAGAAGATAGTCGCTCATCATTCTTTCTGTGGACGCGATTCTGTTTGAGGAAAGAATCATGCATTTTCATGACTGCTTTGGTCACGGATGCGTTGTCGAGACGATTGTGCCACTTCTTGTCTGCCCCGCTCTTGTCTCCGGATTAACTCATATGATCAATTCATGCGGTCAAAATACATGATTGTATTCAGCTCGGAGACTTGTCCATTGGAAGCTGTCAGATGCACAGCTCTCAGTGGGAGTTGTTCTAGTGCGCAGAGTATTGCGCAAGTTACAGGTACCATAGATGGAGAAGTCGAAAGAGGAGATTAAATGATCGCTTATCGAAGATGAGAACACCATACATGCATGTTGTGAAACCTGTAGCCGTCATCTCCCAGAATGAAAATGACTGTCGATGTCAAAAGTCCATCCAATCGTCCTTCTACTCCGGTCGAGGTCTCTTAGCACCATGAGGATTGCCACTAGGCGACATGCTGCCACCCGATGAGTTACCATTTGCTGCACCTCCATTTCCGAAGAAGCCTGGGTTGAAATGTCCTCCTTGCGTGTTGTTGCCGAAGCCTCCTGGTATATGTGAGCATGAGCTGATTTTCTGAGCAACTTCGCACTTACCCATGTTCATGTTGCCCATACCCATGGCACCCATACCTCCCATGTTGTTCATGTTGCCCATGTTATTCATGCCCATCCCCATGCCCATGGTCATGTTGGGCATAATCATACCGCCCCGGCCGCGGTTGTTCTGGAAACCTCCACGCATGTTGCCGCCCATCATACCGCCTCGGTTATTGAAGCCTCCCATGGCATTGTTGAAGCCGCCCATCATGTTGTTGTTGAAGTTGCCTCCCATGGCTCCTCCATTGAACCCGCCCATCATGTTCATCTGCGGGTTGTTGAAGCCACCGCGACCCATGCCGCCCATGTTCATGCCGGTATTCATGTTGTTCATACCGCCACGGTTGTAGCCACCGCGACCGCCGCGGAAACCTCCACCAGACTGGAAGGCGGGTCCATTGTTGTACGCGCCCGGGGCGACGACCTTGTTGCGCTGAGGCGCATCCTTCGGCGAGGTTTTGAAAGGATTGTAATCAGGTCGTGCGTAGATGCAAGTGTGCTTCTTAACATATTGCTGGTCTGCGCCGAAAGAATCGATACGATGTTTGAGTGCTGTTGCCGCCTGCGGCGATGCGAGCTCAACAAAGGCTTCTCTAACCGATCTTGTCAGCTCTTTCAATCTTGCGTCAAAGCACGAGGATCAACCCACCCCTTGCTTTTTCCGTTCACCTTATGCTCGTTGAAGGTGACCTCTTTGAGTTCGTCTTCGCAGCCGCATTGGTTGGCCCAACCTCTGATGTCGTCCTCGCTGATCCACCATTGAAGCTCTCCCAGCCTCAAAGCAGATGTAGCACCCGGGTCCACTTCACGAGTGTCTTCTCCCTCTTTGCGTTTGGTACCTTGTTCGGTGGGTGCCTGCTTTGGGGCATTGTACTGGTCGGTCGATGAACCGGTAGTGCTGAGGATCTGTTGCTGCTCCTGCAGGCCGCTTGAATCGGTACCACCGTGCGTCTTCTCATACTGGACTTTCATCTCGTCGGGATCGCCTTCCAGCTTGGGACCGTCGTCTATTGGGGGTTCCGTCTCGGGTTCGTTGGGCTGCTGGCCGTAGTTGGTTCCGTCGAGACCCGGGTCGTAGTCGGTGCCTTGTTGCTTCTGATCTTCCTCGGGCTGGGGCTCGGGCTTAAGGTCTTGCTCGTCATCACCATAGATGTCAATGTCGAAGTTATCATCGTCGGCCATTGTGAAGGAGGAGTTTGTTGATGCCAGTTTCGGGACCCGAATGTTTGTGCGATGTGGGCAGTTTGAAGCAAACTCACTGAAGCGTGTCTTGGTCTGGAGACGATCAATCAGTAAGGGAAAGCATGTAAAGAATGAGAAGCTGAGATCCGCAGGTGAAGCAGAAGTAGACTCCCAACGACCAGTCACGTCGTTCAGAATAATGAAGTCCAGTCACTTTGGCCTCTGCTTATGACCGTTCGACATTGTGGCTCTCTCGACGGACAGACGAAGAGTCAAGTGACCGGTCGTTGTGAAGCCCAGGCAGAAGATAGGGTGATGAATGATGGTAACCATATACTGGTGGATGACTGCTACGCGTTGATACGTACATGTTAACAGGCTTCAGCAATAGCTCGACAGAAAGTTCGCGAGACAGAGCTCTTTCCCCAACGCGAAGGTACAGTAATGGAAAAAGAAGAAGCGTTAAAACGATATGTTGTCTCCTCCGAAGGTTGGCAAAGCGATACAAGAAGTCCGATGAAGAGTACGCTGCGCGTCAAGGCCTTGTCCGTGTTTACAAGATGCTTTCCAAAGCAATCAATGTCCTCGACTCTTTCTGCAACTCCTAGTGTCCCTCTCTCTTACTCAGCGACACACAATGCGATGTCTGAACGGCTGTTAGCTGTGCAGATGCCGCGCTTGACACTGATGCCTTGGTGGGGCTCGAGGTCGATTCGGCAGTGGTGGCGACGGTGCGATTCAGCAGCAACAAATGACACTATGCGTAGAAGAGCGAATACGTCAAGGTCTGCGACAAGCTGCGAGTGGACTGAGGTGAGCGAGGTATGTATGTGGTGGAGGGCAGAGCATCCCTCGATCTCAGCCTTGTCGTGTCTCCAGCGCTGTTTGCTCTGTTTGTTTCCCATGTGACGAAGCCTCGGCTTTTGGTCCCGTCGAGTATCACTTTCAATCAGACAATCAACAGATCAACAAAACACATCGAATAGTTTCTTGCTATTTAATTCAAAATGCTGAACTCGAAAGAACAAAGCACGCAGTCGTCCAATACACCGACCGAATTCGAGGAAGATGGCGTCTTCGTCGCTCTCACTCACGACACTTTGGACGCCGTTGCTATCATGAACAAAGTTCGAAGTCCGAAAGCTGGAGCTATCGTGCTGTTCGCTGGTACGCCATATATGTACTGCCATTCTTGATGTTCAACCTGACACCTTTGAGGAACTACTCGCGACAACTTTGGAGACAAGCCTGTCGTGCACCTGGCTTACGAAGCATATGCTCCACTTGCCATCAGAACCATGACCAAAATCGCACGAGAGATCAAGGAGAGGCACGGTCTAAACGGCGTGGCAATGATCCATCGTCTTGGAGTTGTGCCCATTGCAGAGGAAAGCATCCTGATTGTAGTGTCGTCACCACACCGACAGGCGGCATGGCGAGCAGGAGAGGAAGCACTGGAGTTGACCAAGGAGAAAGTCGAAGTGTGGAAGTTGGAAGAGTTCGGTGGTGAGGAAGGCGGCGTATGGAGGGCTAACAGAGATGGACGGGCAGGTGTGAAGATCAGCGATTAAGCTGAGAGCCTGCGAATGAGATGAGGGAGATCTTAAAGTACATAATATAATACAGGTCATGACACATGAGAGGGTGGGTGCAGAAGTGGCACCGTTGTGAACCCATCGACCGAGGGTGGCGGGTCCTGGAGGGAGTCGATGGACGCTTGCATACTGCGTCGAGCATGGTGCGGTTTTGGTCGACTCTGAGTTGGTTGAAGGCGTAGGGCGATCAGTTGTTCTCCTCGGACTTCTGCACTTTGGCGAGTCTCTCTTCCTCCTTCGCGGCCATTGCAGCGACGAGACCAGCAAGACCTTCAGCCATGCCCTTGTTGTCGCCGCCTTCTTTCTTGTCCAAGAACTCTTTGACCATCTTCTCCATCTCCTCATCTTGCTCAGCCTCTTCCAAGGCGGTACGCTCGAAGCCCCAGGCTTTTCTAAATTTGGCGCGCATGTCCTCGGTGTCGGTAACGTCCAAGGCATACATCATGAAGCCAGTGGCCATCATGCCTGCACTGGTGACATTCGCAGTAGCGAGAACAAAGGCTTGTGCAGCTTCAACGCCGCCGTTGACGTTCGTGGGTCTGTAGTTGGAAGGAGTGAACTGTCTGGGAGCATCGGCAAGCAATTTCCGGGCGACGGCTCTGCGCGTGACNAAAAGACTCAGTCCAAAGAAGGTGGCGCCGGCGAAGAAGAGCGATAGCTGTCTGACTGCGCGTGCTCTGGGATTGGTGCGCATCTTTTCTCGGAGCTCATCGTCCACTGAGAGGAGGCCATTCTGTTTCGGACTTTGGCTCGGGGTNTGGCTAATAGCTTGTGAAAGAGGAGGTTGCTGTTGTTGTGACTGTGGCACGGATGGGCTTGCCTGTTCGGCTTTGGCCTTGTCGTCTCCGCCAGAGTATTGTGTAAGAAGATTTGATAGGATGCCCATGTTGTGTTCTGATGATTGGATAAAAAGAAAGAGCAATCCACCTTGATCGCTGTTGCCTTCTCCGCAGATCTTGCTGCTAGGGCCTAGATAGAGGCCTGTGCGCTTCTCCGACCACTTCCTTCCCCTCCCGCTCTCCCAAGAACGCTCATCATCCTGCCATCTGTATGAGCATACCTTGTTCCAAGCTGCATCTATGCCAGTCTACGCTGCATTTCTTTCACAGCCCGGGACACTTCACCAACACACTCTCAATGCCTTGCTCTTTGCATACCAGACATGTGCATGACATAGCTCGCGGACGCCTTCATGTCTGTTTTTAGCCTATGCAGTGTGTACCCGACGTCAAGCCATCTCATCACCGTGTGTCTGTACACAGTGTTCGTTCTTTCTCACTGCTTCTTTTAACTCTGTTGTCGAGCGAGACTCCAATAATCTTCTTGTACCAGCGCATGCCGTGTCAGTAGGGCCCAATCCTCGATTTCTCCGGAACCCATGGCCGAGTACTGTACCTGACGTGCTTCCCTTCCCGCAAGAACAACCTCATCATCCTTGCTAGGTCTCACTGGATATGCACCCCACATACTACGCCGGGTTGTCCCAGCAAGCCCAGATGCCTCCGCTTTTTCTACAACCTCATCTACAGCCTCACCATTCGTGTCAGCAACAGCCTTGTCCATGAGCCTTGGTGGGCTCACTGTATTAGTCACTGAATGATCACTGGTCTGATCAAATATCCGGTCACCGCACAAGTTGAGTGATTTCTCCAGTGTGAATGCAGTGGTATGCGCATCGTCGTTTGGCGCATGGCTCGTTGACGAACGTGCATGGCACCACGGCATGAATTGCAGGAACACCTCTCCTGCCGCTGTGAATATTGAAGCTTCACGTTTAAGCTCTGGATCAGAGCTTTGTACACAGGCACATTGTCTATTTTGAGATGTCTCTAGTACTTTCGCTATGACATATGCCGTCTTGCTCAGGTCGAAAAGGTCACGGGTTGTCGATGATCGTTTAAATCACTGGGATCTTAGGCAGCACATCGAGTTCCGTCACCAGACCGCTTTCTATTTTTGTCCTGGTACAATGCAAAGTAAGAAGCCAATCGAGACCATACCATGCTCATGTTGCTCCACGATGCATCCTTCTTACCTCTACAGGCGCGTCAGTCAGCTCAATAGCGCATCCTTTGCCCAACATTGATGCACAACCTTGAGCGATTCGTCTGATGAGGTGTCCCAGGGATCCCAGTGAAGCGGTCTACCACCACTTCGACGCCGCTCATCCTGTTCACGATATGCTCACGGTATGCAGCTTGCATACATGCAGTCAGTCAGCTCAATAGTCTCTCTTTCTACCCAGATCGGGAATCAGACTCCACCTCGTCCTCGATCATCATGAATCTGGAGCGGATTGAGGGAAAGGTGTGGTCGTCACATGAAGATATAAAAGGCATCTGAATTGCTCTCCTTCATTTTCATCTCATCCAAGCATCAACAGCAGTGAACACGAAAGAAAACCAACTCATCCTTCAGTAAAAACAATTTACTTTCGTTCTTAGTCAACACATACCTAGTCCTTTCAACATGCAGTTTACTACTATCGTCGCTCTCCTTGCTTCCAGGTTGGTTCCTGTACATTCCCAAGATATGAACTTATCTCACAATGAGACAGCGTTGCAGTCAACGCCATGCCAGGTGGTGGCTGGTCCAAGACAACCTCGAGTTGTATCACCAAGTCCACTTGCTCCGTGGCCACAGTTCCCTGGACTTCGGTCATCACCAAGCCTGAGACCTCAGTCTCTACTTGTGTGACCAGCTCTCCAGTCACCCACACGACTGCTGAGAGCAGCGTTTACACGACCACCGAGGCTACTAACTCGGTTGGCTCGTCCCAAAAGACGGTCTGGAGTACTGTCACCCAGACTAACGTCTGGACAACCTGGACTGAGGTGAGTCGTTCTCCTTTTTCCTGCTGCACAGATCTTCTCGTGCGCCTCTTGCAGACTCCTTACTCATGTATACAACAGGTCTGTACCAAGCAGCCAGTGGTCAAAACGAACACTTGGGTCAAGAGCAAGCCTGTGGTCACCAATGTTCCTTTCACTTCCACGGTCTATGTGACCGAGACCAAGACCACTCAAGTTCCCAAGACTTACACCGACTACTCTGCCACCACCGATTACAAGACCATCACTATCCAGAAGCCTTACACCACTACTGGTTACAGCACTGAGAGCAAGTGCAAGAGCACAACCTCTTGGTCTACCTGGGGTTGGTAAGCTAGACGCTCGTAAACTCGAGTCCTGTGCGGGCCATGAATAAGATGGAACTGCTTGGAATGAGTGGAATGATGTTTTATGACAAATGCGCTTCTCAAGTCTAATGTCTTTATGTTTTACTTTTTGTCGTTGTCGACACATATCACTCTCTATCCCTGTGGACAAGATACGATACATAAATCAAATTATGCAATTTTTTAAACACTTTTGAGATAACAATGTACTTTGAGATCAGAGTTAGCAATGGTCAAGTACAACGGTTTCTCTAGATCTCCTACGCGTCTAAAGGAGGTGTTTCCAACTATAGAAATGCATAATACTATCATGAGATCATGGTCTTTCTACGAAAATGACGGACTGGAGTCGTGTTTCAATGAACAGAGTATGACAGCTAAATAGATCTGTGCAGTTTCATAGTGTATATCGAGGCATACTCTATCACGAGATAATCGGACCATTTTAGAAGGGGTCCTGGATCTCCGAATCGATTGACGGGTAAAGATATGACTATAAAAATGCATGACTTCTTGCAGTATAGCATAGTACCCATAGAGAGCCCATATAAAGACTGTGTATCTCTGGACATGGACATACATCAATACAACTCTCTGCATCTTTATAGTCATACTAGATCCCGTATTATACATAGAGATACACCGGCCTCTTACACGTGATGTCGGTAGTGTATATCGCGGCGATAGGGTAAATATCGCCGACTCCGTATCTCCGAGCAACGACATGTCTCAATCAAATCTTTATGATATCATCCATACCCTTCATATTCGCATCTGGTGAGCTTGCAATAGCAGAGAAAAGGTATTGATGATCGTAACCTCATAGGCGAGGTCGGGGTCGGCGACCTTAGGTGTCGAGGCGGCGAGATAGATGGATTTAGCAGCACGCAGCAGACAATGGATACCTTCGATTTCGGCCAGATCCTGAGAAAAGATGTTGAAAAGTGTTGAAGAAGAAAGTCTCATGCTAAATAAGGTCTACTTATATACTAATGGAGTGAAGCCTTCCTTGCTTGGAATGGTGCTAAAAATCCCTTGCTACAGCTAAATTGTGTAAGCTATTGGTGCGTATTTCTTCTGAGTTTTCTTCTGAGTTTTCTTCTGAGTTTTCTTTGCCAATCACTACTCTGTCAAATAATATTTGATACAGTGGAAAGAACAGAAGATGTTGAAAGGTCTGGTGCATGGCAGACCTATTCAGCTCCGCTGCAGGAGGATGTCTCTATGCAAGCGAGATTCTTGTTATGCATGAACCACAAAGAGCAGTCGATACTTTTTCGACTAGCAAACATACCAACAAGCAAACAGAGAAAGAGAAATTGGCTTGCTGCTTTGTTAAATTGGTGGTTCGTTGTCGGCTTCAAGCTTCAATATTTGACTGCATTGAACAACAAAACTCACTTTCAATCAACCAACTCTCACGATATGTCTTGCGCGTTGTCGGCGCAGCATCCAGCTGGCCTTTCTAACCATTTTCCGTCCTTGAAAGCTTGGATTGAGGTTGATATTGCATTTCAGCACATCCCTATCAAGTTCACCAGGCTGAAGCCTTGTACCATCAACAATATCTTTCTCACCAGTTGGCAGATACTTCTCGGTCTCATCTAGCGTGATTCTTCGTGATCTGAGCTTCCTTTTACACCTTGTTGTATTAGTATTCAAGTCCATGTTCGGTCAAGTGAAGCCCGTGATTTTTCCCCAATCCACACCACCTGTACCCTTCCCTTTGCAGAACCGGCGTCAACGCCGGTTCCGACGCCGACGCCGACACTGTCGAACAAGGCAATTGCCATCGTGATTGTCCTCGAGGAAGAGATACTATAGATGTAACCATCTCTGACCAGATTTCAAGACCTCTTTTCTCTCCTGGCCGAGACAGATTCCCAATTGATATCATACCTTCTGCTCTCCTCGACGTGACCGACGGCTCTTCTTGTCTATCACTACTGCCAGTTCCTGCCGCGGGTAAGGCCGTGGGAGTTGCACCTTCCTCGAGCACTTCTCAAAACCAATCTCTTCCTCTCCTCCAGCCCATCCTTCTTTCATCCACCTCCGTCCTCCCATCATCAATCGCTTCCGTTCCATCATACGATCGGATAGCTATTCATCATCGCTTTCGTGCTCATCGCATTTGTTGCATCTTCTCATTCATCGTTGACCAACCTACACCAATGGCTCCATCTTCGTCTACCGCCAGCGACCAGACGGTTTCTCAGCGTCCAAGAAGCCAGTCTGATGGCGCCATCGACTACTCGTCCCAAGGTATGTTTCCATGATCTGCTTCTATTCCTACCATCCTCGTCATGTTCCGCGTCGTTATACGTCGCTTCGGGACGCATTGAGTCAGTCTACCATCCCACTGGGACTTGGTCTCGACCAGTCGGCTCGCTGCCTTTTGCCCATGCTCTTGTTTGCTTACGACGCGTCTCTATGATGGAGCACGCGCTGTCTGAGAAAGATAAGTTCACTTGCCTTTATAACCTGCACTTTCGCTTAACATGTTCTTCCTCCTTCATCATCATCAAACACAAACATTACTCTATTGGCCTCTGTACCATGCTGACCTTCGTAAGTCTCTGTTGCAGAATACTTCAACGAACATGTCTCCTCGGGCCCCCAGACCGAGCTCTCAACCGACAACGCTTCGTTCATCGAGCCTGCTGCCGTCACCACTGACGGCACGCACGAGACTCTGGACCAGAGCATTGTGAGCTACGAAGAGACCGACTTCGACGACGCCTCGGGCGATTACCAGGCACCTCCGACCGAGCAAACCTGGTACAAAGGTGTCTTGGTCACTGCCGACAATGCTCAAGCCGTCTTCTCTCCTGCAGCATGCATCTTTGTCGCAAAGTAAGTCGACTGTATACGTGTACGATGGTCTTGACTAACCTTCCAACCANGTCTCGATCGCACTCGCTCTGGCACCGAGCTTGCAGACGAGGTCAAGAGTGTCTTTGGACAGGTCGGAGAGTGCTGGGTCAAAGTTCGCTTCGACAAAAAGAACATTCCAGCTGCCTTCGTGCAATACAAGGTAAGCTCCGTCGAACTTTCGGTTGTTGACGAAGGATTGGCTGACGCACACTCCAGANCAATCGAAGAAGCCTTTGAAGCTGATGCCCGCTTCCACGGTACTCTCATCTCCGGACGTCCCTGCCGCATTAAGTATGCTCGCGCTCCACGTAAGTTCTTCCCTCTCGCCGCCCACTCGACGCTTGACTGACCTGGGAACAGGTNNACCGTCTTCGTCGCACGCCGTGACCAGCATGATCTGCTACCTGCTGAGGCATGGCACTACCTCAGAATGTTCGGTGAAGTCGACTTCTGGTGGACTCCGTGCCAGACCGAGAGAGCTCTGTACAATTTGCCTGCTGGAGCTTTCTTCTGTTTCGAGCTGTTCCAGCCTTGCCAGGATGCTTTGAAGGTACTCCATCTTGTCCTTTCCCTTCTGTTCATGTCAACCTTACTGATCTTCTTCAACAGGNCTCTTCGCAACCATGAGACTCTTACCTTCACGCTCGCTCAGCTGGAGAAGCGCAAGCCTGCTCCCACCGCCTACAACACGATCCTGCCTGAGATCATTCCTAACGCCATCTACGTTGGCAATCTTCCCTACGACGTCAACGAAAACACTCTGCGCATGATCTTTGCCCACTATGGATCCATCAACAAGGTCGAACTTCGCAAGNACCTTGTACAGTCAGTCAACACTCTCCATACACTTTTGTCCAACACTGACCGAGTCTCAGAGAGAGTTGCCTTCGCCTTCATCTACTACGAGGAATCTCACTCAGCCGCAATGGCGTGTCAATTCCCTGTGANNATCATTTACCTCCAACCAACACAATGAACATTTACTTACTTTTTCGTGCTTCAGTACTGCCATGTCGTTGAGGACCATCTCTCTTACATCGAGCTCAAGCGCGTGAAGCCCCGCCGTCGCAGCCAGCCCAACTACTTCGACAACCTCCCCAATGGCATGTTCCGCGATGGCAGGGACTACACCTACAAGCCAGGAAACCCCTCCTACATTCCCCGTCACATGCGTGGCAATTGGCCTTACTGAAGCGCTCCCGCTACCACCGCATCTATGACCTTTTGCTGTCATGAGATATGATCTTGCCACGAGCTACGCCGAGATGAAAGAGATACGACCATCGCAGCATGATGTTCCATGCAGCATGTCCTTTTGTTTGCTTTCGCATGTTCTTCTGCATGTTTTCCGCAATTTCTTCCTTCGTTCTTCCTTGCTGGCATTATGGCTTCAGCTTTTCTTCTACTCGATGTCTTCCAGTTGATTTCAGTATTTCACTGGTTGCTGTATGTATCGATAGACAAGTTTCGGTGGAGTCCGGCTGCTGGGTTTTCTTTTTCTCCCTTTTTCGATCCGCATCTTGCTATCTCCCTTGCTGTCGAGGCGACATGGTTTCAACTACACCACTGCACATATTGCTAGATAATTTAGCTAGACCACGGAAAATGTACGAAGCTCACACTTGCTTCTTGCCTCGAATGATTACGCCGTTTGTGCTGTTTGTTTCGTGCACAGAGCTGTCTCCGTACTGGAGCTTCAACTTGACTGACCACTGCGCATGACAGTACAGCAATTGGTTCATCATGCAGCAACATGTCGCTGGCTCTGTGAAAATTCTGGTCGCTCAATGAGTGCTGCAGAGGTACCATGTCTGCATCCTTGGCTATAGGTCTCGAAAGGAACGAATAGACAAAGCTCCGTGGCTGTCGGTTTGCAGAAGAGTAAGCCCGCCACGTTCTCTGAGAGAAGTAGACCGAGGAATTTTCACAAAGATGATCTGCTCTCATCGGTTAATGACGATGGCGACAAAGTGTTCATGCATTTCGACAACAACAAACAGAGAGATCGCCCCGAGCGGAGAGTCGAACGGAGGTGCAAAACAACGGCATTTCTACGGTTCAACTCATCATGTCATCATGCATTTCTCTTTTCTGCTCTTCTATCCAACCCATTATGTTTCTACTCGACTTCTGATATCTTCAGTTCGGTCTTTGCGGCCTTGACACCACCCGACCACTTCTCATCCTTTTTTTCCCACTCGATGGTTTGCATGGCGCTCGAGCGCAAGATGTCGGCTTTGAAGCTTGTGAGGCGTTTGCATTTCTCGCCCAAAGCTTCCATCTCTAATTGCGATGGGAATGCATTTTCAAAGGCCTTGTGCTTGATATTCTGGATNCTGTGCATATGGTTAGTGGCTGCAAGACAAGAGAGAAGGTAGGGCAAACGTACAGCAAGGAAGAATTGTAAGCTTGGGTTTGCGACTATCTCGACTTGCTCGAGGTATTCCTGCGACGGCAGGATAGAGAGGAGTTCCTTCTTGAAGGTTTCGTGATTGTCGACTTCAAGGGTTACGTTTAAGACCATGAGGGCTTTTTGCTGCTCGAGGATCGTGCGCAATTGGTTTGGAGTCAGGGTGAACAAGGTCGAGTTCAGCACGCGCAGGCCTCGGGGTCGTGTTGTTTCGTCTGTCAGGGCTTTGACGAGTGTAGAGCCGAGGGTCCTGTTCAGTGCCACTATGCCGTCTTTTCCTGCTTCTTCGGCAGACTTGTCGGTGTTGTTTGTTGGGTCTTCTGGGTCGTCGGTGATATCTGCGTCGCTGACGTTGAAGGCTAGTGTAACCAGTCCAGGTCCGATGAGCTTGCTCAACTCGGTGGCTTGAATCTTGCCCAAAAACTCTGGATCGGAATGCTGAACCGTGTAGTTGATCTCCAAGAACATCAAGCCTCGTCGCGCGGTCTCTTCATCAGAAGAGTAGGTCACGTATGGCCCAATGCTCTCGAAAAACTTTGGCTGTGCAAACACATCCAAGAGATGCAGAGCCCTCAGCCCAGGCAACTTCTTGAAAAACTCCACGCCATCATCCTGCGACTCTGCAGAAACACCACCAAACAACTGGCTATAGATAACCAAACTCTTCAAGTTAGGCAGACGATCAGCCAATTGACTCAACCAACCCACAGGATATCCCAAGGTAAACAGCTCAAGAGTCAAAGACTCGATGTTTGGCGGCAATGGAGGAATGGTAAAAGATTCCGAGAGAAGGCTTTGGTAGTCGTCGAGTTTGATGTCTGAGGTTAGGGTCAGGGCTCTGAGACCACCGGCTTGTGGTGGAAATTGTGGTAGAGAGAAGGTTTGGAGTGGGATCTGGGCTCCTTGGGCTTGTCTTGGGTCGACCTGGTCGCCTTGCGGGATGTTGTTATTGTTTTGTCCTAGAGTCGCCATTGTGTCCTTTGGTGTATCCTTCTCTTATACGTGTTTGATGTGTGTGTTTGTCTGAGGAAAGGACGTTTGCGTATGGGTCACCTCTTCTTTTTGTTCGACGGAAGAAAATCGTCAACCGTGTCGGAGAATTGTTTTGAGTTTTGTTGACGGCAATCGTCTATATAAATAATATTGGACTACGGAGCTGCGGACAAGGAGGGACAAATTGTGGGTACGCGGGGTGAGAACGCGGGGTTGTGTACAAGTGACAAGGATGTTTGCTGGCAACAATATGGTGATATGTGACTCAAGAGCATGCCTAGAATGTTCTGTGTATAGTGAGAGGGGTTGGTGAGGGGTCTTTGATCCTTTGCCCAGCTTGTTCGGCTGTGGTTGGGCCTGAGAGGCCTCACTCGGCTTTGGGAGCTTGACATCCCTCCGGAGCTTTCGTCTTACTAAACACCTTCTTGCAATGTTATAAGCATTCAAGTTCTGGCTTCTTTGTACAGAGATTAAGGAAGGTGACATTTTTCGCTCTGGCTTCATTCGATTCCCCAGCTGCTCAGCTGAATTAAGGGTTCAACATTGAACACCTCATGCGCTTCCACTTCGTGACGATACTCATGCACTTCATACCAGGAACAGAAACCACCGGAAACATGCCCGCCAGCATGCACGGAGCTCCAGCTTACCTCGAGATCTGAACAGATATTCATCCCGCGACAGGATAACCCTGTTCTCAATCCAGACATCGTGCGTGAACGCAGAGGCTTCTTTTTGTCTACCGGAACGTACGAGCGAAGCGTGCCTGCGCTTAGTCGATCATGACCCGGTTCGCCAGGCTCTCCTCTTTTAGACCACTCGCGCCCTCTGCTGAGTTCGATGTCAGGGATCATACCCACCAGACACATGTAGGCATAGTCTCTGGCGCAGACCATCCTCTTCTGCTCCTCGGATCGGTGTAAACGTTGGTTATCTGGAAGGGGGTGAATACCTGGTATGGAAAAAACAGAACTAGTTTTCGATGACTTCACTTGTCCTTGACTCTCACATGGTGTGATATGGATGCACGATGTCCACTGGGAGCCTGTATCTCAAGAGATCTCTCTGGACACCTCTCTTAATGAGAAACGGGCATGCATGTCGATAGCTTACCCACAAGGTCTGCATCGTCATTGGAGCAGCGGACAGCAACATTCATCTGTGAGGGTCGAGGAGAAGAATTCGGATCATTCTCGAAGTCTGAGTCGACAAATAAGCCTCGTAACGTGGTAGTCATGATAGGTAATGTTCGGAAGCAGGCTTCGGATGTGGAGTCTTCAGAATGAATTGGGGCATGAAGTGGGATTGTTGAACAGGTAGATGGCAAGGGTCTTGATAAGAAGTACAAGATCGGGCTATACCAGCTATCAGAGCATTCGGAGATGTTGAGCTGTCGGACGAGCCTATCTTTTCCTCGAGCCAATGGTAGTCGCTCGGACTAGCCATGTATGGCATTATAACGTCGTGTTACGGCATGTCTCTCGCGATATCGATAGCAGGAGGAGGCGGAGCAGTATACAAAATCGATTGTGGATAAGGAGATTGCGGTTCTGTAGGAAAATCATGACTCAGGCCAAAGCTTCACATAGTTTGCCGAAGTTTGCCGACTCGACTCCCCCACCGGCTAAAGGATCAGGGCTCAAACAGGATCGGCGGCTGCTTCCGAGGCAGCTGTTTAGCCCCACTTTCGAGCAACTGCAGCTTGCATGCAACGCAACGACACGACAATCCTACCGACCATCGGCATCTGAAAGAGTATGTTGAAGCGATACCGCAATGATGTTTGAACGGGTGGGAGGTGATGGGGCCACTTGAGTTGGGGTCGATAGCGACAAAATCCAATGAGTAATGCGGAGTCGAGACTATGAGGAGTAAACATATCAGGGCTGTCACCTACTTTCCTTCCAAAAGGTTGTTTATTCTTGCACGCTCTTCTATATCCAAAGATTCCCGTACGCACCAGCCTCGCCTATCCGCCTATCGCAACTGAACAGGAAAGCACATTCTAGATGGAGGTCATGACCACACCCCACGAGCACAAGCTCGGGCAGAGTGATGTGCAAGACAGAGCTCGAGCCTATAAGAGCAGGAACAAACGACCGTGTGATTTCTGCCGCTACAAAAAGGCTGCCTGCCATCTTGAGACCAAACCACCTTGTGAACTATGTCTCCGTTATGGCAAGGACTGCACATTCGTAGAGTCTCCAGTAAAAAGACGACGCCCCAACACTCACGGAGAACTTCCTCGAGAACCCTTGCTGCCACCTAGCAGTACCTTTGACCTTGGAAGTGACCTACTGAGCTGGGAACCTTTGCCCAACTTTATGACCGCAAGCTTACCAGGAGGTCTACCCGGAGAGTTCAAATTTGATTCGCCGATGTTCGCGCCATTGACGTTTGAACAATTCGATCCTGTTCAAGCAGGTCTGGCCCCGCCATCAACTCGATCCTCACGCACACCTGAGTCTACGGGCTCTATCTCAACATCTTTCTTTGAGAATGCCCAAGAGCCCTCATTGGATGTCCAAGGCCACAGCAATGCCCAAGTCATTGGACTCGGCGGCGAGTCAGATCCTTTCTTGCTTCGCCAGTATAATTATGATGGCAACAACGAGTGTGTGTTCCAACAACTTCGATTGCGAAGGGTCGGAGAGAATGATAATATCCCCGTACACTTTCTTATCCAACGGAACAAGTTAGCTGCCAAAGCTCAACCCGCAGAAGATCTCAGCACCCTAGACAGTTTCAGGAGAGAGATCAAGGAGATGATCCATGATGAGGTTGGANAAAGACTTATCAGACTGTATGTTCCCGAATGCCCAAGATTTCGTAAATCCGTGTACTGATCAACCAGATTCTTCCGCTTTGTGCAGCCTTACTTTCCCATTCTATCTCGAGAGCGCAGCATGAGGAACGGCGAGTACGATCCAGAAGCCTTCCCCACCGAGCTACTTGCCGCAGTCTATGGACATGCATTGCCCTTTTGTATCTTCGATGATCAGCTTTGTATCGAGGTATACACTCCGCCATCTACCGACTCACTGTTCCGTATTGCCTGGTCAGCTGCACATCCCAAGTTTCACACCCCGTCACTATCAGTAGTTCAGACGCTTCTACTGCTTGTTCAAAGAAGACCAACAAACAAGCATGTGGCAGATACACCGGTCAAGTGGACAATGGTGACTGACGCTGTGTCTATCGCACAATCGCTGGGCCTCAATCTGGATCCTACTGACTGGCCACTTCCTCTATGGGAGCAAAGACTGAGAAGAAGATTAGCCTGGGCTGTCTTTACCCAGGAAAAGTGGATCGCTCTCAACACCGGTCGAAGCTCACATATTATCTTAGACGACTGGGACGTGAATCCGCTAACACAAGACGACTTTGAACTTGCTGAAGATAGCAACGATCGAGCTTATTCCGAGTATTTCATACAGTTGTCTTCATTGACTGAGATCGTGGACGATATCCTTCGTAACTTATTCTCGATCAAGGCAACCAGAAAACTCTGCAGTTCTCTTGATGCGACGCTTGAAGTGGCTAAGCCACTACGTGTACGGCTGAGCAAATGGTATCAGGAACTACCACCAGACCTTTTACCCAACGTCAAAACGGGGTATGTGCATGATCTGGATGCACGAGGTGGATTGCATCTAGCCTACATTACAGCAAAGATTCAGCTTTTCCGCGCCATGTCTCGTCCGATGAGCGAGCCAGAAACACAAGCAACAAATGCTCTACGAACAGGAGCGATAGCCATGGGCAAAGAACTCTTTGAATATCTAGAAGGCCTCAACGCCAACCACATGGAAGCCTTCTGGCCGTCTTGTAAGCCTTAAACTGTGCATCAATTCATCCATCAAACAGTCACACTAACGACGTCAACAGATTCACGCACGAATTTCGCAATCGCAAGCAACTTCATGATTCTGCTATTCGTCACTTCTCCGAATCCGGCAGATGCAAAAGAATGTCTAGACCTGCTTACCTCATGGAGGAGTCTGTTGCGTATCAAATCTTGCAGCTGCGATCTTCTGAACCTGGCATTATTGAGGTTAGATGCACTATTCGTGGCGGGTCTGGACAAACTGATCAATCTGTCACCATCTGCTCTACAAGCCTTTCAGGGGCAGATGATCTAGATTGGATTATTATGTAACTCTTGTGTGTCTAGAAGTCTAGAAATACACCTCAGATCGTCAAACATCATCACACCTTCCTTGTATACTCCAGGATACCCAAATTTGCAAAGAGAAGGAAAGACACGGGTGTAGTTTCCGTGCTTTATGATCGCGCGCCGCTCGGCTCAACAGCAATATCCATTCTGCGTGTTTCGCGGGAGATGTGGCTGTAGGCATGGCAAACACGCGGGCCTGTTCGATCGAGCATATTGCGCGGTAGGTTGTTTCTTGGTAAGCGCGTTCGTCTGCACCAAAATTCTCATCGTCGTCGATGTCCATGCGAGCGGACTCCGTGTTGCTGAGGCCAGATCTAGAGAGATATTTCCACGTATAGCAACAATTTTGAATCAGAGGGCCAGACGACCGATATAGTGACAATTGGTGTCGGAGACATGTTCATTTTCTTCCTCATCTTCGTGGCAAGAGTTTCCATCAACTTTGATCGAAATAATCTTGTTCGAGGTCTCGTAACGTAGTTTTGCCTTTCATTCATTCATAACGTTATACCTCCTACCAAACCTCATCCTCTACTCCTCCCAAACAACACAAGTAACATTCCCACCACCCACCCACCTCGCCACCGGCTTACCCACAGTGCCCAATGCAACATCCCTCTCAAACACCACAACACTTTTATCGTATTGCAAACCCACAGCGATCAAATCACCCCATCTGTTGAGCGAAAAATGGCGCGGGAACATGCCGCCTGCAGGCCAGAGCTGGATATGCTTGAGCGAGCCATCTTTGTCGATGGCGAATGTGGATAAAGAGTCTGAGGGTATGGCGGTGGTGTTGTGGGTGGATGGGTTGGGGATGTGGAAGGAGGTGTTGTTGCGGTTGGAGACGATGAGGAAGCGGTTGTCGGGNCTGTGGGGATGGAGTCAGTAATTTTGGTAAAGATGCAATGGCAAGAGGCAGGAACTCACAGAGATGGCGATTTCGGCCGCGGCATTGCCGTCGGGGACAACGAGGTCGCCGTATGAGGTTGTATTGTAGACTTGCTTGAAACTCATGCCNCCGGCAGATGGATACGAGACTGCGAACGAAGTGACAGTGTTTGCCAGCTCAGAAACCAAAAACATGAAACTGGTCGATTTCTTGCCAACGACACCATAAGGCTGGTAGAAAGCCACATGTCTAGGCCCAGAGCCAGGAAGAACAGCAAGAGGCTTCTCAGCCATCAACTTGTCAGTCTTGGCGTCGAAAGAGAAGATGCGAACGAGATCTGCTCCAAGATCAGGAACAACAAGGAATTGGCCAGTAGGGTCAAGAACAGCTTCATGCTCGTGAGGAGCGTCTTGTCTTTCGGCATTGGGACCGGGCTTGGTCAAGTTGAAGAGTATGTCCTGCTCGAATGCAAAGCCGCCAGTGCGGTTGACATCCAAGTCCCAGCTGCTCAATGCGCTGCCAGAGTAGTGTGCCAATGCGATTGAACGTTTTTCGGCAGGGTTGCCGTAGATGACACCGCTGACGGGACCACTGATGGTTTCTTCGCGGTGGACTTTGGTCAGGCTGCCGTCGTCGCCGATGGTGAAGGATGTAAGAGAGCCATTGGTGACTTCAAGACCCTCGTCGAGGCAGTAAAGAGTCGCGTGATTGGGATCGAGAGTAAGCCATGACGGATTTGGGGCGCAGCCGGGGTTGGCGGAGGTCTTTGTCAGAGAGTAGTGGCCACCGTGCTCGGTAAGGGACAGAGTGGTTATATCGCCAGAGTAGTCCGAGACGAAGAGGTTGGTGGCAGCAGTCAGAGAGGCGGCAGCACAGAGCTGCAGCGAGCGGACAAGCATCTTCACGGAGAATATGATCGGAGGGGAAAAGTGACCGGGAAGAAATAGAGGCAGTGTCACCTAGCTACTTATACTGGGCCATGAGGAGCCGACACATGCTACCTTCTACATCAGGAGCGCTTATTATGACTAGCAGACTGACGCATAGTGCTGTGGACATGATGCACCCAGCCGCCTGTACCAAGAACACATTGATGATGCTGGTCGGATGAAACACAAGGCAAAGAGAGGTCGGAGCGGGGTGAGAGCCAACCGGGGATCCGCTTGGTGGGGACGTGCTTGGCGAATGATGATCTGCAGTTCGCTGGCAGTGGCATCAACAAGGTTCAATCGAGCGACGCGTCAAGGCACAGGAACAGCATGAAACATAAAAGATGTTTGATATAGGTAGCCGTGGCTTTGTTTCTAGAGCTGAGACGTTCTGCTGTTATCGGGCCATCTCACTCGTCCGTATGACAAGTCGGCACTACCAAGACGACAAGACCGTGAAAGTTCCTCAAAGGGCCTTCTTTGACTGGTCTCTGAGCTGAGCAGTAGACTGGTTCTCGTTGCTTCTAGATTCGAGATCAGCAGCCCAAAGAGCAGCACCGGTGGTGTTGGTGAAGGCAAAGAAGACGCCAGCGATGGGGACAAGCTCCAGCAGAGTAGCAACGGTTCCGAAGCCTGTGTATGCGCCCTGTCTCTTCTCGATCCACTCCTCCTGACGAGCCTTGCCCATACCCTTCAGCTGGAAGTATCTGGCATGAGCAGCAGGGCCAGCACGCTTGCCCTGAAGCAAGATGAACATGACGGTACCGACGACAGGAATGAAGTTGAGAGGCAGGTACATGACGTATCTGATGATGGCGCTGGGAGCGAATTTGGCGAATGGCTTGGAGACGAGTTTACCGAGACGACCAATGGCATCACCACCGCGGCCGACCTTGCGCTCCTTGGAGACGAGCTCGGCCTCGCCCTTGGCGACAAGGGTACCGTCGAAGGTGTCGATCAGGCTGTCCTCGACGAGGAATGTCTTGGAGAGGGTGTTGAAGATGGTGCTGCTCTCGTTCAGACAGAGCAAAGCGGCATTGACGGCGGCCAAAGGACCGTTGAAGACGGCCAGGATAGCGGCTTGGGGAAGGTATCCGAAGAAGAAGACACTGGCGAGGGTGGTGATGCCGAGAGCGATGGTTGGGAGCAGCTTGGATGCGAGGGGCTTCCAAAGCTCGCGCTTCGAGAGGAAGTAGAAGATGCCCNNTGATCGATGGTCAGCTTTGTCAACAAACGCTCATGGATGTGACAGTACTCTGATGGGGTAGAGGTAGGCTCCAGACTGAGCAGCATCTTGTGCCAGCTCGGCCACTCTCTGCGCCTCCTCGCGAACGGTCTCCTTAACTTTGTCTTGTGCTGTCATGGTTTTTGTATACTCGACGTGAAGGTGAATGTTTCGAGTAGAGCAGATGATGCAGAAGCTCTGGTTTTGTTGTCGCGGAGGTTCACTATTGCAATCGCGTACCAATGACATCCAGTGACATCATTTGAGCCACAGTGAGAGCTGCCAGCCACACTCCATTCCCACATCTCGATTGCACAAGTTATGCAGACACCTCGAGTAGACTTGCCCATGTTGACACTCTCTATAATGATGCTACAGCATGACTACTCCTTGTCCTGATGTCTTGCAGTTGTTCTTTATCCTGTGCATCTTTCCCATGGCTCTCTGTACTCCAAACCCAAGGCACCAAAGACGTTCTTTTCTGCCTGTTCCATAGTATCCGCTTTCCCATCCACATCAACCACATCCCCAGTCCTCCTATTCCTGACACCAGAAGAGTCGAATTTGTAGTTGTACGTCTGTCGGACGTAGCGACGTAAATCGCGCTGGAACGTCGTGCCTCCCGACCACCCCATGACTGCACAGCCAATGGTTTTCCAAGGCGCAATGATAATGTCGACTCTGCGGTGAGGGTTTGTGTTTTTCTTCTTGGTATCCGAGGGACCAGGATCAAAGCGAGGGTTCTGCCAGACCACGAGTGCTTTATCCAATGAATCAAATCCATGACCATGCGCCGAAGAGGAGTTGAGAGGAAGTGTCTGCTGCGAACGATTACTAGTCGTCGTGCTGATGAGTAGGGTATGTGTGATCCAACTCTCTTCTTCCAAACTCGCTACGATATCGGTGATGATATGCAGCGTTTGGTCTTCGTCTGGGTGAGACAGGATAATATCCACATCTCCACAGTTTTCTTTGCCTCTCCGGTAGCCTCCAACTACTAGACTTTGCATGCCCTTGTCGCGGACTTTGACGGCATGCTGATGGATGGTTGACGCGATATCTTCGACTTCTGAGCGAGGAATGGGAAGGAGGAATTCGTCGTAGAATTTCACACCAATCTGTTGGACCCGTGTCAATGTACTCCAGCCGTATTCAACCACATCGTCCAGATCCCTCCAACCTTTCTCTTTGTAAAAGTCTCTTGCTGTTGTAGCTCCTACGCCCCAGATGTTGTAGAACAGCCTCTGGATCTTCAATCCCTCGTCGTTTTCTGCATTTTCTGCCTCTTGAATCTTGCCGTAATTTGCGAATTCGACGTAGAGATTCGCTATCTTGGCGTCGCAGCCAGGCAAGTGCATGATTTCTCGTGCGGTGCTGAGCTTGTACGGATAGGCTGCTAACGAAGCGATGCTGGTGCTGTAGGCCCGCACGCCTATCTCATCGCCTGTAAGTAATCTAGCCAGTTTGATCTTCTCGAGCTGGGCGATGAAGGATGCATTCGGCGGATCAGCTGGAGTTGACCGTTGACAGGCGTATTTGACGACGTTTTGTACCCATGGTGGCATCTCCGGAAGGTCACTCGATTGACCAAGGTCGTGCTCTGAGGTCGTTTGGTGCAACAGATGGGCTCTTTTGGTGTGAGGTGTAGGTTGAAAAGGTGCAGAGACTCTACCTCCACCAATTTGACCGAGTTTGCGGGCGCTACGTTGCTGGACCGGCGAAGATATGTCCGTCTCACCATCTGCTCTTGCGCGCTCCAAGATAGACTGTGGCGTTTTAGATTGAGCTGTGAAGCTGGAACCTTTGACAGGTGTGCTTATATCGTCAGATTTCTCGACACGACGTCCTTGGTAGAGTAGATATGGTTCGATGGGAACAATAGTGCCTTGCTTCCGACAATCGACAAACCATTGCAGCCTCAGAACCTTGATGTAAGAATTGGAGAAGTATGCATCGTTTGGGTCTTGATTGACAGGAGACTGCTTGCGCTTACGCTTTACAGGCCTTGACTCGTCCTCGGTGTCTGATTCAGTGCTGACATCGTGAATAGCCGATTCCTCTGCCTCGCCCTTGCCAGTGCTTCCTGCTTGGAAAATTCTCTGCTTCTTAGCGCCAGGCTCTCCTGAGGCAAAATCCGAGGTATTAGTGTCTTTGACTATCTCGACCTCTTCAGTGTAACATCCTTTTGATCGCAGGTCTAGCTGAATGCGCCTCTTCCGTTCCGCTTTGGTTAGAACGATCTTTGCTTCTTTCAGGTCGTATGAGAGTAGACCTCCAGCCTCGACGACCTCATCTTCCAGTTCATGCAGTTCGCAGGTATCCAGATGTGACTCTGAAACAAATATGGGCGGCAAAGATGAAAGTTGTAGAGTTGGTTTAGGCATTGGATCTGGCTTTTCCTCCACAGGGGGTTCGGGTGGAGGAGAAGAAGCCATCCAGTGTGTAGAAGACATGTTGATATATAGTCAGGTAGGTGTTGGTAGCGAACGCGCCTACGGGTCTCGGAAAGATGAATACCAAAACATTCGCTGTTCGTTCAGTGCTTTGGTTCTAAGTACCGCCGAGACGGTCATACTTCTTATTAATGCAAAACATGTCTCTTGTGTTGGAAGGTAGAGCAAGGAAGGGATGGTCTTTCTTCAAGGTCAAAGACGTTGTTCTCGGTGACGCGCTGCTCGGCTCAAGCTTCTCCGAGCCGAAAGCAATTCTGGAAGGGCGACCCAAACAACAGAAAGTTTCGTTGCTTGCGAAAGGCGACAACATATTTTCGCGACAAGATGACAGCGAAATTTGTAGCGCGAGCGGTGTTTCCGCCAGTCGAGTCGCTTCCTAGATCATACTTCTTGGGCCATCATGCTGCAGGCCTCTCCAAGATGAACACACTGCTGTCGCAGATTGACCTGATTGTCGAGTGCCGTGACTACAGAGTACCACTAACCTCTCGTAACCCTTTGTTCGAACAGAGTTTGGCAGGCCGTGAGCGCATCATCATCTACACCAAGCGCGACTTGGGTAGCACCAACAAGCCCGTAGACAGGGAGGTGAGTCCATGTGTCGCATTCCACTCGGCGTCTTCTGACATGGCGAAACAGAGAGAGAACATCATTCGCAAATGGCACAAACCCTCCGAAGTTCTGTTCTCCGATCACAAAGACAAGAAAGACATCCGCAAAGTTCTGGATTTCGCCCGCCGGTACTTCGAGAACAGCACCTCTCTGACTGGATCGCGCATCATGGTTGTAGGAATGCCCAACGTTGGAAAGTCATCGCTGCTCAACGCACTACGGAAAGAAGGAGTTGGAAAAGGCAAGGCTGCACATACGGGCGCCCAGCCAGGCGTAACACGCAAAATCTCAACAAGCGTCAAGATCATCGACAGTACCGAAGACGGCGAGGGCGTCTACCTGCTCGATACTCCAGGTGTCTTCATACCCTACGTCCCAGATGCCGAAGCAATGCTGAAACTTGCCCTATGCGGCAACGTCAAAGACACCATCATTCCGCCTGCCACTCTTGCCGACTACCTCCTTTACCGCGTCAACCTCATCGACCCCAAGCTCTACAAAGAATACTGCACGCCCACCAACGACATTATCGAATTACTCAATGCCATCGCCAATAAGACTGGCCGCTTGCAGAAGGGTGGTGAGCCAGATACTGAGGCCACCGCTCTCTGGATGATTCAACGCTGGAGAAACGGTCTATGGGGCCGCTTCCTCCTCGACGAAGTTACCGAAGACGGCTTGCAAANNAAGAGAATCATGGAAGAATCGAGCATGGGCGGCAGTATGAACCAGGCACGACGAGCCGACAAGGAGGCTCGCAAAATGCGCAACATCAAGAGGCATGCCGGAACCAGTGAGTGATGAGTTGTCTTGATCAGCCTCGCTCACCATAAAATACTGCCTAAATGTATCATGGACTCGCGGTCAAACACCGACACTGGATGACGTATCAATTACTGCGTCAGAACGACATGGGATAAATGCACAAGGACAGCAGACAGCTTCACGGTACTTGTCCCGAAGGTCAGTGCAAACCCCTAAATAGGAAGGTGCTCGCGGATGCGAAATGTTTCCAGACATCTGCGTCCCGGGCTGCCATGCATTTGCAGATCCGGAAGCTCTCAACACACTGAACAACATGTTTTGGGCTCTGGAGGAATACAAAAATCTCATCATCTGAGGTCGACTTGACCGCACCTCGAGACGGAGAAAAGCATCGCGATGACAGTCTCGAACGATGCATAGTCTTGTAACACGGGAACACCATTTCATAGGAAATCCTTTGCGAATCTACAAGAGTAGAGCGCCTTAATGGATTTCCCGGTACCAGATAAATCAATGTCAACACAGTTCTTACGAGTCACCTGCATTCAAGAACCTCGACTCATCAAGTTTTGTTTCATATCGATCTTGTCTTCCGTTTGGGCTGAACCTTGCTGCAAAGCCGCTTCCAGCCCGAACTGGAGGGGCGCTTCTTCGGAAGCTGCACTTAGGCAATGATCTGCTTCCGAGACCATGTCACCATTTAACAAAACCCGTTTCGCACGACATCCTCTAAAATATACAATTCGACTCCTCATCGTTCTTCACGGACTAGAAAACTCCCATAATTCACATATACATATTGGACATCGAAAATGGATTTTCTGGTCGGCACATTTTACACACCCACACTCTTTACTCTGTGCTTCACACCAAGCAAAGACGCTTCAAAATGTAGACTGGAAATCACGCACACTTCCGAAGCCATCGGCGGACACTCCTGGCTCTCTCTATCGTCCGACAAANAACACCTCTACACCACCGTATGGGCATCTCCTCCTGCTATTGCCGCATACCGCATTGGGAATGATCACACGCTCACGCCTCTAAATTCAAAGCCCGTACGTGCAATGAGTGGCTACGTATGCTGCTCAAGCACAACACTATACTCAGCCGGCGGACCCACTGGCGAAGTCTTTTCTCTGAACCCAGATGGTAGCATCGGCCACCTTCTCCAAAATCTAGAATTCAGAGACCAAGGCAACCCAAACGACGGAGCTAGAAACGGAGTCGCACATGGAGATTTCGGCGGCTTGAGACATGGCGCTCACTCTGTAGATCTCTCGCCAGACGGGAAAACCCTCTACATCGCTGATATAGGGCACAATTGTATCTGGAGCTACAGCGTGTCTCCCGATCAAGGGAAACTGAACCAAAGACAAAAATGGATCGCAAGCAGGCAAAACGATGGACCAAGACACACCTGGCCACATCCTAACGAAAAAATCCTTTATTCGGTCCAAGAACATAGTTGCTATGTCGATACCCTATCAATGTCAAAAGAAGGAACTCTGGACCTCGTCTCCGGTGTAAGGATCATCCCTGAAGATAAAGATGAAAAGAACTACTGGGCCGACGAAGTACGATTGAGTAGACCCACTTCCGGATACCCGAGATATCTGTATGCGTCAACGCGGGGACTAGAAAAGGAGACAAAAGGCTACGTTGCAGTATTTGCATTGGATGCAGATGGTTTGGTGCAGGGAGATGCGATTGACATCTTCGAGACTGCGACGAGTGGCGGCATTGCCAATGCTATTGAAACTGCACCCAAGATCGATGGGCAAGAGGGAGCGGAATATTTGGCCATGACAGACAGTCAGGNNGAGGGGTATGTGTTCATCTTGGCCTTTGACGGCAAGAAGATTATGGAGGCTGCGAGGACGCAATTAGTGGGAGAAGACGGAAAGACTCTGGCTGCTGCTACAGCAGTATGGTTATGATCGGCTGTCAATTGAAGCAGTAAAGCGTTGAAGCATGAGTAGTGGTGAAAATTGTGTAAGAATAGTAATCATCAAGTCCGGCTACCGTTTCGTCTATAGAAAAGTATCTCCAAGCATTAAGGCGTACAGCAAGCCCTATAGAAATCATGAGCATATCTCGTATTGCTCCCCTGAAACCCCGATCGCAACGCCTTGCGACCCAACTGTTGTCATGAGCCATGTCCCGTGGCAGGCACTTCCCGAACTCCAGCCAAAGCAACTAGCATAATTTCTTCCATCTTCGTTTATCAGGTTTGCGGTTTGTGATCGTCCTACGACCGGTAGATGTCGACAGCTCCGCTGATGTTGTCCACACGCGCCTCCATGCCAGTCAACTTGCTGCGAAGAGTTCTCACTTCGCGTTGAAGATCTTTCACCAAACTGAACAGATTGTTCATGTCGCGGGCAGAAACCTCATAACGGTCATGGTCTTGATATCTGTCATCTGGTCGAGACATGTCGTTGCGTGAGTCGTAGTACTGGCGAGTGTCGGCATCGTGTCGAGTAGATCGTGAAGTGTCTCCGTTGGCACCGCTTCGCTCTCTGTCCGATGCTGATAATCCCACAATATGTGGAGAAAAGCGGTTATTGGGGGAAACAAGCGAGGCAGGTGCGTCGAAGGCGGGTCGTGAGGGTGTAGCATTCAAGCCTCTGCTNCCTTCTGGGACGCCGCCGCTGTAACTCGACAACCTTGGTCGCTTGGCCGCAATCTCAACTGGAGGGCTTCGAGAGTCGTCGTCGTCCATATCATCACGCTTACGGGCGCTTCCAATTTTCAGAAGCGGGAAACCAGTCCGCTGTTGCTACGAGGATGTCAGTCATCGTTCTTGTATCTTCGATGCGCACGAACTTACGTGAGACTCTCTGGCTTCTCTAGCATGTGAGCACCCGCTCTGTGTGTATGAACATCGAACACATCCAGTCTTGTCATGACTGTTCGGCCGCGTCATACAAGCCCTGTTTTGTCGCTCGCAAGTATCGCATCTAGGATTACGTTCTGTACCATAGCGCATGCCCTTGGACGCTCTAGCATGACGAGGATTGTCCGAATCCAAAAGGTTCCACCAGTAGTCGTGTCTTTCGATGTCAAAATCGCCATCATAACGTGGAGGTTCCGGTTCGGCATCACCACCAATAAGTAGTTCGTCAATATCGGATTGTGCATCGGTGTCCGCCGAAGCTGTGTGACTTCCGTTAGGGAGCTCCGCGTCGACCTTGTTCTCAGTCCTCTGGACTTCGGGCTCCGCTAGAGGTTTTGATTCTTTTGCATTGGCCACTGACCAAGTCGGCACTTGAGGTCGAGTTTCAGCATTAAGTTCGGCTCCGGCTTGAATTTCACGAGAACTACTACGGGCGTCTGCCATGGTGTTGTCCTTGGGTTGTTGTGATAGACCGTTTGACTGGTTCTGTTGCGCAGCTGCAAAGGTATGAGCTTCATATTCCGATGCGACAAGTGGTAGCCGCCAGCGTACCGGCCAAGAGTTCGTGAGCAAACCTACGGGTAGTTTCCGACTGCGGGATCGGATATGCTTCCATTTATCGATGGAATTATGGGTGTTGTCGATTAAGTTGAAGAGATGGTTCAGAGCNGGCGGGTGAGATGAAAGGAGGCGAGCGAAGGGAAATCGACGGCGGGGGTCGNNGGCTTTTTGGTCGCAANNGGCAGGCACGGCCCGGGAGTGGCTTCTTCTCTGGTGCGGGTGGGAGCGTCGCCAGTCAGGAGCCGANGCGCTCCGACGAGGCATCGAGCTATCGTACCGCCTCGCTGGGCATCTTTCTACCTTCGGGTATTGGTCCTCTCATCTCTAGCGATGCCGTGGTTCTTCTCTCCACTTCCTATCCCAAGCGCANGAGCTCGACCGAACGTGTCGGTCTTCATGCGGTTCATGGCGCGTACGGGCGGTNCTCAGCAACTTCCGGCCGTTAGCTGCATCAGCGAATGGATCCCCAAAGACGGGCCAGGCANNACACGCCCTTGGCGCCACGAGCAGGGCNAAAACCAGGCCAACAAAACACCCGGATGCCCCTCGCACATGCTTGCCAGGTTCCGGGTGNTCTTGTTGCGTTGTCGCATCATCTCTCTCCCCCNNTCGCTTTCACGTTGCTGAGGCGGTGAATCTACGAGGATTTTCGCTGTCGGCGTCCGCCCTCCGCTCTCGGCCCCAACACACATCTGTCAACACGACATGCACGATCGCGCCCAAGGATTCTGACGTGCTACAGAACAAGACAAACAGGCGCGTAAATTTGACGGCGTGTTAATTGCCAACAAGACGACCGCGAGTTCTTAACAACACATGACTGAGGCCATCTCACTGCTGTCGAAGCGGGACCTCAAAGCTCCCCACGCAAAGCTTCGCTATGCCCGAGAGTCCCTCTGACTGGGTCTCGCGCCAGCATCCAAATGCTGCACGCTTCGCAGCGCATCAATTTCTTGCGGTCGTGAAGTCTTGTCGGCAGTTTGTGCTGTCTGCCATCTGTTGTACTGCGACGTTGAAGACCTCTCAGCGCGGTGCCCTCAACCCCATCGCTCTCTCCATACTCAAGTACTCCAAAGGTCTGACATGGTTGTGAGTGCACTGTCTGTTTGTGACCTGTGGAGTGACCATACTTCTTCGAAGATCGCTCTCCATATCTTCCAGGCTTCTTGTTGGTCTCGATGAGCTTTCGCAGTTGCCGCCGGAGTCGAGACCGACTTCCTGCATCTCGATGTCGATCTCGAAGGCCGGCATTTCTTGACTACTTGATGTCTTGCAGGCGAACATGTTTGCGAGTCTGAACACCCACCAGTCCGATCGCGGTGTCTTCCTACCAACAGGTGGTGACTGTGATCTTTGTAGACTGGCCATATTAAATCCCTGTTTGGTGTGTTGTTGAGGTTTCTCTTTGACGCCTGACTATTCTGAGTGAGGTGACATGGATGGTGGAATACGCGTCGAGGTTCATATCTTTTGATTGATGTCGCAGTGTGATCTCCGATGATTCTGCTTCTGTTCTCAAACTTGCTCATATCATTACTGATCTATTCTAGTGCCGATCTTATCTAGAACAACACAGCACGAAAAGTGCGAAAAGCTCGGCTGGTCTCAAGCCTCAACATCAGAGTCTAATCTCTCGGGTACTGCCTTCTCCACGTCGAGCGGGCTGCCACTCTCTTCGACGATTTGCGCCTTTTCGGCTCGGCGCAAAAGCACAGAAGGATTCAAGACCGCCAGAACTCCCATGGCAATAAGCATGGGCGCTGCATCCAGTCCGATGACATAGCCTTGCTTTGTGATGAGCGGACCTCTCCAGCCCTGACATAGCTCGATGGATCGATAGAAGCCTCTCAAGTTCATCATGGTCGTGCTGATGACAATGGCAACGCACGCCAATAAGAGCGATCGGTTTGCTTTGATCTTAGAGGCTCCACGAGGAAAGACGATGCACAAGAAGCCCGCGAACACCATGCCAGAGACCAGCTGGGCGATGATGCCAACGACCATGATAGTTGTGCCAGTAGAAGTGCTGGTGCCTTGATCGAACGCAGCACCTGCCAGACCACCGCCGATTGCCTGGAGACTCAGACACACACAATCGACACTGAAAATGACGAGCAGGTAGAGCTTTGGCGGCACTGGCAACACCTCTCTGCCCAAGATCTTGACAATCATCCACAGCGCAATGTAGACGCCACTTTGCGTGTATGCAGGTCCCATGATCAGCGAGGCGATTTGCATGGTGTTGACTTCGCCAGAGTAGGAACAAGAGTGTGCGACGGTACGTCCAATCCATCCGACGAGTTCGAGGATTGTGCCGCAGCTGAAGAAGAGACCCATCCACCAGCAGCGAGTGCGAAAGGTTTGGACGACGTTTGACAAGGTGTAGAGGCCAAAACAGACGCTGAAGAAGACTCCTGCTGCTAGAGATGGTTGGTATCCATAGCTCGATGGGTATGCGCCGTAAGGGGCACAAGGAGGGATGTATGGAGGCGGGGACATTATATCTCAATCTCGTAGTGATGCGACGGTAATGGCAGTTTGGTGATTTGGGTCAAATATGGTTTATCGCCAGAGACTGAACAGAGCGCACGACATCCTTATATGCCTTTTCACGTTCCTTCGAGCAGGTGTATGTCCTTTGTATCTTGCGTCACCATGTCCTTTTGTATACAGCCCTTTTGGACCTCGCAGTGCGAGAAGGATGCCGAATCGCAGTCGGGGCCCAAAGGGGTATAGCGTGCAAGGCACAACTCAAAATTCACCTGCTGCCCACGTGTATCTACAGTACTTGCCTATAAGGCTGTCGCGTTTAGACGGTGTGTAGAGGCTGTGGGAAGATGCAACAGCGAGATCCCGATCGCGAGTATAATTTAGAATACAGGATCGCGTCTACTACCATGGTCGCGAAGTTCGTTCGTCATCAAGACACCCTTCGATGCTTTGCTAAGATGTCTTCACCTTTCAGTCTCTCGGAATGATATGAGTAGAACTATCGGTGTCAGTGGTTGACCATGCCATTCAACCCACAACGATATAAGATGCTTGGTGGTTGCGTCGAGGTGGTTGGTTTCTGGAGGAGTTCAGGATTGGGAACATCGTCATCCGCTGATCATTTCCGCTTTCGTCACGACTTCGCGAGCTTGAGGAGTTCCTCCGACTTTCGACCCATGGCCTTCTGCTTCCTTCTTCTTGAACTTGGCATCTTCGGCTTTCAGCAAATCAGTGTGCAGGGTATCGACATCTAATGTGATGATTATGGTGAGGATGTTGTTGGTTTCTGCAAGAGCGACGCCGACAGACGAGCTGAAAGTAGAGTTGTTTGAGCAATGTAGGTTGTCATTATCTATTTGAGGTCATACAGTCGTAACAATGTGATGCTCTTAGGCCTTCATCATCTCAATGAACTTGTCTGCCATGGCATTGGCGGCCATAGGGTTTGCACCGCTAACAACCTCGCGGTCGACAGTGATATAGCCGACCTTCTGAGCAACACCCTCGACCATTTCAGCACCCTCCGCACGCAGCGCACTTTCCACCTTGGGGATCTCTGCACCCAGCATCGTCTCCATCATAGACTCTTCCATGTCAGACCAGCTGGTGATCTTGTAGCCAGCGTACAAGAACTTGCCACTTGAAGCCTTGGTCGAGAGGAAAGCATAAGGTCCATGGCAGATAGTGGCAGTAGGCTTCTGCTTGCCATGGAAATGCTCAAGAATGCGACCCAACTCCTTGTTATCACCAAGATCCGTCAAAGGTGCATGGCCACCAGGAATAAGCACTCCGTGGAAAGCCTCAAGCTCATCATTGCTGATATCTCTGAACTTTCTGGGCGAGGAGAAACCATTCTCCTTCTTCATACGCTCGAGCAACTCGTTCTCGCGGCGGCGCTCGTAGAAGTTTCCAGCAAAGGCGAGGAGAGACTCGCTGTTGGGGTCGGGAACTGGCTCTTTGCCTTCGGGGGTGGCGAAGGTGACTTCGTAGCCTACTTCAAGCAGCTTGGACAGAGGTTTTGCGAGCTCCATGAGGAAGAAACCAGAGGGTTGTGAGACTACCTTGCCAGCATCAGGGCCGGAAGTTTTCTTCATGTCGAAATGGTCGGCATCCGAGAGGATGATAAGGACTTTNTGTGAGGCTGCCATGATTGTTGTGTGATGAATGTTATCGGAGTGAGAAAAACAGATAGGAGCGATGTTTGAAGCAAGAATATTGTGTGAACGAAGAGAAAATGTTGACGAGATGGTGTGTTCAATGTTTTGTACCATGATGTTCCGCGAATATCCACGGAAGTCACTATGACGTCGGGCTGAGTATGGACGAACATGTCCAATTTTCACGTGCTATGGTCCAATTCGAGTCATGGTATACTGACGCATTGAGGTTCCACGTCGTGAAGCGAGCTCTTCTGGAGAACGAACAATCTGTATCAGGTCTCTGCTTTCTGTTATGTATTTGCTGGAATATAGCGATCCAGGGTTCAAAATGGGGAGGACCCACGGGACTAAAGCCCAAAATTTGTTCACGATTGCGGACTACAGTAACAAGCCCTTCACGTGATTGAATTGACTACAAATCATCCCTAAACCATCAGAAGGTATTGAGATGCTTTCTGAATGTTCTAGAATGTCGGTAGACCCGATTTTGACTTGTATATCCTTGCCAGATGATGAGAGCAGGGTTGTCCCGACAGCAAGCCCAAGCCGAATTTTACCCACCAGACGCGTCTCCTAGATCGCGTCCTCTGATGACGTTCAACCTTGCCTTTGCACGTTCGTTCAAGCCGGCAAGTATGATCGACAGTCTCATGAAACTGGCGAGTATGTTCGGTTCATCACAAATAGATCGCAACACTCCTCGTACTGCTCCGCTCTTACTTCTACATCAATTTCCTCTTTCATCGCTGTAGGTGACTTGAACGTCCGTCTTCTTCACAATGTGGTCCTGAGATCCATGACTTTCGATTGAGTCGGCATCTTGATTTTGATCTCCTGCCTGAGCACTGGACCAGATCATAGGCGGTGGCGGCGAAGGGGCAGCCTCTGTCAAGAAGAGTGAGTGTTGAATCTTGCTAGAGGAACGTGGTTTCGAAGACTGTCCGGACCTGGAACCTCTGCTGGCACTGCTGACAGGCATCTTCGTGTGGGTGCTGAGATTGGTCGCGGTACGCCTTAAGGGTTGGATTGCTGTTGCGAGAACACTGTACCCCGCCAGGGCGAGCTGCCAATATAGTGCGGATCCGTATATAATCGTAGAAGGGCTATCGAGAGCGATATAGTGTTTGAAAGCCGCAAGGAAGTAGGCGGAGATCNNAGGATAAGACTAGGGCTGTCAGCCGATATATTTGATGGTAGCCGTAAAGCTCACTGACGGAAGTCTCATGCCGAAAATGGTAATGACGGTGACCTTGTGTTGAATTCTCATGTTCAGTCGACAGAACAAGTATGAAGATGCTAGAAAAACTAGCAGCTCGATCAAGATGCTGAGCACCATGATCGCCTCTAGGCTTTTGACCTACAACATTGTCAGCAAGATTCGTTGGCTCGCAGCTGCCATTTCGCGTACGTTATTACTGCAAACCAATGATCGAGGCGCGTGCGTAAGGAGAGGGTGCCAACAACGAGAAGCCCAGGCAGCGGCGGCAGAGATGATCCAGATACCAGTGAGACCTGAGGCAGCAGCAAACACCGCGACGTACTTCTTGTTTCGCATGGTGCCTCTGCAGATGATCTTGTACAACATCGCCACCGTTGACAGTTTCGAGAAGCCATCTGCAACAAAACACAAGCAAGAGCTGTTGATGACCAGCTATCAAGTTTGTCAGCGTTGGTTCCTCTACGACCTTGCTTGTACTTACTCGNNAGCAATTTGAAGGGTCTGCTCTTCTGGCAAGCTACGATGGGAAATCCCTAACCCATCATTCAGTGCCTGATAGACACACCCGAATGAGGCCACAGCGNNAAGACCTATCTTGTATGTTAGCCAGCGACTATGAATACTAAGAATTTTCTGCCTTACAAAAGCAAGAATGAGAAGCAAATCTTCTAGTCCATACTCATGGCTTCGCACGATGAGACGCAGGAGCAGAGCCAAAGCACAAAGGATGATTGCCCAAGTGGTCTCCACCCAGAGCCAAGGTGACGCATCTAACTCAACTAGACGTCCGTTCATGACGAGAAAGCATGGAGTTCAGGGACATGAACGACGCTGCAAGGTTGGCGAACCTCTACTGATTGCTATATCCTTTGGTCCATCACGCTCCACCCCAGGGAGTGGTTCGTCGAATTCCTTCAATTGCAGAAGGATTCTATGATCACCGCTTGGCATAATGCATCGATCAAATCTCTTTAGGGCATGGTGTTCCCTGCTATGAGCTTGAGCAGGGGCACTTCAGGTCAGGACTTAGCTGTTGCTTTGTCGGGATTTTGAACATCAATCGAGCCAATGCGTGGCGGCTGGAAGCGACGTCGAGGATTTGATCTACGGGCTCATCGAGTCGAGGTGTCCGTGAAGTGTGTAGCATGTTATAGCAGTCGCGTGATGGAAATAATGTTGAGCCGCTGCTGTTTTAGAGAGCGGGGCGTACCATTCCCTCGGTATGCGTCCCTGCTCGCCATCTGCCGCGCCCCATCCGAGCTCTCATGAGTCCGCAGATATTTCGACATGGTCGCTCCTACCAATTCAATCTAGATTTGAATACAAGATTTGGCAGGCCTGCATCAAAAACAATGATGTGTTGCTACAACTCTTCACAAATTGGACGAACGTCCGGCGTCAGACTCTCAATGCCAAACGTGATTGTGACTTCTAGCCACTCTACGCGCCATACCGCAGAGCGTGTAAAAACCCTTGCTGAGGCTTGCATGCTTATAAGCGTGCAATATATTACAGATTGGTTCCTTTTCGAAGGGTTGCAATAAACAGAGATTGACCCAGGAGACTGTTCAACTAACGTCGCGGAGCATGCGGCATAAGCATTGTGCCGCGTCAATCATCCCCTCAGAGCTTGTGAAGGTGAGTTCGCTTGGGCACTGTTGTATATTGACAAGGCCTGGTCCTAGAGATAATCTCTGCCTTTTCTCTTTCTGTGACTACTACTGTGCCGAACGAGTGGCGTGTTCGCGTCCTTAGTCAAGGTTTAGAGGTGATGCGGAACCGAAGGCCTTCGGATGCAGATCCACGAAGTGTCCTCTGTATATAAAGCTATCGGCCTTGATTTGGTGTATGTGTTTTTCAACCGCCTTCGACCCACGGAATTGTCAGCGTAACGTCGTCCGGAATCAAGATGGTAGTCATGAAGCGTCATGCTTACCAGGAGGATGGCCCCTCCGCTCATCAAGACTTGTCTATCGACGATAGAGACATGCAACGCATGGCGCTACCTTCAGAGCTTCGCGTGAGTATTTGAGAGGTGCGCGGTTGGTTCAAGGTTATTGAAGAAAAAACAGNNCGTCGTTTCAAGCTGGCCTCTGTGATTGGCTTTGCGTGCATATCTGGCGCAACCTGGGAGTGGGCACTGGTGTAAGTTCACAATCGTTGCAACAGACCAGACTCGTCCTAAGTTTTTGCATAGANNTCCAGTCAAGGCGGCCTTACCAATGGTGGTTCTGGAGGTTAGTAATTTGCGATTTTCCGAGGCATCCGAGACTGATCAAAGNCAGGTGTGATCTGGATCTTCCTGGCCGTGATGATTGGAATGTTCACCGTCGTGCTCTCCATGGCTGAAATGGCATCAATGTATGTGGTCAGATCGATGCTCTTTCGCGACCGAACTGACGGGCTACAGANNGCACCAAGTGCGGCTGGACAGTACATGTGGGTTTCAGAGCTGGGCCCTCCAGGAGCGCAGCGATTGTTGAGCTACTTTGTTGGTAAGTAAGCTTGATTCAGGTACAATGGCGAGGTCCTTACTAGTCGCANNGGATGGTTCGCAGCCATCGGTTGGCAGGGCGCTGCTGCTAGCAACCCTCTTGTTCTTGCTCAACATGTTGAAGCCCTCGTCGCCTTGAATAACCCAACGTTCGAAATCAAAGGCTGGATGACGAGTCTTCTCATGATTGCTTGTGCTGCTCTCGCAACCTGCGTCAACATTTACGGCATCCGCTTCTTGTCGTCTCTGGAGGCAGTGATGCTCGCGCTGCATGTCGTGGGATTCTTCGCAGTCCTCATTCCGTTGTGGCTCATGGGTGAGCGAAGCAGTACTCATGATGTCTTCTTCACATTTGAAGACAACGCCGGATGGGGAAATGTCGGTACTGCTTGTCTCGTAGGCCTTCTCGGGCCAATCATGACCCTTATCGGAGGTGACTCGACAGTACATCTCGGTGAGGAGATTCGAGATGCCTCAAGAACCTTGCCTTTGTCGATGGTGTTCACCTCTTTGATGAACTACGCTGTTGGCTTCATCATGACAATCACCGTCATGTACGTCTCCTCGACGTTTGACCAGACGATTGCCGATGCGACTGGCGAGTCTTATGTGGCGGTGATCTACGCTGCTACCGGATCGAAGACGGCGACGACGATTCTTACCGTGCTCATCTTGATTTTGTTCTTCTGCACTGCCATCAACACAGTCACAACTTCATCGCGCCAGCTGTTTGCATTCGCTCGAGACGGTGGTCTGCCATTCTCAAACACTTTGGCAAAAGTTGATCCTAGGACTGGACTGCCAATCAATGCGCTTCTCACAACGTTCGGTGTTACCTTCGTATTGTCTTGGATCATTTGTGGGTCGAGCATCGCTTTCCAGAACATAACCTCGATCACCATTGTTGGGCTCTTACTTTCTTACGGCACAACCATTGCGACCATGATTTACCGACGCTGGAGCGGTGTTCCGCTACCTGCAGCTCGATGGAGGTATCCGCAGGCCTTTGGCTACCTTGTCAATGTGTTAGCATTGTGTTTTGTCACGATCGCGTTCATCTTTGCATACTTCCCAACTGCACCAGGTCCTTCTGCAGATTCGATGAACTGGAGTGTGGTCGTCACTCTGGCAGTCGTGATTGTAGCAACAGTTTACTATGTCGTTCGCGGATCAAGCACCTTCGAGGGACCGGCCGTCAGGATGAAGAAAGCTGAGGATGACAGCATGGTCGCCATGGAGGACATCGTAGTTCACGGCAAGCAATGAGGGGGAAAACAGAGCATATCAATTGAGAAGCGTAGCCATAGCCATCATCAGCAATTCTAGTCCTTCATCGTGCTCGCTTTTCTAGAGGATTGATAGATAGAAGACGCGACACTGGATTTCACGTCATCTTCGGGAAACTCTCTCCGAACCGAGGTTCCTCCGTTGCACCTTTTCCGATCCAAGACGTTCTTGTGGCATTGACCCCTCACATAGACCATACACTATGAATTGCAAGCATGTCAGGCACGCGCAGTCGCTCTGGCTGTATAGGCTGCCGACGTCGGAAGAAACGATGTGACGAGATCAAGCCAATTTGCCGACGCTGTCAAGTGTCTGGTGTGTCTTGTGTCTACCCTAACGCAAGTGGAGCTTTCAGTGAACGATACCTTATCTCATCAGCTTTGGAGCATTACACCTTGCCGGGAGTCTCTGCTGAACGACACTTCGTCAACCTCAATCAACGAGAAATTGCCCGTTTATGCCTATCGTACGGCGCATCGAAAACCTGTAATTCTAGTGTTGAGTTGATGATCGAGCAAGAAATACCGAGACCCTTGTCAATGGGAGATGCCCTTATAGACGTGTCAGAGAGACAATTACTTCAGTATTGTAGGTATCACCAACATTCAATAGCACTCATGAGCTCACGTTCTATAGACTCCGAAGTGATCAGTGCAAGCAGAGTATATGTCACTGGAGATGAGAACCCGTTTTGTTCTTTGACCATGCCTATCGCATACACTCACCGTGGACCTTTGTTGTACACAATCCTCGCTTTGAGTGCAGCCGAAATGGCAAACTCTGGGAATGGCTGTTCCGATCGCCTTGTAACCAAGGCTTCCGCCTATTACGACAGCGCAATTAATCAACTACAGCTATCACTGGCCAACCCCAGCGATGCTGAAGAGAATATTTTGGCATGTGTGCTCTTGTCTTCTTTTGAGATATCCAACGGACATCGCCCGGCCTGGCTGCAACATCTTAATGGTGCTGTGGCTATACACAATCATTTTGCATCAGACATCAGTCGAGAATGTGCCTTGTTTGCTTACCAATACTTTGGCTTTAGATGGATACTTCTGGAGACGACCATGCCGCCGGGAACTTATCCACTAGAGGAAGTGACAAGCGAAACCTCGATGACTGCCCAGCTTTTACAAAATATGAACACAATGCTGCAACAGACTATCGATACAGTACCCACCGTTGCGATGCAGAATATCGACAACAAGCTTGGCTGCTCCTTGGAATACCTCCAGCTGGTCAACAGAATATCAACCCTGTCCGCTCTCAAGTACCATTGTCAGACCGATGAGATCGTTGCGGAAGAAACATCTGATTTATACTCTACAACGGCATTGGCGTTTGACGATGCGTTAAGAGACATAGTCTTTGTGGCCAAAGCTCACGATAGCTACCTCGAGCATAGCAGCCGGTGTTTCAAACTTGCTGGAAGGGTATACCTTCGTCTGATCTGCCTCGATGCTAGTCTCACCCAGTTGGCTCTGAATGCGATGCAGACCGATTTGCTGCGAGCATTACGCTTGGTCATCAGCGAAGATCAGCAGCGACGAGCCTTTCCGATGTGGCCTTTGTTCATCGCTGGTTGCGCGTCTTTCGAGGACGAACACCGAAAGGCTGTTCTGGATATGTTTCGCACACTCGAGAGAAAGTGGCCGATCAGTAACATCTCCTATGTCCGAAACGTTACCACCCAGATTTGGCAGAGCCGAGACCTGAACGGATATGACAATAGTCGAAGACACGACTGGCAGACACTCATCACGACATTCGGTTGGAAGCTCGCTCTGTCCTGAGAGCAATGTGCTGCAACGACCAAGCGCCACGGATCCGCGCTCAAATCAACTCATCTCTACCGACGGCCAAGACTTCACCGCAGGCACCCGTCTATCCTCCACCTATCACCAACCCTTATATACTGTCTTTTTTTGTCTGCTTCTGTCCCCAGCCAAGGACGGTGCCCCACCATTGAAGACTTGCCTTGTTGAAGGCTCGCCCGATGGTTGAGTTGGCACACTTGACTGGGGCAAATACCCCGACAACGAATTGTGCATGGGTTCGACTCCCTAGTGGAGGTTCTATTTCGCATTAGAGTCGGGAGGATAGTAACTTCAAGGTACTACTAATAAGATAACGCACGGATCGCTGGTTTCTTTCCCACCCTCAGAAGGTGGTTTCTTTTTGCTCTCCCTTTGAGCTGCGCTATTATCCATTCGCATCCGCTCAGGAATGCGCACGCGCCGAACTTATCGGAGTTTTCGCGCAATGAGGAGCCATCTGGTCTGTAAACTGGAATGGAACGAGTTTCAGAGTTTGTTCACGTCGCCCAATTTGTTGCGATCGGAATATGTCCAGCTCGATTTTGAGGGAGACGCAGCGTCGCAAGTTATCCACAGCTGCAAAAGGGACGCACCTTCCATCGTTTAAGTCGCTACACTGACTGACTGGATCGCATGCATCTACATTCGTAATCGGGTGGTCCGAGAGGACAATATTTGCTGTATCTGACCAGTAACCACATATAGCCACGCATCTTGCGTACAATCAATTTTTACCGACATCACATCGCTTCTCAAAATATTATTGCACCCACAACACCATCGACCTCAAACGCGGGCACGATTCTACAGATCATGACGAAGATGTGGAGTTGGCAGGATCTCGTGACGTAGTGCCTCTGAAACATCACATACTTTGAAGAACACCTCTACACCAAGCATACATCACAGCTATCCTGATCGCCTATTACCATGGAGCCTATCGACACCTCTCCGCTGACTCTCGACCTCACTCACGAATGGGACGATGAAACAGACACTAAAATCAAAACCAGCATTCTATTTTTTCTGCTCCACTCCACAAGATCCGCCCACGAAGTCGCAAAGGATATATCTCGAACCTTTAAGCCCGAACACAATATAGATGGTTTCCGCGATGGAGTCGAGGATATCTGTATCTATACCAGCAAATTTCTTCCAGCGAATCACATCTCTCAAGACCGCCTTGTTGAGATCGTAAAAGCATTGAGAGAACTTCCGCAAGGCGCTGGGCAACCTCAGTGGGAAGGGATCTTCCATACTGGTTCCTATCTCTTGATAGAGGCACGAGGTGAGAAGAACTGTCAAACAGAAGCCGATCAAGAACACCACTAACAAGTCGTTCTTCTCAAACAGGCGCCCAAGATCTCTGCCATCTACACATAGACATACCAGCAAATACAATCAAGCGCTTCCACCTGCGTAATTTGAACGCGTTTATGGCACGACTGACCCGAAACGGGGTCAGCGATTGTTATTATCAAGCTCTGATAGCTTTGACACAGGCTTTGGAAACAGCGGAACCGCATACTACTACTCGTACAATGAATATATTGATCGTGTATGACTGGGTACGGTTGGCTGCTGAGGAGCTTATGGAAGCGGAGATCAAGGGTGCGCGGGTTGGGGGTGAGCTGTGGAATGTCAAGGAGAAGCCGGGATATTCGCTAGACAGGTGGATATTCTGGAAGAGGAGACTTCGGGATATCGAGGGGGATGGAGAATATGAATATGAGACAAGGGAGGCCGCTGGAAGAGCGAGGAGTAGATTGGAGCAGTTGATGGAAGAATAAACGCACGAAATGGAAGAATACCACTTCGGGTTCAATGAGACACTTCATGCTCATCTACCTACAAACGAGCCTGCAGACTTCCCCTTCTCGCTTCATCGATCAAGTCACTCAACTCTCTCGACTTTCCGATACGCCAACTGACTCCATCACCCCAATCTTGGCCCCTTTCATCCTTGGTCTTCCAGCACCATCTATCTATATTCTGTTTCCCATTCTCTAACAACTCAACCACCCACTTGCCAAAGATTGGCATCATCTTGAACCCATGACCAGAATCACCAGACAACACAATAACAGAGTTATTGGTATCCGGCAAGAAATCAATACAATACTCTGAATCACTGGTATCAGCAAACCAGCACAACTTCTTATCAACAAATGGCCGATCTGCCATCCATGGAAACGTCTCTGCCAACAGTTTCTTCAACTTGATCTCGTCTTCTGCGGGTATAAAGTCTTGGGGTGGTGGTATTCTGTCCATGGGTGGTAGAGAGGTACCCTGTTTATTCGTATTGCTGAACCCAGCACCCAGAGGACATAATTTGAATAATCTTGTAGCAGGATCTGGTTCGAAGAAGAAACCGAGGTCGCGGACGTTGATGACGGGTAGACCACGCAGGTAATCGCATTCCTGCTCTGTGAGCTGGACGTGAGCGACGGACCAACTACGGGCAGTGACGAAACGACCCATCTCTGGGACTAGTGAGGCTCCATAAGCCCCAGATGCTACTATCGTCTTTGCAGCGGGATGTGTGCTGCCATCTGCCGTGCGTACGCCAATGCATCTTCGACCCTTGCCTTGGCCTTCATATACAAGTTCTGTAACGGTACCAGCTGTTTTTCCAAGCACAAACTTGATTCCAAGAGTCGCACAGTGGAGAAAGATGCCCTTCAGCGCATTGGCGGAATGCGCGTAGCCAGCCAGACGATTGAAGTATCCAGTGAATCCCTTCAGCGGTCCTGTGATCTGCCAGGCATATTTCTTGAACTCGTCGGCGCTGTCTAACGCTTCGATTCCAGGGGCGAAGACTGGATGCTTGGACACAGACGCAAGTGCAGTTTCCAGACTTTTCTTCGCCTTTGCAGGAGCAGATGCAGAAGTCGCTACGATGTATCCAGTTTCATGATAGTATGGGCCGAACAGGGGNTCTTTCCAGGCTTCAATGGCTTGCTTCGGAAAGGTCAGTCCCTCAGCCGCCAAAGATGTATTGCGAGGAACTCACAAGNNAGCAAGATCCGTGTAGAAGCTTTCTTCGTATTCTGCACGCACAATCTTGTTTATATCGTAGGCCGCAGAGTAGCGAGATGGGATAGAATCAGCTGTTTCGAAGACAGTGATGTTGGTGTATCCAGTCCGGTGAAGATGGAGAGCAGTAGAGAGACCCCAAGCACCTCCACCGACGATTACAACAGGCTCAGAGTTTGACATGGCAGACGCGATGAGCAACAGAGGAGGGGTAGGGAGAGAACAAAACGCAATGGAAGGAAAGCTTCATGCCTTCCATCAGTACCACATGCGAAGGTGCATGCTCTTATGGTCTGATCGTCATTCGCCGAGAGGAGTGCTCAATCTGGTAGGTGTTTCCTTGCCATGCATTACATGGCAAGATGGCTAGTGCTTCCGCCTCATGGATCATGGCTGTTGAAGCGTGCAAGTCGATATCAAGAAGCTCTGATAAACAGCGGTGGTTAGCGTAGCCGCGCCCCACCACCCCGACTTCGGCGATGATGACGGCGCCGGAAGGAATGCCGATGGCTAGCGTAGGCGCCTCGTCAGGAAAGCTTAACTCGGAGATAGGATCTGTATCTGGTGAACATGGTGACTATATGATATTCCTAAGACCAGCGCTGTGATGAAGCATACACAATGATAAAAGAACAATTGGAAGACTTCAGACGCGATTGACTCGTTGTCATTCTACTCAGCTCATGCAAGGTTACTGGGGTAAAGTACAGATTGTAACGGAATCATCTCTTCCTTCAGAGTCCTAGGCGAAGTGAATCTCATCAAAGCATTCGCACTTCCAGCCTTGTCGTTGGTTCCACTGCTTCTGCTTCCACCAAAAGACTGATGACCGATGACGGCTCCCGTCGTCTTGCAGTTGATGTAGAAGTTGCCAGCCGAGTATCGCAGCGTGTCTTCTGCCTGGCGCAGAACCTCACGGTCGTTCGCAAAGATTGCGCCCGTCAACGCAAATCCGCCTCCTTGTGTATCGATCTTGGCCATGACTTGCTCAAACTCTTGGTCAGGGTAGACGTATGCCACAAGCACTGGGCCGAAGATCTCTTGATCGAACAATTCGTGATTAAGCGTGTTTGCGACATACAATGAAGGCTGGACGAAGTGGCCCTTACTTCCATCATATGACCCGCCGAAGACAATTTGTAGTTTACTGTCACCATTCGCCTTGTCTATGATCTTGGTGATCTTATCGAAGGCTCCTTTGTGGATGACTGGGCCCAAGAAGTTCTCATAGTCTTCGGGCGGGCCCACTTTGATTGGCTCCACCTCTTTCTTGATTTGGTCAAGAAACTCGTGTGCTTTGCTTTGTGGTATGTAGACGCGGGAGCAGGCGGAGCATTTCTGGCCAGAATATTCAAAAGAAGCTCGGACGGTGTGTTTGACCGCATTGCTGATATCGGCCGAGGAGTGTATGAGGTGGAAGTTCTTGCCAGATGTTTCTCCGACCATCCGAGGCATGTCGCGGTACTTTTTGCTGACAACACCTTCTGCTGCCTTGCCGTACAGGTTACGGAAAACGTCCGAGGAGCCAGTAAAGTTCAGAGCTGAAAACTCCTTGTGTTCGTATACGGTCTTTGTGATAAGCTCTGCGTCGCCGGGCAGGAATTGGATAACGTTGGGCGGGAGACCGGCTTCGAGGAGGATCTGGTAGACCAGCCAGCTTGCATAGACACCTGTTGGCGAGGGTTTCCACAATACGACGTTCCCCATGATAGCTGGGCCGGAAACGAGGTTGCCACCGATGGCAGTGAAGTTGAAAGGCGATACGGCATAGACGAAGCCCTCGAGTGGTCGCCAATCTGTTCGCCTGTGCAGTGTCAATATTAGCCTTTCCGATGTGTCAGAAAGCATGACTTACCCGAAATTTCCAGGCGCATTCAAGGTTGGCTGCTTGTTGTAGACTTCTTCAGCATACGAAACGTTGAATCGAAAGAAGTCTGCGAGTTCGGCAGCAGCGTCAATCTCAGCCTGCCAGGCGTTCTTTCCTTGACCTAGCATTGTCGCCGCTACCAAGTCGTATCTGTACCTTCCAGCCACCAGCTCTGCAGCCTTCAGGAAGATTGCAGCGCGATCCACGAATGGAACTTTCTGCCATGACTTCTTGGCCTCGAGTGCTGACTTGATTGCATTTTCGACGTCTTCAACGCTCGCGGCACTGGACTTTGCGAACTCTTGAGCATGCTCTGAAGGCATGGTCGATGTCAAAGACTGGCTTGTTGATTTCGACATGCCCGAAACGTGAAGCGGGATTTGGAGTGGAAGCTTGGAGCGCAATGCTCGCAAGGCCTCGTCGAGCCGTGCTCGCTCTGGAGAAGACTTTGCATAATGTAGGTTTTCCTCGTTACGAGCATTTGGCAGCTTGAAGTGGCCGCTAGTAGCTACTCCAGCTCTCAAGAGAGGCGTCCGAGCAGGGCTTCTGACGTGTTTCCAGGGCAGAACTCGTGAACAAACAACAGAGCGCATTATGAGGAGTTTTAAACGAGGTAGCAGGTGTGTTTGCAAGAGGATATCTCAGTGCAGGTGAAAGATGATAGCTTGGAGGAAGTTGGCAAGAAAGAACTCGGCTCCCAAGCCTGCACTCATCCTCATCCACGCCCACATCGTGAAAGACTGCAGGCGCTTACGCTAGCCTTCCGATTGCGCTACAGACCTTTGTTATCGGCCCATCAAGGTCCCGGGGAAAATGAGAGTTTACGGAGGTGACGACGGAGGAAAGAATGAGGCCTAGGAGTCCACTTTCAGCCGCAAAGTGAGGAACTTGGCAGGGTCCTCGCGCTTACGCTAACCTCTGCTCACCAACTCATGACAGACCACCTTCTTTCTCCCCTCCATCTGCTGTCATCCGACCACGGCAGGAGATAGTCCAGCCCCGTTCATGTATCTCCTTGCGACCGGATAGTTTGACGGTATCGGGGAAGCCAATCCACCATGCCTGAACATGTATCAACCTCGAGGACCTTGCCTGACCGCGGGGTCTACATTGTGTAAACTTGTAGCGAGACAACAATCATGCGAGCAGCGACTTTATCTCTATACCCATCGAAATCCAGCACCAGAACCACACGAGTGTCGTTCTTCAATGCGGCCAGAATTCTGTCCTACCAACCAGAACTACAGTCCCAGATTCGCAATTACACTTTCTCGACGGCCAGACAGCACGATGCCNCTGAACATCCCCAAAAGCCTACTCGACGTACTCTCCAATCCATACCGACTACCAGTCTCGTGCGTTCGCTCATTGTACTTTCGGCTACTGCACTCCCGGCAAAGCTGCTGGCCTTCCTCATTCGCTTGACCAAGAAGCACGTTGGCATCGTCGAATCTGTTGGTCCTTTGCGATGGATCTTCAAGAGGTTGTTGTACGACAATTTTTGCATTGGTTTTCGGAAGGACGAGATTCTGACCAAGACTCAAGAGCTGCGTCGCATTGGCTTCACAGGCATTGTTTTGGCCAATGCTCGTGAAGCTCAGCCTACTACAAACTCCAACGTGGGATCTGTGGTTGGTGACGTTCAGTGCGAAGAGTGGGTCAACAACAATCTTGAGTCCGTACAGCAAGCAGAGCCTGGTGACTATATTGGTTTGAGATTCACAGGCGCAGGTACAGCAGCAGCAAAATTTCTGTCGGATTTCTCGGCCACTTGCAAGTCCCACGATCTGGAGAAGGCTAGCGAGCTCTACTCTGCTGAGATGCAATATTATGTTGCTCAGGTGGAAAGGATATGTACAGCAGCTGAAGCACGAAAAGTGCGAGTTTTGATCGATGCCGAATCATCGACTTACCAGAAGGCGATCGACTATACAGCTCTTGTGAGTCAACTCAATCACATTTTCGATGGCTTCGCTGACCTCTTTAAGCAAACTATGAGCCGCTTCAATACTTCGCATAGAGCCTTGGTCTTCAACACTTATCAGATGTCAGTCTCTGACAAACCTCTGCAGACAGCCGTAGCTGACTTAGGAGCAGGTNATCTCAGATCAAATATCGACAAGATAAGGCTGCACCTGAATCATTCGATCAAGCATGGCTATGTTCTTGGTGCCAAGTTGGTGCGAGGTGCATACCTCCACACGGAACTGGATAAACAAGCTCTACACATCTCCAAGCAACAGACGGATGAAGCATATGACGATGCTGTTCGTTTTCTTTTACATGAAGAGAGTGGTACAGCCTGGAAAGCCGACATCATGCTAGCAACACACAACGCCAAAAGCGTCCGACAAGCCTTCGACCTATACACCGGCACTTACATGACCTCAAAGCCAAAAGATACGCCCGAGCCTCAAGTTCGTGGTATGGCCTTTGCTCAATTGATGGGAATGGCCGATGAAGTCTCTATGGACCTGGTGAACAAGACTGAGCAGGCGAAGGTAGATGATTCAACCAGATATCTGACGGAGGTGGACAATGCAAACTTGTATCCTCGTCTTGGCGTTTACAAGTACACTGCTTGGGGATCTCTGCGCGATTGTCTTTTGTACATCTTGAGACGAGCAGAAGAGAATAAAGACGCTGCTGCTCGTACTCAGGATACGGCTCTTGCAGTCTTACGCGAGCTTCTATCAAGAGTCCTGCGAAGGACTTGAATTGCTCGGCTGAAGCTCGTGGTATATTTCACTTATAAGACACAATGCTATCGTTCTTTCATCACGTAAACGCTTTCGAGTCTGATGACTTCCTCAAGCTGTCTATACGACCCCTATCAAGTCAAGTTGTCGAAATCGCCGCGAGCACTATCTGCTTCGAATCACCATAGAGTGTGCGCGACTCTCCTCCGGAGCCTAGAGCTGTACAGAGCTAGTACAGGCCCCTGTCAGCTATTACTGAAGGTTATCGTTCTCCAGTCATGCCCCGCCTTTCGGGCCCTTGCGGATACATGGTGACAAGATGTGGAAGTTAGCATAACCGCCTGTACCAATATACTTTGTGCGGCTGCTATCGTTCTCGCCTTCTCGAAGCACTTGGGACTTTATCTTGCCACCCTCCATTGTACGTACTTCGTTTGTTTTTTCCTAGATAAGGAGGTGTATCCCTGAGGAACTGGAGAGTGGACACTCGAGTGCATCGATACATTGCAGACGTTGTATCGATGACCAGCAATGTGTTTGAGATTAGCGGAGCCGCCTCTGAGCTATGCTATCCATACCTAAGGGCCTCTTCTGATGAAGGGAGGTAAGGTCACTGAACAGCCACATCTCACGCAAGGCTCATCTTCATCGAGTCCTCAGTCATCTTTGTGTATCCCAGCCCATACAAAATTTACCAACCATGACTTCCTACCTCAACTACTTTGGCTTCGGTGGAGATAAAGCATCTTCCGCCAGAGTCCCCGACGCTCTGCCAACCAAGCAGTCTCCTGTCCGAGCATTGCCTGCAGCATGGTACACCTCCNCCGAGATGTACGAGTTCGAGCGCCGAGCAATCTTTACCCGTCGCTGGCTATTCATGACCCACAGCTCACGCATCAAGAACCCCGGGGACTTTCTTCGCTTTACCGTTGCCGGCTACGATATCGTCATCAACCGCGATCGTGCTGGACAAGTCAATGCTTTCCACAATGTATGCAGACATCGCGCATATCCAGTTGTGGAAAAGAAGCAAGGCAATGCAAAGATTCTTGCTTGCAGATATCATGGCTGGTCGTATGGTTTAAATGGTAATCTTGCAAAGGCACCTGGTTACCAAGATCTCGATGGCTTTGACAAGAGCCAAAACAATCTCTTTGCCATTCACGTCAAGGTCGACATCAACGGCTTCATCTGGATAAACATGGACGCAAACGAAACCCCCGAAGTCCCCTGGTCAGAACATTTCGCGGACGTCGACAAACAAGAACGCTATTCAGCATTCAACTTTGCCGACTACGAACTCGATCACACCTATGAGCTTGAGGGAGATTTCAACTGGAAGATTCTGGCTGATAACTTTAATGAGTGTTATCATTGTCCCACCACCCATCCTGATATCCCTGACTTTATCAATCTCGAGACTTTTGATTCTGATCTTGAGGGTGGGCATATCCAACATCATTGTGTTTCTACGCCAGACCAGGCGGCAAAGGGATTGGGTGTGGCTAGTACGTATTATTTTCCTGCCACTTCGATGACAGTCTCGTAAGTCTCCATCCCAGATGTTTCCTTGCATCAAGGCGGTTCTCTGACGTTTTGGATTAGCCCCCACTTTATCATGATCCAAAAATTCCTCCCCAGTGGCCCTTTGCAGTGTACCATGCACTACGAAATCTACCGCAACAAGTCCCCAACCTCCTCACCGGAAGACTTTTCCCTCATCTCCTCCATGTACGCCCGTGTAATGGCAGAGGACAAAGTACTTTGCCAAGCGGCTCAGAAAAACCTCAATACCGGTGTTTTTGTAAACGGGCAATTGCATCCAAAGTATGAAAAAGCACCACTGTTTTTTCAGCAGACGGTTAGGGAGATTATAACGGGACATTATAGGAGAGAGCGGGAGGCAGGAAAGCAGATTTGGGTGGTTAGGAGGGAGGCACAGGATGATGGGAGTAGAGAGGATATGGAGGTTTGTGAGGGTATTGGGTGTGGGGACAAGAAGGAGGCGTTGATTTGGTGATGAGTGAGGGTTGAAGGATCTCTGTTGAAGCAGTAAATGGTTTGATGTAGCTATCAGAATACACAATTCGAATCATGTATCAGTATGTGTCCATCGAAACGGAAGAAATTCGCAACTCTCCTCGGACAAAACCTGATATCTTGAATATTTTGTGCAATTACAAAGCCGTTTGAGAATTGATGTCTGCGTTCGAGGTATGTCACAGGGGTGAACGAACATAACTGATAGACTCGCAAATCATACTTGGGGGCTCAGTATCTCCATCTCAGATGGTGTGTTGTAAAGTACCTACGGAACTACACAGATTAATTGAGACATTAGGATTGTCCAGTGAGATGGGGAGCATGAAACATAGTTCACTGGACAGATTCAGATGTTCTGATGATATCGTGCATTGTCATAGCTTATTTCCAGGGGTAATGTTTGCAGGGGAGCAACTAAAAACTGGCATTGGGGGTATCTTAGGTAAAAACGCATCTCCTTCTATTCTAGTGTACAATCTCTCGTGCTGTTCGTCATATCATCAAGGGGAAAAGGCGACTCAAGCACCCAGCAGTTCCGTTCGATGGAGCCCGGCATACTGTTTGCGCTCAGCTTCCTCCTCCATGGCAGTGCGGTAATCATCTTGATTGAGGTCAGCAGTCTCGATCCAGGTCTTCTCGAACTCGTCCTCGTTCACCGCCCAAATGCCCTCTCTAAGTCTCTTGTGGCGCTCCCGGTCCTCTTCGATGCGCTGCTCGGCCTGTCTCTTTTCCACTCTGACGTTTCCATTGCTGTGACGCACGGCTTCTTCGGGGCTTGCAGTGCCACCCACACCGCCAATGTTATCGCGGTCTTTGATGCAGTCTTCCAGCTCGTCCACCGTTTGTTGCTGCAAATACTTCTTTCCAGCAAGGTTTCTCAACACCTTGCGCACGACCTTGACGTTTGCAGCACCACTACCATCTTCAGGAGCGACGAGATCGACAATGCGGAGAATGTCTCTCTCCATCATTCGGACAAACTCGATGTGGTTGGCTGCAGAGGCGACATCGCAGAGGGTTTCGAAGAAGTAGAAGATGTTGGCGCGGTTATTAAGGGAGTTGCGCTCGAGATTTTCGAGGATGCAGGAGTGAAGGTCTTCGTCCCATTCGCGGTATTTGATGGCCCAGACTGCGGCTTTTTGGGCGGAGGTGACGGATGCGTTGAGGTGCTGGAGTTGGCTGTTGAAGCGCATGCGGACTTCGAAGGGATCCATGGTGAAGGTAGTGTGGGAGGTGAGGTGGATTGGACGGGCGAGAGCAGCGTGTGGAAGTGGATAGGGCTGGCAGGCTGAGCGGGTTGGTGAGGCTGTAGGCGCTGGACAGGCTGATGGGACTGAGTGTCCGAGGTGTGCTGGGCAAGCAGAGCGAGTTGTGCGTTTTGAGCTTCTATGGCTGCCCACAGAGCTGCCGTTTCTTGCTGAGCTGCCCGAGTGCGTTGGTCGAATTCAGCTGTCTTTGCTTGCCAGAAAGCTGCAGGCTTGGCCTTGTATTTGGCCAAAGTCTTGTTGAATTGCTGTTCCGAGAGAGGAACGAGGAAGGGCGAAGGTGATCGTGAGATGCGGCGGATAGGCGACTGACACTCGCGACGAGGACGGAGGCGAGATGTGAGAGGGGCGCCGTGTCAACCTCGGTGTCGTCGTCGACGTGATGGTGCCAAGCACCGGGCAGCTGGCGGCAGTCGTCTCGGGGCATGATGGCTGATCTCGGCTAGATCCGAGTTGATGCACAAACCCCGGTATCGGCAAGCGCTGCCGGAGGGAAGCTTTGGTGGGGAGAGGTTGGTGAAGCTGATTGTCTTCAAGATAGCCTCACTCTTCAATCCACTCTATACATTCGCGTGATTGACCGATACATCTCGCTCGTCGCCGACCTTCCTCTCAGTCACTTGAACAACATTACAATGGCTTCAGACAATGGCCTCACTTTGACCGTCGTGGGATGTGGTACGTTCAAGAACAACAACCTCCCCGTGTGCAAAAGACAGTCATAGCACCCCTCTCCCACCCTGCCATGTAGTGTGTTTCTATGCTATCAAAATGCACAATCGCTTTCTCAACAAAGATGTGGCCATAGAGATGTCCAAGGTCACCTTCCTCTCTGTGGATCTCGCCTTATTGTGCAAAGTACTGTGTATTTCTATAGCTACACCATGACAGTCTATTGCACACCGAGAGGAAGAACCACTGTAACCGACACTAACATGTCTCAAACAGGTACCATGGGTATTGCTATCCTCGGCGGCATCATGGACTCACTCAACACATCCTCGCAATCCTCTGAACAAGAACAGAGTCTACCACCCCGTCTACCCAACCGATTCAATGCCACATGCCGCAGCGATCGCAGTGCCTCGCGCATCAAGAACGAGCTAGGAAAATACAATGCCAACCTCAATGTCATCCAGTCAGACAATGTCCGCGCAATGAAAGAAGCAGATGTCGTCCTACTGGCCTGCAAACCCTTCTACGTCAAGGACGTCCTCCAAGCCGAGGGTGTGCGTGAAGCTCTAGAGGGTAAACTGCTCATCAGCATTCTGGCCGGTGTACCTGAAGCCCAACTCGAAGATTTGCTATACCCTGGCTTGTCGCACGAGCAAGTTAGAGAAAAGATCACAATCGTGCGCACCATGCCCAACACAGCATCAAAGGTGCGCGAGAGCATGACCGTCATCAACCAATCCACACCTCCACTCCCTCAAGACACTAAAAACCTGGTCCACTGGATGATGTCGCGCATCGGCAAGGTCGTCGAGATTGAGCCCAAGAACATGGACGCCTGTACCGCTCTCTGTGGCTCTGGACCCGCATTTGCTGCTTTGATCATGGAGGCACTCGCAGATGGCGGTGTTGCCATGGGTATCCCCAGAGCAGAGGCAAACCTTATGGCTGCCCAGGTCATGAGAGGAACTACTGGTTTGGTGCAAGACGGCGAGCATCCTGCTATCTTGAGAGAGAAGGTGTCGACGCCTGGTGGTTGCACTATTGGCGGTCTTCTTGCGCTCGAGGATGGAGCTGTGAGGAGTCATGTTTCGAGGGCTGTTAGGGAGGCTACTGTTGTTGCTAGTCTGCTTGGCAGTGGAGCGAAGAATGTCAATGGAACCAGGCATTGAAAAGCTCGAGTGTCCGTTCCAAATCATAGACTTTCTTGAGATACCCCCATGTATACACACTTTACAATTGTGCTTCTATGCTTTGCGGACCTTTCAGACTGCAATGTGAAGTTGATCTCTCAATGTCCTTGTGATCTTGTTCTAGCTCATCTCAACCTCAATCTCTCCACCCATTTCACCAGCAACTTCCACGTCATCCTCTGCAGCCTCGATTCTCTCCATCTGCTTCTTGGTCAGCGGCCTCTTCTTCTTTCTTCCTGATGGATCTACTCGTGGCGCCGAGATAGCGTCTAGATATTCTTCATTCTTCATCTGACTCTTCAACTCCGTTGCAGTCTGCGTATCAGAATGGAAAAGTCGCGAATGATAAGTCGAATAACTCGCTTCCTCATCCTCATCAAAATACTCCAATCTCGTCCACTTTTCCTCTGCTGCAATGAGCAGAAGATTTTTTGCGCGCAGGGCTTCTAGGTTTTCGACGTCGCGGTTGTCTTTGTAGGTCTGGGCGAGTGCGAGAGCTTGGGGTTGTTTTGCTGCTGCGGCTGCACCGGAGGGACCTGAGGCTGCGTTGCCTTCGGCTGCTTCGGTGCGGCGGGCGGCGGTTTCAGCGTGGGTTAATGCGTCGACGTGGTGGAATTGGGGGCGCATTTGGACGACGCCGTCGACGCGGGTGAGGTGGAGTTCGTCNTGAGGTTGGGTTAGATACAAGTGGATTGGGATGAGTGCATTTGATTTTTGTGAGGCTCGATTTTTCGAAAGTGAGGTCGGAGAGTAGAGATGTGGCAGATGGGAAAGAGCCGCAGGACAGATGTTCGAGGAAACGAAGAGAGGAAAAGAGGAGAGACGCAAAAGAGAAAACTTACCACCACGGAAGGCACCCAACATGTAGTTAGGATTACCAGCCTCATCCTGCAAGATCTGCCCTCCCAGCGTCTGCTTCTGGAAGACCGCATCCCTGTTGACAGCATCCTGGAACCTCGCCAATCCCTGATCAACACTCATCTCCCCATTCTCCTGCTTACCCCTCCCCTTCCCACCTTTCGTCGGTGCAAATCCCGCAGCAGCACCAAACGTCGCACTCCCACCATTAACCTTGGACTTTCTAATCGCCTCGCCCCAAACCAGACTTTGGAATTTGTTGAAGTTTGCGCTGGGGTTCATGCCGATGTCCATTTCCATAAACCCGGCTTGGGGTTTGAGGCGAAAGTCTGTGGGGCGTGCGCCATTGCGGTCATTGTAGGCTTGACTGCGGTTGCGGTTGGGGTATTGCAAGAGATAGATTTGCTCGAGTTGGCGTGGTGTGATGAAGACGTTGTATTCGGCGATGACTGGGTCGTCGTCTTCCATGTCTTCCGCTCGTGATGCTGGAAGTGTATGAGCATCTTGTTCATGTATTTACGCGATAAAAAAAGTCTGTAGAGGTGCTTACGTGACATTTTGATGTTTTTATGAGATGTGATGTTGTAGAAATGACTTTGATGGTCGCCGGATTTATTTTTTTGATAGAAGCCGCCCAGCGGACGAAGATCTCGCCCCGCGTTTCAAGATGGTCTGTGCTCGGACTCGACTTTCACTGTCACCCTGTTTTGCTTCTTGGATTGGCAAAATATCTGAGGAAAGTCTGAGATGGATGAATCGTTGTGATCGTCTTCATGAGGTCGGTTTCCTAAAACCACCCTAAGAACAGTCAGGCCTCTTACGGTCTAGCATCCATCCGGAGCAGAGCTATGAGGTTATCCCATCGTCGGGACTGATGCTCCAAGAAGTAGACGTAGTATATGTTGTTGACTTGTGGATGGTGAGCAACCACCAGAGTCAGTTGTCTTTGGATCTCCAAACCCGAATCTTGCCATGTATTTGCAACAGTAAGACCCATCACGACTTGACCATAAACCGAATGCGGCAGGAGTAGATAAGCTTTCGAAGCTTCTCTTCCAACACAGGTCACCGAGCTTTTCCCTCCAAGACATCACATCAATGCCTTCTCATTCTCGATGGTGCTGCAATTCATCCGCGAGAACCTATCCCGAGCCACGCTGTAGTTTGGTATAAAACGATACGTACCGTTGCAAACGCGATCGGGAATCCTTCCTTGGCAGCAGCAAGCCTCTCAAATCAATTGGGTAGGCTGCCACATTCAAACACCGCTGGCGAACGATAAGGAAAAAGAAGAGGATCTTCAGCCTTAGGCAGTCGAATAAATCTACACCTCACATATAATGTAGGTGCTTGTCCGACCACAATGACTCTGGCACATTGAGATGCGCATATCGTTTGCACTTGATATTTGACTCCACCCGGACACTCAGCTTGGTCATCATCTTTCAGAATCATCCTTCCAGGCTTTACAATGTCCTCGCCAAATTGTGATGACGGCACTGCAGGTGTCTGTCATGGTGGTCGTCCTGATCTAACACTGGGCCTTGAGGACTATGTCATGATCCTTATACCAGCCGCATGTTTGCTGTTCATGGCTCCCTTGAGGCTGAAGAGGACATGGGGTCGAAGTCGCAAGGTCGTGTCGCCCACTGCTCTTTGGTGGGCCAAGACGGTGAGTTCTCGATTTAATACACATTATAGTGATGATCAAGGTCGAACTGACCTGTCAAAAGATATCCTCTACCTCATTCGTCGGTCTAAGCCTAGCCATTCTCATCAGAGGATGTACGCGACCACATGCGCCGTCAGCGGAGATCCCTGCAGAAGTCTTCTCATTCCTGGCCTCGCTTGCGGCCGCCGTTCTGTCACAATGGGAACACATACGATCTATAAGACCGAGTGCACTGCTACAACTATACCTAATGGTCGCCTTGGTGGTACAAGCTGTGCATCTTCGCTCGCTCTGGCTTCGCAATGAAGACACAACTATGAGAGGTCTGGGCATTGGCCAGATCGTCGCTTGCGCCATCTTCCTCGCTGTTGAAAGTGTGAGCAAGGAGTCCATACTATTGCAACGTCAGAAACGCAGTCCTCAAGACACCAACGACATGTTCAGTCAACGCTTGTTCTGGTGGCTCAACAACATGTTCAAACGTGGATACACTTCGGTACTCGCACCCAACGACCTCGACAAGATGGACGAGGATCTGTCATCCATCGACCCACAACGAAGATTCAGACTTGAATGGCGTAGACATACTACCAAGAACCCCAAAGTCAGCATGCTCCGGGTGATTTTCAGCGCCATCGGTTACGACATGATGTTTCCAGTCATTCCTCGTCTGCTTCTGCTCGCGATCCAGTTCTCCCAACCATACCTAATCATGCGATTCGTCGACTACATCGACAATCCTGAAAAAGGCGGCACTGAAGAGGGCATTTTACTTGTGCTCGCCACTGCAGTCGTTTATGTTGCCATCGCTACCTTTCAAAGTTGGTATTGGCAGGTGGTCGTTCGATTCCAGACAAAACTTCGAGGCTGTTTGATCAGTCAAATCCACGACAAGGCTTTGCGCTCGCGGGTCGATACAAACTCCAACCCTCTCATGCTCATGAATGTCGACGTCGAAAAAACACTCGTTGGTATCAGACCAATCCACGAGTTCTGGGCCTGCGGTGTCTCGATCGTGATTGCTCTGGGGCTCTTGTACAATCAAGTCGGATTGCCTTTCCTCGCTCCGCTTATACTTCTTGTGATATTTATCACGATCGCCTCCACGAACGGTAAAAAGATCGCACCAAAGATCAAGATCTGGCTGGCGACAACACAAGACCGTGTTTCTTATATCACCAGCGTTATTGGATCGATGAAGAACATCAAGCTACTTGGTATCGGACCCTCAGTACTCGACAAAGGTAACAAGCTTCGCGAGAGAGAAGTTCGTGCCCAAAGAGCAATCCGCATGTCGTCTATGATCAACCTGATCATCTCACTCACCAACTTCCAAGCAGCCACACTCGCCATGTATGGAGCTTTTGCGATCAAGACACATTTTACTGGATCGCCTCTGACCAATCCAACCCTCTTTACATCATTGGCGGTACTGAAACTGTTTACCAACCCACTTCTTATGACGATCCAATACTTGCCATCGCTACTGCAAGTGTTTTCCGCACTTTCCAGAATCCAGGAGTACCTTGTCACGGAAGATCACACAGACCAACGGACTATAGATTCCGAGGCTATGGCACATGGACCTAACACAAAGACAGGCGTATCAGTCTCAGAGCTGAAAGATATTGCGCAAGTCCGAGGGTTAATCTGTGGTTACTCCGAAGATAACACAGTGCTCGAGAACGTTGAGCTTGGCTTACCTCGTAACAAACTCAACATGGTAGTCGGAAGGTAAATTGCGCGACCGAAATCACATTGATCCCTTGCTGACATATGGCATAGTGTTGGCTCAGGCAAATCGACTCTACTCAAAGCTCTCCTAGGCGAAGTCACTATCAAGTCCGGCTCAATAGTCGTGGCAGACGACGAAATTGCCTATTGCAATCAGACCCCCTGGCTCTGGCACGGTAGCATCAGAGAGAACATCATAGGAGCTGATGTTATCGACGATATTTGGTTGACCAAAGTATGCTGGGCCTGTGGACTTGATCAAGATTTTCACGAGCTTCCGGACGGCATCGATACTCGTGTTGGTAACGATGGCACAGCTTTGAGCGGTGGCCAGAAGAATCGTATTAGTTTGGCACGCGCAGTTTATTCCCGCAGACCGCTGGTCTTACTTGACGACGTTCTTTCTGGCTTGGATACTCGAACAGAGCGGCTTGTGTTCAACCGTGTCCTGGGTCCTCGAGGTATCTTACGCAGGATGAGAACTACAGTCGTTTTGGCAACCCACGCTATTGGTTGGCTGCGCTATGCTGACACAGTACTTGTGGTTGAAAATGGCACACTGATCTATCAGGGTGGTCCGGAGAATGCACCTGCCTCGTTCATACGCAAACACGCTGAAGTACCACAGCACGAAGCCGACGAGGAAGACATCGGCAACACCAGCCCTGCGGAGATTCCGATCAAGACGTCGCGATCATCAAGTGTTTCCTCTTCGACTGTCAAACCCCAGTCTAATTGGCAGTTATACAAGACCTACTTCAAATCCTTTGGCCTCCTTAATTTCTTTTCCTTCACCTTTCTCATCACAGGGTTCTCTGTTCTGCAATGTGTACAACGGCTCGTACTCAAATGGTGGGCTAGTGCTGAAGTAACAAGCCCTTCCGGACTCGGCAAATGGGTTGGTGTCTTGGGCGCCATCACTGTTTCCTTCCTGGCCGTGGTTTTCTTGACACTGTACGTTGGCTTCATATACATGTTCCCTCGGTCTAGCTTGTACCTGCATGTGAAGCAGTTCTCAGCACTTGTCAAGATCCGCTACTCTGCTTGGGGTGGTAAAGAGACTGGAAGTATCGCCAATCGGTTCTCGCAAGACATCGCGATTATAGACATGCAACTTGGAAACGCTCTGCTCAATGTCATGGCAGGTATAACTGACGTTATAGCGATGACCTCGATCATCATTGTGGCCACACCCTTCATCGCTGCAACGCTACCTGTTCTTGCACTTGTCTTTTGGGTCATCCAAAACATCTATCTGCGTACTGGAAAACAGTTGCGAATCATGGATCTCGAGGCAAAGGCTCCCTTGTGTACGCACTTTCTGGAGACAGTGACTGGTGTTGCAACCATCAAGTCTTTTGGCTGGGCCAAGGCTTACAGAGAAAAGAACGAAAGACTTTTGGAAAACAGTCAGACGCCGTACTATCTTCTTGAGTCAGGTAAGACATCTCTATCCTTAGCAATGCACATTCGCTAACCTACGAACAGTACAAAACTGGCTTTCTCTGGTTCTAAACCTCGTGGTCGCTGGTCTTGCGACTGTCACGATGGCTATAGTCGTGAAGATGCGATCGAGCAGAGATGGCGGTTACGTTGCTTTGGCACTGATCAACATCATGGATATTGGACCAATCCTCGAAATGCTCGTTGTAGCTTGGACACAGCTCGAAACCAGTATGGGTGCCATCGCTCGCATGAAGGAGTTTATCGAAAGCACACCGGAAGAAGCGCAAGGCAAGATCAACCCTCCGGCAGACTGGATGACCGAAGGCAGCATCTCCATCAACAACCTCGAAGCCTCCTACTCAGACATCGCACCACCCACGATCAAAAACATCAATCTAGAGATCAAACACGGTCAAAAGATTGCCATCTGTGGCCGCACAGGCAGCGGCAAGTCCTCCCTCGCATCCGCCGTCTTCGGTCTCTTGCACATCAGCAGCGGCACCCTCAAAATCGACGGCGTAGACATCACAACCGTGTCTCAAGAACTCTTGCGCTCAAAGATGATCGCACTACCCCAAGACCCATACTTTACCTCTGGCACCGTGCGCGAAAACCTCTCTCTGCGCACCACAGATACCAAACGCAGCGATGCCGAAATGCTAGCTGCTCTTTCCCGCGTCGGCCTGCTTGCCAAATTCGAAACTTTGGCTCAAGCAGAAGGCTCGACTTGGCTTACACCCCTTGATGTTGCTCTCAACCCTGAAGACATGCTCACGAAAGGACAAACTCAACTCTTTGCCATGGCACGCGCGATGCTATCCTCAGGATCTGTCGTCCTCGTCGACGAAGCTACTTCAGGCCTTGACCATGAGACCGAAGCTGTGGTGCAGAAGTTGTTGAGGGAGGAGTTCAAGGGTAAAACTGTTATTGCGATTGCGCATCATTTGCAAGACCATTGTGGATTTTGATGTTGTGGTTGTTTTGGACGGGGGTAAGATTGCTGAGGTGGGGGTGCCTGAGGAGTTGATGAAGAGGGAAGGAAGTTTGTTTGGGGGTTGCTTAGGGCTGCTAATTGATTTGGTTGGTGGTTTGAGTCGAGTCTCCATGGTTTTGATTTTGATATGGTATAAAAGCTTGATGATATTGTATTTGTTGTCTTTCTATCGTTGCTGGACTATAAGTGATTGTTAGGATAGGGCATAAAAATGACGATCTCGATCTATACAGCCAATTGAAAGGTTCCCTCGATGTAACAACCAGTGTAAGTTCCTCTAGAGATGGAGGAAAGTTGGTGTAGAATGTGTGGTTGTCGCGGCGACTCACATCTTGCCTGCAGACTGTGAGACTATCTCCAACGGGATTCTGAGACGTTGCAGCTTTGGGTAGAGTGTAAATGTATGAGTTTGACAAGGCTCCATCGGTTTGGGAAATTGTCTGATGCCCAATCCTGGATGCACCCAATGCTCGCTGGGTCCTGGATCGAACTCAAGCTCCACAAGATTATCCTTGACCGAGTCAAGGACAAGGATGGCTTTTGTATGCTGATTGGGTTGTCCATGCCGTGACGCTTATAGTCGGGTGCCAGGTGGGATGTGATTTTCAGGCTCTGGAGATCCTTCGGCATCTTGAAGACGTAAAGCATGTCATCAACGACAGGTCCGCAGTCCAGGACGCTGAGATGTGTTATGTTCCATGTGCCTGGCTCGTCGAAGTCTTGATCCAGTCCCCAAGGACAATCCGTCATTTGCCAATCTCTGAGCTCCAGAAACCGAAATGTCGGTGTTTCCTTAATCAAGTCACGCACTTGAGGCATCCACTCGAATTCAATACCCTGGTCATCTTCCATAGCAAAAGATATTGAAGTGATACCACAAGCGGGAAGATTAGTATTCCAAAAGTTATCATTTATTTGCATGTATTGCACTGTCGTGTGGAAGAAGTCCAGATTTTCACACGCAGAAGCATCTGTGAAGAGGGAACCGAGGTTCGAGACGGCGGCCACATCTTCAGGAAAGAAAAGGTCGTCATTTGAGTCTTCAGTGTCAACTATGAGTAGTCAGTAAAGTCCTTGCTATTTGCTTGTCGTAGTAAACCAAAGGTTACTCTCTGGCCTGATCTCGTGTCCTCAGAGCCCATCAATAGTAATTGGGTTTCTGCAGTGATGCATGGTTTGACTTACGGCATTGTACAAATACTCGATGAACATGTGACTTCCAGTCATTGCGGTCTTTGTGCAACTCATAGAAGAGTGCATACTCACGACACCAAGTCCCGTCGTATACTGTATCTTTTGTGCACCCAAGGAAGCCCTGGTCTCTAAAAGACTAGCGTGTGATATAGCTTCTTTTGCGTTGTTTGTCGGAAAGCGCTCGAGAGCTGACTCATGGTCCTGTGGACTCCAACGAAACTGTAATCCAGGATCCGTAGCCATATCTCCAGTGGAAAAGTCTCGGGTTGTGTATGGAACGACATCATATTTGGACGTCTTGTTTAACTGTAATCTGTAAGTACGACAATGAATTGTTGATGGTTGAGAAGATGGTTGGATGGCAGTCAGGTAGACACGATGTTTGATTGAGGGTTGCCTAGGTGGCTCGTGCGTAATGATAGCTTGGCTACCCAGAGAGGAAGGAATGAGGAATGAACGACCCCCATTGTTACTATATGTCTCGAGACTCGACCTACTTGGTATGTGCGCACTCGATGGTCCTGTCCTGCGTGGAAAGAATTGACTTTTATTTCATCAGCTAAACAGCACTCAACCCACCGTCAAGATTCAGCACGGTGTTGTTCGCATACTGATTCCCACACAAGAACACCGCGGCATCTGCAATCTCATCGACAGTGCCAAACCTGCCAGCCGGAATCTTCGCAATAGCAGCGTCTCTGGCAGTGTAGGGCATTGCCCCTGTCATATCCGTTTCGATGTACCCTGGACAGATAGCGTTGACCCTGATACCACGAGTACCCAGTTCCGCTGCTAAAGAACGAGTGAGACCGAGGACGCCTGCTTTCGAGGCTGCGTAGGCCACACTTCCCGCACCGCCGTGGGTCGCAAGCAATGAAGAAATGTTCAAGATGTGCCCAGCTCCCTTCTCAGCCTCTGCAGAATTCTTCAGCATCTTCTTGACAGCGAATCTGGAAGCTTGGATAGCAGCACTCAAATTTGTGTTTAGGATGTCGTCTACTTTGGCTTGCGTGGTTCGGAGCAAGAGACTCGAATGCGTTATTCCTGCTGCATTCACTAGGACGTCGAGTCTGCCGTTCTCGGGCCCCCAGCAAGGGTTCTTGTCGAGAGTAGACCAGAAATTCGAGTCGTTGATGTCGCCGGTGAGAACAAAGTGGCTACGGCCGACTGAGCCGCGGGCGGAGGTGCAGAGGTCGTAGGTTTCTTCCAAGGCGACCTCATCGCGTCCAACGAGAAGACAGCCGGCGCCTTCGCGTGCGAAAGCAACTGCAATTGCACGACCAATGCCGCGAGAGGCGCCGGTTATCAGGCAGGTTGATCTGCGAAGAGCGTGTTTTGAGGAGGCGAAGAGTTTTAGAGATCGAGTTTGTGTGAGAGTCGGAGTGGTCGGCACAGTAGGTACTTTCGAGCTTCGATCAATTGCTCGTATCATTGTAGGCATTTTTGGGGCCGATGTATTTGAGAAGAAAAGGCGAGACATGTTTGGGGAGAGTAATGACAAGGAAGGGGGTGGAGAGGAGAGTGCTCTTTCGATTCGGACGAAATTTCAGATTGACTTCAAGGGAAGCAAGAACTATCAAAACACTTAGCCTGGTAGTCAAAGCTACATTGAGTCAAGAGAGCCTCACATTTCGAACAATCAAGTGATGTTGGTGAAAGAGAGGCCGAGTGGGCAGAAGTGGAAGTCAATGGACGATGGAGCTCGGATCAACAAAGGTCTTGGCGTGAGCGCATGCGATTTTGCCCACAGCTTCGTTCGATGAGTCCTTCGTCTTTCCTTCTCCCACGCGCATCCTCGCAATATACAATCGACAATGGCAGACACAGAGCAGATTGAAGCGCCCGACTACGTTACGCTTGTCAGCAATGATGGCTTCGAGTTCGTAGTCCAAAGAAAGTCGGCCTGTCTCTCTGGCGCCATCAAGAGGATGCTCGACCCAAACAGTGCGTTTTCACGCTCTATTGCTCTTCTCTATTCTGTGCTAACGATCCTCGCAGACGGGTTTGCAGAGTCCAAAACTCACAAGTGCACATTTGAGAACATAAACGGCATGGTCTTGGAAAAGGTCTGCGAGTACTTCTACTATAACGAGAAGAACCGCGACTCTACCGGTGTCGCTGACCTCGACATCCCGCCTGAGCTCTGTCTAGAGTTGCTCATGGCGGCCGACTACCTGAATGGTGTGTACTCCTGACCGACTGCTGACTGCGCACTCGACTAACATATCTTCAGTCTGATGAAAAAGCCACGCACCTGCACGACTCTCCTCTGTCTTCCATNNCCACGCATACCAGCCANNAGGCGTTTACGGCGTTTGTTGCTCTCTCAACAGAGTCATCCTTTACAGTAATCTTCTCACGAATACTATCACCTTCACCATTCGCGACTCAGACAAGAAACACTATGACCATGAAACAACTACACTACACCCTTTGGACCACGAGCATATACGCCGCCATCTACACTCCTCCACGATGCGGCGTCTATAGTTGGTCCTACATCGACTTCCGCATTATTCAGTCCCTCTCTTCACTCACATGGATGAAGGACTTTATTCCAGTCGGAGACATTTCTGTCTTGCAGCCAACACAATACAAACACAACATCCACCCTTTTTGCCCTTCTGCCAGTTTCCCTTCCAGTGACTTGCACATGTTCAGGAACTTCTATTGTCACGCTTGTCTCCTCATTCTCTCTGGGAGTTTTCAGGCCCTCATCACTGTTCCAAGATTGATTTTGACACGTTTAAATTGACTTGCAATGTCTTTGTATCCGTGATGTCTGCGAGTCTCATTGCGTGCCTACATCTTCTTTCCTCTATCTTCTTGTCTTTGAGGAGTTGTGCTGTGATGCTTTGACCAAGATAGCTCCTTATATAATTTTCAAATATTATGCCAAATCCACCATGATTTTTGACCACACATGCCTTATCTATCATCGCTGTCCATGACCTTTTTGCTGAAAGGGCTTCTATTCTTGAACTTGTTGCATGTATAAGCGTGACCTCTTTAGTCTACGGCCGTGTCGTCGAAAAGGAGCCGTATATGCAGCTAACAGACACGATCTTCTGCTAGCTCATTCTACTACTTCCTTGGACTACATTTGCTTCATCAGCGATCCTTTATGCAGTGTCGTCTGAGCACTTTGTCCGGCCTTGTTTTAGTATCGGGTCAATAGGTGTGTGGTTCATTTATTTTAGTTTTCCACTTTGAGTAGGGCATTGGGGTCTGTTCGAGCTGGGAATAGGTGTGGTATGCTTGTTCATTCATTTATCTTGCAGATTTGTTACCCAGATCTGTGTTTCGAGATTTGAAATGATGGGCAGTGTAGCTCGTGCGTGCTGCATGTTGTCTATTTTACTTTCCCGAGGGCATGTCGTGGTAGCGTGGGTTTTGAGCATTCTTGTTTCTAGTTCTCATGATGGAGTGCTCACCGACACGAAGAACAGCAAGCCTAGCTATAGTGCCAACAGTCTTACCTTACTGCCTCCCTGAAAGCGTGGTCTCCACATGGGTTGCCTTCCTTCTCGCAACGCGTAAAGAGCATGGGTCACTGCCCCTGTTAATCTCACATGCATCGTGACCGAGTGCAAGTCACGGATATAACACGTTTGCATGAACGACAAAAACTGCTGCAAACTAGTCAGAAGACTCGATTCAGCCTTAGAAGGCTGAATAGATTTGTCAGAAAAGACGATGAAACGCAAGGGGTTGGTGCGCGAATACCGTATGCCCGAAGGTCTGGTTTAGGTGTCCGCAAGCGAAGTCGATGCCTTGGTATCTTGGGAGAAACGATATAGATTAATTGCAAACGGCATGGCAGATCTGGGGACTGGAAGGTTTGCGTTGATTTGAATGCAGACAGCAGAGATAAAGAAAACAGTAGAAGAGGACATACAGTCTGTTTTTTCGGATTCGGTAGATATTAAATGTTGAACAGAAAGAAAGGGAGAGGTGGCTAGAAGGAAAAGTTCTAATTTCTATACTTCATGGTCTTGTGACGCTGGTTCGTGATCGCTGGAATACAAAGCAAAATCTGGTATACAGACAGTTGCAGGAAAGCAGACTAAAGAAAAAGAAAAGAAAGGAAAAGAAGACAGAAAACATAAGGACAGAGAGAGTGAAGAAATGAAACCCAAAACCGCAACCAAGGAAAAGCCATCACCAATCCAGCTATCCATCCATCTTCCAAACAAATGAAAATACTACGCATGTAACATTATATGATATAATAGACAGATAGGAAAAACCGCACCGTCAACAAACCATCAATCATGCTCGTTGGCATGACGGTCATAGCCCAAGCAACTTTGTTAGAGTTACCTTCTTGAATCCGCTCTTTCTTTTCTCCTTTTCCTTTTCCTTCTCTTTCTCCTTCTCTTTCTTCTTGGCTTCTGCTGGAGAAACGACTTGCCCAGCTTCGCTCTCTACAGCCCTAGTAGCGACGAGTGCAGCCGCTTCTTCCTTCCAGAAGTCGTCCCATCTCCCTGGCGCAGCAGGTTTCAATTCCGCACGGCCAAGCAGACTACGGTGTCTACTGATCTCGGGCTTCTTCGATCTCAAAGCAACGCTCAAGGAAGATTGGGAGCGAGGGAGACCGGCGGAGGAGATGGAGGTGACAGAAGAACCTGCTGGCGATGCTCCAACGCTAAAGTCAAAAGATTTGCGAAGACGGTTGCGGTGAGCAGAAGGAGGACGGCAGGCAGGTGCATTGATGACAGGCGCTGTTGCTTTGACCACAGTATCCTCTTCGCTTTCCTCCGGAATCCGAATTTTGATGAAGGAAGCTCGTTGCAGCGAGATGGGTTGCTTGGCTAGGGACATCGTTTTCGGTATTGTGGTGTCCACGTAGGAGACGCGGAGGAAAGAGATCAAAGCTCTAATGTCCGAGGCTGTGGACATGCCACCGAGAGATACGCGAACGACGCCTGTGGCTTTGCCGTCGACAATCTCCATAGGGGTGCTGCAGCGGTGACCAGATGCAAAAGCTGCTTTCATGTCTGCTGGTGTCCAGTTGAGGTAAGTGGCCATGCCACCAGGGTTGCACAGAGAGCCGCTGCGGATATAAATGTCGTGGCCGTTGGCCAACTTCTCGACTTCTGTGTATGGGATAAGTGAACCGTCAGAGTTCAGCACGTTGAACGCGATAGTGGCGCCTTGAGTTTTGCTGTCGCCGTAGACGGTAGAAGGTTCCTTGTAAATACGAATCACAGATTTGCCATTTCTGTGTCGGAGATTGCAAAGGTTGTCGTGGAGTTGCTTTGACAGTTGTACTGTGTGGCGCGAAATGAACTTCATAGGTTCATATCCGTAAAGACGTTCGTGAGCGTTGATGGCGTGATCCAGAGCAAATATCGAGTGGAAAGGGAGAGTGCCATCCTCAAGCGTGTCATGGATGGTAGCAGTCTTNTTCGCATGCCAGGTATCATTGATGGTCACGACCATATCGACCGTACCACCTCCAAAATATTTGCGGTTAGCAAGCACGTGAGCCGAGGACTTCTGCACAAGTAGAGCCCCAATGTTTGGGAAGCCGAATATCTTGTAGAAACTGAGGGCAACGAAGTCAGGGCTTTCACGGGTATTACTCAGGTCCAATTGAGCCGTACTGGCGAGTGCAGCAGCATCGAGGAGGGTATACGTGTTTGCTCGTAGGACTTTGTTTCTGATCATACCAGGCCATGTGAGAGGGAGACGACGACCAGTCATGTTTGATTGGCCGGGATAAGCGAAGAGACCTAATTGGCGAGGAAGGGGACCGCCAGTACCACCGCACTCGATCCACTTCTCTACCTCATCATCGCTTCCGAAGCATCGGCTTGTGGTTGTGAGCTCACGGATACCGACGAGACTAGTGTGAGCGTCACGATGGTACCCATACCATAGTTGCTTATGTGTGGCGGCGGAATGATCCTTGAGACAGTCGATAGTGAGCTTGATGGCGGCAGTAGCGTTGGCGACAAAGACCAAGTCCCACTCCTCAGGATCAGCTTTGAAGAAACGTAGGGCCTTTTCGCGAATGGCGTCTATCCGGTGACCAGCAACAGCCGATGGTGTAGAGTCTGAGTGTGGGTTGCCATATAGGTTTGATATTAAGTCGTTTGAGAAGTCTTCGACCATTGACTTGGCATAAAGCNNTAGGATTGGTCAGATACTTTGTACGTGGGAACGATTATGTTGGTGGGGTAAGCTTACTGTTGATCCTCCATGATCGAGATAAATCTTGCCGGCGAGTTGAGGGTACTCTCGTGCTCTGAAGCTCTCGACCTCTTCGTTCTCATAGTGCTCTCCAGAACATGATGGAGCAGGTGTCGTGCAATCGGTTTCGTAATCGTAGTCTTCGTGACCGCTGAAGGACGACATGTCGTCGTCTGACACTGAGGGCGTCCTCGACATGGTGTTTATGTGTTCCAGTGATGGGTCTTGCCCGTTGTATAAGGCTCAAAATAAGATCGCCCGGCAATCTGAATCGTGAAACGGTTTCCTATTTCCCGGGAGAAGGGGAAAGCAATGGAATATGGAATCGTATCCGACTGGCGGTGTGGTGGGTAATTGGAGATTGGAAACAAGAGGACTAGACTTTTGGAAAAAGGAGCAACGGTGTCATACCAAACAGAAAAAGATGAAAGAGAAGGAAGAGGCAAAAGGTACAAGAGTAAGGGAAAGACGTGACGTATATAGATAGGCTTCTGCAGAGCAGGGGAGAATGATTGCTCTCGGGTAGTGGGTGCAGATGGCATGGCGTCCGATCTGCAGCAAAATGATACATTTGTTAGGCCAAAACACATGGTCTCAGTAGCCACTCTACGCAGGTAGCCAGAACCTGAAGGCTGTCAAAGCGGTAGAGACCCGTCCACCTGTCAACGGTCAACTCACAGGCCAAGTTCAAACAAGAGATCATGAATGTTTGACGAATCAACGGCTCGCGTAGTTATTTTCGAAAGAGGATGCATCGATCGCCAATCAATCCTGGAGGCGAAACTGGATATCTCGAACGACACGGCGCTCTGTTCACTGCCGGGGATGCACGTCAACTCTCTCTCGATGAGCCTTCCTTTCGAAAATGCAGGCGTATCCTGGATGGCGGTAATGCGACAAGCTGTCCAAAGTGGAGCTTGTTAGGCAGTTGCGAGACGGATGATCTGCTGGACGCGCAGCAGGAAACCGCAATCCGGGTTCATGTTTCCAGCCCATGGCAGCACAGACACCAGGCCTGCAGGAGGAAGAGGAGAAACTTCTCATACGCAAGCATCCCTGGCGCCATCACGACTCAGGAAGGCTCTGATAGATTGGATGTCACAGAGTTTTGGGCTATCCCACAAGCGTTGTGACGAGCGGGAGAGGGACGACGCGGGCGGCCCGCGGACAGCAGACGGTATGAAGCCTAAAAATCCTCCGTAGACTTCACGTCAGGTCGTGTCTTTGCCCACTCGGTATCCACTGTCGAGCCGTGCAAAGCAACGTGTGGACGAGAGAGCAGCAGTAGCTATCCGACTATGTCAGGTGCTCACTGTGTAACTCGTAAGAATCAGTCTCCACGTAGTCATCGTGTCTCGGCGCTCCGTTGCGGGGAAGGCAGGACGACGATGAGAGGCTGGCGAAGACTTCATTGTTTCACAACAGCGTTACGACGGTACCCGTTTTTGCTCGCTTGAGGGAACCCGGAAGGTGTCACGACTTTCCGAGCTGTGAGCACCTCATCGCATAAACCGATCGACTCTCATACCGAGACTCATCTCCAGTGGTGCTGTCCGCGGCCGTGACATTGAGCTCATCCTGTCAGATCTCAACTGTGCTCGTACCGCCATCCCGGCGCATCTTGATACAGATGCCCGAACGCCCTTCTTCGAACCTTCCAGCAGCACTCAGGTCGGCATGGCTGAAGCCACCGAACGACTCCGAGACGACTACCTGGGTCCCCGCAAGCACCGACCATTTCGTATCAATATCCTGGACACTCGCTATGACCGCCAATCTCTCGCGAGTTAGGGTTTAAGAGAGTGGTTTCTAGGCGAGAGAAGGATTGAGGGCTGAGCGCGCGCGTCGCTGGCAAGAAGGATGGCCGCAGTCTGTGCGAAAGCGCTGGACCAGTCACCTCGGGCCAGCAGCATCTCGCCAAATGCAGCCTTCCGATCAAGGACAGCAGCCGTCACTTTGTTAGACGAGAAACAACGGCGTCTAGTGATAAAGAGGTGGAGATATCAGGATTGACAAAGGAGAAGGCACGAGCAACCATCCGCGAGGGAGGTGCAACCGTGGCAGCCAGTTCAAGAGTGCCAGAGTGGACCGCTCACTCGTGGCCAGCGATAGCATCCCTCGTGCGCCGATACCATCCGTTTTCTCGTTCGAAAACGCTCAGACGATGACGACCTATCGCCTTGAGATCCGTCGTGTTTCAAGTTGGCTCTGTCAAGGTCAAGAGAGACAGCTGTGATCCTCAGCGAGATCGGATCGCTGGCAGGTTGCTGAAGATCCGACGCGTCCCCAGCTCCTGCCACCTGCAGACCAGGCCAATCTCAATTGACCACAGACCAGATTGTCAAGATTTTCCGCTTTCAACAGCCCTATACCGGATTCCAAATGGTTGATTAGATTGCTCTCGATGGAGATTTATTAAGTTGCGATGCTTTCGCCATCTTGAAAGCACGTCACTACGGCCCGCGCGTATTGGCGGATTGGCTGGAGTTGTCGCGTAGCACGGGGAAGCTAAGTCTAGCTGCATTAGCCTCGTGTCTACAGCCTGCAGGGGCAACTGCAACGTCCTGTTCTCCTCAAGCCAGAAGATATCTGATACATCCGACTTCATGCACAAAGGTCAATCGCGTGGTGACCGGGCTTTTGGGATGCGTCTGAAATTGCCTTCAGCCGCCCAGGATCGACTATGAAGAGGTAGGCTAGAAGTCAGCGCCAGCATGTGATTCGACCATCGCCCTCCCATGGCCTCTGAGTCGACGACTCTCGCTTGCATGCTGTTCGCCTCTCCATTTCCTTGTGCAGTCATAGCGGCCGTCTGTGTTTGCTCGTTTTCCTGCAGCCAGCCTTCACGTACTCAACAAGCGAAGTAGGAAGCCAACCCTTCCTAAGACTGCCCAATTGCCCTGCCATTTGTAAACTGCCAGGCCCAGTCTCTTCTGCATCTCTCTTTGTGTCTGAGACTTCTTCCACTCGTTCTTTTCCAACTACTGTGGTTGCTTTTCCATATCGTCGCTATCAAAAGAAATTCGAACCGCACGTTCGTGTCGTCGCTCGGAGACTACCATTATTTAGCCTTACGACACTTTTCTGTTTGTTCGTCGAGGTCATTGCTTGGCTGCACCCACAGACCTCCCTCCGGTTTCTGATAACCACTACACATCTCTCTTCCTCCATACGTGACTTTCATGTTCGCATCGAGGTCCACAACCATGTCGGACGTCGAGAAGATGATGGGAGATTACTCCCAGCTCACCAACCACAACATTCGCAGCTTTCTCTGGAGGGGAGTCTCTGTCTCCGTCAGAGACCGTCAGACTCATGAAGACAAGCCCATCCTCAACAATGTCAGCGGCATCGTCTATGCTGGAGAGTTGATGGCCGTTATGGGTCCTTCGTATGTTTTCTCATCGTTCCGTCTGCTCTCATCGCTAACTCGCTCGCNNAGTGGTTCTGGAAAGTCAACGCTTCTCAACGTGCTTGCCAACCGCGTGCCTGCCAAAGGCGCTCATGCTCAGTCAGATGTCTTCCTCAACGGCCGCCCGGCCGAGGCTGAGACGATGCGCAAGATCAGCTGCTATGTCGAACAAGAAGACGCTCTTGTCGGCTCACTAACAGTCAGAGAGACTTTGCTGTTTGCTGCTCGTCTCTCCCTTCCCAAGAGCATCAGCGCCAACGAGCGTATCGCCCGCGTTGAGGCACTCATCAACTCTTTCGGTCTCAACGGCCAAGCTAACACTTTGGTCGGTACACCTATAAGAAAGGGTATCTCTGGTGGTCAGAAGCGCCGTGTCAGTGTCGCCAACCAGCTCATCACCAGCCCCAAGATTCTCTTCCTCGACGAACCTACTTCTGGTCTGGACTCGGCAGCTGCCTTCGAGGTCATCGCGTTCGTCAAGGATGTAGCCAAGAAGCACAACGTAAGTTCTGATTCCTACCTCATGTTCAGATGTATAGACACTAAGACAAGCACAGNNTTGATGGTTATCTCGAGCATCCATCAGCCCTCCACGTCGACATTTGCAATGTTCGACAAGCTTCTCCTCCTCTCGCATGGCAACACAGCATACAGCGGACCAGTTAAGGACGTCCAATCTTTCTTTGACTCATGCGGCTTCCCCATTCCTCTCTACATGAACCCCGCCGAATTCATCATCGACTTCGTGAACACCGACTTTGCTCATAACAGGAGCGAAGTCATGAGCCAGTTCGAGATGGTCACCGGCACCTGGCAGCGCTCCGGCCTTCACGCCGAAAAGTTGAACACCATCGCCCGCGAAATCTCACACGGCGACCCTTCGCCTCAGGAAACCAACGACAACGAGCAGATTGGTGCTGACTGGTTCGCCATCGTGACTGCGCTTATCCATCGCAACTTCATCAAGTCGTACCGTGATATCATCGCCTACGGCATTCGTATTGCCATGTACATGGGTCTGGCTGTCATGATGGGCACTGTTTGGCTACGTCTGGATGCCTCGCAAGACAACCTGCAAGCCTTCACCAATGCCATCTTCTTTGGAGGTGCCTTCATGTCCTTCATGGCCGTCGCCTACATTCCTGCCTACCTCGAAGACCGCGCCATTTTTATGAAGGAACGTGCCAACGGCCTCTACGGACCCACGTCTTTCCTCGTTAGCAACTTCTTGACTGGTCTCCCGTACCTCTTCATCATCACTCTGCTCTTCAGTGTTGTCGTCTACTGGCTCAGCAACTTCCGCGGCACGGCCGGCGGCTTCTGGACTTGGGTCATGTGGCTCTTCCTCGACCTCATCGCCGCCGAATCCCTCGTCGTTTTTATTACCAGCGTCGTTCCGATCTTCGTCGTTGCCCTTGCTGCTACTGCCTTTGCCAACGGTCTCTGGATGTGCACCATGGGTTTCATGGTTCGCCCTGCCGACCTTAACCCCTTCTGGCGCTACGTGTTCCACTACATTGATTACCAGAGCTATGTCTTCGAGGGCATGATGGTCAATGAATTTGCCCACAGAAACTACACTTGCCCTGTTGACAACAAGGGTAACTTTGCTTGTGCTTACGAGTCTCCTCTGAACGCTCAGGGATTGATTCCCGGCACTGCTTTGCTGGATACCTATGGCTACAAGACTGGCAAGACTGGCGAGTACATTGGCATCTTGTTGGCCATCATCTTGGTCTACAGACTTCTTGGCTGGTTTGTGCTGTATGTTCGCCGCACTTGAGAGGGGGTTTCCCTCTTTCCACTAGAACAGCAAGAGCGATTCTTATGCTGTTTTTGTTCTATGACGACTCTCTTTTCTGTAATTTCCTTTGCCTGTCGCATCGGCGTATCTGGGGCAGGTGTTCTTTTGGCGCATTTGGTCCCTATTACCCCTTTTGCTTTTTGAGTCTTTTTACAATCGGGTTTCTTTCTTCTCGATTATGTTTCCAAAGAAGGAAAGCAGGACTTATCACTCTTGACGAGTTTCCTTTCGGAGGTTTCGGTTTTCTTTCTGGCAAAAGACTAATGATCGATGCATAACACAAACCACAAGATACATGCTCAGTCTGTTTCTACATACATAAAAAGAATAACAAGTAGACCACTCTAGTACTTTCTCCATTCATGTCGTGTTCTGGACTGCGTGATGAAACGTCTTGCATGATTTCCCTATTTTCTTCTACTCTCCTCACCTCACCTCGCTTCCTTACTCCTTTTCTTCTGCTACTTGCCTCTGCACATTCAGGCAGTATCACAGTGACGACCCAAAGTTTTCAACCTTCTGCAATCACGCCCAACGCCCAAATCCAACACTTGCAAGGATTCTCACTTTTGCAACAGCTGGGTACCTTTTGTTTGTACCTTGCTTTGAGGAGGATGCGGCGCTGGGGGGTTTTTTTTGGTTGCGCAAGGTTGTGTAACGTGTGACAGATGCAGCCACCCTCGAATGCATAAACGCCGACCAGGGCAGCTAATGCAAGATGCAGTGTTACGAAGGCAGTGAGTTTCGTGAGGCGCATGCATGGTGCATGGTGCAGCTGCTGATTACTTTTCAGTGTCTTTTGTGATGATTCTCGCAAAGCAAGGGAGTAATATGGTTGATAGCATCTTCGTTGATATATCGAGTTTACCGCTGTTGTTTCTGGAATCTTCGCTTCGTTGCTGTGCGAGGTGCAGATATTGAAAAGGCTCCAGAGCATAAGAGAAGATGCACATACCCTCTCTCCAATCCAGCCAAGTCTGTCGTGACCCGGTTTTCTTCGCTGTCTTGTGTTTTGCAGACTTGCTGTCGATATCCATTCTTTGTGTTCACTCGCCATTCTTCTTCTCATGACAACAAGGTGGATGGTAAGACAGATACTCAAGAGTTTATCTCTCATGCAATTTCTCTCTGCTCGATAACTCGTCAGCCATATCCTTATACTGTTTGCATCCTGCTTTGATGTTGAGATTACTTGCCTCCGAGATTGCTGAGGGGCTTTTCCAGAGGCGCCTACCCGTCAATGCTCATCTCTGCCAAAAAAAAAAATGCAGTCAGCAAAGACCGAAACCTGCACATACGTGTTGCACAACAAGATGCTGTAAATGGATTGCAGATTCTTCGATTGTTCTCTTGTTGCTATTGCGTATACATACTGTAGACGCTCTACTCTGTGTTAGCTTGCCAGTCTAGTGGAGGATGTTGATGGATATTGTGTATCTCTGCTCTGGTACGATGTCCTCTTTCAAAGTGATGGAGGAAGAAAAGGGAAAACCCAAGAAGAAAAAAAGAAAAATCATGGCTGTTGGTAGCACCCTGGCTACAGTTACTCATCTTACTACAAGGCAATTGAACACTGTGATAATGGTATGTTAGGACTACAAGTCATCGCCAGCGGTTTTCAGTGAGTGCCGCGTGAGCTAAAGCACGAGCATGCTCATGTTTGTCTTGTTTTGGTGGTCTTGTGCTTGAAGTGATAGACCGAAGCTGAACATAGTGGTTCTGTAGACTTCTCAGGTTCCCATTCTATGCTGTTCTGTTTACCCTGTCCATGGTGCTAAAAGGATCCATTGATATATAATGCACCAATGCAAGCTCGAAAACTCCATATTCACAAAGACGGCCCAACGCTTGAATCCGAACGAGAGAAAGCAATAGTCGCACAAGTCTTCAGACTCCATAACTGTAGCCGCCAAGATCGCGCTCCTTTCGCTTCAGCTGCAGCTATACTCAAGTCAGCGACGTTCGAGAGTGATAGGACAGCAGAAGGAGGAGATAGAAATGTTCGCAGAAGTGATGCGCAAGAGAAGTTGTGATACTCACAAACCCAGCCCTGTTTAATCGTCTTGATCGTGTTCAGAGTTGCCCAAGACGAACATCACAGCAGACCTGATACGCATCGGTGGGAAGCCTCTTGTCACGGCTTCGCGCCATAACGTAAAACATCATCTTTCGTGCTTCTCCTTCTCAACAACACTCGCAAGGGGTTCATGCAACCGCATAGATTTATACCTTTGCTTGGATGCCGCTGGCTTTCTGGTATGCCTTTTCTTCTTCGGCTTTCTGCATCGACTCGACGCGTTGTAGATTTGCCTGCTCTGATCTGCTGAGAGGAATCTCGTTTCCCGTACGTCTTGCACGGCTCTGCTGTGTCTCGACGAGTACGGGTCTACCGCTCTTAGGATTCGAGCCAAAGGTATACGAACGATACTCAGTGTTGGCCCAGCCAGTACCTGGAATTCTGTGAGAATGTGGATGATGATGTACTCTGTGCTGTGATGAGGAGGAGGACTTCTGCTTATCATGATTGTGATGGTGATGCTGGTGATGCTGGTGACGTGACGATGAAGAGTCAGGTCCACTCTCAGATTTGGATCGAACACGTTCCAGGATGACAATGACAGGAGGAGGGGGAGCGTCAGACCGCCGACGATGACGGTGACGACGAGGGAGAGTGTTACCCTTGTTCTTTTCCATCCAGTCCTCGGTGAAGTAATGCAGAAAGCCACCATGGGTGACAACGACAATCTCCTTCTCTGGACGGTTGTACAACCATTCTCTGGCTATCCTTGCACGATCATCGACAGCTGAAGCAGTAGCAGACCATTTGCCGAGTTTGGTGTTCCAAGCTTTGGCCGGAGCAGTATACATGTAGCTCAGATCAACGGGTTGACCTTTGAACTCTGATTCGAGATCTTGAACATTACTCCCAGTATCGCAAGGCAGGTCCGATGTCTCTTGAAGTTCCGGGAGGGTGAGAACCTTGAGACGTTTGTCCTTGATGACCGGAGCGAACGAGTGAAGAGCAGTATACACGGTGCGTTTCATGGGAGATGCCACAACGGCATCGACACGGTCCATGAAGGGAAAGTTTGCGGCAAGGACTTTGCATTGTTCCTCGCCGAGTGTCGTAAGCATGGGGTCATGCATGGCATGGTTCATAACGCTGAGATTGTGGTAGCCTTGAGCATGACGCACGCAATGGATCGTGGTAGGAGCCATGTTAATGACCGGGTTGTCGATGTGTCGTAATAGCTGTTTAGGTATAGAATGAATACAGGAATAGAGGTAGGACTGAGTTTAGGGTCAGTTGATGAATGTTCGCAAAAGGAAAGGCGTGAGATGATGAAAGCAACCACAAAGAAAACCAAGCTCTCTCTGCTGTGGTCTGGGCGTGGCCATGGGCTTTGTCTGACGGAAGGAGCGACTCGACAGTCAGATACGAATGACACGCCTATCGTGTCACTGGTCAAGAAATGCCTTTGTGGATGCAGGAACGGAAACGTCACAGGACCCTTCATTCTTGCCGATCAGCATTGGCACGGCGACTCAGCTTCTTCTGACCGCATCTTCGAATAATCTATATCATCGCAATCTGCACATTATTACACTATTCTTGCTCGCAATGCCGTGAAGACTACGTTGAGAACCGAATAAATGGAATAGTCTGTCTACCAGACTTCACAGTCCCATCGACACCTCGTATCTACCGCTGTGACTTCCCAGAAAAAGCTTGGTATGCAAAGGAGCATCGGCTCTTTATCATCCGGATGCCTTCATAAACCACCTTCCATAATGCATAGCTTATTGACCACATGGTCCCCTTATCATTGACCCCAGTATCCCAACGCCGTCGCTAAATCAACCCAAGCCGTCTCTAATCCTAGTGATTCTTCTGCCTTGCAAGCCATAAGCCCACGGCTTCACGAGCAAGATCTGTTCCCCATGCACCATCCTTGCCACCTCTACGGAACTCTTCACCAGCATAACCTTCATCACCCCCACCTCTGCCAGCCTCGGCAAGAATGATTTCGAGATCGCGTTGTTGACTCGAGGTCCAACGCTTGACAAATGTGGCCGGGTCACGGGAGAGTGAAAGCAAGAACTTGCGCTTGGAATTGAGATGGCGAGCCTTTTCGAGCAAAAGGGCCGTGTCGTCATTGACCTGGGTGATCTTCTTGAGATTGGCCATGTGTCTTGGTGACGAGATGATGGCCTGCATCAGGCGCTTTGTGGTGCTGGGAACCTTGACTCGAACGTCCCAGATCATGTATTTTGACGGCTGAATAGATTCGTCTTCAGGAGCGATGTAGTCCTTGTCGATACGGATCGTGTAAGGAAGCTTGATGGGGTCGAGAGGAGAGAGGTGCTCTAGAATGAGCTCTGGAAGGTTGGGGAAGAAAAGGGTTTCGTGACGGAAGAGTTGCCTGAGGGTCTCGTCGCAGGTGACACGACGCTCGTCTTCGGGATCAGTCAGCTTGAACAAGCGAGCGTAGTCCCAGATTCCCTGGACGACGTCGGCGCGCGTGGCTGTGTCCATGTCAAGGATCCAAGCGAGCGGTGGGCTCAGCTTGAAACGTTCGGGCTGCTCGTCAAGGTAGAGATTGATTGTGACCTGGAGCTCTTCGTCGCTCTTGCGACCAAAGGCGATGCAGTCGACGTCGGGCTCACCGTCCTTCTTCAGCCATTCAATCTTGTTGAAGTCGTTTGATTGTAGGGCGGCGGGGCGGTTGAAGTCGACCGTGACGCGTTTGAAGAAATGCGACATCTTGATAGGAGCCATGGGTGGTAAAGTCGACTTGAGCTCCGAATCCTCGAGGATATCGTCCGAGCCCTCGAGCAGCTTGCCTTCGATCTTGACGCGATAGCGGGCCTGGTTGTTGTCTGCGAAGTCGAAAGTACCGTCCTCGTTGAAACCAGCGTTGCCATCGTTAGCCATCTGCCATGGCTGTCCCTCGGCCGTATTGCTGACGAACAAGCGTAGCACACCTTCAGAAGGCATCTGGCCAGACGTACCCTCCAGGATGTCCAGGCGCTTCTTTGTCATGATGGCATCCAATCTTTTCTCCTGGTCGCGTAGCTTGCGGTATAGGATGGCGGCATCGGTAATGGTAGCTTCGGCCAGGTCATCGTCAATGTCGAGGTCGGTAGGCTTGCGAGCCTGTCTACGGGCAGCTTCGCGGCGACGGAGCTCTTCCTGTTGTTGCTGTGCTTGGGCGGCCTGTGAGACTGCTGGCGCATGTGCCTGATGGCCTGCTGCGTACATGGGACCNTGGCAGCAGTCAGCTAATTGTGCCACTGCGACACGTCTTTTGTTCGACTTACCAGGTCCCGTAGGACGGCGCATTTGGCCCGGAGCTGCGAATCCTCGTGATGATGGCTGCATGTTGTGTATGTGTGAATGCGACAAATGTTGGCACGCGCAGTTGATGGCCTATCCACGACGCGACTCGGATGCTTCCTGCCAGCCAAAGACCCCAAACGCCGATCTTATTTTGCCGAGCTTTTTCCACCTCTGGGGAAGGCACTCATCGCTGACGTCCACGATGAAGCCTTCCTTTTTCCAACCTCACTCCAGAGCAAAATCAGCAATATGTCTGGTCCATCTCTAGCAGCTACAGGCATCAATATCAAGCCTGAGTTGGAAGGGGCTCAATCTACAACTATCTCCGCTTCCGCCAGCCTTCGACCCTCTGGTCGTGTCCACGATATCTTCAATGTATCCCTACCATGTACTGATCCAAATTCTCTCTGGGACATCAACCTTTCCTTCTCTGGCACCATTCAGAAGGCGACTCCTCATAGTCCAGACCTGTTGGAAGCCTTGAAGGATGACACTTCTTCACCATACATAAATGGCCACGGAGCCTTGCTTGCTCCTGCCTTGTGTCATCCCCACATTCATATCGACAAGGCCTATCTGCTTTCTCACCCCAAATATGCTCATCTACAGATCGAAGAGGGTTCCTTTGACGAAGCCATGAACCTGACTTCCAAAGCAAAATCGAGCTTCGAACATGATGACCTGATCGAACGTGGCTTGCGAATCATTGGCGAGAGTGTCCAATCCGGAGTAACTTCTATGAGGGCCTTTGTCGAAGTTGATCCCATCGTTGGCCTTAAGTGTATCGAAGCAGGAAAATCTCTCAAAGACAAGACCGAACTTCGATGCCACATTCAACTGTGTGTATTTGCTCAGCTGCCTCTGTTCTCGGGCGACGATGGAGGCGGTGAGATAAGACGTCTTGTTGAAGAAGCTGTTGAGCCGTCATATGCTGCTGATGTGCTGGGAAGTACACCATATGTCGAGGACGATCGCGAGAAGATGAAGAAGAATGTCGAGTGGACCATTGACCTTGCTCTTGAGAAGGACCTCCACCTGGACTTCCATCTCGATTACAATCTGGACTTTGATACCGAGCCGCTGGTCTGGTATGTGATTAATACGCTCAAAGCTAAGAATTGGACTAGCCGTACCAAGAAGACTATCGTCCTAGGACACTGTACTCGTTTGTCATTATTCGGAGACGACGAATGGAAACGATTAAAGAACGAGATTGCCGATCTGCCCATCAGCTTTGTCGGATTGCCAACCTCTGATTTGTTCATGATGAGAACAGAGACCGGTGCTCGGGGAACTTTGCCTGTACCCCGTCTGATCAAAGAATATGGCTTCAATGCTGCCATATCCATCAACAACATTGGAAATGCCTTCACACCACAGGGAAGTTGTGATCCGCTATCAATAGCCAGTTTAGGTGTTGGTGTCTACCAAGCCGGCACAATGAGCGATGCAGAGATTCTTTATGAGTGTATCTCTACCAGGGCCAGGACTGCTATCGGGCTGTCCAATGGAGCTGACTCAAAGTCTTCAAATACGCTCTCGCTAGATCCCAAGCAATCCGCAGATATGCTTCTGTTCAGCAAGCACGATCCGGATTGGAGCACCAGACGTACTATTCCAGAAGCCGTATACCTTTACGATGGGTGTGGCAGAAGGACAGTCATTAAAGGCGGATTGTTAGTCGAGTAGAGGTCATTATCCTGGTCTGAGACTTGGCCAACATACACTATTGGTCTGCATCTTCCAGTAGTCGTTCCAACATATACACTATGTCAAGGATTAGACTGATCTGAATGGTGTGCTTATGCACAAGGATCCGCTACATCGACGATCCCATACTGCCTTCACTGCTACTCTGGTTAATGCAGTCAATGATACACTTCAGCTTGCATATACCGAGATGGAGTCTTCGCTGACATATCTTGAAGACGGAGTCTTCTAGTCATCAGCAGCACCCCACAGGTTCCCGTAGCGTTGAGCATCGCTCCTCGTACGGTCCGGTGTGTATGCTCAAGATCTAGCGTTACGCGAACCACCTTACTGTCGTCGAGGAGACGCGTGCGATGCCGAGACATTGGAGCAGGGGCCGCGAAGGACTTCACATCCTGTAGATCCGTGAGCTCTCAAGCCAAACTCTTCGTCCTCCTTCACGCACTCTTATCGGCTTGACATCAATCAAGCAACATGGCACAGCCACACGCCCAGCAGATACCTACAGCTGGTATGGATAATCTGCTCCTGGAAGAGCTCAAGGTGCGTTGAGCTGATATGCTCAATAAGTCCGCAAGAGCAAGACTTACACGTTACAGGAGATCCTGGAGCCCCATAACGAGGCCGCCTTCTACTGGTTGTTAAGAACATTGGACGCCTACTACTATTTGCATATCAGTAGCGCGGCCCTCTGGGTCTGGGTCTGTAAGACACTCTACGACACTGGCAACTATCATCTGCTTGAAAGATGCAAAATCTTCTTACGCGACGGAGAGGATCTTGAGCAGCTTGACAGTCTCTCGGTTGCGGTCACAGAGTTTGCCTATCAGCCGGAACCATTCAGGCAGTTGGCCTACGACTTGGGTCTTCCACTCATGCCGCATGATTGGGAAATTTTCGACACGCAGCACAGATTTGGACGTATCAGATTTCTGGAGATGCAGCACAGACAAGCAAGAGCCGTCAATTCTCTTCCTGTCACTGAACAATCTACAAGCGCCAAATTTTTGACGGCCGCAACCCAGCTTGCGCGCACTGACGAGTCGACACTGAGCGCCGGCCAGACTCAAGTCGCGAACCAGCCTGCGCACAACGAAAACACGACGCTGTCACAACATCTCGCTGAGCTGACCAACGACCTTCAAGTCGGATCTTCGACGGCCTCAAGTCAGCCTGCGCAGACCGACGACCTCAGCGTGACACAGCAACCCATTGAGTCTTCCAAACCTCGGGTCGAACAGCTCGAGACTCCAACTCAAATTACACACAACGGAGACGCAGAATACGCAAAGCAGCCCTCTAAGCCGCTGGATCCTCAGCTCAAGCTGACAAGTTCTGGTGCCATGGATCAACAAGTTCCCAAGCCTGCTGTTGTGCCTTCCACTACCGCCATGCCTCCCATCACGCCTGCTACCACGCCTGCTACCACGCCTGCTACCACGCCTGCTACCACGCCTGCTACTACGTCTGCTACCTCGCCTATTACCAAGCCCGCTACAACTCGCAAGTCTACCAGAACTTCCAGTTTCTCCCAATCCATCATGCACGCAACTTCCCATCCGGATGTCGCTCCCGACAAGCCTGGCGCCTCGGTCAAGCCCCTACTCCAACCAGAACCATTGCTCCTGTCAAGCCTGTGCCCGCCGTGCAGTCCACCGCTTCCGTCAAGTCCTCGGCTTCTGTCACCTCCGCTTCACCCANGCGTTCGCCAGAGACCTGTCTGGAAGTCTCCTTGGAAAAAGACCCCGATGCAGCTTGCTCCACTCACTCCCAACTTCCCCGTCTCCGACGTAAGTAACCTCGTTGTACACAGAACTATCAAACCATAATCTTCACACACTAACATCCAATCACAGGTGCGCAACGAAGGCAAGGGCAAGCAATCCATGGGACCCCCACCCCGCACCCTCCCGAACACGTCGCCTTCGNCCTTGGCTCACGAGGGCGCCTACGTCGAACCCCTCTACAAGCCCGTCGAATCTCCTGACAAGTACATTGAGCCATCGAGCCCTGTCCTTGCTCCCAAGCTCGATGGTCTGCCTGTGAACGAGCAGGCTGAGCTCGTCTACCAGCAGCTACTTGCTATTGGCGAGCGTCAGAAGGCTATTGCTGGCAAGTACAGAAGCGTTGCTGATGATTTGAAGGCCCAGGCCCAGGCTGAGGCTCAGAAGAAGGGTGATGATGTTGATATGAGTGGTCAGTAGACTGCTCTTGCTTCACTGGAAGGGTCGTCACACAATTGAAGGGCACATTGGTGGTCAGTTGTACAACAGGAAAGTCACAAGGAAGGCGAAAAAGGCCCAATAAGAAGCAATGTACAGTAGAGTAGAAAATACAAAGAATCACAACCTCAACTCGGATTATACTTCATCGCGCCTGCCCTCTCATAGTCTTCTTCCTCGCTAATCACAATGAAGCAACAAAGTGGAACTAAGGGTGTGACCCGAGTGTTGTCTATGAATACAAGCACACGATGATCTCTACGAAACACGTCGAAAGACGATCGAGGAGTAATGAAGAGGTGTTCCATGCGAAAGCACATCTGTCACACCAACCACACTCCACCACCTGACTTGCATCCAAAACGTGTAGATCCGGTTACGAAAAAAATGCAAGAAAGAATGTTCACATCAATGGTGTTGTCCAAAGAAAACATGGATGAAATGTTGGATTCCTCTTTTGCATGTCAAACCTTTCTCTTGATGGTTTTCTGTGTTTCCTTGTAGCTCTATCCTCTGAGAAGTGTTTTGACAAGAAAAGGGTCTTGGTAGAGAGGGCGATATACACTTTGCGAGAAGATACGATAATCAAAAAGAAGGCCATGCCTATCCAAATACATAGCTCTACATAAACACTTCTCGCTCCATCGCCATCTGCGCTACCGAGAGAAAAAAAAGACCAATCCAATCATGGTATAAAGACAGAAAAGTTGATGTGGAAGTAAAGAGAAGAGAAAAAGAGAAAAAAAGCTATCCGAAAACGCCGCGGATTGTCCTATCCTAAAAACAATCCCTACAAGTATAACGATATGGGTATTTCGATGATCCTCCACCAGTCTTTCCCTATAGCCCCACCCCGAGTGTAATAGTTTGTGTTGTGTACTCATGTGTCCAATCTTGTGTTGCTTGATAGTGGGGTTTGTATGGTCCACTTCCATATATAATGTGCGTCGACTTGTGTATGTGTTGTTCGTCGATGTTGGTGTTTCGTAAAGTGTTCGTCCGAAGAGGTAATGTTGTCGATGTCGAGAATAGGGTCGCTGGAAAAAGGGCGGTTGCGTTTCGTCAAAACCTCAACCTCCTTCCTCCCTTGCCTGTCGTGTAAGATGCTCGACTCACGACGATCATAATGGCTCGATGTCGTCAAAAGCCTTCAGCCCGCCCTCAACCTGTATCCCATCCCTGACCCATTCCATTTCTTCAATGTCCGCCAATGCCTTCCTTCCCATCCTGACCTTCTTGAGCAGGCCCTCCACGACACCCTTTGCTCCCTCCCATCCCTTGAATTCTTTGGTATCGTTTCTCTTGTCATCCCATTCTCCATCCTCGTCACCAAATTTGCACCACATCCAGTCTGCACGGGCTATACGGTGTGAAGGTCGTGATCTTTCTGGTTTGCCAGGTGGGCAGTCAAAGGGTAAGCGGCCTTCCATCAAGGCATATAGGAGAACACCCAGAGCCCAGCCGTCTGTACTGCGGCCGTCGTAAGGTTGACCGAGCAAAATCTCAGGGGCGGCGTAGTCTTCGCTGCCGCAGCGGGTTGTGAGGAGAGGTGAGGCTGGTGGAGCGGGAATGCGGCGGGAGAGACCGAGATCAGTCAGGCAGATCAGCGGATAAGGATGAGTCTGAGGATTTTCAAGATGCGAGAGAGCGTTGTAGGCGGGTACGACCAAGACGTCTNNATCGCGGGTTGATCGTAAGTAAAAGGAGCTTGAACAGAAAGACAAAAGGGCAATCTTACTCTCGAGCTTGATGTCGCGGTGGACGATATAATTCTTGTGCAAGTAGCGTGTCGCGCTTACCAATTCGGCAAACATGCGTTGGACCAGATTGGGCTGTAAGATGTTGCGATGTTCACTGGCCAATTCGAACAAGTCACCTCCTGGGCAGTAACTCAGAACAAGCAAGGCTCGTTCATCTGTGTACTCGAGTGCCTTGAGCTGCACAATCGAAGGATGTGACACGCTCTTCAAGATGTCGACTTCTCGCTTGAGAGATACTTCGATCCGCTCTTCGTCGGCGCCTCCAGCTGGACCGTGTTCGACAATCTTGACGGCAACCAGTTTCCGCGGGTTCAAGTTCTTCTCATCATAAGGCGTACTCGATGGTAGTTGTTGTGATGTAGCCAGCATAACCTTGCTGAAAGTACCCTGGCCAAGAGTTCGTACAGAACGCCATCTGCGCTTGTGGTCTTCATGTGCCGATCGAACGGTGAAGTACTCGACGTCGGAATCCTCTGCCCCACCCACACTCTGCATGTCCGTGTCTTCTTTCTCCGCTTCCATCATACCCTTGCTCGAAGGAGGTGGTGATGGCAGAACCTTGGCAGAGTCGACAGAGGCTCTCATCATGGACTGGGTATGCGAGTGGTCAGGAGTCCTACGCTCATCGTCCGAAGAGGCCGAAGGTTGTACGTAGCCACGCTGCTGAGCGAGGTAATGCTCCCTCTGCATTGGCTGCTCATTCGGTGGAGTAGTCGTGATGTGCAGACCTGCAGGCCCAATCGTGACGTTCCTCGGCCTCACATTGTGCATGGCTTCGGGTACAAAGTCACTAATGCTGCGGTTGCGGTTGTGCTGCTTGCGCATGACCAGATCGATGCCATGGGCGTTTGGACCCTCGACAGCGGCATGTACCAAACTTCCATATCCCTTCTTTTTCTTGGGCGGCGAGCCGGGTGGTGCAGCCATTGAGGATAACATACTCGTCGTCGGGGAGAAGAGNCCGAGTCTCGAAGGTGGTCTCATTGACGTATCGAAATGGCCGCTTCGTATCCGCTTCCACGGGCCAGGAGAGCTGGGGTCGTTGAGCATGATGGGCGAGGGCAGGGGNGTGATATCGAGCATGGCAGCCAGGGCAGGCGATGCAAGAGCGGAATTGGGACTCAAGCTGGAGGTGGACAAATTATGGCGCAGTGCTGGTGTCAGCAAAGGAGAGGCGGCCGAGTGGCTTGAGCGGAACAAGTCGGGGAGTTCCTGCTGACTGCTCGACAGCTTGCGATTAGCAAAGGCTGACGGGATATCGGTCCTGATCTGAAGGCCGGCGCTGGCAGCGTGGTTGTGTCGGAAGGCCAGCGCGTTCGAGTTGAACGACGAGGACGGCAGGGTAGTAGGAGTAGTAGAGACCGAGGGCTGACGAGTGTGAATTGACGGCAGCGGTGGCGCGGACTGGCTGGCAGCCACTCTACCGTCGTCGGGGTCGACGTGCATGGCAGAAGGGTCGTTGGTAGGGTCAGCCATGGGTGTGGTAGTGGCACTCGTACACTAGAACACGGCGCGTTGGTAGCCGAGAGGGTCCTTCCTCAATATCCCTCGCATACAAGCCAACCTCGACTGTTCCTGACGGGGAAAGGACAAGAAGAATAAAGAGGAAGTCGCCTTCACGTCAGCGACTGCGTTTTCTTTGTCTGCCCTTTGCTCCCTTTGAATCTGTCATGGCTTTCATAGACACATTCCCCACTGCCAACCGGAAAACGACCGTGCCCACTGCCTGCCACTCTTGTCCGTTTCGCGGATCAGCGCGTGCCACGCTTCATCAACGTGCTTCTTTGCAAATCTGTCACAAGCTTTGAGCATCCAGGCCTCCCCTGCTCCCCTCATCGTTCTAGAGTACCCTCGTCCTGATATCAGTCCTCCTTTCACGCCTTGAACAACAATACAAAACATCTGGGGATGCGCTGTCTTCAAACACCATCACGTCAACATGTCGAGAACAAGAGTCATGATGATCGACAGCACTTTCAATTGATTGTATCGAATTGCTAAAACCACCGCTAGTCATAGTGATCCTTCGTGAACCGATTCCTTGCTTTTGTATCTTCTCTCCTGCTCATCCTTCTTTTTTCTACAAAATTTTCTGCCAATTATAGAAGCAAACGTTCAATTCCAATCTCCATCTTCTTGTGCTGTGGGTATCGTTCTCGTAATCGTTCTTTCGTGGTCGTGTAAAAGTCGTGGTTCGTCAAGTTCGTTGCGTGTGGAATCCCCGAAGAAAAAGCCAAAACCGAAACCAACCTCTTCCCCGCTCGTTGCCCAAAAACGCCGCAATCAACCGTTGGACATTTGCCCTCTTCCAGCCTCCAAGAGAAGCCAAACCATAAAGGCCAAAAGATAACAACTCCAAAGCAGACTGAGAACATGCGATGATGATGCAGACAGAATACGTTTAGCGCTTGGAAGGTTCCTCGGTGTACTCGGCGTAAGGGTTGCGGAAACCCCTGGAGCCGGGAGAGAAGAATCCGTCGCTGCTGGGAGTGAAATGGCCAGCAGAAGAGGCAGGAGAGGCACGAACAGTGTTGCCCTTGGTCATGTCGATACGGGCGAGGATGCGCTCAGTGTTGAGGTCGTCCTTCTCGTGTCCTCTGACGATGGTAGGGTGGAGGCGTTCGACAATCTTGTCAATCAGAAGATCGAGCTTCTCGTGGTCGAGAACGTGTTCAAAGATGTCAGAGAGGGACTCACGCATCTTGCTGTTCTCGGCGAGGACGCCATCAAGGGTCTCGCGCAGCAGGTAGTGGTTGGCAGCAATGACATCGACAGCCTCACGGTGCTTGCGCTCTTCGGCAAAGATGGCATCAAGATCCTTACGAGTCTTGCGGCTGTCGGAGAAGATTGCTTCGACGTTCTCGCGGAGCTTGCGGTTGTCGGCAAAGGTGTGGTCGACAGCGTTACGAGTAGCGTTCATGATATCCTGGTTACGGAATTCAATGTTGGCGAGGCGGTCAACCTTGCCAGAGAGAAGGCTGACTCTGTGCAGCTGGTGGTCATGAAGGTTGTGCATGACATCGTTCGTCTCCTTATGGAGCTGCTGGACCAAGTGCTCGTTCAAGTTGAGAGACTGAGAAGTGCTGGTGCCAAAGTTGCCCTGCTTGACGTAGAAATCGGGAGATCTCATAATTGCAGTCTCGCGACCTCTCTCAAAGTTACCGTCGCCGTCGACACCGAGAGTGGTGCCATTGTCGTGGTTGTAGTAGTAGTCGGCAGCATTCTCGCTGAGCTCAATGCCCAGACCACCAGTCTCCTTGAAGCGGCCACGAAGAGTGAAGTCATGCATCGAGCGGCCAGAGCGGCCGGAGGAGCTACGGCTCGAGTTGTCGCGGGAGGTGCGACGGAGAGGAGGAGGAACAGCACTGGGGTGTTCGTACTCGAGGCCGCCGTAGCCATTGTACTTGTTGGCAGGGGTGTTGGTGTTCACACGACCTGCGACATGGATGGCCTGCTTCTGCTCGGCACCGGCAGTGGCGAAGTCGTGAGTCAAGACAGGAGTCTCGCCACGGTAACGGTCGAAGACGTGGTCCTCGGGACGGTAGACATACTCGTTGTCTTGGACAGTCTTGATGTACTTGATGGGCTCAATGTGAGGGCGAGAGAGGTCAGTGCCGTCTGACTGAGTAGGCGAGTTGGGGGTGCAGGGGCGGCGGCGGTGGACTCCCGAGCGGCAGCATCGTAGGAACTGGTCTAATTCAGTTGTCAGCGGTCATGTTTGCTAAGGTTGATGGACTAATGATGACTGGCGACGAGAACCAAGAGAGGGTGGAAGGCAGGCTGTGCAGTTCGAGGGCAAAGGCTGTGTAGGGGGATGAAGACAAGAGATGAAGGAAAAGAGAAGTCGAGGAATGTGGAAGATTGGGAAAAGGAGGAGGAAGGTGCAGAGCAGAGGAAGGTGCAGAGCAGTCAGAACCCAAAAACAAGAAAGAAGACTTACGCGGAAAACATCGTGACCATTGGCAACACTGTAGAGAGATGGAGAGTAAATCTCAGTCTTAGCCTTACTCTTCTCTCCAACCTTAGGAGGCTGGTAAGTCGTAGCAGGAAGCAGACCACCCTCGAGCAAGCCGCCAGCGATATAGCGAGGAGTCTTGGCCTTCTCAGCAGACTTGGGCGAATGCTTCTCAAGCTGAGGGCTGCGGAAGAGTTCGCTGGGCATAGGGGAGACTGGAACTCCTCATCAATTTCCTTGACGAGCTTGGGGTCAGCTTCGAAGACAGCCTTCTGGCCGACAAAGGGAGAGTATGGCTGGTGGGTCATCTTGACAACACCAGACTTGACAGCCCTGATGGGGCTGCACTCGTCGTCACCGAAAGCGACGGTGATAATCTCACGCGACTTGTTGTTGGGCTTATCCTCATCGTCGATAGCGGCAGCGAAGCCGTTGCCCGAGTAAGCATCGGAGCGTTCGTTGACATCAATGATGTTAAATGAGACTTTCTTGTCGGTGGTAGGAGGAGGAGTATCCTTCTTGGGAGGGAGGGTGGAACATCCTCACGCAGACGCTGGGGGTAAGGTTCGACAAGGCGCGCTTGAGACAAAAGTCCTCCTTCTTAGGAGAAGCGGTGGACTTGGTGGGAGAAACAGAAGACTCGCTGGGGCTCTTGTTGGAAAGAGCACCAGCAGCAGCCTGCCTTGGTGGGGGAAGGTTGAGCGGACATGTTGTTGTGTGCGCTGATAGAAGGACGGGTATAAGAGTGTTTGAGGGGGAGGAAGAAGAAGAAGTTGTGGTTTTGCGTGAGTGCGAAATTGCTGTGTGGTGCGAAGATGAAGATGCGTGCTTCACCACTTTGTTATGTGCAAGTGAGGAAGTGGAGGACTTTCTTGCCTTGGTGGGGGTGAGCAGACTGGACAACCTTGATGACGCGCTGTGTCTGAGTGAGTTGACAGAGTTGCTTTTGGAGTGAAGAGGAGACTGCTCGACGGACTTGGAATGGTGCCAGTCACTGTTGTTGTTGACGGGCTGCGGAGAGCCAAGAAGCTGTTTAGCCTTGGGTGGAAGACGAACGGCACTGACGTCGAGGGGACGGTTCACGTTCGATCTGCGGATGGCCATTGCGGTGAACTGAGCCTCCTTGGGCGACAGATAGACAGGAGTCCTCTTTTCCTTGACACTAGTCTGTTCATACTCCTGCTCCTCGTAGTACTCTTCAATGATACCACGAACAGTAGGGATTGCGTTCTCACTGCCCGGAGGCACAAGGCAAAGATCGTCGTCAGTAGTGGTGCGAGGAGCCATGCTTATCTTGTTGGTATCCTCAGGAATAGATGCTAGGACTCGGGGAGGTATGCGTCCGAACACACGCTTCCAGGTCGCGTCAAAAGGCTCTGTTGTGGCCGGGATAATGGGTTGCTTCGAACGGCCAATAGGGGGTGGCCGTGGGAGAGCGGTGGAGGACGTGTCTCTGGGGTCTTGGCGTCGATGGGCCCGGTGCGGTGGGCGGAGCGGGAGGAGCGGGCAACTCGAGCGGCAGCGGCTTCCGGAGAACCTTGCGCGCACGTGTTCCCGGCGGCAGCGGAGCACGAGGAAGCCTACGAGCAGGACGACCCCTGCTGGGTTCGCTGTCCGAGATCATGCCCACCAGGCGCATGTAAGCGTAGTCCCGGGCCCATGTCAGTCTCTTCTCCTCCTCCCAACGACGGAGAGGGTTGTCCTCTTTCAGGACTCGGATCCCAATCAGCATACGAGGAGGGCGAGGATTGAGGTCCCTGACATGAGGGATGTTGTATGGCATGGTCCCGGCAGAGAAGAGAAGAAGAAAGGGGGTGTTGCGCAGAGAAACAGAAGTTCGAGATGGAGATGAAAGAGAACTACATTGAAGAAGCCGCAGAGCGCCAGCAAGCCGTAGCTCAAGAGCGCGAGGGAGCCGTAGCTTCTCGCAAACTCAAAGCGGTTTGATGTCCTCTGTAGACAGTGAACCTAGCTTGACATGGTCGACGACCACTCCTTCGTCGTCACCGCATCCATCTTCTACTGTGCGAAGTGCTTCGGAGTCCCCTGTTCAAGGGCGACATCATGGTGGAGAAAGAAGAGCAAGACCAGGCTTCGTGGGTAAGCAACGCCAGCGAGGTAGCCTGATACAAGGGCACGCGGTGGCCAAGCTCAATGACAATGACGACAACCACGATGAGATGTTAACAAATCCAAGAGTCTGCAAGGATATCCACTGTGTTGTGCAGACTGGCTTGACCTTGTCGATAGTGCGTCAGCAAGCATTCGAGGAAAGCGTCAATGGGACTTACCTGACCATCGCACTGTCATGTGAGCTTGACACGTCTGACATCGATGCAGCAACATCTCCTGCTACAAGGATGAGCAACCAGAAACCCAAGATCTCAGGCGACAACATCTAAATGGAGCGATGTTCTGTATATCCCGATCGCCAGCATGAACTGGACAGCGACCACTGAGAGAACATCAACACCACCAGGACGACCAAGGAACCAGGAACAGGAAAACATTTCAACCGACTCTTGCCGTGTGCATTTCTATGGAAATCCATCTCCACCTCTTTGGGGGAAAAGGCTTTGGAAACAGCCATGGGAGATGTGCCCCTTGCACTTGCATCTGTAGCATGAGAAAACATCCTGGAGATCTTGTCGATAGAACAAAATGACCCTCAGAGCTGCCGTGGAAGAAGAATAGACTAAAAGGGGAGTCAAGGAAAACTTGCAGATGGAAAATCTGGAAAAACAGAAGACTGGAAAACCCCCGCGCTTCTAAAGAGAAAAAGACGCAACCTACAACTATCTTTGGGGTAAACACCAAAGCAGAAGTGACGAAAAAGCAACCGAAAAACTGCGCCTCATTGCGCCAGACACCATTGGACGGCGACGGGAGATATCATTGGGGTGGGTTCCGTGCCGGATGCGCTGTATCGAAGGAGATTGAACTGTATTGGGCCGTAGAGGACGAATTGGATCCTCAAGTCGTGTTTCTCGTTTAGAGAATGACACACTTGTGGTTCTTCTTCTTCTCTTTTGTGGCAGGAGGCTCGAGGGCAGCAACGATGGCNCTGGATCGTGTCAATGGTCTGGACTTTGAAACTGCGGTGTGAGTATGACTTACCTCGTCAAAGACGTCCTTGAGCCTTTCTTGAGTCAGAGCCGAGCACTCGACGTACTTGACAGCACCGAGCTCTCTGGCCATTCTCTCACCGTCTTCCCTCTCGACGGGCTTCATCTTTTGCTCACGGAGCTTGCGAAGAACGGGGTCCTGCTTGTCGTCGCGCTTCTCCTTAGGTGGGCGCAGATCGAGCTGGGTACCGACAATCAGGCAAGGGACGCCAGGGCAGTGGTGGTGGACTTCGGGGAACCACTTCTCGCGTACGTTCTCGAAGGAAGCAGGAGAGACGACGGAGAAACAGACGAGGAAGACATCGGTCTGAGGGTACGAGAGGGGNCGGAGACGGTCGTAATCTTCCTGACCGGCAGTATCGAAGAGTCCAAGGGTGTAGGGCTCGTCACCAATCNNCTGCAACTCGTCAGTCGCCAAAAGGGTCATGAAGGACATGGGTGCAACTCACATGACAGTGACAGCGTAGTTGTCAAAGACAGTCGGGACATACTCGGCGGGGAACTTGTTGGTGGTGTACGAGATCAACAAGCAGGTCTTGCCGACGGCACCGTCACCAACGACGACACACCTGGACGCGCACAGCGAGATTAGCGGGTGCAGCAGGAATTAGAGGGAGCGGCAGCGTACTTGATGGTAGCGACAACCATCTTGTCACGAGAGAGCTGGTTTCCTATCCTAGCTGCGGGCGACGAGGCGTGCTATGTTTGAACGAGAGGCAGCTGTTGGAGGCACAGCGGGGGCTTGCGATCTGTGAGGATGCGCTGCGAGGGTGGTCGGTAGAGGCGATGCGACAAGAGGGGGTCGACGATCTGAGGACGCGGACGGCGGAGGTCGTGAGCGCTGCGGTGAGGGAAAAGAGCTGTCAGTTGTTTCGTCGGCGTTGGTGGCAGTCGACTTGCGGCCGTCACTCACTCTGAAGCGTCACAAAGCCAACAACCAGACTGAGTCTCGCCCGATGGATGCAGCAGCTGGCAAAAATGTCGTGTCGAACCCGCAATAAGGTCGACCCCGGGTACGTGAGCTGGCGCTGGGCAGAGGTTGCGGGTGTAACGGGGTAAACACGCAGACGCGGGCCAAAGCGAAGCAGAACAATCACAGACCCCTCGGCCAAATGCGTTGCAGCAAGAGATGCGCTTTGTCAACGGCCACGATGACTTGTGCTCAAATCCTAGCTACTATATCTACAAGAGGCACGCCATCCTTAGCCTGCCGCGCCCGCTACCCACTCGCTCTNNCGTTCTCCCCAAAGGCCCTTCTTCACCGTGCCAAAGACTCTCCACATCAAAAGTCGCAATCCTCTGCGTTCCAGATTTTCCCATGGTTGCCTGTTCAGGCCTAATCTCGCCGATCTCTTTCCTCTANATTTTCCCAAACAAGCAACTGCCAAAGGCTCCTGCACAAGCCAAAGCTGCCAAACATCTCCAATGTGATCCTTCTGTTTCAGACCTGCAATCCACNCCTGCCCGCTCGTTGTTTTGTCCATGTTCAATCTGGAACAATGCCGCCCTCGTGCCTCATTCAAGCTGCTTGCAGACAACGGGCATGCCGTGAGATTCGTAAGCCCTCAATGTTTCACGCCTTGTCCGGCTGTCACAACAAAGAAAAGGCCGACTTTCTCGGCCTCTTTCCATCGGCTGTGAAGCTATCTTGACTACCCCACCTGAGAGGTGTTGGTACCGCTACTGTTGAGAGTTCGTGTCCAGCTCGAGTCGGACAGACTCTACATGATCAAGTGAGACCTTCGCACACCGCAATCAATTGTTGAACTGGTTCGTTCCTAGGCCGCCAGCAAATCTTAGCAGCTTTCATTCACACCGCCAGCCGCCCCTTTTGATATAGTCAATACGGTCTGTGCTGAGGGCACTTCTTCCGACTCTTGCTCGTGTACCTACTTGGCGTTATGCTCCTTGATCTTGTTGTAGCTGATACTTAAACGGCTTGTGATCTTGTGATGATTGATTGTTGTGGAATGTGGTGGTTAAGCGCTTGTGAAAGTAAGCAATCAATACTCGCTAGGCGCGACCCTATCTTGAACATATGGCTCGTGGCCTGCGATACTATCCTTGATTATATCAACACGAGATTCACGCTCTCAAACATGAGTTGTGGTCGATAGGTAAGAATAGGTGGTTGCGCATATATACGGTGGTATCTTTGAAAAATCAAAACGCCTCTTGGCCCAATCAGCCATCAATCATTGGTTCGATGGCCATCTATATCTCTAGTCGTAAGGTCATGTCATAACATGCTTTCTCTTCCGTCAGTATCACATCAATCGTCGTTTAGATGCAAGCTTGCATTCGACTTCCACGTCCTTAAACCATTATTACTAGCCACGCTTCTGATCGTGCGGTCGTAATCGTAGTCAATGTCATCTTCACTATCATAACGACGATGACCAGATGACGAGGCAGCGAAAGGCTCTCTTTCAGAAGGATCGCTGGCTTCGCTTGTGTTGCCAATGACAGTGCCCTTCACTTGTTGGTTCATCTCGTCCAGCTTGTAGTTCTTCATCATGAGAGAAAGCGGGATAAGAGGAATACAGACCAGCACAGCAACCGTCAAGATCTTGGTCATGGTCTCTTGGTAGGCGCGGTTAATGGCGATACGCGTTGGTGTGCCCATTGCGTATTCAGTAGATGCGACTTTGACACTGCCGAAGATCTCCTTGGCTTGATCGCGTGTTTCCTCTGGCAGGTATTGGGCGAGCTTGACGGGCACATTCGCAGACCAGATGGCGCCCGAGATTGCGGAGCCGACAGCACCACCAATTTCGAGGATAGTGAGGAAGGCAGCTGTGACTGCACCGACTTCACCATGGCCGACGGAGGCCTGAACGCCGAGTTGGGCAGGTACGTGCAACATGCCTCCCCCGATACCAACACAGACTTGACAGCCGATGAGGAAAGCGTCTGATACACCCTCTGTGCGATACCGGAGCATCATGACGACACCGAATAGGTAGATGCAAGCGCCTGCGGTGACAAAGTATTTGTAGTGCTTGGTATACTTGATGGTGATTGAAGTCAAGATGGACGTGACAGTCGCTGTAAAAGTGAAAGTTTGAGTAATGTGGCCGGCGGCCGAGACAGACTTGCCCTGCACAACCAGAAGATAGGAATAGAAGTAAGGTTGCACCGAAAGATAGTACACCACNTGTCTGTCGTTAGTCAGGTTTTCTCTCGGGAGAGGGTCGGACTTACTGAAGTAGAAGAATGCAATAAGCACACCTGCAACTACAGTGGTGCTGCGGAAAAGATGAGGAGGAAAGAATGCCCTCGGTGCCAGACGTGGATTGCGCTCCCAAAGAGGAAAGAGACAGAGGCAGACCACGCCACAGACTAGCATCGCAATAATGCTACCATTGCTCCAGTCTCCTGGTGCACTAGCCCCCAACGTAAGAGGGATCAGGAGGAGAGCGACACCGACAAGAAGAAGCAAAAGTCCAAAAATGTCCATCTCGAACCAGAGACTCTTGAGAGTATACATCCAGTCCTTGCCAACGAAAGGTGATGGTGGTAGGATACCCATCTTCGAGGCCTTTCTTTGATTCAGCGAAAGAGCAAGCGCCAAGGGTAGATAGGCGACAGGCAAGATGATAGCCCAGATACCATATCCCCATCTCCAACTCAGGTTCTTGAGGATAGAGTTTGCGATTGGTGGTCCGATCCAGACGTTCAAAAGGTACGGGATATCCGGAATCGTGGAAACGATAGCTCTGTTCAAAAGATCGCTTGTGTCTGCAATAAAGATTTGCTGGAGGATCTGGAGTCCTGTGGCGCCTGCAGAATAGAAGATCTGGGCTGCTGCGTATGTCTTGACGTTGTTAGCTGCGGCTTGCTGAATGTATCCAAGGGTAAACAAAAACACGCTGAAAGTAAAGGCCTCAAAGCGTCCCCAAACGTCTGCCACTTTTGCCATGGGTGGTTTGACAATTGCTATGCTTGGTCAGCAAAATCGACTGTCGCTGTTTTGCAGTTACATACATAACACAACTCCCTGAATGACCGAGACTGTTGAGATAAGCGCGTGTGCTTTGAATGAACTAGTGGCGAACACGGTCAAGTTGGTAGTGACTTGTCCTTCAAGCGAAGTGGCATATGCCATCATGTAGAGACTGGAAGATATCAGCCATACTCATATGATCATTTTACCAGGAGTAACATACCCGCCATATGCAAACACGAGAGACCACTTTGACCACAGGACCGCAGTCGCCTCTAGTCGCTTCACACCAGCCTGTGCACTCAGGTGACTTGCGACATCAGACTCGGACTCTGTGTCTGAAAACACATCATCGATAGGGGGTCTGCTCATCTTCTCCCTGCTGCGACGAGGAAGGGTCTCCCCTGCGCTGGAGAGTCTCCGAAGACCTGGCATGACTGCTATCAGAGATGCCGAGGACTAGAAGAGTGTTGTTCGTCGCATGAATATAAGAAAAAGGAGAGATTAGAAGCACAAGGCTCTCCTACTTGTGAAACGACAACAACCAAATGGCGGTGCGTACTCTTGCTGTTTTGTTACCAACGTTTTGATGCAGGGAGCGGCCTGAAGCTGGCTGGAGCGCGTCAGGGCGAAGGTTTGCGGCAGGGCTCTAATCTGCCGATGATGCCAAGATATGGTCACCGTCCTTCGAGAATATTGCAAAACTAGGACCGTAGAGCTGATAGGATGTATAGGAAAGATAGAGAGACGGCAGGAACGAAAAGGGCAGAGACGGTAAGAGTGTTGGAAACCAAGCACCTATTAACCCAAATTGGCGGCCGGCGAGAATCGTAAGAGAGTCATCGGCTGCCCAATGAGGATCAAGATCTGATAAGTCTCGATCTGATAAGAGGGGCTGTGTGGGGCCGTGCTTTGCTCGGTTGCGAAAGTCGGCGCCAGCCCAACAACCCTCATGACCTTGATAAATCCGTCGTTCAGCATTCTTCTCAAAAGGCCTTTTTGGGTGCAGATAACCATGCATCAGCATCTATACAGAGCTTGAAGTTGCCAAAGTCGCAATGTTCTACTGTCATGAGCACACCGTCTGGCATGGGTCAAATGTTTCGAGGATCATGGCGGCTCGCCAAAAGCTCTCACCGCAAGCGACTAAGCCAACACTAGGCATGACCCATCAAACTGATCACAGCGCTTGTGACTGCTTGCATATGAGTAGGTTGGTTCCTTCGAGCCGAGACATTTGATGTCTCCTGGGGGTTTCTGACTGAAGAAGGCCGACATGAATGCGACGCCATAAGCTGGATGGCACAAGAGCCGACGAAGAAGTCATCGTTAGGTCAAAACATGGCCCAGAAGACCAGCATAGAAAAGAATCGAGATTTTAACTGCATGTGTACAGCTGTGGTAAACAGTGAGAATGTGGACAAAATCCGAGAGACAACCCCGGCGACTATTATAACCTCTACCTATTGGCTTTGTTTGCTGCACAGATCTGCGAGCACCTGAGTACTACAAAACTTTGACGCTTTCCACAGGATGACAAAGACACAGCTTCAGGAGTCGTTCAAGATCACAGGAATAACCTGAAGATGAAGTTCCGTCCAGAAAAGCATGTAAACATGTCTTGAATGTGTTCTTGTTGGCACTATTGAATTGCTCAAGCGTACCTCAGCAATGGAGCTTTGAACTTTTCATCAGAGAAGATTGTTTAAAAATATAGAGCTTGCGCAACTTCACGTTGGTATTATCTGTATTTCCCTATCTCGAATATCAGAAGGTCCCAGATAGCGAGTTCGTAAATCTCACTCTACCTGCTTTCTCCCGTCCGCAACGATGTTCACCGGCTCCCCTCTGACAAACGCCTCAATAGTATCTCTCACACACTCCTTGGTCCCTAGGATCGTCCTGTCTGAGAACCAAGCTAAGTGCGGTGTAGCAACCAAGCCCGGTACATCTTCTGCCAGCAATGGACAGTTCTCCTTGGTGGCTGGCTCATGCTCGAAAACATCCGTGCCGGCACCTAGCAGCTTTCCCTCTTTGAGGACGGTTGCGAGAGCAATTTCATTGACAATGCCTCCACGGCCTACGTTGACAAGGATGGACATGGGTTGAAGTAGAGAGAGCTCGTGGTGGGAGATCATGTTGTGGGTGGAGGGATCGAGGGGGCAGGTTACGAAGAGTGTTGTGCATCCCCGGAGGACATCTTCGAAGCCTATGCGGGAGGCTCGGATGTCAGAAGAACCTTTGCGCTCGGCGATGAGGACGCACATGTCGAGGGCTTTGCACATTTTCTCTACGCGTTTACCTGTGGTGNNAGATTGATATGTTAGCATGACTCTTCTTCTCAGTCACGGCCATTCTTCATCTCTTCTGCTTTGCTCTTACAGAGACAAACCACAGAAAGGTCAACGGGAAAACGAAAAAGAGAGAAACATACCCAAGGCTCCATACCCAATAATGCCCACAATTTCCTCTTCACAGATCCTAGGCATGACACCCTTGAACTCCGTCGAACTCATCCCCTGCGACTTCCATCTCTCTCCCTCCTTCGTGAAACGGTCTAACTCAACAATCTTTCTCTTGACCGCAAAGTACAAACTCAACGCATGTTCAGCAACCGTGCTTGTGTTTTGTGCAGGTGTATTCGTCACAGTGACACCACACTCTTTGGCAGCATGGAGGTCAAATCTGTCGCAGCCGGCACCCAGACAAGCCAGAAGTTTGAGTTTGGTGGCAGAGAGAAAGTTTGCTTTTGTGATGGTGACGGCGGTCCCAATGGCGATTGTGGCAGAGGCGATGCGGGAGGGCAGTTCTGATGGTGAGGTGTGGAGGTGTTTCTCGAAGGTGTGGGGGAAGCGCAGGGGAGGGAGGTCAATGTGGCCGTCTAGTTGGACGACGTGGTGTTTGAATTCTTCTGAGGTCGCCATTATGGGATCTGATGAGTTTGAATACCTGGTGTCTGGTTCTGGACGGAGCTTGTATAGAATGGCTTAATGACCAGTTCGATTGAAAGCTTCAGAAATGGTTGGGTAAGCAAATTCGTGCTTTCAAAGTGCGTGTTTCAACACTCAATTGACTAGTATTGAGCGAGACAAGAAGAAGTAGCCACAAGATATATAGGCTGTCGTTATCTAGAGTACCGAGCACGTTGCCTATGCTCCGCGCCCTTTGACAGCTCCGATGACCGGCGAGTACCAGAATGCTTGGCATCAACATCTTCTATCAATTGCATATGCAAGTCTCGTTGTAACGATCAGAAATGAAGTTCTCGCTCTGCGGAAGTGACCGACTGAAGTGTGGAAAGGTATAAGTCTAAGGAACTTGCAGGTTGTCGAGCCAGACGCAAGTTGACTCTGATCTCCATAGTCCCGTTTCTCTAACCAGACAAGCATCACCAGTGAAGCAATTACAGTACAGAGACTCAATCCGTGTAAGGAAAGGGAACGTTTCGTTTTCATTCCCTATTAACAGTATCGGGTGTGTTTAAACCTTCCCATGTTTGACGTTGATCCCTCTAGGGGACACTCGGAGGTAGTGAGTAAATTACAGTGAAGCATCAATGGCGTCCCCATCATGCGCTCCATAAATAAAGGATGTAACGCCTTGCAAAAAGTGTATAAGAAATTTAATCCCAACATCATCGCCCTTTCGCCTCTATCACCTCATCGATATGCCGTTGCAACAACCTTCTTACAGGAGAGCAGCGACACCGAGAGCGAAAGCGCCAAAAGCGCCAGCACCGACCTTGGCAGCAGAGCCCTCAGACGAAGTGGAGGTGGGGAGACCCATGGTGGTCTGGAGTAAGGATTAGCTTGGTTCTGACAACAGGATGAATTGAGAGCAGATGGTATGTGCTAGTCCAAACATGATCAATGCCGCTTAGGGACGAAGTTTCTCGTGTTTCAGAAACTTTGTCCAAAAGAGCAATTGAGCAGGATTGAGCAAAGCGCAAACCCTGCACTCGCAACAATGTCAAAATTACGTACCTCGTAGCTGGTGGTTACGAGCCATGACTTGGAGACGGCGCCGTGGAATGTGTTGGTAGAAGTGTAGGTGGTGGTGACGTTGCTGACGGTGACGGCAAAGGTGGAAGCGCCCGAAGGAAGAGTGTAGGTAGGAGACTGGCCCTCGGTGACGGTGACGACCTTGCTGCCGAGAAGAGTGGGGAGACGGGCTTGTGGAAGGTGTTGGGGTACTGGTAGAAGAGGGTCGAGGTGTAGACCGAGTTGGAAGTAACAGGGCCGGAAGAGCTGCCGGAGGAGCTGGCCTGGCTGGATGAGGTGGAAGAAGCGCTCGAGGAGGTGACGCTGCTACCGGCGCTGGCAGAGCTGGAGCGGTCGGTGACGCTCGAGGCGACGCTGGAAGCACCAGAGCTGGCAGCCGAGATGGCCGAAGAGACGGCGCTGGTGATCTGCGAGCCCTGGGCGGCAGCAAGAGCGGCGAAGGCGCCGACGAAGACAGCGGAGAACTTCATGTTGATTTTCCTGGTGTCGATAGACGAGACGAGTTGGGCGTCGGGTCGAGTGTGAGGCTGATGGGGAGGGAAAGGGAGGGAGGGGACGAAGAAGTAAAAAGAAAGGGAAGTGGTGGGTGGGAGGTTGGTTGTTTTTCTCAAAGATGCCCCAAGCAGCCCGTCGTTTCCTTAGAAATTGGCTTTTGGTGATTTGGGGCCTTGCCTCGTCCCGCACGCAAAGCTCTGTAAAACCACCTGAAAAAGCCTCTCCGTCATCCGAGCATAACACACGCATCCTTCCGACTTAACCGTGCATCTACCTGGCTTTGGCCAGCCTTCTTCGTTGCGTCGAGGAGAAGACTGCCCCTTCGGGCAAGACCTCGTCCCATCAAGCCATCGTGATTGGCCATCCTTTTAATCGCGCAACCCCAGCTTTACTCAACAAGGTAACCAAATCTCGGCAAAGAATCAACGTCAAGAACTGTGCAACAGGAGTTGGAGAGCCTCGACCGTGCCATCAACCTTTGGAGCATCTCAACAAGAGCCGTCTACTTCCAGGCAACATGTCGTCTGCTTGCAGCTCCGCGCTGTTCATGGTTGTCCATCACAGAGGTTTTGCACTTCGAGTTGCTTGTCCGACCAGAAAGTACCCAGGCTACCCATGCTACTCCGCATTTCGACGGAAAATGCGGGCGAGGCCGTGACCATCCACTTGGCTGATACACACCGTGCAAAATTGCAATCGTCAACTGCTGCAACGCTTGCAATTTGCTGGCTCTACCATTCTCAGATCAATGGTCAGTCGTTGGATGAGAGCTACATTGATACGGTGCTGCGCGTCCGCTTTCACTGTTCAAAAGACTCCAATGCGATTGCGTGGTCAGCAGCAAATGTGCCGCATCGCGCGCGATTTTGAGCACTCGACTCACGGTCCGCGAGCACCAGGAACGCCTGCGGCCCTATCTCGGCGCCGTATATACGCCTGGAGGTCAGCCCCGGGGATGGACTCGGCACAAACTTGTTTGTTTGTCTCATCACCAAGGCCGGTTATAAACACCCGTTGCTGCTCAACTCATCCGAATCTCGGGTGTCGTTCATCTCCAGATTGCATGCTATCTGATGATACTGGGGTATGACAGGTGCTGCTGACGTACGAGCTGGCCTCCGTATATTCTCTTCCTCTGTGCTTTCCCTGCAGAGGTGTTGCAAGAAGGCTGGTTCTGTGACTGGTTAACCTCACGGTGGTCCTCACCATCAAGGCATTTCAGGAACACGAAACTCGGACTGAAAGAGCGTGGCGCCGAGTGCCGGGAACAAGCTGGAGCCCCGAACTCTTGGCTTGCTGGGGGCCCAGCCCAGCCATCTCAACCCACATGCTTTTGCCAAACATCCAGGTTTGTTCAGCCATGCTCCTCAACAAGTCCAAAAACATGACCTAGCTGCGTATCGCTTGTTATCCTTGGGCTCTCACGAAGCACTCATGACAGCCTCAACTTACCCACAACATGCCATACTCTCATGGCTCTCGTCGTGAGACGTGGATACGGTTGACTACGATCAGTAGTTCCGATATCGTGCTCGGAAATTTGCAAAACAGATCACGAAGCAGAAGCGTCGCGCTAGACAACAATATTGGCTAGTAGTCGCTTGTGAGAGAGCGGAGCTTGATACTCGGTGTACGAGCGCATCTTGTCACGTTCGACAAAAATGGTATCGTCGCCATCGAACAGTCCTACAAGCTTCTGACTACGCGAGAACTGCGGTAAGACAGCCCATTATCACCTTGGCCACTACAAATCCTCTTGTCTCCTGTCAAGTTAGATTATTGCATCGTCAACCGTAAAAATCTTCGTCTACTAGCGACAGTCAGGTGCTATGCTAATGAGTAGCTTCTCCACTTCTCCAAGGTCAATTGTTTGGGTACCAAGAGCTTCGTTTGCATCGAGATATATATCCTATCTTAGCAGTTGCCTCATCATCAATTGGTTGCGTGGCCCAATGGCAAGGCGCTTGACTACGAATCAAGAGATTCCAGGTTCGACCCCTGGCGTGATCATTGTTTTGTCTGTGTTGCACGTGGGCTTCCTTGTTTGTGCTTCATCCCCAGCAAAATTCCCTGACTTCTTGTCGAGCTCTCCAATAATCACTTTCTAACAATTTTGATGCTATGGAAGGACTCTCAAGCCTCCCGGCTGTTTTTCGGAAACTCGGTCTTGTCACGAAGTCTGCCTTTCCCACCTTGCCTTCTGATCGATGACATGAGCCTGGAACAGCAGTGACTGACAAGACATCGTGCGCTGTCTCAGACAGCATACCACAAGAATCTTGATTCATCTCTCTGATTTGTCTCACTGTATACGCAAGATCGAAGAGACTAAGACTGCTTGTTTTTTTTTTTTTTTCTTCAGATAGACACCTGTACTAGATGTATAACTGAAAACTAAAACAACAGAACAGAAACATGATTCAAGGCCATGCCTACAGCTCTGTCTCTCAGTATGAAACTCTCACTTCTTTGGTGTGTGGGCTCATACCGTAGCTATAAAGACAAGTCTTCAGGGAAATCGACATGAGCAAATCCGGCGGAGGTTCATCAACTTGTGTTCGTTCATCCTTTCCTCAACCTCTACTTTGTTTACAGTTTCCACACAAGACACGGCAACAACATGGCTTGGTTTGGTCAATACTCGAGCTTTGGCAACAAACCGACCTCTGAGGGATCCGAATCCAAGATCTTACGTGATGACAGAGCATTGAAGTCAAAGCTGCNNAAGGTAAGATATTGCTTTCGTTCATTCAGTTGTACGTTCATTGATCAGATTTCCACGACAGAAGTTACCAGACACGTCCCAAGATATCTGTTCAGAATGTGGCATCCAGACTCAGGTGGCAACAAGAAGCTAAACACGACCGAAAAGATCACACCGCTCGCCTTTTACAAAGGCGCGNGGCCTAAGAGCGTCTACGATATGTCGGTCAAAGAGTTTGTCGACAACACTACCAAGCATCTCCACACGGATCCCTACATGGTTACCGAGTTCTCTTCATGGTCTGCATTGCCCAGATTCGTCCTTCATTATGCCACCTCTCGCAGAGCAAGCGCCTACATCGCAGTCATCGATACCCAGGGACTTGAAATGGAGAACGGAAACGCCATGTTTCATGTCCCTGCTCTCCAATCAATCTTTGGACGTCGTGCAGCACGTCGTGGCTCGTACTATGAGAAGTACAACTGGGAGTATCTTATGCATGGCATTGTTGAGGGCAAACATTACAAGGCAGTCTCGTTCCGATCTCTCTGTGACGAAGGCTTGACCAAGCACCTTCCAGCGCTAAAGAGCTATGTTCACGCCTGGGGCGCTGACATGTTCCCACTGCCTAACCTCATTGTGCCATATAGCACAGGAGAGTTACAGGAACTGGACAAGATCGCCAAACTCTTTGGATCAGAGTCTGACATGTGTGCTGCTCTCACAATCACACTGTTTTGTTGCAAGAAGCGCGCCGAACTCGGTACCGATTTGGAGGACGATGAGCTACACGAGATTGTCCAGTACCTTGGTGGCCGCAACAATGTTCCTCNNACGATTGGTGCGACTCACGCTTACTCTGCAACGGCATCTATGACCCTCGCTACGAAGACAACAAGCAGATGGTCAGTGTGATGCGTTCCGTCTCTGCCTACTGCTGGGGCAAGGGCGCTCGAGCTCGTTTCACCAACAAGGATAATGTCTCGACGTCTGATACCGGCATGGACTTTCTTACTATTAAGATGTCTTCAGTTCATATCAAGTCGTCTACAGAGTCAGGTCCCAAAGATGCGTCCAACTCTCGTTCTTACGGGGGCGGGTATGGCTTCCAGAAGTAGCGTGAACACGAGAAGTGTCAGGCAGGAACAATCTGAGGAAGATACGGAGTATAGATGTTTTCTGGAGTTGTTGCTTTTTATTCATGGGTACAAGGAGGTGTGAGTCAAAGATCTGTGTTATGAAAATCGAGCTCGTGGGCTCTTAGCTTGCGATGAAGTAGTATGCTTTCATGTTTGCTCTTTCTTTTTGTGTTCAGTCCGTGATAGATCGGCAACGTCACTCGCACCTTCCATTGCATCTTGCTCGCACTTCCCAGGCTCGACCGTCCGAACCTTCTTTCAGGATTCTCTTCTTCTACTCCCGAGAACTCAAGTTACACCAGTTCGCTCCTTCTAACTTAACAGCATCAGAACAGCAACCGCACGTCAACCTTTCTAGATACCCTCAAGTCACGATGCCGATTCCACTGAAGACGCTTCTTCTTGTCAGCTTCATACTCTGTTTTAGCCACCTCCTCACGGTCTACTTCGAGAGCCTCGTCTCCACAACTGTCTTGATCCTGTATGTCGCCTTCTGGATCTCCGTGGTCATCATCTTCGTATCATTTCGGCCACGACCAACAAATTTCCCTCTCAATCCGCAATTTGCTCGCATGAGAGCAGAGAGAGCGAGAATGAGACGGAGAGGCCACTCAGAACATGATTTCTGCGCGCCACAAGCATTCGACTACACAAGGGAAAGCGAGAGACTCTGGCAAGAAGAACAAAGGCGCAACCTCGAAGAACTGCGGAGCCATCATCAGCGCACTTCTAGTATATCAGCGGTACAGATGGCCTTTTCGAGATGGCGTGAAGACTGCCGGACCTTGCTACAGACGCCTGAGCTCATCACCAATGTGCCTCAGCTCCCATGTTTGCCTTGTCCGAAGGGGCATTGCACCTCAAGACCAACTTGTCTGCGAGTGTGTTCTCATCGCTTGAGAAAGCTGTACGAAAGCTTGAGGTTGGAAGAGAAGGAGCTGAAGGATGAATTGAGACTCTGGCATCCCAATGGAGTAAAAGTAAATCAAGTGGGAGCTGGTTACAGAGCACAAGCGCTGGAGATGGCGAATGAGATTGCACATGTGTTGCAGGAGATACTGAAGGACATGTAAAAGAAGCAGGTCATGGAAGCTCGATTTGTTATGGTATTTGCTCACTTTGCTTCTGTATAAACGCCGAACAACACTTTTCCGAACAGTCAAGACTTTGCTCTTTTGGGCATCTATCAGAAAGTTTGTTACCATCTTCCAGCAACCAATCGTTCGACCACAAACACGCAGCATATCACCACACTTTCTGATTGCACCATCTGAACTATCGACTTTGTCAAAACATCGAACCACTGGTCGTCTACAGTAGCCATCTCTCACCTCACATCTCAACTCTCAACCATTTGAAAATCAATTTCTTAGCTCGCACATTCCAAGAGTACGTCGCTTTTCTCTTCCTCGACCTTTGACTTTACCACTCACTAACCACCTCCAGACTCCAATCATCGCGGACATGGATCTTCCCGGTATGATGTTTCTCGCCGTCTGCATCCACTTTCTTCGCGATCCAACCGCTACAGGCTGGCTGGTTGTCATCTATTGTCTTTACTACGATATCAAAGGCATAAGAAATTGGCTTGCGAGGTTGGCTGCTGAGTATCTGGATCGTCATCGTCCTGCTGTATAAAGGTACCGCCACGATGTGACGAAAAAGGAGGTCCAGGAAGGGAAAGAAGAGACGTGATTTGAAGGGGTATATCAAAGACAAGAGCTGGATTTCCTATCGCTCCGCGCAGTCTTCTACTCTTGGTGGCTGCCTATCTAGCAAGCCTTCTTTAACGTCTGACAGGTCCACTGTTCATACCCTTTGCCTCGTATCTTCTCAGATAGATGGACATGTGTTTCCTTCCTTGCCTTCTCTTTGTCTTGACAGATGCCATTGGCGGTTTGCCTTGTGTATCTTGACAGTGTCAAATGCTATATCTATCTTGGCGATGCGCTCGTACCACTCGTCGAATCTCGCCGGGAGCCGAGCCAATCCAGTCTCTGTCATCTGTCCACGCCTGGAAGACCAACAAACTAGAGCCGTGGTGAAACTCGTGGTTGTATGATGGTCTTGACGCAACTGAGTGATATGATGGATATGGGTACGATCTTGTGATATGGAGGACATTGAGCAGCAAGAAAGGTCCATGATTGAATAACGGAAGTTCCTTGGGCCGCCCGCTCCTTCCTTGTCGCAGCCAGATCAAACCACGACAGAAGCGCGGTCCCCTATCAATAAGGCGTCTTTGAAGGAAGAGCAAACGAGAGTCTCAAATGTTGTCAACTCAACGTTTCAGATTCATCTTATACCGTCGCAAAGAGGCTGGAGTACTTGGAAGACCAGTATCGCCATCCGCTCTACTTCTTGCCGATGAGGCTGAGGCACTCTACTCCAGCGATCCGGATGCCAGAAATTACGTTCTTTGATCAATTCCTTGTGATTAAGCTCAGCACCGCGATAAAATATTTCTAGGCTGTGTACACAAGTTTTGGAGGATGCAAGAGTGTCGTCACAGCCAACTTTCGAGCATGGAATGAACGGAGGTCGTGGTAGCTGTCTGATGAGTTCAGGCTTCTCAGACATCTTTCGGCATTGCTTCAGCCATTCCTTGAAGGCGTATTTGGGAACAGGCAACGGATTTAGAAGCTTTGCCGCTGACGGTTTGTGAGTGATGAACTTGGTGTGGTCGCCTCGTTCGAAAGTTTTGTAGACCTCATCGAGATGACGATACAACTCTGCAACAATGGCCTCTTGCTCGATAGCCCAAGACTCGGAAGCGTCGAAGGTATCTGTATCATCGCAAATTTCGGCTAGCAGGTTGTCCACTCTGCTTCTCTCGGTGTGAACATATTGCCAGTGTTTGATGGCCTCGACACATGGGTCTACCGGGGCGTCCAAGAGGCGACTAAAGCGATTCCATGTATGATGATCCATAGAATTCCAGCCTTGCTGGAGTGTTGTGTGATGGAAACTTCTATGGTTCGAAATGCGGAAGGGGCAAACAATCTATTCACGGCCTTAACGGAGTTTGGAAGCCGGAGAAAGCAATGGGATAAATCTCCCTTCTCCCTTACGACAAAGGTAGAGGTTGCTTTCTACCGGTATAGACAAGGAGGTATGCCGATAAGCTGAGTCGTATGAAGACGTAACAAGGACGAATGGAAGAGAGCTAAAGGATCTAGCGGTAGTCTGACAGGGTGGGTAGTTACTTAGCTGTGGTGAGGGGCATTTGTAAGCTTTTAGATTACCCCGCGTCATGAGTTCCACCCCACTTTGGCTGTCATCAATCATCTCGGTAGAAAGCATAACTTGGTCCTTCTGCTCACCTTGACTCTTCCTCTCATACCAAACACTCAATTAACCACCGACAAACTCATCATCTCATAACAATTTCACAATGCCTGCTGGAAGCTCTTCCGTAACACCCTCCTCTCCCACTTCGATATCAGTCACAGCAACTAACCCCCTCTAGGTTATCTACCCCAAGGGTACCAACTTCAACATGGACTACTACCTCTCCACTCACATGCCCCTCGTTTACAAGAACTGGAGCCAGTTCGGCCTCAAGAGCTGGTCCGTCGTCCAGTTCCCCGACGACAGCGAATACTGCGTCCAAGCCATCCTCAACTGGGAGTCCGAGGACAGCTCCAAGAAGGCCCTGACCTCCGACACCGTCAGCACTGTAATGGACGATGTCAAGAACTTTTCAGACAAGTCCCCTACTTTCTTGAGCGGCAAGGTTGTTGGCTCTTCGTAGAGTGGAAGGAAGGAGAGAAAGAGATGGAGGGATATATGATGTTGCTGGGTCAGGGACATGCTTGTACATATTCTGTGTCGCTTGACAGCATGATCAATGACAGTATGAGTGCTATTGCTGTTCATTCATCCCGGTCCTCGGAACGTGTAAAATTTCGCCGACAATCAGCATACCCAGTAAAGAAGCGTGAGAAGTGATACAATACTGCTGGATCAGGGGTATGGTTTCTCAAGTTTGTCTCGGTCTCTATCATTGCACGAGGTCTAGGAACTCCACCAAGTGTCTCGCGTTTCGAGACAGCAGCCACTGGCTGCCTGCAACAGCACGCACATACTAATGCCCGATGCATTGACTTCCACCAACACATAGATAAGACCATGCGTCTATTGCGCCTGCTTCTACTTTCCATCCAATCCATCAAAAACTCCTCTCGCATCACATCAATATGCAGAATCCTCACTCCAAACAGCCAACCCAGCCCACACCACTACAACACGACCTCACAAACTCTTACCACATCCTCATCTCCATCATCTTGGTGTTTGTCTTGTCGCTGTTGGAGTGTATCGTGTATATATCTATATCAGCTCGAAGCGAGAGCAGCGTCAAAAAGTCAAAGAGTGGGAGCGTCGTCGAGCCCGGCGCAGAAGGGACAACGCAAACTAACGCAGATTCCATGAAACAGTCGCTTATTCGAACCAGCGGTTACCTGCGGCGCCTATCAGGAATTCGATATCACAACTCAAATAAGACATGCTCAGCCACTACAAACACGACATCGACCAGTGTTTTTCGCGTCATGTATGTGTTATAACCGTTGCTTGGACTCCTTTCGTTCTCTGGCTAATTTGTTGTTGGAGAAAGTCAGCTTCATAATGAACAAACTTCTGGCCTTCCTCAGGGAAGCGTGGTGCTCGATCAAGCACCTCTCTCGCGCATGGCACTTCGTCACCAACTGGTTTCTCAACCATTTCCAACACATCATCCATGCCATTGTCAACCTCCTTCGCCAAATCGTTCTCGGAATTCTTTACGTCCTCTGCACCATCTTCAAATACTTCATGTTGTATATTGCCGTCATTCTTTTCGTACGCTTCGCTTTGATGGTCAAACCCTGGCTCGCCGCTCTATTTATTGAACAACAAAAACGCCGAAGAGAGAAACGAGAACAAAGACGACTCGAACGCCGACTAGAAGAAGCCTTGTTACGTAATGAACGACGCGATCGTGAACAACAAGAAGATAATGAACGACTCTAGCCGAAGAAACTCTGAGAAAGCAACAACAACGTCGACAGCAGGAAGAAGCATACCGTCGTGAATATCAATCCAACCTCGACTCTCTGCAGCACAATCGCAGACAACAAGCCCTCAACACACAAAAGAAACTCCAACTCGACAAAGACTTCCAAACCTGGCGCGACAAGTGTAAACAGTTACTCAGAAACCCTGGTATCGTCATCAAGTTGCCTTTTCCACCAGCCCAGTCTTGCAGTGAGCAAAACTGCGCAGGCATGACTTCACAGATGGAAATCTGCACACACATACTCAAAAACTATTACAAAGGAGCAGGTCTCAACCAAGAGGCACTGAAGAAAAAACGCAACTTCTGGCACCCCAATGGCAGGAAATGGAATGAGATCGCCGAGTGTTCGGGGAAAGATGCAAAGGGCATGGCGGAAGAAGTTTCCAAAGTGCTGTTGGAGCTTCTGGATGAGAAGAGAGGAAAGAAGTAGGATATATGACCATGAGGGCAATGGCAAAATCTTTCCAATTCAACACTTTGCAGAGTTCACAACAAGTATTTCGCACTTCTTGAACGAAACCTCCAAAGTTTTTCCACCATGATCACTGCCTATCTGCATGAATTCTTTGAACGATCTGGAAGATCTGCGTCGTCGTTTTCTCAACCTCCGCTCTATGGGGTTCAGGGACTTGGGACCATCTGTCTGGATGCCAGAACCGATATTCTCTTATAAGTTCTGCAGTTGCCAATCTCGCATTCTTGTATAGCTGTGCAAGATCTCGAGACGGCGGTTGTGGTAGCGCAACCACTGAAGTGGGATCTCGTGATAGAGCTCTGCATCTGTCGCGCCAGAGATGAAAAGCTTGGTTCAGAGTGTCTCGTTGTTGTTGAGTATCATTATGCTGTTCGCCTAATCGTCTCTGTCGTTCCTTTATTCTTTCTCCAACAAGGGTTGATACGACAGCATAAGCAATACTCAGTCCAACCAGACAGATTGTGTAGCGTGTTGGTCGGGCGAAGATAAATATCTTGATCACTGCAACCAGAGCTCGAAAGCTTTGTTGTACAGCCCAACGAAGGATCCGGAAGAGTAGACGGGTCGTTGCTGTCAATATCTGAACAGGCAACAGAGATAGACGGCATGCGATGTTCTTGATAAGACTTGCATTTCTGGTGAGAAGCGCGTTCATCGATGTCCTGAGTACCAGAGACAACTTATCGAACGGCAGCCAGTACTGTAATGCATTGAGGGTTGATTGCGATAGTCGTTTAAGCAGTTCACGCGGCAAGGAGACTATGGCGGTCCGTATTCGGCATAATCGAGCGGCTTCAGGTAATGTTGGGATTGATGAAAATAGACGTTGCTGTAGCTCAAAGGAGAGTGTGTTTACCATGGTAAGATGGAAGGGCAGCGAGGATGAATGAGGTGACAGAGAGTATTTCTGGAAGGAAGTAGGCTCTAAGGCCCATTACTGTGTCTCGAACCAGGTTGAGCAAACTACCGCAAGGCATCATTGGTGCTCCCATTGGGCAGAGCCGACGTCAGGGCAACAATGTGCGCGCGGCACTGTAGGCAAGCGCTTGGTGCGCCAATTGGCAGGCACGTATAACCAACAAGGCACGCTTACTCATCCAAAGCAACAACTCCTTTGAGAAAGCACGAAGGAAGCATGAGACGCAACATAGAATAGAAAGCATTTTCATAAGAACTTAATAAATCCCCTTCCCACCATAAAGCATCAAGCTCATGGTTAGTACAAAAAGAGGAAACAAGAAGGCAGAAGAACCATCAATCAAGACGTCTCGTCACCCATCAAAGAAACATATAAAGTAATATCCAAGAAAGAGAAAACAGAAAGAAAAAAGAGGTCGTCAAAAACATCCCTATCCAGCGGGAAACTTTCTAACCTGCGACCTTCCATATCGTATATACAACTTTTTGTTTCCAGGGTAGCCATTTACATGACAAAGAAAGCGCCAATAAACAAAGCCAACACGCAAAGACCAATGTCAGTGTGAACATTGTCGGCAGCGCCCTTGGCCACAGCCTTCATCTCCAACTCCATAGCCGAGCGCTCGTAAGCAGATGTGCTGTTGAAGCCATAGATGCGGCTGTTGGATGCAGTGCCAGCGGTAGGGCCAGCGGTAGGGCCAGCGGCTGCAACGGCAAGAGCAGTGTTGGCGGCATCTTGGGCAACGGCAACAACAGTCTGGGTCTGAAGGACGACGATCTGGGATGCTGAGGATGAAGAGGCGGCTGCGGAGGAAGAGGATGATTGGATGGATGCGGGGGTGTATGCGGCGTTGACGATGGCGGTGCCGCTGGGAGCGAAGATGTTGGCAGTGGCGTTGTTGAAGGCGAAGGGTGCGGCCGAGGCAGCGATGTGCACGGTGTCGGTGAATGTCTTGGTGGTCTTGACGGTTGTTGTAGTGGTGGACATGCTGTTGGTGTTGGTAGGTACGTAGTTGACGAGGGTGGACACGGGGTATGAGGTCGTGTATGTGACGACCGATTGGCGGATAGTGGCGGTCACATAGGCTGTGCTGTAGACGGTCTGAGTGACAACGCTGTATCTCGCATCGTTGGCAGCAGCGGGCATGGTATCATCGTTGGAGCTCTTTCCACTTTGGTCTGCGACAGTCGAGTCCGATGAGCCAGAAGAGCTGCCAGAGTTGGAGTTTCCGGCGTTGGCCTTCTTGGGGGTAGCGATCTGGGTGGCAACGGGGGTGACAGTGGTGTAGACGCTAACAGTTTGGGTGACATACTCGGTGGTCTCGGCACCTTGAGCGTTAGTGCGAGTAACCTGCTGGACCTGAGTCTGGTAGAAAGTGCGAGTAACGAAGACAGTGGTTTCGATGATTTGCACCTCGCCGGCACCGTTGGCGTTGTTGACATTCGAGTTGCCAGAGTCGGGTGCAGCGACTCTAGTAGAGACGGGAGTGACAGTTGTGTACTCGTTGACAGTCTTGGTCACATACTCGGTAGTCTCGGCACCCTGAGCATTGGTACGGGTAACCTGCTGGACCTGAGTCTGGTAGAAAGTACGGGTAACAAAGACAGTAGTGTCGATGATTTGAACAGCACCAGCACCAGCACCAGCACCATTGGCGTTGTTGGCGTTGGCGCCAGCGTTGCCAAATCTGCCAGAGGTCGAGTTGGAGTAAGGAGCGACCTGAGGGAAGCCGGCTGAAGGAAGGACCTTGGCGGCAGAAACAGGAGCAGTTCCGTAGATGGTTTGAGGGACAACGATGGTAACACCAGTTCCGATGAGACCACCAGTCCCAGCAGCGGCGGCAATTCCAGTTCCAATGGGTGCAATGATGGCAGATGCGGGAGCAGTACCAGCGAGGAGAGTAGAGTTGTTGTCACCAGCAGCAAACTTGCCAGCACGAGAGACCGATGTGTACTTGGTGGAGGTGGAGGAAGCCTTTACGGAAGAGCTGGTGCTAACCTTCTTGGAGCTGGAAGACGAAATCTTCTTTGAAGAGCTAGTAGAGGAGACCTTCTTGCTAGAGCTGGACGAGATTTGAGTACCGCACTTGCCGAACTTGGGTTCGCAGTTGGCAGTGCTGCAGTAATCAGCTGTAGAACCGCAGTATCCATACTTTGAGCAGCATGAACCGAAGGCAGAGCCAGCGCAAGTGTATCCGTTGTAGCCACCGCAAGTACCATCCTTGGAGACAGGGGCAGCAGGGCAAGGGTTGGTAGCGGTGTTGAGAGAGGTGCCATCAGCCTGAGCGTTCAGAATCTGCTTCATCCAGGTAAGGTAGTTTCTGTTGCAAATGACGTTGTTGGCAGCGTAAGTAGCCTCCCAGACCATGATACCACCGAATCTGGTGTTGCTGTAAACCTTGCTAATAAGGCTCTTGACCTCGGAAAGTTGAAGGTAGTAGCTAGCATCGCTTGAAGCAGCAGTGCTTCCAGGAAGACCAACGTAGAGCTTGAGGTCGTTGTTCTTCGACTTGACACCAGTCCAGTCGTTGTAGCCCTTGAAGGTACCAGAAGAGATGGCCTGGCGGGCAGAGCAGGCAGCAGTGTTGTAGTATTGGACGAAAAGAAAATCGAACCAGGCATTCTCGACGACACCAGCAAAGTGTGCGTCGGGAACAATGCACTGAGGTGCACCGGAGATGTAGTAAGGCTTGACAGCATCTTGAGGGAAGAGAGTGTTCTTGAAGGTGGTGATCATCTTGACGTATCCATTGGTCTTGTAGTTGGTAAGAGCTTTGCCATTGACAACAGGGGCGGAAGAGAGCTCGCTCTCAATGTCAAAGTCGAAACCATCAACAACAGCATCACCGAAGGGGCGAGGGCCGCCAGTCGAGGTCCACTCGCTCTTGACAGGACCAAAGGCACCCCAGAGGAAGTTTGCGAAGTTTGTAGCGCTAGTGTCGTTCTTGATGAAGTAGTTGGTAGGGTATCCACCACCGATGGACAGAAGAACCTTCTTGCCATAGACCTGTTGGCAGATGGCGATATCGGTACCAATGTCGGGGCAGTTAGAGTAGAGTTGTGTCTTTGTGCCCTTGTAAGTGTAAACCTCGCTACCACAAGCATTGCCGAAGTTTGAGCCAGGCCAGCCACCAGCTCCTTGGTCGGGGAAGACATTGATGAATCCAATATTGACGATATCGACATTGGGGTTCTTGCAGACGTCTTGGAGACTGCCCTGGTTAGGACCCTGTCCCCAGTATGTGACGACGTTAGTCTTTGCGTTGGCGTTCAATGCAGATGCCAGGCCTGAGAAAGCAGCTACTGCAGCCGCAGTGCTGGTAATAGTAGATGATGCACGCATATCGACTGAGATAACGATAACGATATGGGGTAATCACAAAACGGACGGGTATATCGTATAAGAATGAGTGTGACAGCACAAGGCCGAAATGAGAGGACGCAAACACAGTCTGCTTGAAGGAAAGTGGACGACAACCGAAACCGGTTGCAAAAGAAACCCGAACACGAGATAGGTGATAAAAATAAGTGTATAGCAGAAGGAGAAGAAGCAGATGAGAGGGAAACGGCCCTAGATAAAAGGTAGGCCACAAATCTCCCCCGTTCTCGAGTCGTGCCTCTGCGAACCTACCGGCTTGGAAGCATGGCTACCGTAGCCCACTTACCGTTATGCATCACGTTGCGGTCCAAAACGGTATGGACTCGAGATTGAAATTGCGGCGCCACTGTCAAAAGAGGGGCGAGGATGCCTTGGTGGAGGTGATGAACCGCAGCAGGTTGGATGGAGAGAGAAGTCGAAAGGCACTCCTGAGGTCTGTGCACGGCGTGCCGAGCAAGCGCCAGGGGCTTGATTGGTGCGGAAGGTGATAGCCCAGGCACCAAAGTCAATCCTTTTCCCTCTCCACTAACACAAGACTCGCATCAGTAGAGTAGCGACTCGCGCATTAAGATGAAGATCCGATTGCATGGTACAATAGATTGCGCGACTGCCTGAAAAGGCCACTTGCCTGCAAAACTTCGCAGCGGGAGATCCTCAGAAAATCCTCTACACACACATCGACTACGCGAGGTCGAGAACGTCGAAAGCAACGATACGAGAGTCGGCTCCCTTTCACGCTGCACCGTTCTTCAGGAGACGACGATGACCACTCGCACAGGGATCGTGATGCTATTCTTTCGCAGGCACGTTTCTCAAGGCTTGCAGTGCAATCGATGAACGATCTGTCGCAACGGCGAACTCACCTCCTGCTCCTGAACAACGGTCCGGCTCTGGAAGGTGCTGGAAATAGGACTTTGCGCGGTTATCGTGCCGGTCACAGACTCTGCATTGTGCCTTGCAGCTGTCTGGATTCTGAAAGTCGCTGTTGATCTGCTCAGTCTTCTTTCCTAGTATGATCATAGATCTACATTTGGATGTTTTGTGGTTCTCGAGTAGAGCTATGTGTTTCAGGGTGATGTTTAGGGGTTTGACCCGTCATGGTGGCTTGAACTCAAAAACCGTCTACCACAGAACTTCAGCTTGCTTCTCTACCGACGACCTGTGCTCCCCAGATGTTTTGCGACTTGCATGTGTAAAGGCAAGCCAAGCTATGCAAGAACTGACATGCTGCGTCCGCCAATCTCGTAAAGCGTTGCTGTTTGACGATGCTATCGCTGGTTGCCGAGACTGTTACTGTCACCGTTCAGCATACCCGGCATCATATCGATAGACGATGTGATGGTTGAGGGAGCCTTACGCCACGGTCTGATGTCTCGGTACTGCGTCCCTTCGTGCTTCGAGCATGCAGACTCGGTCAGATGGCTGGACGCTGTAGACAATTGCTTACAGTAGACCGGAAGAGACTATGATTTGGTATAAACAGATTTTGAATGTAATGTGTGCTTCATTTCTGGTTCGGAGCAGCCTATTGCTGCATTTGTGTTGGGTATACTGTTGAAGAAAGGGTAGAAATCTTGAGTCCTTCCTCTATAATGAAAATCACTAAACGCCTCTTGCAGAAAAGCAGAAAATCCCCATCTTTTGAGTTGTCCCCTGTGACATCGAAATCCAGATGTACAGAAGAGTAGAAAGTTAGAATTAGAAGGTATCAAGCTGGTCTAGCCGCTGCTGGCGATCGAGCTGTTCAATCAGTCCAGCATGATAGCACCATCGTCATCAACGACAATGGCGCTCTTGTTCTCCTCGGCGACCTTGCCACGCTTGGCGATTTGTTCGGCCTCGGTTTCTCCAGCATCCAAGTCGGCATCTGCAGCGGTACGCTTGGTAGATGTACGAGTAGGAAGGTTGTGTCCGTTCGATGGTCCAGCGTCAGTCGTTGTCGCGGTAGAGGCAGGAGTCTTTTTGGGGATGGTCTGGAGATCGGGCATGAGAGTGAAGGTGTCGATCGTGGCGGCGGTGGATTGATCGAATTGNCCTGGAATCAAGTTAGTCTCAAAGTCAGTGATGTGAAGAAGTTCAAGAACATACATGTTGGAGATGGAGAGCTCGAGGTTGACGCGCTCGCCCTCGTCGTCTTCGCCACGAATGATGACAGTGGAGTTGTTGACGATGCCAATGTCGCTCAGCGTCTTGTCGAGGTTCTCGTTGTCGTCCATAGCCATGTCGGGATCATACCAGACGCCGCCGTTGTTGCTGACCTCAAGCTCATCCTCCTTGTAGCCGAGCTTGCCGACCAGGACTTGCTTAACAAGAGTCTCAAGTGTCGTCTTGTCAGTGTTGATGACCAGTCTAGCGTAGGCAGTGGCGCAAACACCACAGTCAGGTCTGGGTGGACGCAGCGACTCCTTGTTGATGACACGCTCAGTCGACTTTGTCAAGAAGACCATCTTTGCCTTGGCCCAGTCACCACGCATGATCTTGAAAGCTTCCAACACACACAGGGCGGCCGTGGTAGCGTTAGTGGTGGCGATAGCAGGGATGATGTTGCCAGCCATCTGCTTGATATCGAACTCCGACTTAGTCTCGATGCCGAAAGTGATGGAACGGAGGTTTGCTGCAGCGGCCACAAAGTCGAGTGTGTCCCTGTCGTCCTTGTCAAAGGACAATATCGGTGGAGCGTTGCCAGTTTCTTGTGATGCTCGCAGCTTGTCAAGGCGGTCGCTTAGACGAATCAAGCTGTCGGAGAAAACGGCAAAGTTCTCCTCCAAGGACCAGTTCTTCTGGTCGTCTGCTATCGTCTTGCGGTCGACGTTGGCGGCTGCAGCATTGACGGCTTCAAAATCGAGGGCGGTTGGAGGCTTGCGCATCTTCCACATGTCTTCCATACCGAGCAGTCTGTTGATGTCCTGGGTAAAGACCTTGTCAAAGACCTTGTGTGGGAACTCTGTTGAGCCCATGGATGCGCGGATCTCTTTCAAAGCAGCAGCCTCCTTCTTCAGCTCGGCGATCTCCTCCTTGTTGTTCTCATCCGATGTGTGATCAAGATCTGGAGCTTCATCTTCGCTGATACCGAATAGCTCGTTGAACAGGTAGCTTTTTGCCCAGACGATACAGTGGATGGGCTGGCTCGGAGTGCTTCGGATGGTGCAGACGGGGAACGACTTGGGAGTCTCTTTCGGCGCGCAGTCGTAGCATTCGGTAAGGCGCTTGCGGATGGGTTGGACCTGGCCGTTGAAGCCGGTAGTACCACTCTCGATCAGTGGCACGTCTGCAGCAAGGCACATGCGATTGACGTGACGGCGAGCATCGAGGTTGTCGAGGGCGTTGAAGACGATAACAAATTCGCGGAACCAATCGACGTTGAATTGCGGGTCTTTGATGTTCGCATGGTGTGCCTCGATCTTGACATTGGGGTTGAACTTGGAAGCGGCCTCACGGGCGACCAGAGCCTTGGACTTCTTGATGTGGGCATGGCGGAAGAGGAATTGGCGGTTGAGGTTGGAGAGGTCGATTGTGTCGAGATCGACAAGGTGGATTTCGCCGAAGCCAGTGCAAACGAGGTTCTTGAGGAGTTCGCAGCCAATGCCACCGGCGCCAACGACTAGGATGCGCGCGTTCTTGATGTTGGTGAACTGTGAGCCGAGCGACTGCTTGAGGAAGCGTTCGCGCGTCATGGTGCTGCGCTGTGGATGTGGTCTTGTGGTGGTGATGACGAGGAGAGGGGCTGTCGGCTAGGTGGTGGCATATGATGGAGTGGACAGACGGCGTGTGGACAGTCGGATCGAGTGAGGGACAGGAGCGTGTTGTTGGTCGAGGTCAAGGTTGATTCACTTGTTCAATTGTTCACCCCGGATCAAAACTGTCGACGATGACGCGCCCAACTTTTGCTGAAAGACCGAGGTTCGATGCAGCCAGCTGGAGTTTCTGTCGCCTTGTTTCTTCACTCCAATCAGTTCTTGTCTGAAGATGATAGAAAGAGAGGCATTGCCTTCCGACAATGGAGCTGTCTATGTTTTTATCTTCGAGCAAAACAAATCGACAAGTCAACAGCTCTAAAAACGACGTGTCGCAAGCTCTAATTGGAAAGAGCAACTTTTGGCAGCCAATCATCGTGCTTCATCCCCTGCACTTCACTCTTATTCTTGCCCATTCTACACCACTAACCGTCCCTTCACTTCTCTTGCATCCCGTGCTCCGTCGACATGTCCGACGACGAAGTCGACCACGAGCTGCTCGAACTCCTCCGACAGTCGCTACTGGGACCCAAGCCGAAATCCGACGAAATCGGAACCGATACAAAGGTCCTACGACACGCCGAATTTATCTATGACAATAGTATTGACGTGAACATTGATGCCCGTGGCACCAGAGCTGCCGCCCAGTTGATCTGGGAGCAGATGCAGGAGCGCAGTTATAGCACTCAAACTTGGTCCGAACATGATTTGCATCCAAAAGCAAAGGACGAGGCCACCCTCAACTTCATCTTTATCATGGACCTCTTGAACTTTAGCTTCTGGAGTGGAAAGCCTGAGAACGAGAGATACGCCGTCGAGTACCGTGGCAAGCCGTGGACTGGTTACTGGAGCCTGGTGGCTTGTCTACAAAGAGCTCTTGAAGAAGGTAAGTAATCCTGTTGTTTTGATATCTTCATATTCCAGTCAAAACGTTGCCATATGTCATTCTTATACGACCTCANNGACATTCCTATCACGACTCCTTCGTTCTATGCCAATGAGCTGGAATGTCCAGACGAAAAACTCGCCTACGTTTTCCGTTCCTCGACCGAGGAGGAAATACCTTTGCTACAAGAAAGAATCAACTGTCTCCGTGAAGCGGGTCAAGCACTCGAAGACGTAAGCATTAACCACGTTCACTCTCACTCCTACTAATCCGACCAGAACTTTGAAGGCAGTGTAGCCAACCTTGTCGAGGCCGCCAACAACAGTGCGGGTAAACTTGTCAATCTCCTCGCTCACCATTTCTCGTGCTTCCGGGATGAATCTGTGTTCGAGAAACGTACAGTCCGCATCATGAAAAGGCCTCAGATTCTGGTCGCCGATATTTGGGCTGCGTTCAACGAAGAAAGCTATGGCGAGTTCAACGACATTGACAGCATAACGATGTTTGCCGGTAAACCTTCCCTGCATCTACCCTGTCCATGAATATCACACTGACCCTAAAAGNATTACCGAGTACCTCAAATTCTACACACATTAGGCTGCTTAACGTATAGCCCACCCTTGGACAGCGCCATACGTACACAACAACCTATTGCTCACGACTCCAGCTATGAGGTACAGTTACGTGGCTGCAGCATCTGGACCGTGGAGATGATTCGCAGAGAAATTGTAAGGAAGAATCCAGTTGCCAAGGTCAATGCCATCTTGATCGATTTCTTCCTGTATGATCTGGCCAAGGAAAAGGAAAGAGCTGGTGAGCCAGCCATCCCTCATCACCGGACTAGGAGCATCTGGTATTGAACCACGGAAACTATCGCAATACAGCTATGGTTGCACACCTGATCGATCTTGTTAGTGCTGTTGCTGGTGCAGGTGTCGGCCCGACAGGAGTATCTTCGGTAAGCTGAACGCACCATCGTCGCCCGGGCCTCGACCTCGTCGTTCAACTAGACATATTCGGCTCTGTCCTCCCAGCAAATATTAGTTGGTTGCGTGGCCCAATGGCAAGGCGCTTGACTACGAATCAAGAGATTCCAGGTTCGACCCCTGGCGTGATCATTGTTTTGTCCATCCGCTAGCCCCAGGCTGTCGATGAGGCTGCTGTTTTGCAGAACATATAGCGGACTCTCTTCACTTTCACTACTTGGCTTAGGAACATTGGGATACGCCGTGGCTTCAATTGCTATCGTTGCTTCATCCGTTTTGCCAGTGCTAATGGCAGTTTTTCTGTTTCGCGAACTTTTTCGACCAGGGTCGCACCCTTAACAATGACTTCAGACACTTTTGGTGACAACAGGCCTCTCTATCGAGATATTTCTCTTCAAGTGTCTTCTTGAGGTACTCTTTATATGTGATTGCGATGCTTCATCGGGTGATCGATGAGATATTCGTGCTGTTGTTGCCATGATCATGAATTTCGTGTTTCTCCAAAGCTTCTTTTGATATATCGCGTAAGAACTGTCCGACCGATGTGCTGCTCTTTCCGAGAAAGGGAACAATTACTTGCTTCCGAAAGCATGCTGAAGCGCTGTCCTACACACTAGGTGATCTTGGTCACTTGTACACCTGACTGTCTTGTGTTTGAAGAGCCATGATAGTTTAGTAAGGCGCAGACGGGTAGTTGCGCTAGTCACCGTAGAACGATGGATTATATTTCGTGTACCCAAAATATGCCTCAACCATTGGTTGTATAGTGTAATGGTTAGCACATCGGATTCTGATTCCGGTAATCCCAGTTCGATCCCGGGTACGACCTTCTTCTTTTGCCTGCTTGCGCTCCTCGAGCCTGTTGCAAAGTGGTGTCAATCCTTTTGCACTTCTTCCTGCAGAAGCGCTCCGTTGTTCGTATTTTTGCATTCGCAAGCCAAGACTGTAGGGGCCAGCCAAGCCACCAGAGCTGACAAGCACGCACCGTCTCTGGACTGTGTTTCTTCGCAACCATCTCTCATGTATTCAGTTCTACTCTGCTTCGAGCCTGCCAATGAATGCTGCAAGAGCACACCGCTACGGTGAGTTGGCAATCATGCCGAAAGAAGGTCCAACAGCAAACAATGTTTTGCAGAGCCACCGCCTCTCGGCACGCGACTTCCGAATGACGCGTGCCGACTTCCCTCGAAATGGATTTTGGTGAACGAATACAACAAACATCATCTGCCCGGCAAAGAGAATGCCGTTTTCACTTTCATAACTATCGGAGTTTAGGACTTTAGGCAAAGTCCTCTTCGAAGTTCATTCTAATAAGTACTAGAGCCAACGCCATTTGAGAGAATTCCCTTATCTTTGAGATAATTTCAAGGTTATATTCATTCTTCTCCTCCCTCACAAACCGTTTCCTGCAGTCATATCGTCATGGAGGACGACAACGAGACAACAGTGCAGCCCATCCGTACTGGACGCTCAACACGGCAATACTTATCACGAACACGGTCGAACAAGTCGAACAGATCATACAAATCACGTTCACGGTCTGGCTCAAGGCCAAGTCGACCAAGCAGCCCTCTACAACGACTTACCTCGGCAAATTTCATCGACGATCATGGTATCTATCACCACCACGACGAATCAGACTATGAAGAAGAAGTAGAAGAGCAGGAATCACAGCACGATGGCAGCAATGGCCTATCGACACAATCGAGTTCCGAGCTGGAGAAGGAGAAGCAAGAGCCGGATGAGATACCCATGGAGCCATTTGGGGCGGAGACAGCACGCGACCTAGAAGCGCAGTCCGAGAAAGAANGACCCCCTGCGCTGTCGAGGAAGTCAACTTCCAAGTCTGTCAAAGACCCGAACCTAGTGACCTGGGACGGGCCTGATGATCCAGCGAACCCCAAGAACTGGGGCAAGGGCAGAAAATGGGCGGCTACGCTCGTCGTTTCTTCCTTTACCTTCATCTCACCAGTGTCTTCCTCGATGGTTGCGCCAGCCATCGGTGTCATCTCGCGCGACTTCAATATCACGAGCACTGCTGAGCAGCAGCTGGTGCTGTCCATCTTCGTGCTAGCGTATGCTATCGGCCCTCTGTTTCTCGGACCCATGTCTGAACTCTACGGCCGTGTCAGAGTCCTCCAAGTTGCCAACGCCTTCTACTTTGTCTGGAACCTTGCCTGTGGCTTCGCTCAGAACAAAGGCGAGATGATGGCGTTCCGCTTCCTTGCTGGACTAGGTGGTAGCGCTCCTCTCGCAATTGGTGGTGGTATGCTTAGTGATTGCTGGAGGCCAGAGGAGAGAGGCAAAGCCATCTCTATCTACTCTCTAGCTCCACTCCTCGGTCCCGCTGTAGGTCCCATTGCTGGAGGTTTCATCGCTGAAAACACGACTTGGAGATGGGTCTTTTGGTCAACCTGTATCGCGTGTTTCTTCATCCAACTCTCGGGCCTTTNNTTCTTCCTGCAGGAAACTTATGTTCCGGAGTTGTTGAAGCGCAAGAAGATGCGTCTGATCAAAGAGACCGGAAATACGAACCTGCACACCGAATACGATGATCCTAACCGCAAGCTCTCCGTCCACCTGAGAACAGCCTTCACCCGTCCCTTCGTCATGATAGGTACACAACCCATCGTCCAGTTCCTGGCCATCTACATTGCCTATGTGTACGGTCTTATGTACTTGGTCCTCTCGACCTTCCCAGGTCTCTGGACAGGCATCTACGGCGAATCGACCGGCATAGGTGGCTTGAACTACATTTCTCTCGGTCTCGGCTTCTTCCTCGGCACCCAAATCGGCGCCCCCTTCAACGATTACTTTTACCGTCGCCTCAAGAAGAAGAACAACAACGTCGGTCGCTCTGAGTTTAGAGTACCCCTCATGTTTCCAGGCTCCGTCCTTATTCCCATTGGCCTGTTCATCTACGGCTGGACTGCCGAATACAAGACCCACTGGATTGGTCCCAATATTGGCGCTGCCATCTTCTCTGCTGGCAACATCCTGGTCTTCCAGTCTTGCCAGACTTACATAATCGACTCGTACCAGCGCTACGCTGCGTCCGCAGTGGCGTCTACGACTGTTCTGAGATCTCTGGCTGGCTTTGGGTTCCCATTGTTTGCACCATCTATGTATAATGCTTTGGGCTATGGATGGGGCAACTCAGTGCTAGGATTCATCGCTGTCGTTCTTGGTTTGCCGGCACCATTTATATTGTGGAAGTTTGGTGAGAGACTGAGAGCGAGAAGTAAGTTTGCTTCTGGCGGGTAGGGAAAGGCTGTGTCGCTCTCCTTACGAAGCAGATACTCATATACAAATTAATCCAACATTTTGATATCAAAGTCACTTGTTTCATAGCCTTTCATTATATTCTTGCCTGCATGCTGAAAGTACGATGACTTCCATCCAGCTCCTGTCGCAAGATTTGTTGGATGAATATATTGTTTAAGATTAGCATGTCTGTCACGTACGGCCACAGTCAGCTGAAAACTGGGCATCCCGTCCGCTCTGCCATACATAAGCAGTTGAACGGCAGATTAGTACTACGGTGGGTGACCACGTGGGAATCCCTGCTGCTGTACGTTTTGCGTTTCTTCCTGGTGCTTGTTCTTTTTGTACGTGGGTTTTTTTTTTCTTTTTTTCTTTTCTTTCTTGGAGAGGTGAGGGAGTTGTAACTGTTTCATTTTCTGCTGTGCGCACTCGTTGCATATTTAGGAGGGAAGCAAAGCTGTGTGTGACTGGTATCCGGCTTAAGCAGATTTCGTCCTTGACAGGCATGCGTGGGTCGGTGTATGCGATAGCACCATGGGTCCTGATCCAGTGTCTACCCGACCAAGTTTTCCAGGTGTTTCATCTGCGTTGCGACTGACCTTCCAAATGGTGGCGTAGTTGCATCTAGACATGGAGGCAGGAGCGACGTATATGCGACTTCAGACCAAATTGCATGTCTCGATAATGGCATAGGCCAGCGATGCCGCCCATTAATTCGCATTGTTTTTCACGCCCCATCTCGCACGGTGGGTGGTTGTCGCAAAACAATGCGAACTAATGGGCGGCATCGTTGCAATGCATCCAGAGATCGGCCAGGGCGTCTTCTGGATCGAGCATATGTCCACACGTATCAACAGAGCACTCAAAGGCGAACTTTGGCGATATCTTCGTTGTCTTGCACAAAGTCGGCTGCAGTCTTCTTTATGATCGTCAAGAATTACTTGGTGTAGGCCCTGTTGGCATTTCTGATCTTGATGGTTGGACTGGGAAGGCTGTCCAGGCCGATGTGTTTGTTCAAGATAATCTGACTTTGATTTCGAACTTTCGCCCTGTACTCAGGGCACAAGGCTTTCTGCCCACGACGAGCTGTTCGAAGCTGCGGTAGTGGCAGCCTGGCACTCTGGAATGTGGAAAAGGCTGGATGGAGGTTGTGTTACGCTCACACAATGACTGGGCTAGTGGGGAGATGCAAGTGGAAGTATGGATGCAGTTGATCTATGCAGAGCCAAGATACCATGTAAAGCTGCTGTGTATACCGACCCAATGAATGAAAGTGCGACCAAAGACCGAAAACCAGAACGCCAAATATCAAAGTATGTCATCAATCATATCAAACCTCACCTTTGAAACGCTGGCAGTGTTGGAGGTGCTGAGATGGCGATCGTCCAAGCTACTTATTGCCCGTGAAGCCTCGAGCTCCATTCTGTGTGGGCTTCCTGGCCAACGTCTGCTCTGCGCCACCTTCAGTCGATATTTCATCAGCATCACCACGACTGACACTCATAGAAGCCATGGCTCCGATGATATCCTCCTCATCAACCTCAGCCTTTGCATACCTGGCAGCATACCTCTTCTCATTGCCTCTAGCACCCTTGCCATAGCAATGAGTGTATAGTGCTTCCATGAGATTCTGAACCTGCTCGTTGGCATCCCAGTTCTTTGGGTAGACGTTCTTGCTGAACACACTGCGAGAGCTGCACCAGTCATGCGGTATCTTCTCCCAGCCACCAAGCACTGTGATGATAGTGTCGAGGTCGGAGGCGCTGAGTTCGGACCAGTATCCAGGACGCTTCTTGCAGCAAAAGAGGACGATGGCCATGGGAAGGGAGAAAGTGTCGCCGTAGGGCAAGACGATCTTTCTGAGTTGGCGCAGCTCGTCAGTCGTGTAGTTCTCTTCTTCGCCGGGGAGAAGACGGAAGGCATTGGGATTGGAGGCACTGATGCCGCTCTTGTTGAGTCCGGGCAGTTGCTTGAGCAGACCCAGCTTACAAAGCTGGTTGTAAGGCACGGCCTTGTAGAACTGTCCCTCAATCACGCCGTGCACGAGATACTCTTCTTCATATACGTATCCGTAGCTTTTACCGAAGATTTTGCCCAAGGCGGGAACGTGGAATGCCGGGTTCGACTTGGCCAGTTCTTCGGTATCCATGATGGCGACGTGGAAAGTACCAGACGAGCTTCGCTGCATAGTAAAGTAGAATGCAAAGTACGGTGAATGGGACCAGGACGAGAATTCGGTCACGACGCTGTCGCAGCCTGTCAGATGCAAAGAGGTGTTTGTGATGAACTCGGTGCGGGTCATATCATAGACCGAGTTGTGGCCCTTCGAGGAGGCGAAGGCGAGGGGCGTGACGGCTTTGGTCGTGTTCAGCTTGGAGTTACCGCCAGAGCGTGCATCCCACATGCGGAAGAGATACTTGGGGACGTTTTTGCTGGCCTCTGCACGTTGTCTGTTAGTTAACATCACCAAGGATGAGATTTTGTATCTCGTACGCTTCAGCTTTGTTCTCAGAGCCTGGTCATCCTTGATAGGCTGTTCGTTGGTATTGCTCGCAGGTCTGAAACCACCGTAGAAGAAGTCGTAGAGGTATGACATTGGATAGATGATGTGTGTAATGGAGAAATTAGGATCAGAAGGGCTGATTGTAGATTGATGATTCTAATCGTCTATTCTGCTCATGCTGGCCTCCCATGTCTTCTGTTTTTATACGCCTGATAGAGATCAACATGGTCGACCAGGTCGAAGAATTGCGAGTCTCATATTTGCTCTACTGCTGTATGCAGTGGAAGACAAAAAGCACTCCAGGAGCATGTTTCTGGTATGTCAGTGTCTCAGACAGTGAGAGGCGTCTCTGTCATGTTATCATGGCATGCAGAAGTTCTCAGACACGCATGTCTGACCGAGCAGTCGAATACCAGATACCACTTTGTTCTCGGAATGTTTTGACGACCCTATGGTCTCTCAGGATTTATCACTCGTCATGATTGTCGGTCAACGTCGAGCTGAGCTGACACAAAGGATGCGGAATGATGTTATGTGTAAAATTGATCACCGAAATTGGGAGAGTCGATGTTTGAAAATAGCGAACAAAGAGATCCTTAGACAATATTCCTTCGTGAAAGTGGAGTCGAGCAAGGCGATTGTAGGTTCGAGCCTGACTTTGGTCAACGCTGTCATACCGGTCAGAAAGAATATCATTCCTATACGGTATAATTGATACAGCGGGTTTCGACGATCTCTGATGGGGTCGCCAATAAGAGTTCAAGTATAGAAAGAGGAGGCGCGATGGCTGTATATGGTAGCTCTCAACTGACGTGAGTGGAGTCTTGCGATAGACCGATAAGGTTGCGATTGACAATCTTGCAAATAATCGGCCCGACGAGACATCAAGAGCTTACAACCACGACCTGTTGCACTTGCAATAAGACCGTCTGTGTTAATATGCTGCAAAATAACATAGACACGGTCTGACCATCTCATATGTATCTGTATGTCTGACCTACTGATCTGATACACCAAGAGCCGTTCGTGAGTCAACAGGTGATTTCCTCGATGCCGGTCTCGCGCGTGGCACTGCCAATTGAAATGATACGAACTCATGTGCCGTTGAAGTACTGCACAACGATGTCAACTGATCGGAAGGACACCCCGCTATCCTGCATGCAGGATGTATGTTGAGCCCATGTGCGCCCGAAACGAATGTACGCGTCCTACCTGGGGAGCGTTTTCTCCATGAGCGCTCGATATTGGCAGCCTTCATGAAGAGGTCCCCACATTGTACGGCCATGGTGGAGAAACTTATCTGATGTGAGGGAATGTGGTGTGCCTCGAAGTAGGGGCCTGTCCCAAAGTGATACATGACAAACAGGATCTGGCAAGGTGTGCTTGAACGGTCTGATCGGTTGTGCTTGCCATGCGTTGAGTCCCTCTTGTCGAGACTGTAAGTCTTCTGCCTTGTGCCGGACTGACCCTGCGAGCAACCTATTCGTTGTTCCGATAGGGTAAAGACGGACATCCAGAGCAAGCAAGAGCCACTCGGCTACTCCACACTGAAGCCGTTGTCGAAAACGCTCCGGGCGTAGTTTAATAGACACGTTAAGAATGTGAGACCAATACTTGGTTGCTCTTTTTCGCGTCAAAAGAGTCAATCTTGCAAGGGCTGGAGCCACAGAGTATGAGGCTGAGTAAATGGCCGGACGCGAATATGTGGCGGCCGCGCGGAGGGAAGTGAGCGAGAAAAGGGCGTTCTTGCTCGCGTTGGTGGGCCGGTTCAAGAGAAACGTCTGTGAAGCGACAAGCCTCTGGTGATATCATCGCAAAATCATATAATGCACCAGACGATACATTCCATGGTAGGTGGACAAGGTGTCCTTGGTGCTGAGCAGAGCGTCTTCAAGGGTGCGTGTTTTGTATACCTATGGCCAGAACATGAATGTTCACTTGGAGATGATGGCTAGCCTCTGACAGTTGGCCGTCAGAAAGAGACATGTCTCTTAGCATGCGGGCAGGAGTTGCTCTGCGCATTGTGTTTCTTCCGTGCGTGAAAGTGCCGTGCGCCTAGATAGACGGATTGGCAAGAAGACCCTGATATGGATAACGGTATTGTAGCGCTTCGAGTTGGTGACGACTGTGGATGTCTTCTCAGATGTACAGAACCGGTATGTGCTTGGTGCAAAGGGAAAGCGGTTGAAGGCTGGACGTTGACGCGGATTGGCTATTTGAGGCTTCTGCGGCGCAAATGCGGACAGCTTTCTCAGCGTTCCATTCCCCATGGTACCTGTTCTCAACAGCGTCGTCACTGATTGCACCTTCTCACAGATGCTGAACCGCGAACATGAGACGAACTGTCCTTGGAGGTCTACTGTACTATTCGAGTATTGCTCGAGGCTTCCTTTTCATACAAAGACTGACAGTATCGTATGCAAGTGATCTGTCAGAACTTGACCTTGTATTCAGATCATTGCCGGCGCACGGATCACGCACACACGTACATGGACCGAAGAATAGGCGGCTGCCGCACGAGGTGATCTGCGAACGCTGCCAGGGCGGCGAGCTGATGAGAACGTCGTCCCTCGAGGATGCCACTCCACGCCCATCCTAATCATCCCCTTTGTTCTCTGTTATCGACAAGATCCGGTTTTCCGTAGAACGCGCGGTACGGTGCGCTGTATGCAGCCGCGTTGTGCAAGCAATCAAAGATTAAAAGCTGAACACGAACAAGACTCCAGCTGAGCTCAACTTCCAAATCTCACATCCCAAGTCACAACCTCGCTTCTGTCCACCACGCTACCATCTCAACATGAGATTGATCGTACTAAGTTTGGTAGGCAACAAATCCACTATTCTGCTCATAATGCACTATGAACATGGCAGACTTTGTCTGGCAAGACTTTGGTGTGCGCCGTTGCAACGACGCCCCGTGAGCGCCATCGACCGTTATACATATCGATAATTGCCGACTCAGCTATTGTGCGTTTTGTTTTGGAGAGACATTCCCCTTTACCAGCTCAACGATCTTTTTCATCTCCAGTCTTTGCTTCCTTCAAGGTATCCGAACATTTCTATAAGTACAGTCGACAATCCGTGTCTCAATGCTCGCTCCAGACCGCAACGATCTCGCCTACTAATCACAGCTTCATCTTGTCCGTTCATCCGCTTGCGGATCTAATACCTTGTACCTTTGTTTATTTATAATCTTTTATAATGAGGTCCTTCGATTTCAGCGCTTCGGCGCTCAGTCTTCTCGCCCTGGCATCGTCTGCTTCGGCATTCTGGCGCATGCCCTGCCCTGGTCGTATCGCTACTGAGCGTCTCGACCCTATCGTTGCTCCTGGCGGCGTTTCTGGTCACGTCCACACCATTTCCGGTTCAAACGTAAGTTGTCATATCATCACTGCTTCATATCGCTCAATCTAACACTCCTTGCAGGGTTTCAAGGCCGAGATGACATATGCTGATGCCCGTGGAGGTGCATGCTCTTCATGTCCTATCAAGCAAGACATGTCCAACTACTGGACACCCAAGCTTTACTACCAATCCGAGAACGGCACCTTCATTGATGTCCCTCAAGCTGGTGATGGCCAAGGTGTCTTTGGTGGTATGACTGTTTACTACCTGCAGAGAGGTGGTCCCAACAACGACAACCTCACTGCCTTCCCCGAGGGCTTCCGTATGCTTGCTGGTGACCCTTTCAAGCGTGCTGCAACTAGCGATTTCGCTGGCCAGGCTGTCAGCTTTGTCTGCCTTGATTACAGCGGTACCTCTTCTTACTCTAGCGGTCTTCCTAACAAGGTCTGCCCTGATGGCCTGCGCGCCCAAGTCTTCTTCCCTTCTTGCTGGGATGGCAAGAACCTCGACTCTGCCGACCACACGTCTCACATGGCCTATCCTACCATGTACTCTTACGACAACGGCCCTTGCCCTGCTGATCACCCTGTTCACATGATTTCCATCTTCTACGAAGTCATCTACTCCACCGCCGGCTTCGACTGGTGGAATGGCACTACCCAGCCTTTCGTCTTCGCCCAAGGTGACCCCACCGGCTACGGATTCCACGGTGACTTCATCAACGGTTGGGATGTTCCTACTCTCCAGGAGGCCACCAACACCTGCAACAACGACTCTGGTCTCATCACTGATTGCTCTGTGTTCGACTTCTTCACCAACGCTGAGTCCCAGGCTTGTGTTATTGCTCCTACCATTGACGAAGCCGTCACCGGAGAGTTGGAGAAGCTTCCTGGTTGCAACCCCGTCACATATGGTCCTGGCAGAGCTCCCTACTCCGAGGCCGGCTGCACTGATAATGCCACTCTTGGTTACTCCNCCGTTTACTACCAGAATGTCACTGGCTGGGACTACGTCGGTTGCGCTCCTGACTCTGTCAGCAGCCGTACCCTTCCCAACTCGACTTACATGTCTAGCGATATGACTGTCGAGAAGTGTATGTCATACTGCGAGAACAAGGGTTTCAACTATGCCGGTCTCGAGTACGCCACTCAATGCTACTGCGGCTCCACTCTCCCCACCGCCCTCGAGCCCACCAAGGGTGTTCTCGGAAACTGCTTCTCTCCTTGCGCTGGTAACTCGTCGCAGTACTGTGGTGGTTCTAACCGTCTGAGCATCTACTACACTTCTGCCAACTTGACAGAGTCGACCATCTCCTGCCCCTCCGGCAACGGCCAGAACTACACCACTCCCAACAACGCTACTTTCAACGTCAACTGCGCTGGTGACTCCAACGGCAAGGATCTCAACATGGTCTATGTCAACAACGGTATTCAAGAGTGTATCGAGACTTGCAGTACTACTGCTGGTTGCGTTGCAGCCTCTCTCTCCGGAACTGCCTGTTACATGAAGAGCACTGTCGGTACTCTGAGAACTTCATCTGGTGTCCAGCACGCCCAGCTCATGTCCTCTGCCGCTGGCTCTTCCTCCTCCTCTTCTTCTTCTTCTGCCGCAGCCTCTTCCACCAAGGCTTCATCGACCAGCTCTTCTGCCTCGTCTACCAGCTCTCTTCCCAGCTCAGCCACCAACTCTGCCGGCTCTGTATACAACCTTTACTACTCTTCCGACTCTGGTCAAGGATCGTTCACCAACACTCAAGCTAGCAGCTCTTACACTGACTGTATGAGCGCCTGCGATGCCAACTCANAGTGCACTGCCTTCACCTACGTCGGTGGCAAGAACGGCGCTGGCTCAGGTCAGTCATCCTTACTTCACACTTCCATTGATCACCAATACTGATATGAATTCTAGNGTACTTGCTGGCTCAAGACTCAGATGGGCAATGCCGTCGCGTCCAATAACAATGTTCTTACTGGCTCTCGCGTCAGCCTCGGTAACAAGGCTGCCGTCTCATCTTCTGCTTCTTCGTCCTCTTCTTCTGCCATCTCTTCTGCCTCTGGCTTCGTTTCTGCTTCTGGCTCTAGCGCAAAGGCTGCCTCGTCCACCACTTCCTCAAGCGCAACTTCCACTGCTACCAGCACCGTCGCTGCCTGCCCTAACTCGGACAACACCATCTACACCGATAAGACTTCTGGTGCTCAGTTCCTCATTGAGTGCGGTGTCGACCATGCTGGTGGTGACTTGAAGATGGTTTACGTCAGCGACTTTGCTAGCTGCATCCAGACCTGTGCTCAGACCACTGGCTGTGTCGACGTTTCTCTCTCTGGAACTGCCTGCTACATGAAGAAGTCTGTCGGCTCTGTCGTCAACTCCAGCGGTATCAAGGGTGCCAAGCTTCTTTCTTCAGGCACTCCTTCTGCCAACGTCAACGTTGCAAACAAGGCCGCTTCAACCTCAGTCAAGTCGTCTTCCGCAACCCAGAAGCCTACTTCCACCATGAAGACTTCTACCAAGGCTACTTCCACCTCTACCCGCAAGGCTTAAACACCTTGTGTTTCTCTCTTATATCCTTTCTACATGTCATAATGATTACGGCAGGGCCAACTACTTATTCAGAAAGAGGAGGACAAGAAAGTAAGAACTATGAGGCTCACCAAACACCACGAAAAAGCAAAAAAAAAACGATAGAAGAATGACTATCTAATGAAGGGATGAGGATCTTGATGATCTCAGAGACGGTCGGGCAGTGCCTGTCTATCTCAACTACTTTCTTGTTCATATACAACAGGTTGTATGTACATATCTCTTTTACATTGTCTCTAGCAGACAATATAATTTTAATTCATATTTTAACACTGATTACTCTTTTGCCAATCTTTCTGATCTCCAACTACGCGAGTGCTCTCCAACGGTTGAGAAAAACAGAACAACGTCTTGAGAAAACGACGCTTGTTCAAGACCAGGATAGAGCAACCACAGACAAGTTTGCATCGAAAGATCGATGAGTGGTAGACTCGCTTCTACTTTGCACCGTGTCATGGTACTGAGGCTTGTGAAGCCTTGACTTCATACCCAGGATTATTATTCGATTAGCATGTTTTCTAACCTCCACCTTGAGATCTCTCTATCTTGGGACGTTGAAGGTATACAACCGCCATGTCTCAGCCACAGACGAGAGGTCCGGCATTTCCATAGGCGAGGTCCATTATTTACAATGGATGTTCTCTGAACATTGTTCCTTTCAGTGAGGTTTTCGTGTGCCTCAGTGGTTAAATAAACAAAGCAATGCTTTGAGTGGGTGACGCATATTCCGGATAAGAAAGGAACAACCCGGGCAAGCCTGTAGTGATAGGCCAAGACATAACTTCCTATCTCGGACGGCATTAGCACAACTCTGCACATCTATGCACATTTATGCACGGGGCTTGCACGTCTCCTATCATCTCCGCGAGTCTCTATCTTTGCCATCCTGTTCTCTTAAATATTGCATCGCCTTCTTACCACCTTGCCGTCGTTGAGGCTCAATCTTCCATCAGAGAAGCAAATTTTGCTTGCAACATGGTCAGCCAAGCTATCTCAACAGCATTGTGAACGATTGCATGCCGTTGCCCCTCCTTGATCCTTATCTCTTGTTCTCTCAAGTGGGTAGTTGAGCGCGAAATGTCCGCTCCTATCCCGAACCGTATCATTCTCTATCTCTTATCAGATGTATCAATCTGTTGGAGTTGTACCCCAAGTCTGATTTTGGTACATCATCAGTATGTCTCCTTCCCAGCATTTCCAACTCTTCTATCCTCGAGTCATTGAGCCTTGAGACAACACGACCATGTTGCTCGAACCAAAGAACGATATCAAAGCTACTACACTGCCGGACGAGGAGCTCGACACATCGATTGGTCATATTCATGAATTGGGCTATGATGTCGAGGCAGAAAAGAAGGTGTTGAGAAAGTTTGACAGGTTCCTGCTACCTCCTCTGGCCGTCATCCTCCTGGTAGCATACCTGGACAGATCGAATCTCGGGAATGCAAAAGTCTTTGGATTTGAACATGGTAAGCAGATCTGGGAGAAGCACACACAAAAGTAAACCATTCTAATCATAATACCTANNGGCATTGGTCTGGTCGGGAACCAATTCAACACGATCTCTACACTCTTTTACCCATTCTATGTCCTCTTTGAGGTCCCTTGGACGATGGCCGTCAAGCGCTTCGGCGCCAATCATGTTCTTGGTATTGCCATGATCGCTTGGTCGACCATAACCCTTGCTACAGGCTTCATTCAGAACTACTCCCAAGCCATTGCTGTTAGAGTGTTGCTTGGAGCATTCGAGGCTGGGCTGGTACCCTCGGTGGTATTTATCATCAGTACTATCTGGGAGAGGGAGAGACAGAGTAAGAGAGTGGCTATCATCTACGCTTGCAACTGCCTTTCGGGGGCCTTCGGAGGTCTGATTGCTGTAAGTCTCGCTTGCTTTACCATCAGTCCTTCAGAAACACTCACACGATACAGTNATGGCATCGAAAGTATGGGCACACGACACGGGCTCGAGTCCTTCCGATGGCTGTTTATTGTCGAAGGCGCCATCTCGATTGTCTTGTGTGGCATCTGTTGGGCATCATTGCCCAAGAACGCAGAGACGGCGTGGTTCTTGAACCCAGAGGAGAAAGCCATTATGGTTGCGAGGAAACAGCGCAATTCTGTTACCAGAGGCACGGAAGAGTTTTCTTGGTCCCACGTACGTCTGGCCTTTACGGATCCGATCATCTACATTGCCTCGGCCAGCTTCTTCTCGGCTTCCATTGCTCTTTTTGGATTCGGTACTTTTCTTCCGACAATCATCAAGGGTCTTGGGTAAGCATCATGACTGTTGTGTTGTTTAGAAGCAAATCAGACTGACGTTCCGGATAGATATACCTCGCTACAAGCAAACTACCTGACCATCCCAGTCTACGTCTTCGCAACCCTCACCCTAATCACTGCAACATTCACATCAGACCGTCTGAAGAAACGAGCAGCGGTCCTAGCTATCCTCCCAATCGCACCAATCATAGGCTACATCATCGCCTGTGGCACGGCCAGCCATGCAGCAGGCTACTTCGCCATGTTCCTCTGCGGCGGCGGCATCTACAGCTACAACTGCTTGATCCTCACTTGGATATCGACCAACATCGCTCCTGACTACAAGCGCAGTATGGCTATGCCGTTTTTCGTTTCGCTTGCCAATGTCTCCGGTGTTGTTTCTTCTAATATCTACCCGAGTGTTGATGGACCAAGGTATCTGATGGGCAATGCTGTTAGTGCTGGTATGGAGACACTGGCGCTTTGTGGTGTTGTGACTGTATGGTGGACGTTGAGACGCAGGAACCTGGAGAAGGAAAAGCTGAGAGCGCAAGGTGTGGAGGACAATGGCAAGGATGGTGATCAGGGCCTTGACTTCGTTTACAACCTCTGAGGAGCAGGACCGCACAACACGAATCTCCAGAATGCAATCTTGTTGGAGAATCTGGCAACATTCTAGAAAGTAAACAAGTAAACAAGTAAACAGAGCCTCTAGCAATAAATATCACCAGCTCAACTATCGATGCAGTGAGTCGAACTCACTACCTTTGAGCGGGCAAAACAAAAAGAAAAACCAGACACTGGGCCAGTCGCACTTCTCCTTCGTATAATTCAGAGGGGAACTAGGGGTGGTTGTGATTGGCCTGATGCTATTTGCTCCCAATCTGATCAAATAGATTGCCCAGATAACAGTGAAGACTTGGAAGACTTGGAGTGATCATCGAACAAGTGACTCAATCAACACGATTTTGTCATTGGAGGCACTTAAGAATTCTTTCCGTCACATGTTTGTGTGACTCCGCAGATCCAATAGTCCGCATTGCCTCGAGCAGCTTTTTCTCGGCTTCCGTTGTTCTTGATGGTGGACATTGATAGGAAAAGGAGAAGTCAAGAGCGCGGAATATCGAGGGCAACAGCACGGATGGTGAGTAGGCCTTGTCTCTATACAGCTTTTGAGACATATCACCTTTATGGATTCGGTAGTGATGAAACATCTAAAAAAATCTCGAAATACCTCGCCACCTCAAGAAGCAGGCGAAGCAGTCATAGTCTCAAGCCTCTGTGACCCCCTCTCCCTATCCTTAAACCTACAACAACTCTCCTGACACAAACAAATCTTTGGCAAGTTCCTCCAATAAGCATCCGAATAATCCACCGTGATTTCCTGACCAGCTTCAATGCCTCTACTCACAAGTATAATTCTTTGCGTGCCCAACCACACAAAACGCTGGAATTGGGAGTTGGGGCGGCAAGAGTGGTTTACGAAGCGAGTGTAGTTGCCTTCGCGGCCTTGGTAGATTTGGTAGCGTTGCTCGGCTTCGGCTTGCATGACGTCCATGCCTTCGAGGCCTTTTGTGATGAGGCCGGTGAATTCGCCGATTGCGACGCCGCGTTCGAAGGGCTGGNNCAGTAGGTTAGCATGAGATTCGATAAGTCAGGAGTGTCTTTGTGGCAGGGGTGAACTTACACAACATGCCATGAGCCCATTGTTGCGTCCATTCTTTGTGCGGAAAATCTGGACAGGGGCCATGGGTAAATGATCACTGCCGAAAAGGTTCGGGAAACAGCGACATGTGCTTTCAGTCACATCTTCTGATTGTTTTTCTCCGCACACGCTGCAGATGTGCGCTGCTTGGTGTGAATTCACTGCAATCTGGCGAGGGTCGTTGGCGCCAAAGGCATACGGATCCACAATGGAGGAGTCCAGGTGTGTGAAAGAGAATTGCGGGTCGTACTGTAGGTAAGTTTGTTTTAACGGGACTGGATCGTCGTGGTCTGAGACAACCCAGTCGTGGGGGTGGCCGGTGTAGACGCGAGAGGAAGGGTCGCCAACAATTGTCAGCAGGTCTCGCCAATATGGGTGCNNTATACCAAGTTAGCGACGAGTTCGAGATGGATGCAGAGGAGAAGTTACACGAACCAATGTATCAGCGGCCACTTCAAACCTGGCACGCGTCCGTCTGAGGATTGCCATAGACTCTGGGTCAAAGCCAATGCGATATTTGCAGAATCTGTATATGCCCATTCCTGCAAAAACCAGACATACCCATCCTCCGTGATCTTTGATCTCTTTATAGCCACGCCAGATGGCCNNCTGAAAGAGAACTCGTTAGCATTGGACATGAACAAGGGGGTACATGAGGTCTCACATCTTGTTCCGAATCTCCTTTTCACTCCAACCAATCTCAGAACACGCTTGGGCAAGCGCTTTCATCCTTGCCTTCGTAGCCGATAGTTGAGGGTTCTCTTTTGCAATCTCCTGCACCTGACGATCGAAATGCTCGATCCACGAAGCCTGAACAACAACTTCGAGTGCTCGTGAACATCGACTGGCTTGGCTTATCTTTCTACACAACAAGTTCATCCGGGTAAAAGTCCTCTCTGGCGCTGTAGCTGGCGGCACTTGTACCGCACTGGGTGGTTGACCTTCCTGAGCCATATCCGTGATGAGTGATCGATGAGCATTAAATCCGGTAGTTCGCCATTCGCTAGACACGACGCTGATGTCGAAACTCATGCTGCTGAAAACCTGCTCCCAGATACCCACGATTAACTTGCTCAAGGTAGAAGGTCGCAAGGCAGGTTCATCCCTCGTAGTCCGTCTCTGTGGTTTCTGTGGAACATCTGCCTGGAGACGGCGGACGGGCGCCTGCTCATTTTCTCCAGGCTCAGGAGACATGCTCTGGTTTGCTGATCCAGCTGGTCGTTGCAATCTCAGTCCACCTGTGATCTTGCGTCGCTTCGATGATTCCGAATCCGAGTCATTGTTCAAAGCACGGCGTGGCCGGCTACTTCGTCTCGGGAAATGATCCTCAGAAGGCTGTACTTCGTTGCCCACATGAGTCTGCTCGGCCTGCCCCAGCTCAATCGAGGATTCGACATATGGTCCCGTAGCGGCAGCGGAAGAACCCCTTCCACTCTCAATCAGTGGCGAGAGGTCAAAAATGCCCTGCAACACACCAAGTCAGCTGTCGATGTTTTCCTAACCGGACTATTCTCCGCATTGGATTGGTGTGTTCTCTTTACAAAANTCAATAGACGACGAAACATCACCATCAATATATCCTTTCAAGTCAAGCTTGCACGCCGCTGGTGGAGCTTGGCCTGACGCGCTAACCGTCGCGATTTGCTGCGCGACTACTCTGGCAATGTGAGCCGACAGCTTGTCCAGCGCACTCGGGTCACCGTTCATTGCGAAAACAAAGATCAGTCATAAGCATCAGAGGACATCAAAAAGTGGTTGTCAAAGTCAAAAATGCGTCTGGGGAGAAGTGGCGCGTGAGAGTGAACGGTGCAATCATCTGTACACCGACTCGGCGTCTTGGCATCCTGTCTGCAATGTGATCAACGACTTTTTCGTTGCAGCTGGTTGTCGAACGAAGCAACATCAGTGGCTGTAGACCATTGCAGTTGCTTGTTTGAACAATCGCATCATCATGGCGTAGCAAAGAGCCCCTCCGGGGTTGACTGCCGATCGGACATTCAAGTCAGTGGCTTGTTAAGGCTATGCCGCTAAAGCGGCTATGCGCGACTTCTAACTTAATGTCTTCTACGTGTGGATAAGACAGTCTATCTGCACAAAATCTACAACTCGAGTGCTGGAGTAGGACGGAAAATATGATCAATCTATCTTTCTTGAGTACCGAGATTATATGTTGACAATAGGAAAGATCAAAAAGTAAGTATGGTTTATCCGCTCAACTGCCAGATACATCTTCAAAATCGTTTTTGTGTTGGTCGCCGGGTGTCAAGACATCTAGCAGCTGGCGCCGGAGCCGCTGGGGATACCAGAGCACTTGCTGGACTTCTTGCCACCGGAGATCTTGTTGCCAGACCACTTCCAGTTCGAGCAAGCACCCGAAGCACAGAGAATGTAGGTGTTGGTACCAGAGCTAGTGACGCCAACGGTGTTACCAGTCATGGTGAGGCCAGTGATTGGGACACCGTTGGTGGGCTTGCCAGTGGGNGAGCCGTTCTCGTAATCCTGCTCGATAACAACACCGTACTTCGAGATGCCGGAGAGAACATTGCCAGAGTAGGTGACGCCAGAGACCTTACCAGTAGCACCGTAGACAGTCTTGATACGGAGACCGTTCTCAGAGTTGGTGACCTTGTTGTTCAGGAACTTGACGTTGGAGACAGTGTTGTCATCGCGACCACCGACAGAGCCGATGGAGAGACCGTGGCCGCCAGTGCAGGTAGAGCCTGAGACGGTGATATCGGAACCAGAGTTGACAGCGACACAGTCGTCCTGGTTGTGGATGTTTGCACCATCGATGGTGATACCAGAGGAGCTGCCAATATCGAAAGCATCGGTGTTGTGGCCCTTGTTCTCGCCATCACCAGCAGAGTTGTCGACGGTGACACCAGTGAGGGTAAGCTGCTTGGAGTTGTTGATAGAGAAGACCTGAACGGGCGAGTCCTTGATCTTGATGTTCTGGATCTTGGAGTTGGTCATCTTGTGGGCGTAGAAGAACTTGGGCTTCTTCTTGCCACCGTTGGTACCCTTACCGTCCCACCATCTGCTGCCCTGACCGTCAATGACAGAGCCAGAGGCACCGACAACGGTGATGTGGTCACCAGAAACGGAGACGAGAGGGCCGGTCCACTCCTTGTAGCCAAAAGTGGTGGTACCTTGGAAGGTAACGGTGGTACCAGAAGCCAGGTCGGTCAAGTCAAGGGTGGTGCCGGCGGGAACAACAGCGTCCTTGATGATGATGCTGGAGCAAGACTTCTTCTGCTTGAGAGCATTGGAGGCAGCAGAGGAGCCAGAGAAGGTACAGCTGCCACGCTCTTGGAGAGTGGGAGCAGCAAGAGCTGCACCACTGAGAAGAGCGGCAACAGCGAGGCCGGAGAATTGAACCATGGTTGCTTTTCGGAAAAGAGTGTTAAGGAAGTAAAGAGTGTGAAAACGAGACCGGCTCGAGAGTTGGAATGCGATGAGAAAGAGAGTGTAGGCGATGAGAGAGACGAATCGATTGTGGAAGGAAAGACAGCAGTATTTATACTTATGATTGTCCCTGCCCCTTTCTAGATTGTATGTCGCAAGGATACGATTTGCATCGATGCCGACTTCATACTTTGTGCGGCGTTCGCGATGTGCGCTGTGACTACGGATGTGTCACTGCACCACTCTGCGTACAAGCTGACATGAACATAGAGCTCATATCGCATCGGGAAGCACTTTACGATGATTACAGGAGTCAGTCGTGGCGGCATGAGGCTGGAAATGAGGTCGGTGGGCTCGGGAGAGGTTTCTGCAGGGACGCTTTGATCAGGGGGCTGTCAACGCCGCCCCACGACAACTTCTGACAAGCACCACGGCCATATCTGAAACAATGATCGGTCTGTCCATCCGGAAAACTTTAGAACTTACGAAGCCGTACGGATCTGGAAAGAATATCTTCCGACCTGCAGACAGCTGATAGAAGAAGAGGTTCGGCGTTTCTCGAACCAGCGGTCCTGCCCGCCCAGCGTTAGGGCATGGTAGCTGTAGTGTTTCAAGAGACGAAGCGAAATATCAGAATTGATGGAGAGAACATCAACTCGAACTGCCTATCGTATTCTGCAGCTCGACTACCCTCGCTACCACCGATCAAAGCCCTGGGTGTCCTGAAAACACTGTGGTGGATCTTGATCGCATTGCTCGTTCGCTCTGATGAGTATCGTTGTTGCGCTGGTGTTTCACAATGCCTACTACGATCAGATCCAGAAGCCGTTTTGCGCAGGATGCTTGAAAGTCTCCATACGACTCTGGATGCCTTTGCATATCGAGATGCAACAATGCACACTGAGCCCTAAGCCTTCTCGCAGGTCTCAGTGCCAAGCTGTTGCATCAGCTTAACTCAAATGATCCACGTGCTTCTACCACCAAGAGTACGGAACATCCTCGTACGGAGGTGCTGGAGAGGTGGAGATTATCACTTGGCGGTGGAGGGCAAGAAAGAGGGCAAAGAGTAACTGTGTTTTGAGATACAGATATGGCAAGATCAAGCACTCTTGTAAATTCGAAGACAAAGCTTACCACTATACCAGCATTCGAGATGCTGTAGGCAGATATACGAGTCAGACAGACTCTATAGATCACCACGAGTCGTCAGATCAAACTTCACACTTTCGACCCGCATCGCTCACGGCACATCTGTGGCGGCAGACGCCACACCGCCAATGTTCGCCATGACCGTCGAGCGCCATCAAGCCTCATCAAGCTCATCATCCGACGCACGACCCTTTACAACACGAGCAAGGATGTTTTGATAGTCTGATCATAAAGAATAGGACATGTAACCCTATTGCCACATCTGCCGAGCAATGGATTAACGATTATCTACTTCACACACCGTAACCGAACACAAACACTACCTCACAGAACCCTGATCGAAGAGGTGGCCTTGAAGTCTCTGCTGCTCAAGCCAACCGAAACCCCAATCTCGCCTCCTGCAATGACCCATTCTTGTTGGAACACGCTCCAGTAGCTGAGATCGCGTCTGGTGAGATCAAAGTTGACTACCGTACTCTGCCCTGGCTGGAGGCTAACCTTCTCGAACCCACGGAGCACGTAAAGTAGTGTAGGGTCCTCACCGGGGATCTGAGGAAGTGACAAATACAGCTGTGGAACAGTAGCTCCGGCGACATCACCTGTGTTTGACACAGTCACCTTGGCTTGGTAGAGGACGTCCCACAGAGTAGGGTTGCCGCCAGGGATGGTCTTGGCAGGGGGAGGAATGCTGCTGATATTGCCGCCACCGTACACGTTCTTGACGCTCAGGGCTGAGATGTCGAAAGTCGAATACGAAAGACCAAAGCCGAACTCGTACTGGACACTCTGGTTGTAGTAATCGAAGTGACGGTAGTCAATAAGCAGACCTTCCTTGAAGTCCGACTGCCAAGCATTGGGATCTCTAGTGGTTTGAAGAGCAGAGCTGTTGGTGATGTCGGCGAACGAGTAGTCATCCTGTGTTTGAGCAATGGTATAGGGCAGTCGACCACTCGGATTGACATCACCGTAGAGAATGTCAACTAATGAGTTGCCGGTCTCGGTACCTGGAAGATGTGCTGCCAAAATAGCAGTGACATTGGGGTTGTTAGCCCAAGGCATAACGTTCAGTCCACCAGAATGAGTGACGACAACGGTGTTGTTGCAGACACTGGCTACTGAGTTTACAACCGCAGTAGAGTTTCAATCTGCTAAAAGCGTGCTTCGATCAATGCCTTCTTGAGCCCAGGTCTTGAGGAAGACAAGGCAGACATCAGGTGGCGATGGCGCAAGGCTTGCAAGGCCAAGAGGTTGTGATAGCAGAGTGTTATTGAGGATCCACTGAATAAGACTACCATCTTGAGCACCTCGGGCTTTGATTGCCGTAAGTGGATCAACGAGGTAACTCATGCGGCCTGTGCCCAAACCACCTCCAACTGGAAGTGTACCATACTCNTACAACGGATATCAGTTGCCGTGTCGGTAGTTCAGTAGGTGTGACTTACCGAAGCCAAGTGGGTTCTGCTGGTATGGAGCAGCAGAGAAGTACTCGCCGTTCAGAATATCTCCGGCATCGTTGCCTAGCACTGCGATGTTCTTGGGAGCCCTCAATGGCAACGCACCGTTGACGTTCTTCAGCAGAACAGTACCAGCGGAACCAAGTTCTCTGATCAATGTAGCATGGTTTGCACGAACATCGACGTTCGCAACTGAACCGAGAGGNAACTGGACAGTCGAGGCGGCAGCACCGAAGAACCCACCGATTGAGCTACTTGGATCAATGGCAGGATAGTCAGTGTTCTGCTTGAGGTGGAAATATGGTGTCATGATACGCTTGATCATGTCATCGAGACGAGCCTCGGAGAGGGAACCATTGTTGACAGCGGTAGTGATGTTGCCGCCAAAGAAGCTGTTGCCTCCTGCAACGAAACCGATGGTACCAGGCATATCCATGTCGAGACCTGCGTTGATCGATGCCACTCCACTGTGGGTAGCCTGCAATGGTCAGCACACGATCTGTATCGCACATGAGGCAGACTCACTCCCNCAATCGCTCATAACATAACCTTGGAAACCAAACTCTTCTTTGAGAATGCCGTTCAATGTCTTCGAGTTTGCACAGCCGTAAGAGCCATTGATCCTGTTGTAGGAACACATAACAGAAGCTACGCCGCTGCGAATCGCGTTTTGGAACGGCCACGAGTACAACTCGTGCATGGTACGGTCATCGATATTTGAAGAGACTGCTTGGATGGTTGTTCCATTACGAGTGGAAGGGTTGCGTTGAGTTTCCTGTTCGTTTCCAATGTANATCTGTGAGAGGTCAGTATCCTAGCTCTAGAATAGATATGGTATGGACTTACGCTTGACACAAGCTTGCAATCCTGTAGATTGCATGCCCCAAATTGTCTGCTCGACGGCGACGCCGCTGAGGTAGGGGTCAGGTGAGAAGCCNTATGGCGTGGTCAGTTTAGTTACATCGAATTGACTCGAGTATGGCCTACCTTCCCAATTACGTCCACCGCGGCCGTTGCGACCTNNATTCTGGTTGTCAGTATTTCAGCTCCTTTATCAAGATAGGGTTGGCTCACCCAAAGGCCCGACGACAGGTCCAAGCGCAACATTAGCACCCTTGCCTCTGAACTCTTGAGCCATGTACAATCCTCTGGTGTAAATGAGCCCTTTGTCCCACGAGGCTGCAGCTGTCAATCCGGCAGGGAAAACCGAAGCATAAGTCGCCTGTCTAATGGCCAAGGGACCATCCTGCAAGCAGAGCCCNTGTATGAACAGTCAGGACGAGTGTGTCGAGGGAATGTGGTTGGAATATCTGGGCTCACCGTCGAAACCCAGACGCTCGATAGGGGCGATATTGCCGACACAAGGTCCAGCAGAGCCNTAGAGAAGGACTTGTAAGCTGAAATTACGATACCCAAACTGGTATTCCTTACCTGTTACCAGTCCAGCCTTCTCTGCCAAGGTCAAGTTGGCCAGGAAGGCTTCTGCTTGAGCCAAGGCAGCCTCCCAACCGATGCCCGCAGTCTCCGCTGTAATCTCGTCAGTACATGTTGCCAGTTGATAATCGTAGATAGCTTTGCAATTGCCCCAGAGCCAACTGGTGCAAAGCTCCATTGGAAGGCAAGCTTACGGNCTGGGATATACTGGTGGACTGGAGGTGAATAGGCTGTGATCCCAACTGCTGTTCTGTGCACCAGCAAGGCCAATGGCCGCCAGAGCCACGGCAATTGTGTTCAATGAATGATGCATTTTGTAGTACAAGAAGCTGAAGCTGGAGCTGACTTGCTTCTCATCAAGGTACTTCACGACCTACCTTTATAGAATCGCAAACTCGGGGCATCTCTCTCCACAGTCCCGCTACAAGAGGGGTCTGGCAATGCATGGTTGAAATCTACTCACCGAGAGAGACTCCATACCATTGCAAGACGCCCCATGATGTAACCTTAGAGGCTTGAAGGAGTTCTCAAAAGAAAAAGTATATTGACTCGTGATATATCGAGGTTGATCTCCTCATCTTGGCACTGGAGGGAATGAGGGGAAGGCTGGGGAAGGTCAAAAAAGGCCGGCTAGAGATCATCCCGGCGGTACTTAGCCTGTGTACTATCCCACGACTCGAGAAACCTGATTCAGTGGTGACCAAGAAGAACGGCAGTTGTCATGAAGGTGTGCTGTATGGTGTGAAGAGGCTGCCATGGACGGGTCGAAGTGGGATGAAGCTGGACAGTTTTGAGCCGAGGAAGCCGAGAGACAGAAGCTTAGCTCTCCTCAAGCATCTTGACCAAACGGGTCTTCAAGACTGAAGAGAAGATGGGACGATAGACTCAAAGCCAGTCGGAATCAGAATTTTAATCCATCCTCGAGCTAGTATCATGGATCTTGTGTTGCAATACAATGTAATGCTTCCACAGCGAAGCCCAATATCGATGGCATCGGCGCTGGCATCAGACCTGAAGCCAACAGCAGAGATCGTTGCAAACATCTGACCTAAGATTCTTCCCAAAACAGGCAATCATGATTCTATCATGCGCAAAGAATCGGGATGTTCACCATCAAATGATGGGAATTCAGCACATACGAGTCTGTTCAGCTTGAGACTCTCTTCACCACTGAGGAGCTCGATGAGATTTGCTGACCGGCGACCATCATTGTTGTTTGTGGTTTTGGTGCGAGATGCAAGTTGACTCGACCGCTTCAAAACGCCAAAACATCCAAAGTCTTGGCATGCCCGAAATTTCCTGCGACCTTGATGAACGCTGGCATTCGTTGGCATTGAAACCAATTCATCACCTTTGACACCTACAATATGGAGACTTTGCCTGGAGTTGCTCCGCCGGAGCAGCAAAACACATATTTTTACATCGGACAGCATGAGACGAAGAGGACTGTGCCTGTGACGACCGAATTGGGAAACCAGGCGCAAGATGCTGGCGTGAGTACATAACTCTTCTTTCCGAGTATCTGGAGGCAGTTTGTGATTTAAATCTTGTTTTTTTGGTAGCATTGTTTTGCTGTCAACAAGATTCTATGCGATAGACTGCTCTCAGCCTCTCGAGTCCTTCCAAGACACGAATCAATGGAGAGCATGGCTGATCACCATTATAGTNATGATATGATGACAAGACCCATCACGTCTCCTGGATTCCAAGCACGAATTCTGGCATTGGTGGATGCTTACTTTGAGGCCGTCTCAGCATCGTCGAATGCAAATGCCGTTCCTTGTCCTCTTGTTGCACCCTTGACTCCCGAGGACACAAACCTGGTACCTGACGAATACATCTCTACTATGATCTGCTGTACAAGTGCCTGGATTGATCTTGCTTCTCCGGACCCGGTGATCGCCCACGTTTCTCGTCAGGTCTTCAACCATGAAGTTGCCTATGCTGCTTTCTGCGGTGTCAACAACATCATGATTCAGGGACCCAACCTCGAGACTTCTTCAGTCATCACTCAATACGCTAGAGCCATCTGGCATTCGCTTGAGGTCGGACCGTATATCAACTTGCAAATCTTGCTTCCTATGCAACCTACCGAGAGCAAGGCAGCTGAGGACGGACTGAGTCTTGCTGGTCGTGCAAGAGACTCATTCAAGACTCTCAAATCAATTGCCACTGACTCACTCTGGTCGTGGGATACCTGGGACTTGATCAGATCGACCTGCAAGTACCACCCTAGACTGAGTGTCGCTCTTGAGATTCCTCAAAAGCTGCCTTCTTCGGCCATCCAATCGCGCTGGTTCTCCGAGCCTCTCCGTACCTTGATGATCCCTGAATCGACCTTTGTGCACAACGCAAAGGGCTTCNCTGTCTTGAACAAGCCCATCCAGGCTCTGCTTACACGCTACATGCGTCTCAAAACCGTCCCATGGATCGTTCTCAGCGACGTCGGTCCCATCCCCGGTCAAGATCACCCCGGCATGCCCGTCAACCTGCCCGACAGATCAGCTTCCCCCGATCTCCCTACTCCTGCTCAATCCAAGCGCAAGCAGCAAGCCCAAAAGCCCAAGGATCTTACTCCCTACCTGAGCTACATGCGTCATCTCCAGCGTACTCAACCTCCTCGCCCGATCATCGACCGCTTCGCCGCCGGATACCAGGATTTCTTGCAATCGCCTCTGCAGCCGCTGACCGACAACCTCGAATCCATTACCTACGAAGTGTTTGAAAAAGACCCTATCAAGTATGAATGGTATGAGCGCGCTGTCGCCGCCGCCCTCAAAGATCTGCACAAGAAACTGCAGCGTCCCATCATTGTCGCCGTCGTTGGAGCCGGCCGTGGTCCCCTGGTAACCCGCTGTCTCAAAGCCTCTGCCAGCACCGGTATCCCCGTCAAGCAATGGGCAGTAGAAAAGAACCCCAACGCATATGTATTGCTTCAACGCCGCAACACCACCGACNCCCTCTGGAACAAGCGCGTAACCGTCGTAAAAACCGACATGCGCGCCTGGAAAGGCCCCCTCATCGACTCCCTACCCCAAAAAGTAGACATCCTGGTCTCAGAACTTCTCGGCAGCTTCGCAGACAACGAACTGAGTCCTGAATGTCTTGATGGTGTTCAACATGTTTTGGACCCTGAGCATGGAGTCAGTGTACCTACTTCATACACCGCACACTTTACACCCATCGCCCACCCCAAGATTTACGCAGATCTGTTGGGGAGAAGTGGTGAAGATGGGCAAAAGTGGGAGTTGCCGTATGTAACCATGTTACACCAATACGATGACCTATGCCTTCTTCCCAACTCCTCAACACCAGATATCCAAACCGCCTGGGAGTTCACTCACCCTTTGCCTGAATCCATCATTGCGCAGTCCAATCTTCGCAGAGGAGGCAGTGTGCAAGCAGGAGGTAGCGGTATGGTCGGTGGCGATGGTTGGAACGAACACAATGCGCGATTCTGCCGTTTGAGGTTTACAGCCTCTTCTCGTGGTGTATGTCATGGTCTGGGAGGCTACTTTGAGACTGTGTTGTATACACCTGCAGACAGTGCCAAGAAACCTATTGAGTTGAGCATCAACCCTAATACCATGGAGGAAAAGAGCAAAGATATGATTTCTTGGTTCCCGATTTTCTTCCCTTTGAAGGTATGTCCCTTACTACCCATTCTTGTCTCTTTTTTTTTTTTTTTTTTTCTTTTTGCAAGGCTGTATACTGACGATACAAAACAGACACCCCTTACCATCCCCAGCGCCTCTGAAATCGAAGTCTCCATGTGGCGTCAAACGGACGACAGAAAGGTTTGGTACGAATGGCAGGTCGAAGTGTTTGCTTCGCTTAATGGAGTGCGTCAACGCGTTGCCGCTAGCGACTTGCACTCGTCGATTAAGAATGGGTGTTTGATGTGAATAGGCTGCCTGAGATATTGCTGGGAAGGTGGCATGGTAGAAAAGCATAGTGGAGTGTTGGGTTGGGTAGGTGAAGAAGTTAGGGATATGAGCATAGAAGTATAGGAGTTGCATGGAGTTCATTGTTCTGTTTCTGTTTCTATTTGCGTGCCAGGGTTTTTTTTCTCTCCGTTGCAATATTTGTCTTGCTGAGGCGCTTGAGTCGAACAAGGTGCCAAAAGACACCCGTGGCATGTTCTCGAGCACTTTGCCAATGTGCTAGCACGGATACGGTCACTGATCACATTGAGATCGAAAGCAGAGAGGGAAAACGGAAAACGAACTTGCGACAGTGCGTGGTCACCTGGACTTTTACCATAGGTGTACCCCCATGAAACATGCTGGCAGCTTTCAGTAGATGTCCGACAGAGATTCTGAGAGACCCATCATAGCCATGCACCAGAAAGATGCATTTGGTCCACTGCACACTCTAGAAAGTCCGGTGTCACGTTTGATGTGAGAGCACGAAAAAGAGCGGCAAGACTTGGAGAAATATTTTCGCTGGGTAATTACAACAGAAAGAAGGTTATGATATACTACAAGAGCGCGATTTCTTTTTCTCTTCTCTTCAAGACTCTCGGACTCTGGTGGAGGTTCGTCAAAATGGTGAAATTGTTGATACAAGTATATGCGTCGCGTATGTGATTTTGAGTGTGTGTGGTTCGTCGATGGGAAGGGAGGGGGTATCATGTAATTTACTCGTTGATCTTGGCCAAAAGCCTATTGTCATCAATTAGCCATCTGCACCTTCCCTCAAGTTGCTCTCAGAAACTCACTCGTGATCGCGGAAGAGCGAGTACTCGTCCTCGCCGACCTTGATGGGCGAGCCGCCAAACTGGGGGATCAAGACCTTGTCGCCGGGCTGGACGGAGGGGGCAATGCGCTTGCCATCGCGGTCAAAGGCGCCGGGGCCAACGGCGAGGACCTTGGCCTCGTTGAGCTCCTTGACGGCGGACTCGGGGAGGAAGATGCCGCCGGCGGTCTTGGTTTCGGCCTTGATGCGCTGAACCAGGACGCGGTCGAGCAGGGGAGCGAGGGCCTTGATGGACTTGGCGGCGATGGTGGACTGGGGGTTGTGTTAGTTGGGTGCGTTGCGCATGGCTGCGGGCTGGGTTGGTGATGGGCGTACCATTTTGACGGTAGAGGTATGCGACAAAAAGGTGCTGACAAGGGGAGAGATGGAGTGTAGTATAAAGAGTGGTTGATGTGTTGCTGTCGGTGGAAAATTCCAGAAGCGACAGCGTTGTCGACCTCGGCCGCCGCTCAAGGGTCAAAGCTCCTGTATCCAGATTCCACATGTCTTCCGCGCTTCCGTTCTTTCTTTGAGACCCATCAATACATGGCTGAAGACGCTGTAGGAAAACAGACAAGTCTGCGATGTGTTGCTTCAACAGGCGACACATATCGCTGCACCGTCGACGAGGCGCATCCCGGCTGGGCTGATCAAGTTCACGGCCTTGCGACACGCGCCGACAAGAACGAGAGCAATTGCTTTCGTCACGCTCTTCTGTCGTCGGATGGCACCGCTGTAGTCACGTATAACGAGGATCTCATCCTGAGGACTTTTGCAGTGTAAGGATACATCTAGTGAACTTTCCTTTCTTCTTTTCAACCCTCCTTCATTTTCATGCCTCTGTCTAGCTAACCGACACAAGTCNCATTGGCTCACTCGGACGGGAAGCCTGCTGAGTTATCGCCCTACTGTTCCGCCCCATCGCCGTCAAAACTCACCTCGCTCACCCTCCACCCTGCCTTCGATGTTACCAACCCTGCAACCACTCTGCTCGCAATCTCTCAACCAGACTTACCCATACGTCTGACCAACGCTCTCGATCTCGCATACGTCCACGCATCCTACACATGGCAAAACTCCCTCACCGAAGCATACATCTCCCCTTCGTCCCTCCTCTTTGTCGACAACAACCGCTTTGTCGCTGGCGCAAAAGATACTCTCGCAGTCTTCGACATCCATAATCAAGATGGTCCTGTGTACGAATGTCCGACGAGAAAAGGCCGCAAGGCAAGGAAGCTCTATGGAGCCGATACTGCTGGCATTGGAGGTATTGTGTCTTGTTTGGCCTTGTCCACCGACAACATACTAGCTGCTGGCACATACAATCGCCAAGTAGGCCTCTTTGAGAATGCCGGTCAAGGAGAGTCCATGGCCGCCTTCGACTTGAGTTATAATGACGCCGACGATAAGTTGCTCAAAGGCAATGGTGTCAGCCAACTTGCTTGGAGTTCGTGTGGGAACTACCTCTTCGTCGCCGAGCGTCAGAGTGACGCTCTGCTTGTTTATGATATCAGACACACCGGACAGCGTCTGAGCTATCTCTCTGGCCGCCAAGCTCTTACTACGCTCAAGCTTTCATTCGACTTTGCAACCGATGTAGATGGCAAAACCAATATCTGGGCCGGTGGTACAGATGGCAAGGTCAGAGTCTGGCGAGACGTCACAACTAGAGAAGGTCGCATAGAACCAGGTCTCGCACTTCACGCAAGCCATGGTAAGCATATCTTTCGCTGACCAACTCTTAGCTGTACTGATGGCCAACACANNGCTGCCGTGAGCAACACCATACTCAGTCGACGTGAATCCATGCTCATAACCACATCTGGTCAACGTCGCAGTCCTAGCGATCTAGTGGGCTTGGAGGATTCCGGTTCAGAGTACAATTCTGATTCTTCAGGGAGCAGTTCAGACGAAGACGAATCTGAGTCAGACGATGAGCAACACGAACCAGGCGGGCATCAGGAAGCTCAAGGTGAGACGCCGGCCTCGGGCATAGCTTCCAGTGTGGCTGTAGAGAATCCTTGGCGAGGACCCGCTTTTGACAATGTCCTCTCTTTTTGGAAGATCTCCTGAAGGAGATAGTCCCAAACTCTTTGTAGACCCTCAGGAACAATTGACGAGTGTATGAAACGAACGGAGAAGCAAGCATCTGTGTTTTGAGAGGCCATGAATGAACATCCAAGATACAGTTCGGGGACCGGCAAACGCATGCCGATACCTTGATGTCGTGAACCTCTGAGGAGAAGGTTTGGCTTACAAATGGGAGCTCCTCCGCATCCAAACGGCATCTAGACCCAAAAGCCATCCTCGACAATCAAAGTCTCAACTTTTAGGCAAGTCCATGCGGAATCACTCCACAATGGAGCAACACGTGTGGTGTGCAAAAGCTCTGCTAGATGACTGCAAGATAACAAGCGCTGCAGAGATACGAGTTTCCAGCAATTGGGGCATGCACATGGCAACGAGATGGCTAACGTGAGTATTATGCCAAGATGTGTTGATAATCGGTCCTGCGGAATCTCACCGCAGAGGGTCTCTTCAAGATGCGGAGCTGGAGCAAGAGCTGTGAGGATCAGCCTTCAGGAGGGGTGTGGTGGAAAGCCTCATAAGGGACGAATCAAAAAGGTATTCCGAGGCTCTGATTGACCACTTAAATGGAAGTATTAACGAGCTTTCGTGATGATATCTGCCAGCTCTGCACTCGGGGGCAACTCACCCGAGCAGTTTCGACGCACTGACTCTGTCTGTTTTGTCGAGGCAATGCTTCGCGAGAGGATATCATGTTGTTTGTTCTGTCCTCAGGAAGGCACAACAATGGCTCAAGGAGTAACGGATGTCGACCGATCGTTGCATAAGATACAAATGCTGTGGCTGAATCAAGTCTTCCTTCGTTCTTGCTCTGGCATGGTTCACGGAAGACTGTTCCTTCCCGGGAACTCCAAGAAGAGGACAGCGCGCGGGGTAGCTGCCGCCTCTTGCCCCGCCTAAGCAAACACACTCCGCGAGTCCGAGGTCTTGCGGTCGCCTATCATCTCCATTTTCTGTCCCAATGAGGCATGGCTGGCTCGAGGACGAGTGGAGATTGGTTCGGTGGACCCAGAATGTGTGAAGTTTCGAGAGGTGAACACGTTGAGTACAAATACCTTGATCAATCCGTCCCTCTCCTGATCAACTGTTCCTCTCTTCTCTTGTTTTCTGTGTTTTGAGATACCCCCATATATATCCCACAATCATGACTTCAACCCAACTTGAGACCCCGTCCACGGGCAAGTACGAGCAGCCCACCGGTCTGTTCATCAACAACGAGTTCGTCAAGGGTGTTGACGGCAAGACTTTCGAGGTCATCAACCCCTCCAACGAGAAGGTTATCTGCTCGGTTCACGAGGCCAGCGAGAAGGATGTCGACATTGCTGTTGCAGCTGCCCGCAAGGCCTTCGAGGGTGACTGGCGCAAGGCCACTCCTTGTGACCGTGGCAAGCTCCTGAACAAGCTCGCCGATCTGTTCGATGAGCACTCGGACCAGCTCGCCGCTATCGAGTCTCTCGACAACGGCAAGGCTTTCACAATGGCCAAGGGTGATGTTGCTGCCGCTTCTGGCTGCTTGAGATACTACGGTGGCTGGGCAGACAAGATCGAGGGTAAGGTTGTCGACACCAACCCTGACACTTTCAACTACATCAGAAAGGAGCNNCCGTAAGTTATTTCCTAACCACAGTCGAAGGCTAGAGGCTGACAATGCTACTAGATTGGTGTCTGTGGTCAAATCATTCCCTGGAACTTCCCCCTTCTCATGTGGGCATGGAAGATCGGTCCCGCCATTGCTTGCGGTAACACCGTCGTTCTCAAGACCGCCGAACAGACTCCTCTCTCCGGTCTCTACGCCGCCAACCTGTGCAAGCAAGCTGGCTTCCCTCCCGGTATCGTCAACGTCATTTCTGGTTTCGGAAAGATTGCTGGTGCCGCCATTGCCTCGCACATGGACGTTGACAAGGTTGCCTTCACCGGCTCCACCCTCGTCGGAAGACAAATCATGAAGGCCGCTGCTGGCAGCAACCTGAAGAAGGTCACCCTCGAGCTCGGCGGCAAGTCTCCCAACATTGTCTTTGACGACGCCGACATTGACAACGCCATCTCATGGGTCAACTTTGGTATCTTCTTCAACCACGGCCAGTGCTGTTGTGCTGGTTCAAGAGTCTACGTACAAGAGGGCATCTACGACAAGTTCGTTCAGCGCTTCAAGGAGCGTGCTCAGAAGAACGTTGTCGGTGACCCCTTCGCTGCCGACACTTTCCAGGGTCCTCAGGTCTCGCAGCTCCAGTTCGACAGAATCATGGNNGGTATGTATCTTGATTCATCTTGACCAGTCTAGGACAATACGCTGACACTCACTAGTTACATTGAGGCCGGTCAAAAGGAGGGTGCTACCGTCGTCACCGGCGGCAAGCGCAAGGGTAACGAGGGCTACTTCATCGAGCCCACCATCTTCGCCGACGTCAAGGACGACATGAGCATCATGCAAGAAGAGATCTTCGGTCCCGTGTGCTCGATTGCCAAGTTCAAGAACAAGGAAGACGCCATCCGTGTCGGCAACAACACAACCTACGGTCTTGCCGCTGCCGTCCACACATCCAACCTCAACACTGCCATCGAGGTCTCTAACGCCCTCAAGGCTGGTACTGTCTGGGTCAACAGCTACAACACTCTTCACTGGCAGCTTCCCTTCGGTGGCTTCAAGGCTTCGGTATGTGTAGCTTTTTACTCTTTTCTTATGACATGTATGCTGACTGTTTTCCTTAGGNGTATCGGTCGTGAGCTTGGTGAGGCTGCTCTGGACAACTACCTCCAGACCAAGACCGTCAGCATCAGACTCGGCGATGCCATGTTCGGTTAAACGAATTGCTTTGATGATGGTGTGATTCTTCTAATGACTATGGGCTGCTTCTGGCTATCTTACGATTCAACTGTATCTATCTATTCTGAACCTCTTTTTTTCTTCTTGACTCGACATGATTGAATGTGTCTTCAGTGATGTAGTCGTTCAGCTTGGGGCGCTTGCCGTGGTGGTTGATTGTCATGTTGTGATTGCACAAATGCTCATGTCAAGAACCATATGATCTACGAGTAGTGAATAAGATCTCTCGCTCTCGAGTCGTGTCTTCTGTAGCTTTGTTCTTGTCCTACAAGTTGTGGTACTCCCTCAGATCAAGTAAACCCGTGTCAGGGGTGAGCGACCTTGCTTCAAAGCTTCCTCTTTTCGCACTTCTCTCATCATTGATATAATCCCGCTCAATCTACATGCCGGTCTTCAGCACTGTTTGTGATACTACATCTGACATTTCGATAACGTGCCTGATTAGCTTGATCACCTTTTCTGGTGCAGAAAATCGAATGCCCCACTCGCCGAGATGTTCGTTCAGAATGACGTCGGTTGGAGGACAGCTCAGCATCGATTTGGATGCGCGCCCTGTGGATGATTTTATGTATAGTGACGCTCGATGTGTAGAAGGAGCAAGGTGACGCTGAACGTGACGCTGTTGATGACAAACAACAATACGAGGAGAGAACCATAGACATAAAAGCACAACGTCCATCTCCAGCACCACAAGTCCCAAATCACAACTATCCCAAAACAACAACACCCATCATCAAATCATGGCAACACGTACATTCGACTCCTCCCGCTGGACTTCAAAACGCCAACTACTATCCGGAAAACCCTCCACACCGACCGAAGTCTCCATCCACTACATCTCCTGCTCTCCCTCTACCAAACAACCCAAAGCAACCATCCTCCTCATCCACGGCTTCNCTCAAACCTCTTATCAATTCCGTCATGTCATTACCCCTCTAGCAGAAGCCGGATACCTCGTAATCGCACCCGATTACCGCGGCGCAGGAGAAAGTTCGCGTCCCAGAGATGGCTATGATAAACTCACCATGGCGAAAGACCTGCATACTCTAGTTACCCAGCACATTGGCATCAAGGACAAAATCCATGTGGTGGGTCATGATATAGGCGGAATGATTGCCCACGCCTACGCAACCCAATTCCCTGCTTCCACAGCTTCTGTTTCTTGGGGAGAATGTCCACTACCAGGAACTTCGTTGTATACATCCTACGTTGCCGAAAACACACATGGCGGGCTCTGGCATTTTGTCTTTCACCAACAACTCGATGTCCCTGAATTGCTCACTCAAGGACACGAACGCCAATACCTGAAATCCTTTTACGATCGCCTGACGCAACATCCGTCTGCAATCTCTACCCTCGATGTAGACATCTACGCAAACCAATTCTCACAACCAGGGGCTATGAGAGCGGGTTTTGATCTCTATCGCGGCTTTCACCAAGACTACGAAGACAATGCAAAGATGATTCAGGTAAAGGGAAAGAGTAAAGTGCCTTGTTGTGCATTATGGGGAGAACTGAGTTTTATGATTGAGATTGCGGAAAAGCAAGCAAAAGAAATGTATAACGATGTGACATTAGCGAAGGTCAAGGGGACGGGCCATTGGTGCGCAGAAGAGAATCCAGCGAGTTTTGTAGACGAGGTTTTGGGGTTTGTCGGCAAGCATTAAAGGTATATTGATGGAATGGGAAGGGGTATGCGTTGACATGGTGTAAAGCACTGCAGTATCGTATTCGAGGAAAATGGAGGCTCGTCGAAAGCAGAATTGGCAAAGACAAACCAGACTTCAAGGCCAAACCGCTAGACTTCCGAGCATCTCGGGTGTATATAAAAAGTAGGTACTCATTACAACCCACAATTCTTTTGCAAATCTTTTTCTACCCTTCAACTCTGTCTCCCTGTCCGAAACATTGACTTTATCCTCGACTCGATACCCATCACTCATACATACACCAACAATATCCATTGCCTCTCTCTGCAGTACCTCACACTCACAAGCCGCCATATCAGGGATCTCTATACCTTAAACTCACGCTCCGGGACCTGAGTCGATTCCTTCGTGTTCGCGAGAGTGGCGTGGAAGAAGCATGGCCCTCGTTGTCGGTCCAGGTGATGGTGGGAGGTGAGAGGGGTATAGATGTGCTTTGTTGTGCTCTACTCTACAAAGCTAGAGAAAGAACCAAATGTAAAAGGAACGATGTGGCTTTCACAGAGCTTGGTTTTTGATAGATCGAAACCTCGGATTAGATTTGACAAAAGTTACAGGCACTCAAAATTGACATGGAGGTTTTATTGTGCTTGTCTTCTCTCAAAAGGCATCACATTCAGCCCACCAGAATCAGTATGAAGAACAAAAGATCCTGGGTATCACATTTCGTCTTTGTCTAACCTAGCCCAAAACCCCAAACACAAGAAACACCATAAAATGCTCAACGCCTATTTCGCCTTGACAAACCCCCCTATCAAATGCATTCACTCTTCCTCATCCCTAAACCTCATCATACCCTTATTGATCTCGGTAGCAATCTCTTGGGCCTCCTCCCTCGTCGACGCCTCAAAGTCATAGCGTTTGGTTTCCTTCTCGCGATACACGAGCACACGCACGACTTTTGGGTGTTTTCTGCTGACTTTGCAGCCGACGACGCTGCTGAGGTGAACGCTTGTTGTTTTGCCACCGGGAGGCGCCATTGCAGGGTCTGCGTTGGCATTGAGAGGATCTGTAGATGAGGCAGGCATGACATGCATGAACTCTGCATCGAGCGCGAGAATTCTCGGGTGTGAGGGTGCAAAGGAAAGAGGTTGTCGGCGGATGACGAGATAGCGTTTTCCTGCTCCGCCGGCAAGACCCCAGAGTGCGGTGGCATTGATGTCGTTCGTTGATTTCGCGCTTTGTAGACCCATGAAGGGTTTCCGTGTTTTGGGCTTGGAGTTTGTGGCGGTTTCGAGAAGGAGAGGGGCATTGGGGCTTTCGCTGCCTGGGCTGCCTACTGCACTTACCATACCACGGCCATCACCAACACCGACAAAGCGACGTCGTACCAGATCGAGTGCTAATCTTTGACCCAATGCCTCTACTGTACGATCTTCTGGTGCAACGGTTTGTGTGCCGCGAACCTTGAGAACATATAACGCTTTGTCGATGTTAAGCCTCTGACAGGCTGTCGTGAACAGCTCAGCCAGATACGTATCAGATGTAGTTGGTATAGGTAACAGAGTCGTCTGGAAAGAATGAGGATCTGTGTAGTGTATAGTGACCGTCTTGGAAGAGCCAGTCCTGGGCGTAGAACGGGGAGCGGGTGCAGCTGGCGCGTCCATCAAAGGGATAGTTGAGTTCTTCCTAGCCATAGGGGCGAAGGAGGGTGTGATGGGGTTGACGTTGGGGATATAAGTTGGTGCAGTAGGTGGTGCCAGGGTTGAAGGTGCGTCAGACAAAGTCCTCTGCATGTTGGCAGGCTGTGGTGTCGCCGTACGAGACGTGTCTGGTACAGGTGTACTAGAAGGGGCCAGGCCAGATGGTTCGCTAAATTGCGGGGTGAGCTCTTCGTTCTCCCTGTATTGCTCTTCAGTCGCTCTCACGAGACCAAACTCATCCCAAGGCTTGTCTCTTGCCCTAGCTCGAGGCGGCCGGTTGTTGTTCGAAGTAAAATCTCCGAGAGGTTTCGTTCGAGTCAGGGCTGGGAAGTCGTAATCTACTTCTTCGTCTTCAACCATGCGTAACGTCCATCGGTTCACATTCAAGTCATTGCCCTCCAGTGGCGGTTCGATCTTTTCCTCAGCATATCGCCACAGACTGAGCCCTATGAGCTCAGCAACAATAGTTGGAACACCTTCTTTCGCGTTTTTGCGGATAGGCACTTGGATAGGCGAGGAAGCCTTCTTGGAAAAAGGAGCATATATCTTGATCCACAGAGGGGTCGATTCGCCTTTGCCAGACAGTTGGGCAAATTGCTGGAGGGGATCGCCAGCCTTTTGTGACGTATGTTTCAAAGCCTTTGACAAGAGACTGACGGGCTGTACGTAGCTGATGGGACGGCCTGCAGGAAGTCTTGGTAGATCTGGAGGAGGAGCCATCTGTTTCATACGTTTGGGTGAGGTCGAGGTATGAGGAGTAATGGCAGGCGGCATGCTGGGCACGTTTCCTGGAGTGGATTCGAGAGTGTCGACGGTGATCAAAGGAGCACCCATGCCCAGCAGAGACTCTGAACCGGCAGTTCCAGCAAAGTCGTCGGAGATGTCGCTCGCCTCGCCAAGATCAATGTCAGACTCGACGTCTTCTCCCTCTTCCTGGATGCGGTCTTGGATCATCTGGCCATGCTTAACGGCACGGTGCTGGACCCTCTGTTTGCGGAACGTGACTGGATCTGTCTCGTTCTCGGATGAGAACTCGCTGCTAGTAGCGGTATCTCTCCTTGGGCGCTGCTTGATGAAGGAAACCGAGGGGAGAGAGGCGCGTCTTGCGGTCTCCTGGCCAGTCAATTTGGAAGGAGAAAGGTTGGGTATAGGAACATCTTCTCCATCTATTGTGTTGTGTGTTGGAGACGAGCCAGCTCTGAGGCGGACGGGCATCTTACTGAACTTGATCTGGGAGATGGCGCTCTTGTCGTCGTCATCGTCGCTGTCGTCGCTCAGGTCGCTGCTATCATCTTCCTCCAACTGCTCTTTCCGTCGACGCCTCTTGTTGTGGTTGTTTACAGCAATGGTATCTTGACTGCCTTGGCCGGTGACCATTCCTCCTTCTTCGTCATCATCTTGCAAGGCGTAGGCGGGTTTAACAGAGCGCTGTGGAGCTTGGAAGTATTCGGAAGCGATGGCGGTAGGGATGGGAGGAGAGTATGTGCGCTTGATGTCCTGAGGGTTCGGTTGCCAGCCAGCAGCACGGAAGGCAGGGTTGTTCAAGACATTGGTGTTGAGGGTGATGAGACGCTCGCCGACGCCGTCTTTGATGTGGTGGAGGTAGCCTGCGCGCAGCTGGTAGATGGTGAAGTCTTGGTTGTTAAGGAGCGACATGGGGAAGGAGAGTGGGCCAGTCCTGCTGGCTCCTAGTGCATCGTGTCGGCCCTGCCTCCTGAGAGAGTGAAAGAAAGAGGTTGACCGAGGGTCTGTTTGTGTCTGGACCTGCTGCTTGTTGCTGTCAATCTGAACCTACCCCAGCCTCGGCCCGCCAAAGTCGCTCGTCTTGGCGCTATTGATCGTGTGCTATTTTGAGAAATACTCTGACACGATCGATTATCAAGAAATCGAGTTCAAGACTAGAACAACTTAAGGCATGAGCTACGAGATGCTCTTTGTGACGATTGTTTTGTACATTCCCATATCCAGAAAGAGCGACATCGTTGTGGTCAACGGAGTTAACAGGCTGATACTCCGGCTTGGCTTCAATCGCTGAGCTCGGACCTCACTTTCATCATCTTTCGCGGACATACCGACTTTCAATCAAGACATACCGATCATCGATACAAATTTGTCATCTGTTCAATATGGCTCTTGTAGGCTATTCAGATAGCGAAGGCTCTGGCTCAGAAACACCCAACGTCGCCCCTGTACCCGCCACCGCGAAGTCCGCAGCAAAGAAAGGAAACTTCCAAAAACTAGTCGATCCATCGGCGCCACGCAAGATCAAGGTCGACCTTCCGACGATACAGCCAGATATCGAAGCAGACGCTCCACCAGCAAAGAAGGCTCGTACCGCTGGAAAATTCGGCGGCTTCAACTCCTTCCTGCCCGCTCCCAAACGCACCGCCGACGCCAAANAAGGTCTAGGATCTGGTGTAAATCTGAAGACTGGCGCCGAGCCTGCCTTCAGCAGAGAAAGAGTGGATCCCGACCCCTCGGCTTTTGCGCCCGCCAGCACGAGTGTGGACACCAAGGACGATGCAGACACATCATTACCAGCACCCTTCCAGGATGAAACGCCGAAAGAGGTCAAACCAGTGGGCAACGCTATGAAGTTCAAGCCTCTGTCTGTCGCCAGAAAGAAGGCTCCCAAGAAGAAGATCATGCCCAATACTATTCCCGCTGTCCCATCACCCGTCGCCCAAGCTACCACAGAGCCGCTCGAAGCGCCCGCTCCGAAGCCAAAAGTTTCCCTGTTCTCAGTCGCCCAGGACGACAACACAACTCTATCGAACGCCCCTGTGGCAGACTACCAACCCTTACTCGCCGAGCCAGAAGTGCCAGCTACCGAGACATTCGACTCGACAATGGCCGCCGCGCCCGTACACTCAGACCCCAACTCGCTTACTGCCATTGCCGACGATCTAGGCTTATCAGCTGGAGAGCGTAGAAGATTGTTTGGTCGCAACAAAGATGCTGCTGCGTTTGCCAGTGTCACACATCTCAACATGGAGGAAGAGTACAACAATAACGAGCAACTCCGTGTCCAAGGCCAAGCTGTTGAACACAGAGCCGTCAAAGCTGTTGCCNCCGGAAAACACAGCTTGCAACAACTTGTCAACTCTGCTGCCACCCAAAAAGAGGCTTTGGAAGATGCTTGGGCTCAAGGCCGTAGGAATAAGGCCGAGGCTGGTAGCCATTACGGCTTTTAATCATATCATGACTTGACGATAATTAATGAGCATTCTATTCTCGAGTCCTGAACTTTCCAGCTTGCTTGTCTTGCCGGCGTGTCAAGGTGTGCTTGAGACTGGCTGTGCTCGCACCTGCTTCTTCCTAGAAATCTGCACTTGCCAACACCTGAACACAGGCCAGCCCTTATAAACACGTCTAATTTTTCATCCATCAACGATAGCGGCGGTGGTCTAGTGGTCAAGACGCTGCATAAACAAGTCTTGCAAACACAAGCTCGTACTGCTGTGCACCCCGTTATGTACATAATGGTTCTGTAGCCATTGGACGATGCAGAGATCGTGAGTTCAAATCTCACCCGCCGCATTCACTTTTGCTCTTCGCAGGCTTACCAAGCTTCACGAGTATGGCAGCATCTGGTTTTCTCGATTGAAGAGGTAGATGTAGTGATACCTCCAAGTTCTATAAAGATGAGGCTCGTTGCGGAATTGTTTCCGTAAAAGGCAAAGAAGAGCTCGAGAGTGCTTGAGTCGTGACGTCTATAATTGATCATGTGCAGTCATGTCGATGCTTGTAGACACCATCTGTGTAGTTTCTTGAGCTCAAAGCAATCTTCCTCTCAATTCCCACTATTGTGACATTATCCTCCGACAAACAATCAACTCAATATGCCAAACCCGTTTTCACCACATGGCTCAAATGGCCCATTGTATGCCCAAACCTTCACCACTCCCACTGTGTAGTACTGACCAAAATATCAGANNCGCCAAAATGCAGTCCTACTCTCCATTCTCACTGCTGGCGGTGCAGGCTACTGGGTCATCAAGTCGAGGTCTCTTGCACGCGACCAGAAGAGACAAGAACAAATCTACATTGAGCAGAGAAAGCACATTGACACCACAAAGAATGATCATTGAGTTGGAGAGGTCGATTGGGGATTCATGTTATGATAGTGATATAGCAGGCGCTTGCGCTAACCATCTTTATGAGGTGGTGTATAAGAATGACGAAGTAGGAGACGACTCCGAAGTGGGGCGGTTAAGCGGCCAACTTACCTCCTTTGTTCTTTTCCACCTTTCAACATCACCGCGTGACTGTTTCTCCCATCGCTCGCTATGTCGCGTCACAATTCATTCAGCAGACTCGAAGATAAGATGGACTTTCCCCAAGAAAGACTCAGTATTGCCGTGCTCGGCTGTGGTTTGTCATGTGGCAATGTCCTCTGGCTGGATGATCGAGGCTGATGCTGAACCANNGGTTTCATGGGTACCGCCATCATCAAAGGCCTTCTCACCAGCATACGTCCCGGACATGCAAACTCGGATGACTTCAGGATGGAAATCTACGCATGTGTCAGATTCCAAGAATCTTTCGACCGTGTTCAGAAGGCTCTCGGCGACGAAGCCTACCGCGTTCAAAGTGCAACACATCTACACGCATGGTCTCAGGCTGTTGACAGAGCAGATGTCGTCATGTTGGGTATCNCCCCTGCAGAGCTCAGAGCCATCTCGGAGAACATACCGCTGTGCAAGTCGCTGCGGGGTAAACTTGTCATCAGTCTGCTGGCAGGCACTTCTTGCGAGCAGGTCACAGAGGCATTTGTGCTCAATGACAAGGGCAACAGAGCAAGCCAATTCCATGTCATTCGCGTCATACCAAGTATGGGAGCGCAAAACCTGGACTCTGTGAGTATGATTGCCGATACGCCTCATGCTGGAGATGAGCAAAAGGCCATGTGCGACTGGATCTTCAGGCAGATTGGCAGTGTCCATTATCTACCAGAGGAACTCATGAATGAGGCCACTGCTACTCATGCAACTTGCAATGCTCTCACCATGATTGCTGCTGACGCTATCACGGATGCTGCCGTGGCGGAAGGTATACCTCGCTCACAGGCAATGGCGTTGGCGGCACAGAGTTTGAAGAGTGTAGCTGGCCTGTTGGAGAGCGGCATGACTCCCGAGTCGTTGAAGGAGTCCATGTCTGTGCCAAAAAGCATCACAATCAACGCTCTCCTTGACCTCGAGAAGGGTCAGGTCAGATCTGCTACATCCGACGCCACTAGGAATGCCATCAAATACACAAGGAACATGACGAATCAAACTTCTATGTCTTGATATCAACAATGGGAAGCCGATGGCGAAAACGCTGTTGGGCACTACCTATCCAAACTTGCGATCGAAAGGATACTCTGGCAAGTCGAACTTGAGCATTTTGTATCCGCCAATCCAACGAGTAATGCCACTCCAGTAAACAAGCCAGAACAGAGTCCGGATCATCCAAACCCCAAGCCTCGTCTGTGGAACAAACAATTGAGGGCCTCCTGTCGGAGCACTCTGCGCCTTCTTAACATAACCAGCCAACTTATCCTCATAGGCTTTGAATGCAACCTCTGGCTGATCTGGGGACTGCAAGATTTCCCCAGCAAGCATATAACCACCCAGAATCGCAAGCGTGGTTCCAGTGCCTGTAAAAGAGCAATACGCAGCGTCGCCCACCATGGCACATCTCCCTTTCGACCATCCCCTTCCACCCAACTGGATCTTTGCAACATCCTGCAAGTAGAAATCGTCGGTGTCTTTCATTCCTGCAATCACCCTCATGGCTTCCCATCCAGCATCTGCAAACAGTCCCGCCAATGCTGCTTTTTGCTCTGCCATGCCCTTTCTCTGCACTTTACGTAGGGATGGCTCATCTTTGCTTACGACCAAGTATCCAGAACTCACTTGATCGTCTTTTGGCCTTATCATGATGAAGCGTCCTCCCACGGCATTATACCCGCGCGACCGTGGATAATCTTGAGGTTCGCGAGGGATGGAAAAGTAAGCGACCCAACAGTTTTGAGATTGGATGAAGGCTTCCGAGTCGCTGGTCTCGAGGATGAGTTGCCGGGTTTTTGAGCGGAAACCGTCGGCTGCGATGAGTATGTCGTAGGTTTCTTGTACTCCTGCACAGTTGGTTACGGTGACCGAAGAGTCGGTTTGCTGGAGAGAGCTTATGCTGGTATCGAATATGAATTTGACGTTGGAAAACGCGATTGCGGCTGTATAGAAGATGTTACAGAGATCGCCTCGCATGATTTCGATGGCGGAAGTAAATCCTGTTGCCTCTTGTCAGCAAGCCTTGACCATACTTGCCCACAAGCCGAGAACCGCCTTACCTATATCAGTCCCCTTGTCACCAACGTCAAAAGTCGCAAAAGGTGTATTGCTTTCATCTACAAACGCAACACCTTTTTCTCTAGTGGTCTTTTGTTGNATCTGTTCTTCCACGCCCATCTTTTGTATTATCGGAATGGCGGGGCCTTCCATGTCTATTCCTTGGCCTGCGGTACGTAAGGCGGGATTGCGTTCGAGCACTGTGACGGAGAAATCAGCGCGGCCGAGGAAGTATGCAGTCACCGAGCCTGCTATTCCAGCGCCTGAGATGAGGACTTTNTGGGCTGGCATTTTTGATGGTAGGTGGTTTATTAAGTTTGGGTAATAGTATGCAGAAACTTGTATGATCAAAGAATGTTATAAGCAATAGTGCGTATACAAAACGATGAAATTGTGAAAATGTAACAGACAGATCAATTGAGCAAGGCTGCTTGGTTATATATGTGTGGTTGAGCGTTGGGTATCCTACTGCCTGGTGATTGTAGTGTGCATCCTTCTTTCGGGAGGCTTCCCCGAGGAAGAAGGATCTCGGTCGTGTGGCCGAGGTGTGATTATGGTGGTTTGAATGATTCTGAAACCATAATTACAATCTGGATCCCTATAATCCGTTCTTGCCGTATCTGTATACGCATACAGCATCTCTAGAGTTGACATCTGGAGAGCAAGGAAAGAGGACGCGTCGGAGTTGCTTCCATTGCCAAGAGAGATGTAGAAACTCATTTCCGTTGCGGCTCGCGTGGCTGAACTCTGCTGAGGTTCCAACATCTGACTTGCGAATGATTGTTGTACTGCCACGACGGTGGTGATACAGAGGAGAACTTGCTGATATGGCATTCCACGAACAACATATTGTCATGTTCTAGAGCTCCCTTAAGCGCGAGGTTGATCTGCTGTAAGTATCCTATTCACGCAGGGCACGCGGGACACAACGTCATTGGCTCCTGTCAAAAACCGAGGCGCCTCCCTCGGTCTTATTCCCACGCCCAGCCTTTGTTCCATTCCTTCGCTTTGCAGAAATCCTGCTGATGTTTGCTCGAATCGTTCTTTGCGTTGAGAAGTGGATCCCCCCTATAATAGAAGCGCTAAGGATGCCCGCGGTAAGGCTATGGCGCATGGCGGGTTAGCAAACAAATCAGACATGTAGGTGTTTGTTCTCGTTGCGCTTTCTTTCCTTCTCTGCAACAACTAGATCACCCAGTCGCGCGGTCGCATATAACGATGTTACGAATTAATGCGCGCGGTGCGGTTATCACATCCATCATCGCTTTGGTGCTTGTTCTGCTTATTGTCGCACAATGGAAGCGCGAGGAGATTAGTGCATGGCGTGGTCCTCAATCCTCTTCACCGGATACCAACTACCAGGACACCAAGCTGGAGGATGTCGCCGAGTTCAAGGATGATGCCGCCCCTACTACCGCTCCTGTCGTGCCAGACTACTCGGCTGCAAACTCGACACTAGGTGTAAGACTTCCGCCGTGACTTGCGACTCTAGGGAACATGCGTAGCTGACAAGAGATTTAGTTCCAAGCAATCCTCGCACTGTCCCAAGGCACCAAATGGCGGGTCGAAGGCCTGCACGCCGCAGCCAAAGCCGCCGGCATCACCGTAACCGTACCCCAGCAACCCAAATGGAGCGAACCCTTCATCAAAGCCTTCCAAGAATTTGGCCCCGTCGAAGCCCACGGCGCAGCAATGGCCTGGCTCGGCCACCTCGACCTCCTCAAATTCGTCATCCAGAACAACTGGNGGTCCGCCCTGATCCTCGAAGACGACATGGACTGGGATGTAGAAATTCGCAAACAAACACCGCCAATCGCAAAAGCAGTCAGGGAGTTGACGAAGGCGAAGAAGGGGGATACAGAGCCGTATGGAAGGAATTGGGATATCATGTGGATGGGCCATTGCAGTGATCCACCGCCCTTCAAGGATGAAGGCAAAATCATCACTTTTGCAGACAACACGACTGCACCGGTTGACAAGTACCGTGGCTTGAATCCAAGACTGAAGGATGTCGTCAAGGATGGCCAACGCATCGTCCACTACTCCATCAACCCCGTCTGCACATTCGCCTACGCAGTCTCCTACCAAGGCGCCCGCAACCTCCTCGCCCACGCTTCCCTCGGCAAAGGCGGCGCTTTCGATCTGATGCTCATGCACGCCTGTCAAGACAAAGTGCTCAAATGTATCTCTGTCAACCCTGAGGTCTTTGATCCTTATTTCCCTGCTGAGGGCGGTGCCAGTGAAGTCAGAGCTGGAGATGCAGGTGTTGACTTTGACCATGAAGTTGGCAAGGCCATGGGTCATACGGACAATACGTTGAACAGCGCACGCTGTTTTGCTCAGTTTGGCAAGACATGCTTGGAATAGGCGATGTCTTTTTGCATTCTTCTTGCATTCTTCTTGCATTCTTCTTGCATATTCCTCGAGCGTTCCTAGCGAGTTCTTTTGGTAATGAATACCACGTTTGGCTTTTCTTCAGCAATGGTTTCTCTCTTGGACTCTCTCTCTCTCTGTGCTTGTATACTGACCGTACAGGTCCATGAAGCTGTACATAGGGTACGTATGCTTGACCGCTTCCACCGCACCACCCTCGCCTACTACAACAACAACAACAACAACAACAACAAGTGTGCTTGAACTTGCTTCGTCACCCTCGCCCCAACGAAGCACGCTCGCGTCGAGCAGATGACCCAAAGAGGTAGGCTTGTCTGCGTGATCTATGCAAACAGGAGACCAGCATACTCTCTCCGAGTTCCATCATTCCTCTGCCTCTTGTCAGACCCGAAAAGCCAACATGACGCCCTGAGATGACCGATGCTCTGACTACGTATCTTGACCCTGCTAGTTGCGCGACACTGAAACATGAGCAGATGTGGATGAATGCCTTAGGCGCCGAGTTGAAGTAGCCATTAGGGTAGCCGAACAACAGATAGATCTCTACCTCTGTCATTGGCGATATTTCTTGACAACAATCCCTTGTCGAAACTTGGCCATCGATGTGCAGCGACATCTTCACTAATCCGCAGAAAGAACTGCTGGCCAGGGGACTCGAACAAAGGATCGAATGAAGATACAGGTATCTCTTTTCACATTCTTTGGATTTCCATAGAGCAACACAGCAATGCTTCACTTCCTGCCTATATATTCAATGTGTGTAGTGTTTGTATACTATCAAAATAAATTCTGGTCAAGTATGAGACATGAATGGCGTGCCAACCATAGTCATCCGGCCTGTCGAGCAGCACGAGCAAGTTCAGATCAGCGACGAACTCGACAATGATGCAGAGGCCGCCGATACCGAAGAAACGCCCCAGATCCCGCTCTGTAGTTCGATAGTATGCTGTTCTGGATGCAAAGGACTTGCGAACGGAGGAATTGCAGAGAGGTGTTGTAAATGTTGCTTCGGGTGGTGAGCGATAGTTCCAGGTAGAACCTCTGTAGGAAACAGCAATTCCTCTTTCCTTCTTTGTTGTTGGTGGTTCTATCATACCTCGAATCTTTCTTGTGATATGATTCAGCTGTCTGCTTTTCCTTGTGGGCGTTCTCTCCAGTCAAGGGCACAAGAGGTAGAAGATAAAGTGTTGGCCAACGATGAATAGAAGATTTTAGAGAAACTCAATGCAATCAAATGCAAAAACAATAACAACAAGGAAACGAAAGAAATACGAGAAGAGAAATGTTCCTGGCGAACATTTCTAAGCGATGCCAGCACCGAGACCACCACCAACATTGCCAGCTGCACTTCCAGCACCTTGGCCAGCTCCAGAAACTCCATTACCGGCTCCAAGTCCAACACCACCGATGCCGCTTCCTGAGCCTTGCCCGATACCATTGACGCTGCTTCCAAAACCGCTGCCCAAGCCGCGCTTGGTGCGTCTGCTGAGGGCACCGCCTAGACCGCCGCCGATGCCTGCAACACCGCTTCCTGTGCCTTGGCCGATTCCAGAGACGCCTGAGCCGGTGCCCTGCCCGATGCCAGAGACACCTGAGCCTGCTCCCTGACCAACACCAGAAACACCCGAACCTGCTCCCTGGCCAATACCGGACACACCTGAGCCAGCTCCGCTACCGATACCACGCTTCGAGACACCGGAACCAGCTCCCTGACCAACGCCAGAGACTCCAGAACCGGCACCTTGGCCTACACCCGAAACACCAGAGCCTGCACCCTGTCCAATTCCAGAAACACCGTTGCCTGCTCCATTGCCGACACTAGAGACGCCATTTCCAGCACCATTTCCAATGCCGCTGAGGGCACCACCGAGTCCACTGCCAAGACCTGCTTCGGCGATAGGGACGGCTGAGACGGAGACAGCGGCAGCAGCGCAGAGGGCGAGAGCGAACTTCATGATGATCTGGAATATGAGTAAGCGGACAGTTGATAGTGATTGTGATCTGTGCTGTCGTACGATTTGAGTTGAGTTGGGTTTGGAAGAGAAGTTGGAAGAGATAAAAGTAGTTGAGGTCGTTAGGTTGTGATGTGTTGGTCGATTGATCGTTGTCGTCGATGGGCGAGTGATTGATCGTGGATGAGAAGATGACTTTGGAGGACGACAACGTGGTATTTATGCGGAAGAATGGCAAGGACTAAGATGTTGTGAGCGAGGTTGATCCGAGAATGGAAGCTGTTTGAGAGCGTAGCAAGCAACAACATCGCCCATGACCTCGAGTCTTACTGGTTGCCTGGTTACATGCGCGACATAGCATCAGGCATTGACGTTCACTGACAGATGTCGAACGATATTGAGTCGTGGTAATGTTTGAGAATGTGGCGAAGTAACTGCAACGAGGACACTGGCCTTGACACAGTTTTCTTGAATGTCAACAGCATCGAAACCTGTTCTTGACCGCGACCACTGTATACTCGACATGAACTACACGAGGCAACATCATGGATACCTCCTTGTGATCAAGCATATGACAAGAAGCTTGATATCGTAGAACTCCTCTAAATGAAGCCTTAGATTGTACTACTCTGCTGCTTCCGATTCAAGCTCCAGGCGTAACAATCGTGATCGTAGCACAGTGATCATCCTCGAGTTTGACATGAGAACTTACAGAGTCAGAACGTGGCAAGTCTCCGAGGAAGTTACGAGTGTCAAGCAGAGACGACGAATAACAATGCGTGGTATTGAGGTGCGCAGAGAGAAAGAACCATCCCGCGGAGCCTCAGATATGAAACGTGAAAGGTAGCCTGAGGTATAGGAAACGTCCGATGTCGCGAACCTCATTGAGTAAATGCCCACATCGCGCGGGGCCAAAAGATGTCAATGCGGAGTTTCAGGCTCATGTGTCATGGGATCAGGCTCTCGTCATCGTTCGGAGTGTGGAGGCCTAAGACATAAGAAGACCGGATGGATAACTGAAGCTGCAGAGCAATGTTGTGACCCTGATGGTACGAGTGTTGCGCCTCATGAAAGGGATCCGCACGCGTAGACTTCGAAACGTCTATGCCAGGATCCAGGACGGTTGACGTGCACGAAGCTCCGTAGTCGAACCATCCAATCTCTGTCGATGGAGAGTCAACTTCATAAAGTTGTTGTGTTCAGACTGGAGAGCATTGTTGGACAGGGGATGAGATGGGCAGGTGCGATGCTTCAACCCCACCTGTCACGTGCGTTGATGCGAGAGAAGGATCGACCACAATTGCATCAAACTCATGAGAAGACTTCAGATAGCCAACTGAAGTACTCTACCTATTACAGCTCTCTTGTTCTCGTAGACTGTCTTGGCCATAGAAGCTGGAAAAGTGAACGGAGGGGTGAATGTTTAGTCATTACTAAAGTCCAATACGACGTTTAAAGTCCTTCTGCCAATCATCAGTGTCTAGCATTCATTGTAGACCTCAATAGCCTCCCCCTTGATAATAGCCAGACGAGTGTCCTTGACCAGGTGGAGGACCTTGACCGTGTCCGTGGTGTTGGTCATAGCCACCATACTGCCCATGCGGCGGGGCATCATACTGACCGCCAAACTGCTGAGGAGGTCCGGGAGGAGGTGCACCACCACCGTAAGGAATCTCATAGCCCTGCTGATAAGCACTAGGATAAGCGTATGGGTCATTGTTGGCGAAGCCTGCAGGAGCAGGAGGCTGGTAAGGTTGTTGATACTGCTGATTGTATCCAGCAGGTAAAGGAGCTCCCCAGCCGGGTTGTGATGGTTGGCTGTAAGCCGAATGATCAGGTGTACCAGAGGCGTCCATGCCACGTTGAGGGTGACCCATGCCGAAGACATTTTGCATATCTCCAGGCCCGCCGTGCGAGTGTAGATGAGGGTTTGCACCGCCGGTGTGGTTGTGTCCAGCTTTTACACTTTCGGAGCTGAGAAGTCTGTCAAGATCGTGGCCGCCGCCTGGACGGGAACGAGCCCAGTTCTCGACAACTGCAAACATGCTCTTTTGGATCTCGCAGTGGTGATCGCGGATTGCAGGGTGGTGGAAGGCGCGAAGGACATCGTTGAGAACCTCGTCCTCGGGCACATCAGGATGGTCGAAAGCATAGATGACGCGAGGTGCGACATATTGCAGGATACAAGCAGCAACCTTACCAGCTGGTTCGTTGAGAATGTTGCTGAAATGGTCCTTGGAGAGCAGAGAGTGGGTAGGATCAGTACTGGAAGGGTCGGTCCAAACTTCGTACTGATGCTTGCCACTGGCGTCGACAACACTGCTGCTACCCTGCTTGAGACTGTTCGAAGCAGCGGCAATCAGAGGAGTGATGTAAGGCGCAAGCAGGCCCATAACAGTCAATGTGACCTTCTCGGTGATCTTTTCAATCAGACTCTCCAGACCAGGGATCTTGGAAACGATGTTACTGATGCTACGAACAACATTGTCACGGAAGACAAGAATGGGATAGATTTTGGCGATGATTGCCTGGGGGTCGGCAGTGTTGTTGGCAGAGGCAACCGGGTTCCAGGCACGGTCCTGACTGTAGCCGCCATCATCAAAGCCACGAGCACCAGCACCGGCGTTCTGAGCAGCGTACTGATCAGATTCGGATTGCAGACGGACAGCTTCCTGGCATAGAGAACTTGTGCCAGGTACCTTTGATAACAAGTTGACCAGACCGGAGACTTCGCCTGACGGGCCAGATCCTGAGCGCTTTCCTTCAGCCGATGCGTTGTTCAGTGCACTTTGCATCTCATCAACCTCACTCTGGGTGACATGATCGGTGGCCTCTCCAAGAACCGAATGCATGAAATCAACTCCACCGAAGGTTCCAGTAACCAGAGGGAAGACTCGCTTACCACGGAGGTTGATTTCAGTGTTAGCGCCGACATGAGGGAAGATATTGTTGTGTCCAAGCTCGCGAAGAGCAAGCTCGGTATAGTTAGTATGAGCTCCGAAGTCTTCCATACAATGCAGGGCTTGACCGAGACAGCGAAGTGCTTCGCACAAGTCTTTCTCGTCGCCCTTGTTGTTGCCATGAGTGTACAAACGTCCAAAGTGGATGGCTCTCTTGAAGCTGTATCTGACGTAGCCTGAAGAAGTGGCCCAGCCTCCTCGTTCATTAGCAATGTAGTTCTTCATTCCAGTCTCGGGATCAATTGCGAGTTCCTCTTGTTGGACAGGACCACGGAGACGTTGGTCATACTGCCTAGCATCAACGTTGTCGGCATAGTCCTGAGCCATGAGCACCTATGTTAGCATTCCGAGCAACGTACTGGTCAGTGTCGGTTGACCTACCTTGGGATTGTCAATGTGTTCTTCAGGACGATAGACACCGAGGCGTTCATCCGTGACTTCAAATTCACCAGTGGCATAGCCAAAGCTCATGAAAGCAAGAACCCAGACAAGAATGCGAATGGTGCTGGCAGGGACACCCCTGAGAGTGCCGACGTCGACAGCTTGACTGTAATCACGAAGCCAGTTTCCAAAGTAGACACGCNNTGCAGATTATGGTCATCAATATGTGAAGAGTTTTGGTACTACAATTATCAAACCTACCTTGATCATCATCGATGTCCATTTGTGCTTCTTGAGGCAGTCAACCGTCTTGAGCATATCTTCGATATCGCCATGACGCCAGTTCTTGCCCTCAACCTTTGAGATGGAAGCAATGTTTCCGGCGCCGAATGCATGTGTAGGAGTTGCAAAGAGTAAGACTGCGACCAAACAGAGGAATAGTAACAATTTCGTGTTCGCCATGTTAATGTTGTGTTTAGGAAGAGGTCAAACAGAGGTTGATGACGACGGAGGTGGGATGGAGTTATACGAGGCGGAGGCGCGAAGGATGGAGGGGCACAGGTGGCTGTGTGTTGTTGCGAACGATTGCGAGTGATGCGCCACGAACTCTTGCGTACTTCTATTCTGGTATGACCGCAGCAAGTAGTACATCCTCCCCCTGTTCAAAAGTCTGTAACCTTTGCCTGCTCCCACTATAACATACAGGTATTTTTGGACTATAGAAAGGCACAGTGTCTTCCAATATTGAAGGGACAGCCACAGAGAGCTACTGAAGATTTATCTCTCCGTGGAAGCTGCCCTGCTTCATAAGACTATTGTGAAATTCTATAACTATACGCGTTACATGCTTTAGTACATGGGGAGGATGCGAGTGGGCAATACAAGTCGATCGAATGATCTATCATGGTGTAACAGCGGAATATATGATCATCAGAGAGAAGCAAAAGAAAGAGAGTGGAGCGGAGGGCGGAAACGCCAAGACCGAGATGATGATGGAGTTGCAGGGACTTTTTTGGACCAAAGCGGCGACTCTCTGAACCAACTCAAGAGTCTTTCTGGACTTTTCGACGACATCCTCTTTCTTGCTCCTGTCGCGCCCATTGTCCAGCCACTTCTCAACAAATCTCAGCGGCATCTCAAGATCGGACACATATCACACACCAAACGTCAAGATGTCTGACAGAAGATCCGGCGACGAGTCGCGCGCAAAGCGCCAAAAGATGGAATCTGATCCCGCCTCCAACCCTTACCTGGCCCACATGAACCACGGAGACAACAACGGCTACTCGAACGGAAGATCAAATGGAAGCGCGACCGATGGCCTTACCCACTTCAAGCGCCACACGACTACCGCCCAGCAAGCAGCAAAGGCCGAGGATGGTCCCTCCAACCCTTTCAACGGCAACAACCTCTCCGAGCGCTACTTTGGTATCCTGAAGACTCGCAGAAACCTGCCTGTCCACGCCCAAAGGTGTGTCTATCTTTGTGCAGGCATGTGCGCCACTTGCTGACTAGGCGCGTNNAGAAATGAGTTCCTCCACATGTTCCAGCAAACCCAGATCCTCGTCTTCGTCGGAGAAACTGGTTCGGGAAAGACGACGCAAATCCCCCAATTCGTCCTCTACGATGATCTCCCACACCAGCAGGGCAAGATGGTCGCCTGTACGCAGCCTCGTCGTGTGGCTGCCATGTCGGTCGCCCAGCGTGTCGCTCAAGAGATGGATGTCACACTCGGCCAGGAAGTCGGTTACAGCATTCGTTTCGAGGACATGACTTCGCAAAACACCATCCTCAAGTACATGACTGATGGTATGCTTTTGCGCGAAGCCATGAACGACCACAATCTCAGCCGCTACAGCACCATCATTCTCGACGAGGCTCACGAGCGTACTCTTGCCACCGATATCCTCATGGGTCTTCTCAAGGAGGTCGCTCAGCGTAGACCTGACTTGAAGATCATCATCATGTCCGCCACTCTCGATGCTGAGAAGTTCCAGAAGTACTTCAACGACGCTCCTCTTCTTGCCGTTCCTGGTCGTACCCACCCTGTCGAGATCTTCTACACTGCCGAACCCGAGAGAGATTACGTCGAGGCCGCCATCCGCACCGTTCTCCAGATTCACGCTACCGAGCCCGAGGGCGATATTCTCCTCTTCTTGACTGGTGAGGAGGAGATTGAGGATGCATGCAGAAAGATCAGTCTTGAGTCAGACGAGATGATTAGAGAAGCAGATGCTGGTCCATTGAAGGTCTACCCTCTGTACGGTTCTCTGCCTCCGGCCCAACAACAGCGCATCTTCGACCCTGCCCCTGGTCCCTTTCGCGCTGGTGGTCGCCCTGGTCGCAAGGTCATCATCTCAACCAACATCGCCGAAACTTCGCTCACCATCGACGGTATCGTCTACGTTATTGATCCTGGATTCAGCAAGCAAAAGGTCTACAACCCTAGAATCAGAGTCGAGTCTTTGTTGGTTTCGCCCATCTCCAAGGCTTCTGCCCAACAGCGTGCTGGTCGTGCTGGACGTACCAAGCCTGGAAAGGCTTTCCGCCTGTACACTGAGGCCGCTTTCAAGAAAGAGCTTATCGACCAATCATACCCCGAAGTCTTGCGCTCGAACTTGTCATCAACAGTCTTGGAGTTGAAGAAGCTTGGTGTCGACGACTTGGTACACTTTGATCTTATGGACCCTCCCGCCCCCGAGACCCTCATGCGTGCCTTGGAAGAGCTCAACTACCTTGCCTGTCTCGACGATGAGGGTGAGCTGACAGAGCTTGGACGTATGGCTTCCGAGTTCCCTCTCGACCCTGCTCTTGCAGTCATGCTCATCTCATCCCCCGAGTTCTACTGCTCCAACGAAATTCTTTCCCTCACAGCCCTTCTCTCAGTACCGAACGTTTTTGTACGACCAAACAGCGCTCGCAAGCGTGCCGACGAGATGAAGGACCTGTTTGCACACCCTGACGGTGACCATCTTACCATTCTCAACGTCTACCACGCCTTCAAGTCACCAGCAGCACAAGAGAACCCCAAGCAGTGGTGCCATGATCACTTCTTGTCATACCGTGCTCTGCAGCAGGCTGACAACGTCCGCATGCAACTCAAGAGAATCATGGAGCGCAACGAGATCGAGCTCATGTCGACACCCTTCGAGGACAAGAAGTACTACGAGAACATCCGCAAGGCTCTGGTTTGTGGGTACTTCATGCAGTGCGCCAAGCAGGATTCTGGCAAGAAGCAGTATATCACAGTCAAGGATGAGCAGACTGTCTTGTTGCACNCCTCAACAGTGTTGGGCACTGACAGCGAGTGGGTTCTGTACAACGAATTTGTTCTTACGACAAAGAACTACATTCGTACAGTGACTTCGGTCCGTCCTGAGTGGTTGCTGGACATTGCACCCAAGTACTACAACATTGAGGACTTCAAGAAGGGAGACATGAGAACATCACTGCAAAGAACGGCGGACAAGTTGAGAAGAAAGGAGATGCTCGCTGCTGGCAAGCGTTAAAAGTGGTTCTGTTTTATTGGCTGTATAGATTATTCTGGCAAGTTGGAGGCTTCAACTCATGATTCTCATTGTCTGGTTGACAGACATAGCAAACCTTCACTTACATCGCGCTCCCATGTGAAGAGATAGAAGTGACCGAATATGGAAAGATGATTAGAACCACGACGACACGTGACCGTGACGTGCCTTGGCCCTTTCTGCGCGTCTCCCCAGCTCGAGAGCCCGAATGTTGTCCAGGATTCCTTTGCATAAACATCATCCCGTCGTCTTCAACTAGATTTGAGACATTCGACATGCCGACACCAATAGAGCAAGCGCTCATCACACTCGTGCCAACTCTCAATTCCCTACCACAAGAGCTGATCGATCTCTCAACTTCCCTCCTCGCCCAATCACGGAACAAAGCCTCGTCACTCAAACCAGAAGAAGAGATTGGAAGAACATATGCCTGCGCACACATTGCTGTCGAGCGACTGAAGAATCGTCTGGATATCGACAAAATTGTTGCCAGGCCGCCCGTCGCCCCAAGGATCTACAAANAGCTCTATGGATATTTGGATGCGGCGTTGAAAGAGCCTGCTACACCGAGGACGAATAGACTCAAAGATGTAGGAGCGATGGACACGCCTGGAAGTGGAAGAGGGAGGAGGAGTGCATTGGGTACGCCTGGAAGTGGAAGAGGGAGGAGGAGTGCATTGGGTACGCCGGTAGGTACGCCATCCAAGACTCCTGCGAAGAGTGTGAAAAGTGCGGGCGTCACACCATCAAAGACACCTGCTTCCGTCGCGAAGAGCGCGGGAAGCGTCACAACCTCTGGAAGGAGGACAAGGTCAGCTATCAAAGCCCCACAAGAGGAGGTTGTGATACAGGACTCGGAAGAAGAAAGACAGAAGGTGTCAGCACAAGAGCAAGAGAAGGACGACAGTCTGCCCGACCAAGTACGACCTCTAGCTGAATCAGTATGTGATGCTCTCGACGTACCACAAGCCACGCCGCACGTCTGTGCAGCTTTATCTGCTATCCTGCAATTGCGAGGTTGGAACGATACCAAGCCAGACACGCTCAAGTCCACCNCCCGTTCTTCGGCCAAANAGCGAAAACGAACATCTACAGATGCAGACGAGATCGGAACACCCGAAGATACCTCATCTATCACACCATCGTCTCTTCCAGCCCTCATCGCAGCAATCTCTCTAGTCACAACCTTCACTCTGCGCAACACAGTGATAGACGGCACAACCTACGCTACTGCCCGCTCTTCTGCCATCGCGGCGCTTGGACCCAACGCGCTGTTACCAAACGACGTCGACACCTTCCTTCACGCAAGCAAGATAGAAGGCTGGCTCGAACTCNCCTGGTTCATGACTGTGAAAGCCTCTACCATCTCTTCCGTCCCTCAAGCACAAACACCAAAGAAGAACAAACCTCCTGCCAAGACGCCTTTACACAGAAAGGAGAAACACGCGCCTCGACCAGTGCACAAAGATGCGGATATGGACACAGTAATAGAGGATGCCGATGCAGAAGCTGAGGAAGAAGATAACGATAGGCCTGGTGCGGGATTGAAGTCAGGCTTGGGGACTATGTTCCAAGATTCGGTAGACTGGTTGAGTGGGGAGAGGAGAAAGACATATAGGGTTTGGGAGAGGAGTATTAGGGCGAAGTGTGCTGAGATTGATGGGCGAGCTTGAACGCTTCTCGTTCTTTGGATGCTTGATGATGAATAGGTAATAGGCCTATTTTACCGATGTTCGGCCAATATGCACAACTTCTTCCATGGCTGTGATGGGTACCAAAAACTCGAATGCCAACATGTTGAAGGTTTGTCGTTCCCTACAATACAAGGTGGCATCTCTGAGAATGACTTCCTTATCAATGCTCACGAACAACCTTTTGGAATCACAGCAAGACCCTTGGTCATTGTTCATGCCAGCTGATCGATGCAGATATTCATGACAGTTGTTGTCATGGTTTTTGAGGATATCTCAGTGGCATACTGTAACCATACAGCATCTAATTGTGAATATGAAATGCATTATGCATCAGTTGAGAGGAACACCCTGATGGTTGACGATGACGGGCAAAGAATGGATCGGCAGCGCTAGACGGGCGTCAAAAGCGGGGCGAAGAGGCCAAAAGCCGGGGTCCAATCTGCAGGCACCTTCCCTTGTTCCGAGTGTTTTGTTCCTAGTTGTTCTCGAACAAGTCTGGATGCCTTGAAAAAGATGGAGGAACGAGAGGTGGATATACGCGCGCTCGACTATGTGTCGGCGTACGACAACAATCTCATGTGTCCGATTTGTCGGAGCGCCTTTGTCGACCCGGTGGTCGTAGCCGACTGCGACCACCATTTCTGCCGCGATTGCCTCGACTACACGACCAGCTGGAATCAGTACTCGGGCACCTGCCCTGCTTGTCGCCGCCCTGGAAGATTGACTGGCTCAGGATCCGCTTCGAAGCTTCTGCTCAACATCCTGGATGATCTCGTCGTCAAGTGCCCCAACCAGCCCAAGGGATGCAACAAGCAGGTAAAGCGAGGCCACCTGCTCGACCACGTCAACATCTACTGCGACTACACCAAGATCGACTGTCCGGATGATGCCTGCGACCAGAAGACACAACGAAAGGATGCTGCGCATTGTGTGCACCAGCCTGTATCCTGCCTCGCTTGTCGCCAGTCCATGACGGTTCAAGACCTCGACNGTGAGTTGGCTCTCGACCAGCTGCACTGACATGGGCTGACTGTAGTCTCATAGTTGCACTGGCAGATCGAATGTGCCGACCACGATATCCCATGCCCGTCCTGCGCCGCCTCGATACCCTACCGCTACCAGCAAACTCACCTCGCCCACCACTGTCCAGAGACGAACGCTGCCTGTCCCGCTCGCCAATTTGGTTGCCCTTTCAACACCAAGCGCAAGAACCTGCCTAGCCACGCCATCATGTGTTCGCTCGCCAAACTCACTCCCTACCTTAGCGCTCAGCAACAGCGTCAGGACGAACAGGATCAAGCTCGCCAGCTGCTTGAGAAGAAGCTGCAAAGCCTACAACAAGACATGCAGGACTACAGAACCATGTCGCAGCAAGAAAAGAGAACCCCTGCCCCGCGTGAGGAGCCGTCGTATTTCCCAAACAACCTCGCAGACTTTGAGCTGCACGACTATGCCGACTTTCAACCTCACGCCTCGCCAACCCAGCACCTGCTCTCTCTGCACGAGAACCTGCGCGAAGAAGTCTCGCGACAAGCCAACACCATCCATGAGGTCGACACCAGGCTCAGCATGATGCTGCTGAATGAGAACATGCGCCTCAAGGACGAATTGGCCTACCAGGGCGCCCAGCTTAGCGCTCTCATGCGACAGGTCGGCTGGTTGACAAACGCTCGCCTGCAGTCTGTTCAATTAAACTCTGTCTCTGTCACGAACCAGGCCGATCAAGGTCCCAGCGATCCCTCAAGGATCAACCCGCGTATGCCAGTGCGGCGCACAACTGATGAGGGGAGAACAAAACTGTGACGAGATTTGACGACTCATGATGAAATGACCTACTTATGCGTATACCCGTTTGGAATATTACTGTCTTCTCAATTGCTCAAAGGAGTCTCTCTACATGACAAGCGACATGTCAAAAGCGGTGCCTCCCATTTTACATGCAAGGACGAGATAGGAAGTCCTGTCTTGCATCCTGTTTCAGGACCACTTGCCTCGAAAGCCAATGGCCGTCGTGTAGGATCGAGGCATCAGTCGAGATGCATGTCATTCTGCATCTGAAACGTTTGCTACCCGTTATCTGCAGTTGATCAATTTCGCCGACTGGTCATGTTTCTTGCAGACAGGAAATCCCACAAAGTCCCTTGTTTCGACCTGGAGCAGAAGCCGTTCTCCAAGAATGATCAGCACATCCATTTTGTCCCTACACTAGCGATGGGCTTTGTGCGACTTGACCACGCGTCTCGGTCAATCCTTCCCACATGCATCTCATTCCTGTGACTCTCTCAATGGCCATCACGAGGCTTGCCCGCTGAGTGACTATCGAACGTGGTGTTGCTCGATTCTGCAACATACCACGCCTCCTCAGCTGTTCGTTTGCGTAATCTTGAGAATTTGAGCATCCAGTCTATTGGGACCGTCTGGAAGAGACCAGATCGGAAGGCATTGGAGATACGTTTACTGCAGCTCGACCCCTCTTTTTCCTGGTTCACCTTCAACTCGCCAGTCAATTGTCGTCCTGCGACTCCGATCAACATGCATACACGCATGCGTGCAGTAAGAAGCTTAGCAAGAGAAGAGACGTTCTCACTCCCGTGCGACTTGATGGATCTACCTTGCCTGTCCAAAATAAACGCCCGGGCCCCTCTCCCTTTTGTGAAAGGCCTGGAAGAGGCGGCATTAACCTCAGACCATGACGCATGCATACGACCGTACGACAGGATTGACGATATCTCACAAACTCTGCATCTCTGGAAGTTCACCCAACGATGCCATTTTCAAGTCTTGTTTGCCTTTTGTCTCGACCTCGTGTTGAGGCATGGCCAACCTTTCTTCACCGACTCTTGGGAAGAGCATCGTTGGCGGCGGTGAGTAGGAAGGAAGTGTTGGCAAACAAACACTTGATATCTAGACTGTCCTCCAAATTTCTTTTGGGCAAGGACGCATATCTCGTGGTGGGAAGCGAGATACGATAGCCGAGCATACCCTGGTCTCATGCAGCCCTGAATGCACAACGCCAATCACGGCACGCGATAGTAGCGGGATCCCAATGGCATGGTCAGGGGAAGTCGGAACCGATCATACCGGCCATCCAATCAACGGTCATTCTGGGCGCTTCTGTTCTTCAATCCCCACGCGCCGGTGAGGTGTGATGTGCTAGGTATGTGCTGTGTACCGTATGCACAAACAACGGGTCTAGTAGAGAGGAGAGCTCTTCTTCTTGCTGCCCGACTTTGAGACTTGACCAGTCGCGTGCACTCTTTGCCTGTTGGGTTGGGCAAAGCAGAGTTGTTGTTGTTGTTGTTGTTGTTGTTGGCGGCGTAGCGACGAGAGATGAGCGGTCAACACCAAGGAGTTTCTGGCCACAATCTAGTTCAGAAATGTAGGTAGAGTTAGTCGCACTACGACAGCGAGAGAGGTCTAAACAAAGGTGAAACTCCGGAGGCGGAAACAAGAGGGCTGGTGCACGTTTTGACAGCACCGTTGACCCTTCCGCCCCCGGGAAAGAACCTCATGTCATAGAATGGGTGTGCTTTGACAAGTGGAGAAGAAATGGAAAATAGGAGAGCCTAGTGAGATTATACCAGGATTTAATTTTGGCTGAGGCCAGATCTTTCGGTTGGGGGATTGCGCATGAACGCCTACCAAAGAAGCAAGTAGGCATGCGAATTGGCAAAGGCCAAGGGCAGCAATAGTTTTCTTTGGCCATGGCACGGGAGTAAAATGCGTTGGCGGCCATATTGGGCTGTCACCAACTGTCTTTGTGGCGTCGCTGCATGATATCCTTTCATCAACTGCACGCCACGCGCGAGTTTTACCTCCAGTCTTCTTCTGTTTCGCTTGTTTCTGGGCAGCAAAGACAGCGAAACTTGTTGCGGCCACCCGCGCGTGGGGGTCATTTGATGCTTTTTCTCTTCTGTCTCTGCTGCGAAATGATTCGTAGGAAATGGTTCCAGGCAGCATAGTAGATTCTGGACATCTATTGGAAGGCAAGGATGATTCGCTTGTTGGATTTGAGTTGGGTGGTACCTCACTCATCACAAACCCGACCTACCGGAAGCCCTGTAAGCAGTTATTGGAACGGTGCTATTTTGCTCAGCACACGTATATCTCGGCAGGATCAAGAAAGATGACGGGGGTGCCGCAAGGATGGGACTAAGCTGACGCATGCTGCATGATTAGGATGGGAGGAGTAATAAAGGAGCAACGTGCAAGGGTTGGGCAGATTCTCGCTGCTGCATGCTCTAGTTGGGCTGAGAGGGCTGCGATGCACGTTGCCGGGTCCTGTTCTCATCTTTATGCGCGAGGTTTCCCACTCGGCAAGCAGCTAAGAGACAAGAGTCGATCACAGCCCCCTTTTATCTTACTCGTCGACTGCATCTACCCAGGAAAAAACACGCTGTCCATTATTTCGGTCACAGGAGAAAACAAAGCAAAAGGCATATCTTTGGCTATCAAGTTTGATGAAATCGCGAACGGAAGAGGCACCCGCACAGACGATTTTTCTCCAGCCACAACAAATTCGCGCTCCTCGCGAGATTGAGGAACGGTTCACGCAACATCTTCGTGTGCTTTGTGCTGGGTGAGGCCTGCATCCCAGCCATCTTTCTCTCTCATCGACAGAACTCGTCCTTCTTTTTACCCGAACCCGGTTGCTTATTTCCTGCTTTTCTGCTTGCAACGTCAGCCAATCCCTGCCCGTTCATCTTAATCCTTTGCGACGCGACAATAACGACCCGCGTCTGCCGAGGGACTCTCTATCTTGGAAATAACCGTCCCAGCTTCTGCTCTCCTAAACCTTGCAAGAAGCCAAATGTTGGGTGCACAAGAACAAAGGCAACGTTCGAGTTCAGAAGCAGCAGCAGAAGAGGCATCTGGCTTCGACGGTCGACTATAAGATTCGACATTGATTGATCATCCCTGGCCGACACTTTGATATCTCTTTTATTTCTTCCTTTTTTTCTTCTCTTTTTCCACTTCGACATGTATCCACCTTACTCATCATACTATGCTGGATCGCCTCATTGCAACATGGGTTACGAGTACCACACATCTTCTACGACACCACCGCCGCCTGGCTATGGATATTATTCACCACGATATTACACGACATCTCCACCAAAGACCTCCACACCCAAGCATACTCGACGAGCGACGCAGGACTACTCTTATCCTTCGGCCAAGACGACATCTTACTACTATCCCGACGCATATGGCTACTCCGGGTGTCCGCGCAAGTCTGAACATGTAAGTTCGAGAGAACGATACCCTCGCCAAGGGAAGACAGAGTCCGGCGCAAGACGCGCATCGACGACGTATGTCTACGCGGACGGCCGCTACTACGCCTACGTGACTAAAGACGATATCCCGCCGGCATACTCGCGCGACCCACGCAAGCACACGCCACCGCCGCAGTACTCCGAGGCTGATGAACACCCTCACNTATCAGCACTACCAATCGACCCTCAGCCTCGGCCAGAACCCCAGCCGCGAAAACAGAGAGCAGCTTCCTACTCGACTCCAAGACAATCGGTACCGAGGGATGTGCCTCGCCAACAACAACATTCACAACCATCGCCCAAACGCGCCACCGCCACCGACCGCGATGCACGCGCAGCTGGCATCCCCGCTGGCTACAACTTCAAGAACTGGGATCCTAATGAAGAGCCCATTCTTCTTCTCGGCAGCGTCTTCGATGCAAACAGTCTCGGCAAATGGATCTACGACTGGACAGTCGCCTTCCACGGCCCCTCAACCCCCATCACCGAAATGGCCGGTGACCTCTGGCTCTCCCTGATCCAACTCGCTGGCAAAATCAAACGCGCCGAAGAGTGCTTACCACGTATCCGCCGCCGCGATGACCGCGAACTCATCGACGATTTCCTGGACAGTGGAGAACGGCTTTGGGAAAGGTTTAACAAGCTGTTGAAGGTGTGCGAGAAGCACATGCTCAAGACTGCCAAGCGCGATCGTGGAACTGAGAAATTGTACATGGGCAACAACTCTGGAAGAGAATTTGTCGAGACTATTTTTGGCAGGGATAGGGAGTTGGAGAGGACGGAAAAGTTGACGACGGGGATTAGGCTTTGGAGTATGAGGTTCGATGCTAACTGTGAGGATGTTTTGAGGGCGAGTCGTTGAGGAGACGTTTCCTTGGACTTTCTGTCTCTGAATGGACTCGATGCTCATCGCCATACTACAACCTTTGATCATATCTCCTCGAGGATCTCTCGGCAACATCCATCAACCATCGGGCTCTTCAACAACAACCTCATTCCACCACACTCGACAAATTCACATCAAGTTCACACTACGTCAACATAATACTCCACAACAACATCTCACTACCGAAACCAGCAAGAACACACACAACAGCACACTTTCAACAACGCACCAGGCGCACAGGACCATTTCTTTCCTAACATGCTTTCATCTATGCGCAGAGATACCCTTGCTTGATTCACACGCATGGCGTAACGGTCGATTACCGGACAGGCTTTCTCACGAGCTTTCTTCAGACTTGCTGTCGCTCAGGTCAACAATTCCTTCAATCCAACGATACCCAACATTTCTTAGGCTCTTTGGGTCATTTTCTCCAGCAAGGCGCTGTTTTCTCTCTTTTTGTTTCCTTCTGCTTTTTGGTTCTTGAGAGGATTGTTCGGTCTGGAGGGATGCTCAGGATGGGAAAAAGTGTTTTGTCTTTTTGGTTCGTGGGTTTTTTATTATCTTAGATCTTTCTTGTTTTGCCATGTTTAATATCTCTCTGATGCCTCACGGCTACGATTTACTTCATTTCTCTACCCCAAGCTATTTTAGTTCAACGTTCTATCCAACATTTTTCTACCTGTGAAACAATGCGTCGGTATTCTAGAACCTTTCCCGCCAGTCCATTTTCCTCTGCTGTACAGGGTAGCTCTGTGACTCACTGGTCATGCTTCTGTGAGGGTAGAGGTCATGGATGCTTCTGGAATATTCGATATCGGGCATTCATAGCACATGGTGCGTAGAGCAAGCGAACCAATAGCAGGAGCCATCACATCTGTCTATGAATATAGGCGGCTAATTCCAAGGCCACTACCCTTCTGTCAGCACTTTTTCCCGCTCTTGCAGTCATGGCGTTTTTGGGCAGCCGCATAGTTCACGTATAAGTCTCTGCCACGTTTCGGGCACGAGGCAGCACACGGCACAGGGTATATACAACTTGGTCTGAAGAGCTAGAGGCAGAAGGATAGATTGCTAGCTAGACAAGCGTTTCTAGAACCAACAATTTTTATTCTACAGCAATGGCTGTCTGGTCCAATCATGACTCACCAGCGCACAATCGCAGTCCGAGAGGCACTCAAACACCGAGTCAAAAAGCCTATTCTATATTATATATCTTTGAGAATGAAGATGGTTACATGTGCAAGAACGAGGCGCAGATAGAGCCCATTCTCGTAGGATTTAGTGTCAGAGATTGCGACACTACAAGAGTCATGAGACTGAACACTGATGCGAGTGTAAAGCGGTATACCGTGATGCTTGGGTTGGTTGAAGAAAGGGGACGGGCCGAGCCCAAGTGTGCATGAACTACAAATCACCTGCTTGCGTACGCAGTAGAGCCTATCATGGTAAGTGTGGACTCTGGGTACTCGTTTGTATCGACCAGAATGCAATGCGGCAGGAGTCAGGTGTCTGGAAATAAGGCTGTCTCGTCGGCAAAGCAGGAGACGGGCCATATGTACTAACTCACGTGCATGAACTACAGTACACGTGGGGTTGAACAGCGTTCGGCAGTCGTAAGCTGTCGAGGGATACCGATTCGGCAGAGGTTGGCGGTCATGGGATTTGAGGTTCATGCGGGTCGATAGTAGATAGCCCGTCTGATGATCATGTGAAAGAGGAGTGCTGTCGGTGATTCGCTAGTCGGATTGAAACCGATCGATGAGTTGCGGCCTTCCATGAGATGCTGCGACGAACGAATGCAGAGGTAGAAGGCATCTCTGCTCGTGACGAGCTCGAGACATGTCCCATGATGATAGCTTCTTGAGAGTCGGCCAATACGAACGGAGGGCTGCTCCACAAGCGCCCTAGACCAAGAGGGTGAGCAGCACACATGAAGCGAGGCCATTCGGGAACATGCCAAGTGCGTGTAGTCGTCGAATTCGGCGGTTTCCAGACGAGAGTGGAGTGTTGGTCGAAGTCTGCCCTCCAAGTTCATCCAGCACCGAGATACTTGTCGACCTCATCATTAGAGTAGAACAGACTCTGCAGTCGGTCATGCTTCTTCTTGTTGTTCTGCTCCAGTTTCCTGATCTTTCCAGCATCCAGTCTCTCAAGCGGTTTCGGCTTGTCTCGAGTCTTCCTCTTCTTCTTCAGGGTCGGTTCATCATTGTTGAGATTGACGCCCAGGCCAACGGTATCACGCTTCTCTTTGGCCTTGACGGGATGTAGTATGCCTTCTCTTTGCGCACCAAGACCAAGTCGCTCGTCGGGATTCCAGCCGTAGGACTGAAGCATGCTGAGACCCTTGCGGTTCCTGTCGAGAGCAGAAGGAGGGTGTGAATGTGGGAGGGCGATCTGGTGGACCAGCGAGCTACAATGCGCTGCTTCGTCGCCTTGATATTGCACTTTGCAGACGTCGCAAGTCCTGGGAGCTGAAGATTCAGAAGACGGCGGTGGCTCAGAAGTGGCTTTGTTCAGGACGATTTGGAGATAGCGTTCGCTGGCCGAGAGGGTCGATGGAGTGGATGCGCCGGCATGGGTGTTTGATTCAGAGGTAGAGGAAGGGACGAAATGGACGCGCTGTCGTTTGATGCCGGCACCAAAGTATCGCTGGTCTTTCGGTGGCACATGATAGTATTCCTCATCGCTCTCCGACATGGTTGTAACGTGACAGAAGGAAATTGCGATCAGGACAATGACGCGGCGAGAGATGGCAGTTGCGACGCGGAGATAGCGGCGGTTAGATTGCGGCGACATTTCTCCCCTTAGCAGGAAGCACCGAGAGCTCCTTCCTTTCTTGTTCAGACACAACAAAAGTCAGCATGCCGGTGCCGCTGATCCAAAAGGCGATTCTGGACGGCCTGGAGACGGTGCCCAACTCGGCTGTGTTGCTTAAGCTCCTGCCTGTCGTGCTGGTTCTGTACCTGATCAGAAGATGGTTCCAAGGAGCGACCAACACGTCCGAGAGGACCATGCACGGAAAGGTCGTCATGGTCACCGGCGGAACATCTGGTATAGGCGCTGAAGTCGCACGCGATCTGGCCACACGAGGAGCCCAGTTGGTCCTACTCACCCAACACGCCCTGGATGACTTTTTCCTCGTCGAGTACATTGAGGAACTGCGCGACCGCTCCAACAACGAACTCATCACCGCCGCTCAAGTCGACCTCACCTCGCTACACTCGATCCGCCAGTTCGCCACCAAATGGGTCGACAATGCCCCTCCGAGACGCCTCGACATGATCATCCTCTGCGCAAACACCTTGACCCCCAAGGGCGGAAAGATTCAGAAGACTGGCGACGATGTCGAGATCAACTGGGGCCTGAACTACCTCGCAAACTTTCACCTCCTCAGCATCTTATCTCCGGCCATCCGCGCCCAGCCGCCAGACCGCGACGTCCGCATCATCATGGCCACCTGTAGTGCCTACATCGGCGGCACTCTCCCAGTTACCGGAGTCAAGGAAGCCAAGATCAGACAAAAGGAGAGAGCCGAGAGATTCGACCCATACTCGGCTTATGCATCGTCCAAGCTCGCCCTCATGAGCTTCGCCCAGTCCTTTCAGAAACATCTCTCTGCTTACGCTCGGCCCGACAAGAATCCCATGAACGCCAGAGTCATCCTCGTCGATCCTGGTCAGACACGCACCCCTGGAATGCGCCGCTACCTCACCTGGGGCTCCATTACCGGTCTCGTCCTCTACCTCCTCACATACCCTCTCTGGTATATCATCCTCAAGTCCNCCTCGCAGGGTGCCCAATCCTTCCTCTATGCCGCCATGGAAGCCCAGTGGGGCAGAGGAAACGGCGGCTGGTTGATCAAAGAATGTCGCGAGATTGCTCCCGTCAGAAGAGACATGCAGGACGAAGAGCTACAGAAACAGCTTTGGGAATATTCAGAGAACATGATTCAAGAGGCTGAGAAGAGGGGAGCAAAGAAGAGAGCAGAAGCAAAGACTGGAGAGAAGATCAAGCCTGCAGAGCCCAAGAAGCCTGAAGAGAAGAAGCTGGGCAGTAGAAGGACAAAGAAGGCTTGATCTCCTTGTCAATATCAAAATGCATTTTCTCACTCACATTACAATGCGGGCGCCAAGTACCTATGAAGACTCGAACACATGGTATGTGCATACAGGTATAGACTTTACGGCACTCGGCACACTTCCGATAAGTGTGGGGACGATGATGCCACTGCTTTTACAACTCCATACCGTTGATCTCCTACTTCATACCCCCAAGGTCCAGTGTACAATAGATCTTACATCCATCTGCCAAACCTACGATCAATAATGTCCAATACAGATACAAAAACCGCATTGTCTCAAGCCCTGACTCCAGAACTCTTTACTTCTCTCCACGACTTCTGGTTCCAGCATCTTGAGGATGACACACATTTCGTCGTCCCAAGCACAAAAGACTTGAATGTGTGGTTTGTAGACAAGAGCGATGAGTTTGACAATACTTGCCGGTAAAACATCTCCTCTACTGGAATTGCTAAAGATGTTTGGCTAATCATGAACACAACAGCGAGANAATTCGGTGATATACTTGAAGTTATTGTTACGCAAGCAGCCACTGCGGAAGACATCCTCGCTGCTGCAAACCCGACCACGCCATTACAATGGATGAACCTCATCAACCTACTCGACCAAATCCCACGAAACATCTATCGCGGTACTTCAGCATCCATCATCTCTAAACTCTTTGATCCACTAGCTCTGGCAGTGGCACTAAAAGCAAGAGCACTATACATGCATCTCCAGCCTGAAATTCGCTATCGACTAGCATATCGATTATGGTTCTTTATGCCCTTTGAGCATGCCGAAGATTTGCAGATGCAGGAAATCATGGTCAGAGAGCAGAGGGGAAGATGGTATGATATGCAAGACTTACTCCTCAACAATGAGACAACGGCGCAAACCGCTGATGTAACGGGATATTGCCGAGGGGCCTTGTTGGCTAGAAAGGAAGAGTATGAGGCTTGTATGAAGTTACTCCAGAAGGCGGTGGATGAGCATTATGGAGCAATTGAACGGTTTGGAAGATTTCCTTATAGGAACAAGGCATTAGGGCGAGAGACTACGAGAGAAGAGCAAGAGTTTCTGGATGCCATGTAGCTAGTTCTGGACACAATGTTGAGGTCGATAACTTGTTTCTGAAGAACGGAATTGTGAGTACGCGATTACAATAGTGTGATAACGGTGAAAGACTCTAGGATTGATATGCTCAATACTGGAAAACTAGATTGATTGATTCTGGTTGGTCACATTCGGTGCGTGCAATGAGTTTCCGCGCAGGGGCTGTAACATGTGTCTTGACTTACGGGTGCTCAAACATAAAAGGGAGCATTCAGTCAGTAGGACTCTAGCAGGCACAGAAAAATAGAGTTGCGAAAAGACCGTAAAGTCGGTGTCCGATGTGGTCTGATGTCGGCATCAGACTCTCATGGCCCTTGCCAACATCTCTGGTAAAACTCGAGGAAGACCGATCTGTCCATGCGAACACAGGGTGTTTCAACCCAAAGATGCTTACATATGGTGGGCAGTGCAGACAACTAACATGTGCCATATGACAGATCTGTTCGATGTTTGAGCTGATACCCAACAGCTGCTAGAACTTTGACCAGGAGAAACAGTCCGTTCAGTACGGGAACGTCAACGTCAAGTCCACCAAGAGCCTCCTCGGTATCTTTGTTGCAGCCCATCCTGGATTGAATTAATCTGAACGAGAATCAACTTCCGTTACCGGCTCAGGCTCCGATGATGGCGCGAGGAAATCTGCAATCTCGATTGGAGGGTAGATAGCAAATGGCATGCTACGGCTTTCTTGCCTCCAATCTCTGTCGGTCCGGACTCCCGAAGTGGAGAGCAGGTTTGCGATTTTGACTCGTTCGGAGGTAGTGATTGAGAAGCTATGCCACTCTCGTTGCCAGTCTCCATATNNTTCGATAGCCCGTGCAACCACTGGATCAATCACTATAGGAGGAAACTGCTTCTTCTCCAGAGCGTCTTCTATTTCCCTTCTTTCTTGAGGGCTGTATTCAGTCGCAGAACAGTCATGTGACCTATCATCTCGTGGGTTACGTGTGCAGATCCAGGAGCTGGCGATGTATCTAAGTACGTCGTTCACGTGGACATTCGACCGTTCATAGCTGCAGCCGGTACAGTCAAGGGCTCCGATGCGTAAGGACACACATTCGAGTGGCGGAGAGTACGTCGGCTTCGATAGCGAGATGGTGCGGAAGATCGATTTGGCGAGGGTTGTGTCGAATGCGAGGTTGATTAGAGCGTCGTCGAGTTCATCCTCCATGTCCTGGTCCACGGCTTGTCAGCTAGAACGACATCGTCTGAACAGTCTAAAAGCAGCCGCGTTGCGAGGAAACACTTGCGGACAATAAACAGTCAAATGAATATTGCGTATAGATCTCAGACTTCCGAGAGCACGGTATATGGCGACTTCGTGGGCGTCACCTTTGGATCTCGAGACGTTAAGAGCCAGTTCTTCCAAGCGTGGACATTTCTGTTGTATCTCTCGAATGAATTCCAGATTCGCGAGAGAAACCTCTTCCTCTCCTGCAGAAGTACGATTTGACAACAGCAGACGTCGCAACCCATGTCCACAGTGATCGAGCAGCAAGCTAATTGCACATTGTGTGTAGTAGCCGGCCAGCTTTAAGCTTTTTAGAAGAGGTAGAGACGGTGCCAAGGTCGCGAGAGTCTCAGACGGGGTTTCGGACAGATTGTGTTTGACGTTCAACAACAGATGCTCTAGATTTGGCAGTTGGCAAGAAGTCAACCAGAACAGCCCTGCTTCGGTTATGCCAGGCAATACTTCGAGGCTTNNATGAAACCTCGAGAAATCCGTTACCAAGCTCCATTCTTGCAGGGCGTGAGCCTGATCTCTTGAACCAATACTCAAGTGCTGCAGAGTACCTGAGCTTGGCGAAGAAGTTGGAAATAAGGTACCAGGCTGATATGCATGTGTGTGTGGCGGCGGCTCCCACTCGTCGGAGTCCCAGTACATGTCGAGTTTTTGTAAGTTTGGTGCCGCACCTGCAAGCATATCCATGATCGCGTTTCGTACGTTGTCGGCATATGTTTCATCATCCCAGACAACCATGGCTAGACTATATAGACATGGTGAAGTGGCCAGCTTGACTTCATAAGGGTCAAGAACGATTGGATGTCTGGAGGTCGGATCTAGGCAACGCAGCTTGAAGTTTAGCATATGCAGATGAAGACCAGGGGTANNCGTGCGAGTGATGAATCTAAAGATAGAGGCAGGGAATTGTTCTTCGCACCCCCAAGTAGTTTCTCGGAGTTTTGGGAACAACGTTATGAGGCGGCTCAGTTTTTCCTATTGCGAGTCTTGTNNTACGAGTGTTGTCCGTTGCACGGATTTATCCACATGGCAGTACTTCCAAGTCGCCGAAGGATCGTCTCCACAGTCAACTAGGTCCTGTCCGAGTTGGTCATCGCTGCGATAATCGTAGAGATTGCTTGCAAGCACTTTGACATGTCGGACGTGCTGGAAACTCTCGCGACTGGTATCGAGCACACTCCAAAAGTTTCTTGCGCCTTTCAGTACCCGAGTCCAACGCTCGACCTCGAGGTTGAGTGCTCTGGCGATGCAGCTCCTTCGCGCCTTCCAATTTCACCGCGTTCTGGGTAAGCTGCATGAGCTCGCTCAAAGTCGCACTGCCAAGCCACGGGCCACATAGTTTCACGCATTCGAAAAGTTGACTTCGATCATTTCATATGAAGTTTCTCTATCATTAAACAACTATTCTGATTTTGTGTATCTGCTTCCCAAAATTCATCTATACATTATCGGAAATCTAAGAAGTGGGAGCACGACCGTTGTAGTTGACACCAGCAGTAGCGGTGTAGTTGGCGTAACAGTCGTAGTTGAAGTTGATCTCGTTGACTCTCTTCTTCAAAACGTTGACCATGGTGTCAAAAGGACAGAGACCATCCTTGTCAACAGGGCAGCCGGGGTGAGAGTCAGAAACAGGGATTACGGCATCGTTGATGAGGAAACGGATCTGTTTGGTGACGTTTCTGGAAGGGCAAGTCATGATTTGGGTGGTGAAGTGGGTGGCGAAGGGAACGATCTTGCTGGCAACGAAAGAATTGGTGCCTTGGTTGCCGGTGGCGCTAAGAGCGGGTCCGTTGAACAAGGCAGTGAAGTTGAAAGCAGTCAGGGTGTCGAGAACGATGACTTCGTGGGTAGCATCGGCGTAGATGGACTGATTCAGGGGNAAGTAGGTGGAGGAGTTGTCGAAGGTCTTGTTAAGGGCCGAAGTGGCATCGGGGTAGGTGTGGGTGAAGCGTGCAAGCCACTCCTGCAGGAAAACCCTACCCTGAGCAGCAGCGACGGGCGAGCCAGGTCCGTTGTTGTAGTAAAAGGACAAGTCGTAGTAGTACTCGTAGTTGATGAAGTCCTCCTCGGTGAAGAGACCACAGAACTTGGAGTAGCCAAGAGCGTTGGTCTCGTAGGAGCAGAGCTGCAACATCTCGACGGCGTCGGTGGCAGTGAAGTTAAGGGCACCAGAGACCTGAGAGTTCAGTCTGGCAAGGGTTGCGTTGAAAGCATTGGCGGCGAACTTGTTGGCGACAGAGCTACCGATGCTGCCACGGCTGGCAATGTTGGAGTTGGGGCAAACGTCGTAAGCAGCACCCGAGTTGTTGACGGTCGAGTTCTCAACCAAAATCTCAATGTTGACCTGGTTCAAGTACTCGGGAACACCGAAGAAACCAGCGGCAAAGTTCTCGGCGGTCTTGACCATGCGGTCTTGCGACTCGGTACGGAAGACAGGGAGAGCGTCCTGCTCGGTGAAGTTGTTGAGGAGCTCACCGTACAGCTGACGGTACTCGACACCGAGTTGGAAGTTTTGACTACGGCCAAAGGGAGTGAGAAGCTCAGCACCAAGCTTGTAAGTCCAATCAGCCAAGAAAGTCAGCTCGCCAGTAACGTTGAAGCCAGAGGCAGTAGCATTGCGGACTTTCTGGGAGAAAGTGGAAGGGCCAGCACCGCTAGTGGGGTAACGAGCACCGTGGCGGTACAGCAAGAGCATCTGGTTGATGGTGCAGCCGTCTGGGATCAAAGGGCTGGCCTCAGACAGGCCATAGTCAGCAGACGAGACCGAGTACCAAGGACTGAGGTTACCCCAGTACTTTGTGATGTCGAATTTGTCGCCGAAAGCAGACGAACCATGAGGTTGAGGCACGGCCAACGGGAAAGCAGCAGCGGCAGCCGAGTTGTATGGGTAGAGGGGAGCGGTCTGAGCAGCAGCACCTTCGAGACCAGTTGGAGTAGGTCCTGGGAAGCCAACCTCGGACTCGTTGGGGAAGATAGAGGTGTTAACCTTGGCTGAGGTCTGTCAATTCACCAGTACATACATCTGACGGATATGTTACTTACTGCCTGTGGGAGGGAAGACATCGCTGGTGGTCGAGCCGGCAATCTTGGAGTCTGAGACTCTACTGGCAGAGCTAACAGCAGCGGCAGAGGCTACATCGGCCACAAGGGCCAGAGCGGCGACATTGAACAGGGAAGAGAGCATCTTGGTCAAGCTAGAAAAAGTCTCAATCGTCTGCAGCCTTGGACTTGGGGTGCCGACGACCAGGCATTTGTACTGTTCAACCATCAAGGTCTCGGATGCCTGCGGTAGATTTTCCAGGCCATATCGGGCAGCTCGCACCATCCATGAACATGGTTCCTTCGAAGTTGTCGGAGAAAGTGTAATCGTGCATACCAGTGTCGTCATGCGGGAAAGCTCGAAGCCAAGGCTTCTGGCCAAGGTCCAGAGAGAGCTTGTCTTTGTCGCACGTGTTTGTTCGAACTTCGCCAAAAACCAACATGGGCCGACAAAAGCAACCAGAGCACGTGTGTCGCTTCCCAGAGACCATCGACAACATGGATCAGGGTCGCGATGCCATTGGCAGTTCAATCCATCCTTCGAGACATTGAACGCCTCTGGCTTCTCAGCATCCACGTCTCTATGCTTCCCAACACTTATTCTGCGCGAAAAAACAACTCACTACCAGGATCAACACGCGCCATACTCGATAGATGAAGATGCTAAGCATGCGCCTCAGGTACTTGGCAAGTGCTTGCTCGCATAGGGTAGCCATACCGAAGCTTGGACGTCCATCGCCGACGATCTCAACGAGCTTCGGGAACTGGCGGTCTCGGTCACCCTTGATTAGATTCGAAGTTCAGACCCTTGCCGTTGGAATTGCATCAAAACACAGCCAACAAGCAGCGCGAAAGCTCTCAGCCACGATCGTTCTCAGAGTTCGCGGGCGAGCACGGGGATTTAAGTACCTGACTACCTTGGGCTGTCTGGTGAGTTCCTGATAGACGCGGCGGTGTCTGGGCCCCTATCTCGTGTCTGGCAGACACGGTTCCCTGGCCACGCGTTCAATTTGCGCATACGGGCTGCGCCCAAGCGCCTGCAGAGCTCAGCGCAACATGAACATGTAGCATACCCTGTAAGTCTTCGCTATGCTGATTTTTGCATGCGACTCGGTTGTTTCGAGAAATAAGGACCGGTCACACATTGATCAGTCTGTCATAAATGCGTGGTTTTCAGTCGCCCTTTTGCACCCGGCCCCTCAGGCTGTTACGCAACATCGTTGCTGCTGCCTTGATACTGTGCCTAGTGGTATACCACATCCCTGACCGGACATGGAGAGGTGCCGGGCTGCTCTTCTTTGGTTCGCACTGGCAAAAGTTTCCTCTGTAAGTGCACATTCCCTGACTACCTAAGCCTTCTCTCGCTAACGTATGCCCTACAGGCNTTGACGGTTACTATTCCGGCGTCCGCAGCCTAGGTCCTATATTAGACCATGTAGAGGTCACCGGGTCTCGTGAGCAGGAGGGCAAGGATAGCACTTCTACGTGGCTGAAAGAGCAGGAGATACACAACCGCCTGGTTGAATACAACCCCTACCACGGTTTTCGATCCGCTGTTGGCCGACCCAGCTTCATGCAAGAATGCTTCCTTGACGACGCGCGGACCGTGAGCATCCCAAGCGTATACTCTTATCTTGGTACGCCACAGAATCATCCTGACCCTCTTTATGGTTCCTACGAGGTACTGGGACTCAGAGACGACGTCTGCTTCGACCGGACTGGTCGTCTGGATGCCTATGCATCAACTGCAAACTCTGATAGATCCGAAGATGCTTGGCCTCCGGACCGTGAGACCCAGCAAAGTCCGATAGATTGGGGCATTGTCGACTGGGCAGCCGCTCAGAAGAGATGTTATGAAGACAACACTTTGCAGTCTAGTGCTGGGAGCGAAAAACAATCCACACCATCCGATGCCCTGCCAATAATTCCCAGGCAGGCAATCGTCTTACGAACGTGGACAGGCTATCACTATACCCGTAAAGCTATAATAAATCTCAGGGCACTCATCAGTGAAGTGTCTCTGGGCTCAGGCGGCGAGTACGATGTCCATTTGCTAGTTCACGTCAAAAACAATTTGGCACGCTTCTGGGAGTCTGAGGAGCTCTATGATCAAATACGTCGAGAAAATGTGCCAGCGGAGTTCCGTGGTCTGGTTACGCTCTGGTCCGAGAAACAGATGGAGTCAGTCTATCCTGGGCCATTCTGCAATGAAACTTTCAACAGAGCTGGTGAGCCTATTCACGGAGTCTACAGGAGCTCTCACATGCCACTGCAGTACTTTGCGCAGACCAATACTCAGTACGATCACTTTTGGAACTGGGAGATGGATATTCGCTACATTGGTCATTACTATGAACTATTCGATCGCCTGGGACAATGGGCAAAGTCACAGTCAAGGCGCGGTATCTGGGAACGCAGCGCCAAGTACTATCTCGAAAAGTTACATGGCACATGGGCCAACTTTTCCGATATCGTAGAGAGGGAGAACCCCGTTTCAGTCTCTGGTCCATTGCACTTCGCCGGATCTCCTGCGCTCGTACATCACCGAGGATTCATGGCTTCCAAAGAGAACGATGAGGACGCCGATCTGATTACACTGAGCCCAATGTTCGACCCGAACGAGTCGGGGTGGTATTTTGAGCAGGACGTCACTGGATACGATACTCAGTTGCCTCTTCCTCCACGTCGTATCGCCATTGTCGCAGCATCGCGGATGTCTCGTCAGCTTCTTCACCATATGCATAAGGAGACTTACGAACTCAAACACAGCATGTGGACCGAGATGTGGGCACCAAGCATTGCTCTGCACTACGGGCTGAAGGCGACTTATGCCCCGCATCCTGTCTACTACGATCGCAAATGGCCAGTCGAAATTGCTGATAGGATCTTCAATGCTGGCAAGTATGGTTCAGTTGGAGGCAATGCTTCGTCTGTGTCCGGATCATCTGAGCACAACTTCTTCGGGAGTACTTGGTATTGCAATGCAAAATTCGCAGGCAAACTTTGGAGAGCCTGGCTTGGTCGCAGCAATCAGGAAAATAAGTCGCAAACGGGACTCGACCACATGTGTTTACGTTCTATGCTCTTGCACGCAGTAAAGCACGAGTAGGGAACGGTTGCCAACACTCCGGAAGAATTGGAATCAGTTCCAGGATCAACGCTCGGACGCTGTTGGCCGGCTAATTTGCCATACTTGTCCGCCCCAGGTTGAACCCCGCCCACGACACCGAGATCTCCCTTTTCGGCAGGGCGCACCTTCACGATATTCAAGTCAGCGCGAGTCATATAAACAAACCATCATCGCCCATCACAACTTATCACTCGAACTCCCAATCATGGCCGATACCATCAGTCTTGACCAGTCTCGTGTCACAAGCCATGATGACAATCAATCGACACGACAAATTGAGCCGCTCACTGTCGAAGAGGATGCACAAGAATACGAACTGACAGGTCTTGGCCTGATCACAGTCATATCGGGACTGGTGCTTGCCATATTTCTGGTTTCTCTGGACTCAGCAATTGTCGCGACCGCCGTGCCGTATGTGACTGCAGAGTTCAAGTCTGCCGGAGACACGGCTTGGTATGGAAGTGCATATACTCTCGCGACTTGTGCCCTCCAACCCATCGCTGGCAAATTTTACGCCAAATTTNCCCGTCAAGGTACATGCCGCAATCAATCTTCTCTAATCGAGATCTGACCGCTGCAGACAACGTTTCTTGTCTTCATGGCACTGTTCGAAATTGGATCACTGGTATGCGCCACAGCTCCAAATGCTGTTGGATTGATTGTAGGAAGAGCGATCGCTGGAGCTGGAGCTGCTGGCTGCACCACTGGCGCCTTCACAATTGTCGCTATGTCAGTCCGCCTTCCTAGACGAACCACATATCTCAGCGCACTGCAGTCGACCTTCGGTATCGGCATCATGCTTGGACCACTTCTCGGAGGAGTTTTGACTCAACGCGTTACCTGGAGATGGTGCTTCTATATCAATCTTCCCGTCGGCGCCATCACCGTTCTGTTTCTGGTCTTGTTCTTCCATCCGCCAAAGGAAGATCGAGCGAACACGCCTGCCCAGAAGATGGCAAGTCTGGATCTTGTCGGTCTTCTGCTGTTCGCACCAGCCACGATTATGATGCTCCTTGCGATTCAGTGGGGTGGTTTGGTGTATGCTTGGGGAAGCGCTACCATTATTGGACTCTTTGTCGGTGCCGCAGTTCTCACCGTCATCTTCGCTCTCTGGCAAATCCGCAAAGGTGATGATGCCATGATTCCACCAAAGCTTCTCACGCAACGCGTCGTCTTCTCTGCTTGTCTAACCGAGCTTTTCGCCATGGGGACCGTTTATGTGGCTACATACTATCTGCCTCAGTGGTTCCAGATTGTCAAAGGTGTATCTCCCATCAGGTCCGGCGTCATGTACCTACCTCTGTCGCTCTCTGATGTCGCTTCCGCATTGATGGTGGGTATACTTCTTCCTTATGTTGGCCTCACAAACCCTTTCATTCTGGCTGGCACGATCTTGCTGGCTGTCGGATCTGGTTTGCTATCCACACTCAGCACATCTTCGGGCAGCCAATACTGGATACCCTACCAAATCCTACCTGGCATGGGCGCTGGTATTTCGCTCTGGATGCCATATGTAGCTATTCAGACCGTTCTGAAACCCGAAGACATCCCTGTCGCGACAGCCTTGCTGCAATTCTTCCAGTCATTTGGAGCAGCATTGTTCCTAGCTCTCGCGCAAGCGGTCTTCTCGAGTATCTTCTATGCTGCTCTCAAGTCTAAAGATATCGTCGGTCTGGACTTGTCCGCCATCGTCCATGCAGCTCCTGCAGATTTCCGAGCGCTTGTTCCGAAGGAAAATCTTGCGCAAGTATTGAACGCCTACAATCAAGGTGTGACGAGTACATTCTATCTTGGAGCTGGTTTGGCTGCAGCTGCTTGTTTCTCAAGCTTTGGTATACAGTGGAAGAGTTTCAAGCCAAAACACGACTGATTTATTCAATTGCAAAAGTATACAGCGGAACGATCACCTGGTTGATATGCGATCAAGTCATAGATTAACATATGTAATCTATCACGAAGCAAAGACAACTCCATCTAGACCTTCTCTGACACCGCTTACTCCGCTTAGTTGCATACCGCGTGGAGTCCTTAAGGACACTTAACATCAAGAGAAAGACCATACACCGGTATATTGCTCGAAGAAACCGTCTGGATCATACTTCTGCTTCATCTCTTGCAATCGAGAGTAGGTACTGAACGTCTTCAGGGGATCTTGGTCGTAGTTCGCATCATTAATAAACAACGGAAGGCCCTCTGCGTTTGGCATCGAATTGACCATGTCTCTAAAGCTGGCCTGTACCTGGTTGTACGCAGACTGCGACATGCCAGGGGAGTGGAGATCAAGAAATTGAGCCAGAACCATGGTCCATCCGGCATCTGCATGGCATTGCCGCCATTTTGCGCGTTCGACGCATCTGTCAAGCTCTTTGGTATCGGTTGGTAGTCAAGTGACGACAAGACGTATGAGCCCTTGTTGTCTTCGCACTAGGTGGTCCAAGCGGTGAGAGCCGAGAGCAGGCTGATGCACCCGGTGTCGAGCTTTGGGGGTTTGGTATGGCAGACACCAACTTAGATAATACGACAAGGGTCGTGAGTCCTAGAACAGTGCTCGGCAAGATGATCATTAATAGGGACCAAGCAATTCGAGCTGGGAGGAAGGCCTATCGTGGGACATGGTTTTATTTATATCTTTCGCTTGTTGGGCCTCGGTCGTCTATCAAATTGGCCGCGAGCTTTGTTCTAGCAAAGATCATCCCTCGTTATACGTAAAGTTTTGGTTCCATTGCTAGCTAGAGTGATAACCACTCTGTCTTTGCACAAAATGCATAAATTGCATTGCGATCTGCAATCAAGCAAGGCAGGTCACGGTCTCTTGAACTCAACTTATGTAGATCACTACTAGTTTCATAAATTGCCGAGGCCTGCTTACAGAATTATACAAGGAAAGATCACGTGCGCGCTGCCCCTTGCCATGAGGTTTCAGAGGGTCAAAGCCGCGCCCTAAATTTGGACTGACTCTGCTACTCTACACACGACATGGTCTTCCATCTGCAGCAGGTCGCCAATAGTCATCACTTCCGACAGCCGTGTTGGCCCAGAACGATTGTTGCGGATTTTAGGGTTATACTTCTTGAACACTGCAAGAGACACTAACAAGGAATCCAAGGCTGTCCAATCACTCTGATCGTCGGTGCATGTGCTGGTGTCCAGATTTGGTGTATAGCATGGCTGAGCGAGAGGAATGACATGGCAAGAAACAGACACAGCTCATCATCATTGCGCAATCATATCTGACAACCTATGGTATACTGGTACTGGTTGCAAAGCGCCCACCGTCCCGATCTGTAATTCCCATGCCGGCTCTCGCACGATATGCGCCTACTACTTCTCTCCTGAGTGGACTTCCTTCAATCCTCTTCCATCGTTGACTACACGCTCGAAGAGGCTCGAGGGCAACATCCAACCTAGGTAATGTACGAGGGTGGCAGTGCCTCCGCGCCACACGAGCCCTGCACGTCCTGCGACGATATCATCAACGGGGTTCTTGGCCGTGACGTCGACCTCCTGACCGCCAGGCTTCTTCAGTCCCTGCCTCTGATCGTTGATGGTCTGTCTGACGCTCTGGTAGTAGGACCCTGCAGGCAACACCAATTCGCCTGCCTTGTCGTGGATGGGCGTGTGAGCGGCTCCCACCATGGCAGTGATGACACGCACACCAAGAGGCTGCATCTTGACTCTCAGCGTCTCCGAGATCTGCTTGGCGGCAACTTTGGAGCTGCTGTAGACTCCTGCNGGCAGGTATCAGTATAGTCGGCGCAAGAGTAAGGATAAGGACATTTGCTTACCGCCCCAGGCAAGCGGCATTGTTGCTGCAACAGAGCTGATGTTGCAGACGGCTCCTCTGGCTTTGATGAGCAGCGGCGCAAAGGCTTGTGTGGTGGCCAAGACGCTCCAGACATTGACGTCGTACAGCCTCTTGGCTTCCTCAATCGAGACATCGAGCAAAGGAATGACGAAGTCGGCTACGGCATTGTTTACAAGGACGTCAAGAGTGCCGCCAGTGCTCTTCTGAACTTCGAGCACACACTGCCCAATGGATTCGTGAGATGTCACTTCGAGCTCCAAGATTTCGACATTGGCCAGCTGCGCCAGCGATCCGGCTTTGGAGGTGTTGCGGAGGGTTGCAAAGACGTAGTATCCTTGGTCGCTGACAGCCTTGGTCATGGCAGCGCCGATGCCGCCGGCACTGCAGCCTGTCACGAGAACCGTCTTCTTCGCCATGGTGGAGGTGTTGGTATGTTGTTGTGTTGTTGCGGAGCAGAGCCTGCGAACGTGCAGAGCAGGACCTTTACGAATTACATTGTTGACATTGCACCAAGGAATGCTTACCCGACGTGCAAATCGTAGAAGGTGCGCTGCGGTATACAACAAAGAAGAGATGAGTCTTGCTTACGCCTGGTCGGGTTCTTATTGTCCCGCATCATTACTGCCCGTCAAATTATTCTCGGTTGTAGAAGTCATGGTAATTTCGAATCTGCGGGAAGCACTACTGAAGGTCCTGCTCGAGCATAGCTCCGGCGATCAAATGGTAATAGATGGTCACGATCTGGACGGTAGAACAGCTCTACACACAGCTGTGGACATAGGCTTCGAGGCGGGCGTTCGTATCCTGCTAGAGCCTGGCGCAAACATGAAATTCTGGGCTAGAAAACACTGATCTGTCGATGAATAATGATACACGGCCTCTTATATAGGGTTTCACGCTGTTGGCGTTCTTAGACATGAACTTTATATCCTTTCAACCCGACTTCTTCTGGGCACGAGGTAAGCAAAAATTCGGATTCTATGTTACATCGTTCACGGCCTGCAATCAGTGTCTGCATCATGCTTACAATTATACCATTCTCGTATTGCTGTCTTCTCTTTCTCTCCAAAGTTCCTGGAAGCAAGAAATGGCACGAGTTCAGAATCTCTACTTCGAAAAACGACGTTACCATCGACCATTGTTTCGAACCTAGCACCTCTCAGAACCCCTCTGCCATTCACATTGTGGTACAAAGCACAATGGGAGATCGGCATGGGCTTCGGTCCATCTTCCAAGAAAATTACAAGTCTTGAGGCGACAAGCGGAGAGCGAAGATGCCGTGCAATGGTTGACTTGACTCCGCCAAAGTCCAAACACGATCCTCGATCATCCAATCGATTACTGGTAGTCGTCGATGTCCATCATCTCGTATGATTCGTCCTGAACTTGGCATCAGTATATAGCATCTGAACATGGGAAACAATCATTTACTCTGAGCACCATTGCTCCCTGAATTACACCTGCAATCCTCTTGGGATGAGCAGATTTGAATGTTTCGTGGATGAGATTTCAGTCTGCTATGTCGCGCAAGGTCGGTCTTCCTTGCAGCCTTGACAATAACGAGGTCGAAGTGGAAACCCTGAACCAAGCCGAATGACTCTTTAGCAAGGTCAATGAGGTGGAATGTCGACTTCCTGTTGTTCGAATACTCTGTCCGGACCGTGATCAATGCCTTCATCTTGACAGTACCGAGGTCGTAGGACGAATACACCAAACGAGCGGCCATCTCAGATGTCTCGAACCACAGCGAAGAGTCATCGCTGTGTACCAGGTTCAGGTTCAGTTTCAAACCCTTTAGCAATGGCTTCTAGTGAGCTGTCAGATCAATGACAGTGTCAAGCTCTGAATGCGTAACAGAGTCGTTGACTGCTTCCCTGCCGTGACTGGATATATTCTTGCAAACAGTCGTCTGCGACTAGGCGTCCGCATTCGCTCGATACGTGGATATCAGATTGCATACTAGGTGTTGCGGTAACTGTGGCCTGCAAGTCGGCAATCACTTTGATCTTGGCCAGCTCGTGGTCACGTATGGTCCAGAGTAGATGGAGTGTTTTCGATGCTTGGGAATCTGCGTTGTTGCTGGCCCACCAGTTTGCCAATGCGAGGGTGCCGGTAATGCCGCTTCCGCCTGCGATACAGAGGATGTGGTCGGCTGAGAATTGCTCAGGCTGTGGGGCGAGTATGGGCCTTCGAAATGAGCCTGTAGAGATCGTCAGCGCATAAGCAAAAAAAAAAGTATCGAGCAGTCTGAGAACTCAGAGGAATTGTGGGCGGTCCGTTGTTGGCGTTATCGGCAAGGGCAGCGAGTTTCCATGTCCATTCACGATCCCCCTTTTTGGCTTTGTCTCGCTCAGGACTCTTTTGGAAGAGGATTGCTGGTCCTTGTGTTGCTGAGCCGGGAAACGTGGTTGTGAATGGATGGATCTGTAGTTTACTGACGGAGGTCACGTTGAGGTGATATGTCGCTGGCTCTGTCGGTACTCACAATGGCAAGTCAAGCTCTCCGTCTGCGTCACAAGGACAGAGGGTGCCGTTCATGGCATACAAACATGGAGCTGGTCGCCTGTCAGGCACTGCAAAGAGCAATCACAGACCCCGTCGAAAGTGTTCGCGACGAGACGCTACTCGCAGTGCTTTGTTTAGACTTCGCCGAGCATCTGGCCACTCGAAACACAAGCAGTCGGGCTTCTCGAGCGCATGTACGGGGCGCATTAGCCTTCGTCCAACACCGCGGCTCCCTGGGGTTCAAAACTGCCGCGGCGTGCTCTCTTTGGCTGATACGTGGAGCAATTTACTGCTACAGACTCTTTGGGTCAACGACAAGGATACTTATGATGCATTACAGTCGTTGCCCGACATCGATATGGTGCAGAGTAGCCCTGTCATCAAGTTCCAGCAGATTCTGAGTAGAGCGTTGAAGTTGGACTACAGCTTTCTTGCTAGCAAGCCCGACGACTAGTCGCAAGATAACCGGGCTCGAAGACACGAGGCAAGTCTGATTCACTCACAGTTGGTTGACTGGTATGCATATCTGCCCCAGGACTGGAGGTCTATGGCAATGGATTCTGGTAACCCTAGCTTGCTTGATAAGGCCACTCCAACCCACATTGCTTATGTGATTGGACAGTGGCATTGTACGATGCTGATGGTTCTCAGAATCTGCTATGCGATCAACACAAGATGTGAGATGATCAAAAGCACGTATCTTGGGTTGGAAGCGATTGTCGGTAACGTTGTATCAGTAGTCGACAGCTTGCTCTTTCTATTGCTCGTTCTCACACAGGCCACAAGAAGCAGCTTGGGTCTACGCACGGGCACGCAGATTACCTCGGAGCGAGCTATGGCCGCGGCTATACAGACAGACACGGTGCCTTCGATGGCTACTGTTACCTGGCCAAAATCCTCACGTGTATCTGTAGTGTATCGGCCGAGGACCTCGAAGGTGCTAAAGATCTCAAGATCAGACCCGAACAATGGGAGTTGCTGCGTTATGAACGGGATCTGGTTGTTTATGCGAAGACGTGATACCGGAAAACCATTCTGAGTCCGCACTTGACGCCATGTGGGGTTACTTGTCTCGATGGTTTTATCTCCGAGTGAGATCTGTCAACTCGACAAGTTTGGATTACCTCAGGCCGACATCACAACTCCTGCTACTGCACAATTTCTGGTCAGCGCTTGTTGAGATACTGTACAAATTGTGTTGTCGGGTATCTGCCAATAGCTTCGTTCGCCATGCCAGATCTCGATGCCATTGCGCTAGAAGGGGCTTCGACTTTCCTCAGGCTGTTGGTCCAAGCATTGAACGTGGTCCTTGACCCTGGCTCTTATGCTGGCGAGCTGGCTTTCCACCGAGTTTCGCCTCTCGAATGTTTGTATGACTTGACGGCCAGATTGGTCGGCATCGTACACTTTCTGCTTTACAACGGTCGTGATGTCGACAGCGGAATTGTGTTATTTGTCGCAGAAGACTATCTGCCTCCACGACTAGCATTGAACATTCCCAGCATCTACCATGCTTACAAAATTTTCCGTCTTAGCGAGGCATACTGGACCAAGGTTTTTGCCGCATCGTATCTACTTTGCTGGTTGTCTGCAAAGATCTACCCCATGCGCTCGCAGCAACCCACAGTGGCTGAGAACGACCGCGTTCGCAGGAAGATTACCAACCCCGTGTTCTTCGCTCTCACACACAGTCTTGTATGCTTCGCTGTGTTCAACGACCGACTGGAAGCTGCACTCTGGTCATGGTTTGGTATTTTAGCCATCGCTGGCTTTACACTCGCCATCTCGCCCACACCACCTCGCATCAACCCTCCGAGAGACCCAGAGTTCGAAGTTGTTCTTCAACTGTGCTGTCATCTTGCTTGCCTTGCAGTGTGCTGGCTGTTTGGGTTCTCGCACATCTCGTTGGACCTCAAGGTTAAGGATAAGAACTGGCGCGATAGCCGCGCGCTCATGGTGATGACGGTGCTGCAACTCGATGCGGCCATGATCTTTCTCGTCGTAGCAAGGGCAGAGCGGTGGTCAATTTTGAGGTTTGGGCTTGTGGGCGCAAGTCTGATTGGGATGGCATATGTCCATTACATTGAGATGTATGCTCTAATCGGAGGTACAAAAGCCTTGCTCAATTGAGAAAGCCCTGTCGTACAACGTGTCACGAGAATGGACGTCGATAGATCTTCCTCGCTGGAGTGCCGCTTGCACATTCTTGAGTATTCGGGAGCTGACCTGATCTGATGCAGGCGTACACTTCTATTCGTGACAAAGTCAGGTTTGAAGAATCATTCGTCGCAAGTTACACCAATCCATTCTACCGGTTGCTGAAGCTCATCATCAGCTGTTCTCCCAGAGCCTTGGCACACAAGGCCCATCAAACACTTAGGCAACCTACAAAGAAGCTACCTGCCGCATACACAATCTCTACGAGTAAATCAGGTGTCTTCGAGTTGTTGATCTTGCAGAGTTACGACCATTACAATTCTTACCAACCTCGGAGATGTCTCCGACTTACTATAATCGCTGTGAAGTTTCACGGGGGAACAACCGCCAACCTTGCACCGTCCGCCTGTGCATCGGCCTTGGATGTTGGAAGGATTCCTACTGTCTTGATCGATCTTGCGCGTTCATCTGTACGAAGCATTTTGCGAATAAACATTATGCAATCATACATATTCTGACGCCCGCCAAGACAGGCTGTGATGGAGGCAGCGGACGATCCACACCACTACTATGTGCCTGGCGGTCCCCATGGCATTCCCGTGTCTAATTCGAGACAGTAAGTGGGGCCTCGCTGTGTTGGCTACATGATCCTGCGACTGCGCCGCAAGTCTGCTCAGCATATAGCCAGTCCGACAAGAACGAGGCAAGAGGGTGGAATCATCGAAGGGCGGTTCTTTCTTCTCGCAATCGATACTTTTGAACAATGAACGTCCACACTGGAAGTTTGCGTCAAGCAAGTGGTGAACTCTTTTCATGGCCATCATTTGAGGGCGATGGCGGTGTCCCGAGCGGACATCATGCCCACTCTACCCGACTTCATGAACCCACGATCGAGGAACATAACGACGAGCAGTTCTTGCAACCATCCGATGTTCCTATTGCGGGGTCATTCGCGGCAAAATCACAGCCACTGCACGAATCGACCAATTGGCAGGCCAATGTACATTCTATAGTGCCAGAAGCCACGACATCCAAGGCACATGCGACAACCTGTACACACATAGTCAGAACTGTACCCCGATCAAGTGCTGGCAACATGGTTGCGACGGCCGCACCTTCAAGTCATTCCGTAACTATCGACGTCACTGCAAAGAAAAAGAGGGCCTCACCAGCAAATCTTCATGTCCTGCATGTGGGCAAGAATTCTCCCGGCCAACAGCCATGAGACTGCACTACGAGAATCTGAGATGCAAGATTGTCCGATGCGACGCCAATGGAGTGCTATTTCGGGAGCCTCTTCTTCCGCGAGCCTCTCTACCTATCTGAGGTCCGAATGGGCAAGAATGGTATGCGCGGCGGCTTCCAAGACCATTGGCAGTTATGATGGGCATTAGAGTCCATTTGCCCCTCCTGAAGCTCGTTCGCGAACCAGGGAGGAAGCCGTGAGGGAAGAAGCTGGACATTAAACTGTGACCGTAGTTTCGCGATTAGACAGATAGGAAACAACCAGACTTTTAGCAGAGAACGATGAACGTGAGTGGTGCTGAATTTCAGATGGCATTCGCCGAGAGTTAAGTGAAGGTACTGCTGCGTCATGCATTTGGTGTTTCTGACATTGAGATTTGGCTTGTGACAATTACAGATGTGCAAGATGAGCGAGTGACGACATACTTCGGCCGTCTACGCGTACGGGAGCTCAGATCTGTATGGACACTGCATCCAGGCACGGACAATAAGGCTCGGTGCCGATCTCTTCATGACCTAGCCCTGGACCTTTGCCATATCGAGACCTGTTCCATGTGCATGAGCGTAACTCATCTTGCCATACTCAATGTCTCGATTGATCAAAATCCATTCCGTCTAAGCTCCCGCGGTGGAACGCCCTAGCGTCACAGCATCAATCCCAGCTAGTTTGTGTTCGTTGCGTAACACCTCCGGTACAAATATCTCAAAAGCAAAGTTCCATATGGTCGCAGACACCGGTTTGGAAAACTTCGCGCCATGCCCAAAGTCGTCAGGCTTGGAGCTTTTACTACCGATGTGCTGAATGATACTTGGAGTTAGAGCCCAACGCTGTTCTCCGTGCTCGTTAGCGTATTGCTCGATCAACATGTCAGCGAACCCGACCCGGGATGTTGTGAACCACTCAATGAGGTCGAGGGCTTTGTGGCGAGGGAAAACCAGACCTTGGGCGCAGCAGCCGAAGTTGTTCATCTCGTTGATGCCCTCAGGAAGAGGTAGTACCGTGGCCTTGCCGGCAGCAAATACCATCACGACAGCCCAGGGGACTATCAAAGTGACGATCGCAAGGGACAAGCGCGGGGTGAGAAGCCGCTTGGGGTACTGATATGCCATGGGGAGCCCGAAGACCAGGCAGATAGACCCAGAGATGAATAAGACCGACCAAAAGGCATAAGTGGGCCAGTTCTCGTTATTCCATCCTAGGAACTCTTCAGTGTAGAACATTCTCAGATACAGAAAGTCGCGCGACGGTTTCATCTGTCTTGATCGCGTCTCTGCTTGGTGAATTCCGTACACGGTACGATGGTACCAGCCGTCCATGGCGACGACATCGTCCTCGAGCAATGCAATGTATGGTGTGTTCTTCGCATGGCACGCCTTCATCAGGTAATTGTAGTCGTATAAGCCCTTGGTTCGATGCTCTACATCTTTGAGCTCGAGAGACTCGATGTACTCCATCTCCTGGTTCGAGACATTGTATAGTACTATCTCGTCCACAAGGTTCGAAAGCCAAGCTTCCTGGAAGGCGGGATGAATATTGGGATCGCTATGAGGCAAGAAGACCATCAAGTACATTCCAGCTCTTTCTTCTTGTGACAATCCTGCCAGTAGCGAGCCCACCGTAGTACGTAAATAACGGGCGCCATCGCGGGCGACCGATGGGATGCCGACACAGAGTCCTGTGGCCGGGTTGCTTTTTCGATAAGGCGGTGTTTCGACAGCAGCTTCAACAAATCGTTCAGCTTGTTGTTGGCGAAAAGCGCTGTATCGTTGACTGTACCCCGAGGAAGGATTGAAGAACCAAGAGCCTGGATCTCTCGACGAAGCGCTGCGGACAAGTAAAGTTGTGGTAAAGATCGAGAGTAGAATGAGCCCATACACAGTGAAGCGGGCAGTCGAAAGCCCCAAGCGGGCTGCGCTATGAGTGTAAGAGCGTGATAGCCTGCTTGTCACTCGGGCCCTCTTGGTGACAGAAGGGTAGTCTTCGTGAGGCCGCGCCATAAGCGTAGGATCGAACAGAGGCTTTAGACTGCTATTTTGTGAACAAGAGCATGATGAGGAAAATCGATTTATTATCATCTTTCAATCATGGCCAAAGGCGCAGATCGCGCAGGCAGCATCGCAGTAGTTCCTGACCTGTAAGAAAGGTCCGTGTATCTCCAAGGCACCGTTCCACAACTTGTTACGCGATGAGGAGCCACGAGTGCGATCCATCGTGGACGGCCTGCACAGATTCGCCCTTGGCGTGGAGGAGTACCGGTCGTTCCCACAATGATCACCATACCAACAGTCACGAATCAATCTTGGGTGAGCTTGGCATGCATTCTTATGGTGTGATGTTGTCTCTGCTATGCCAAGACGGCTTCTCCCATACGACATGCCGGCTAAGAGTCTTTTGTAGCTTAAGATAGAACGGAGATAAAGCAACAGATAGTCTTGGATATAGGTAGACTGTTACTTGTAAGGAAATTATATCACACTATACACTATACCCGCTCCACTATCGCTCCTGTATACTGTTATGGGAAACAAACATGAGCATCCTGACACATACTACCCCGCCCCGGTAGCTCTGCCGGTAGAAGGCCGAGCGCTGCTGTTGGAACCACTAATCATGGTGTCCTGCAGTTAATCACCTTTCCATTGTGTTCAATCAACTTTGATTGATCAATTAATTAATCCATCGTGTGGGGCTGCGAAGACTCTCACCAGTACGAGGTGCATCCTACGAACCAAAAGCGCTCTTGTGCGTCTCTGGAACCTGAAGGAGTCACGATCAAGCTGACTCGGGCGCGATATTCGCATTCAGGAGCGGCCTGACGTGCCGCTGCAGCGAGCTGCCAACCCAGAACAGGGGAATACCGCCGAATCGCTTTTGGAAACTATCCGATAACGGTCAAATTGTCTTGGAAGCATATCCTTTGACGTTGCATGGCGTACGGCGCAAGAACCAAGGCTTGGGCGATTGGAAGGACACCTTTGGGTTGCAAAATTTTCAAGACGGAGCCAGAACCGCCACGCGCGAAGCGACCGACGCGTCTATCGAAACTCTTGTTGACCACACCGCTCGAAGTGTCTGCGGACCACGTGTCTTTAAGCTCCTGTTTATCCTCCGGATACTGGATTCGAAGTTCTCATCAAGACCTTACGCGACTAGGCAGGACATTCGCTGTCAGGTACAAACCTTTCCGCCACTACGCACAGAGCTTACGCCGGATCTAGGGGCCGTCCGGACGCGAGAATATCCATACGTACCACACATGGGTGGTAGAGCGCCTCGTACGACAGCTCATCCGAAGTCGTCGAGAAAGCTGAACATAACAGGGCAGGATGGAAAGAGAGAAAGGAGTTGAGAACAGGCATACCAGGAAGTAAGGACAGGAATAGCAGGTAGGAAAACAGACGAACACTTCGGTCAGCGGTCGGACAAGCATGAGAGTACCGTCGGACGGTTGTATGCAGTGCTCGAGCAGGGTTGTGAGACACGGTAAGCCTTGATGAGAGAGTAGACCTGGCAAGGTATCGCGAAAGATGGTCCTGCTTGTCCGATCGAACGACGACCCTCATGCTAGGCACACACGAGAGTAGGTCCAGTCAAACACGTCAGGCATCCCACAGGGCTCGACCCTTTTCCCGACTCTGTTTCTCTTCATTTACTTCCACCCCCTGCCACAGCTCAGCGACGACCGCAATCGGCTTTGTGGACGACATCAATACACCTACGTTCAGCGGATCCACAGAAGCAGACCGTCGGGGCCTGGAAAGGGCAAACGCAACGTGCATGGCTTGGGCACGCACACACGGCGCGATTTTCGCGTGCGAGAGATTCCAGCTAATGCACTCTACTCGCAGCCCAGGAAGGTCCAATATACAGGCGATTGTATGCGTACCCAAGTTTCAAGATGGTCCGGTGCCCTCATTGAGAATCTTTGGAATCACCTCGACTCGAGAATCAAATGGGGTCCTCACGTGAACTCGACAGCTGCAAAGGCAGCATCGCCCATGGCTCCGTTAACTTGATCGATCAAAAGTACATGAGGTGACACACATTCGCAAGGGCCACACAAATATGCGTTACTGTCGTTTGCCTGGTACTCGTCGACGCACGCCCAGTATGGTCTTCACTCGGAGATGCAAGAGTTCTTGGAGGCAAACCGACCCATCCAATGGGATATCTTATCAAATCACGCCGGTCGTATCAGGTGAGTCAGTTCAGTCAAATGGGCAGTCGTTCAATTGATTGATTGATTGATTGATTGATTGATTGATTGATTGATTGGAATTTCAAAATCCAGCCTATAAGCTAGAAGTTTGGTGTCCGGTCAATCTCAACCATAATTCTGAGTTCAAATTTGTAAGGCAACCTATCCGAAGCCTGCACGCGGCCGGGATAGAGCGCGTATCGGAAGCGAGCACTCTCATCTGACCGTCCGCGGACGGATGGGGAGTCTAGAGCCCCGGTGACAATATCTAGGCAAGCGGATCAAGAGTGAATGACCTCCACACGCAGACCCCCGTTGATGGTGTAAGTGCCACCAACCAGATTGTCTCCTCCGGCACCCTGCTGGCAAGTCTGCTGGATTTGATTGGCAAACTTAATGACGTCGGCACAAGTGGTGCCAGTGAATGTAGAACCGCAGATAGAAATCGCTGCGGAGTCTTGGGAAGCCAAAGTGGTGCAGTCTACTTATGTGTAAGCAATTCTGAGGAACCCAAGAGGTAAGTTGGAGACAAACCAGAAGCAACATCGTTTGTGTTTTCACAGACAGCATCAGCGCCTCTGCCATTGATCTCGTTGATCACACTGGTCACGTCGACTGTTTTTGGCGAACCATCGGTGGTCTGGCATGTCACACCATTCTGGCGGGCGTGAAGTGACGGGGCGGCAGAAACGGCCACTGCCAGAGCGGCAAGTAGAGCTGGAGTCTTGAACTGCATCTGGGCAATGTAAGTACGAGTTGTTCGTGAGCACAGGGTTAAACTTGCATTGGGGGCTGATGTCTTTTTGGCTGATGGAATTGATAAAATTGTCCGTTGGTTGTATTGAGTGCTGTGCTTTCCGAAAGTCCAAGCGAACATTGACTATTTAAGGTCGCTCTGCTCTCTGGAGACAGAGCGATGGCCTCCCATGAAGGAGCAGAATTAGGGAGCAGGACGATGGCACAGTGTCATGGAGCAAGAGACGAAGTCGGAATTTGGATCAAAGGCGCTGCATGAAGGAGCTGGATTGGGGAGCAGGACGATGACATAGCGTCATGAGCAAGCGATGGATTTGAAGACTGTATCAAGGCGATGGCACTGTATGCGGGCTATGCACGGTGTAGTCAGTTCGTTCGGATTCGTGAGATCAGGAGGAACACCCATTTACTTTCGCTTCACATCCAGTTCACAGCTTCTGAGGGGTCTGTTCTTTTTGGTATCGTAGGAAGAAGGGAGGCAGCAAGTCCAAGTGGTGGGAGATCGAAGCTGCACAGCTCCTTCGCTAGGCTCCATGGTGCCAGTTCTGTGCTTTTTCCTTCGCAAGTACTCTTGGCAACTCTCCTTCGTACCTCTCCTTCGCACCTCTCCTTCGCATCACTCCTTCGTGCCAGCCCTTTGCACTATAGCCTTCGCGTCTTTCCTTCGTGCTGCTCCACCATGGCGAACGTGATCCATCGAAACATATCGCTGGCTAGATTGAGCAAAGAAGACGAATCAGCGTCACCAGCAATGCCTCGTGGATGAGAAGCCCACTCTTCCACTAATAGGTATCTAATGATATATCAAGGAACTCCCCAACTCACATGTTTTCAGCTTCCATAACTATTTAGCATCCACCCTCATCTTCTCAGATCACATCGTATACTATCAACTATGATTTCTTCGACTGCCTTTTTGGTTCTCGCAGCGACAACATTCTCAATCGCTGCCCCTGTCTCGGACTCCCAGACCACCGCCGCCGTGTTCAAGCGGGCTGACATCAAGCCTGTCAGTTGCGGCCGTATGTGTTATGATTTCAAAGAGTTCTTCTTACAACGAGGCTGACCATGTTCAACAGCGGAGGGAAACCAACGTGCATGGACCCAACAAGTCGTGCAGAATGCCCTCAACGGTCTGGTGGCCAACATGAACAAGTCTAACAGCCAAAAGCGTGAGTATGGCTCATTTGTATGGCGGACATCTACTGACTCTCGCTCATAGCCAAGGGTGACTCGAGTGCCGAATTCGAAACTGAAGTCGCCAAAGGCTATCCTGGAAATTTCTCACCAGACAGGGCCACTCAGGAGGTGATGGATGCGATCAATGCAATTCCCGAGTGCAAGACCGGCCAGGCCAACAAAGCTTATCTCGAGTTTCCGATTACGGACCCAGTATTCACTGGAGGAGCCACGGGCCCAGACCGTGTTATCGCTATTGTTGAGGGCACGAAGCCCAATCTCAGCAACGCTGTCTACTGTCTATCGGTGAGACATAGACCAGTGCCGGATAATGGCTTCGATCTGTGCACCGATGCTTGAGACACTGCATAGACACCTGGTGATATAGCTACACGAAGACACACTCGCTTGGCTCTTGATTTATGTACGGCAGCTTGAGAGGTATGGTGCATCTGCAAAGTCGAAATTCACATATAGATACGCAGGGCAATTGTATGAACCCAGATCTACCTCCTTAACATGCTTTCTTTACTCCAATATCGATGTATCGTATTTTGCACAAGATGATGATATAAGTTAATTTGAGCTTGTCTTGGCATATGGCACGGGCGAATATTTGTATGTACATACAATACGTTGCTATGGTTGCCAATCAGATCATATGCAACTCAGTAGCTGCTTGGCTGACAAGGACGTAGTTCGCTCGGGCTACAACTACGTGGTTACGCCGAGGCCCGGCTTACCTTCATTCTCAAGCATCACGAGTAATGTCGTGGATTCGCGATCCCGACCTTGACGGCACATCTCACTGACGGGCCTGACGTACCTTGGAGTACCGATGGAAGCATCACACATGAAGATATCTTACTAGAGATTATGGTCAGCTATACCATTTTCGAGTCGATCTGGCGTATTACCATCGAAGTTGGAAAGCATATTGGTGTCAGTAGAAACTTCTCATCTTAGAAGCAACAAATGAGGCATATCAACAAAATACAGTTGTTCCAATTTACCAGGAACTATCTTGAGCTCAGGCCTGATACAAGGAGGTCGTTTGCCGCATGCACCATCTGCATGAGCAGATCATGGTGCTCCGGACACCGACATTCGCATCTGATGTCACGTCGTTCAGACAGCCAATTCCTGCTAACCTTTCTCGGCGCAGTCCGTCCGCATGTGGCACCCGGTGAAGATTCATGTGGGGTCCGAACGCTCCTCCCTCGTTTTGCTCCTTCGCGCTTCTCCGTTGCGCTGCACAAGGCTTGTCTACATGTACGTCTATGCAGTCGGACCCAAGCCCGCTACGTAACAGAGCACGTCGATACATTGATCCTGCTGAGCTTGTATTATGTTAAGACCGCTTGTGCGCTCTTCTTAGCACAACGACACGACTTCCGATCGGTGCTTCAAGATAGCAAAATCATCACTACACCTTTCCTGTTATCGCGATGGATCTCGCTACTATAGAAGACTGGAAAACGGCAAGGCGAGAGTGCTCTACGGCGTCCGACCATCTTGCTGCCATCGACGCAATCGCCATGTCCCTCAATGGCAGCGAACCACCAAGTGCCGTGGCGGCGATCATCATGAAAGCATACAACAGCTATGTCGAGCAGCCTTTGAAGAACAGCTATAGCGACAGAGTACAAGGTTTCTGGGGCATACTGTGCGATGCAGCCCGAACGTTTGGGTCAGCGCAAAGCCGCTTGATTGATCTCGTGTACACGATGTCCGCGCAACCAGACATGTACGCCACCAACGGGTCATTGGCAAAAGACCCACATGGTATGATCTACTGGCGGGACCTCCCGGGACTGCCGTTCGCCTTGTGTGATGATGCCTTGTGTTCGTTTCCCCATTGTACACAAAGCATCTGCTAACGACAACATTCTAGACTATCATCATCCGTATGACCATGCCCCAGAGGAGATCAACGAGTTTTTCGAACAAACGCCTTACCTATTGAATGGGACAAAGTTTGCGGCCACACTTTTCGAACGAGGACTCCATGTACCAGGCTTAAATTTGCCTGCCCAGGCAGACCATTTCCTAGAGGATGGAGTTGAGAGTTCTCACGACGATGAGCATGTCGTCAAGTCACAGGCATGGAAGGTGCTTCTTCCAGTATCTACTGCATGGATCATGATCGCTGGAAAGACAATCTACAAGATGTGTCACCATGATCAAGAGTCAAGCCAGAGACCTCACAGCAAGAGAGTCTGGAATAAGCCAAGGTGGGAGCATTGGAAAGAACAGCTTCGGTCATTTGAGAACAGGCATGACTTTGACGAGCAATGCCGCGGATATGCGACCCAAGCTTTGGTGGAGATGTCAGAAGTTGAGAGGGAGTTTGGGGTTTGATTGATGCCGTATAGCTGCCGAATATGAGCTACTTACAGAACATACCGGTCTTTTCTTCCGGGTGCTGAAGCTCATCATCTCCCGCTCGCACTGAGCCTTGTACCACCGGGGGTAGGACTCCGAGCGTCTGGCTTTCGTCCATTGTGAAGGTACCGAACTCGTCCACCTCGTCGATGACTCCCAATCCTCGAGGAGGCCAAACGAGGTTCAGTGCGTAGTAGATAGCAAAGCTGACTACAAAGCCCAGCGGATAGGCAAGATAGTAAAGCTTGACACACGCGGCAGGTGCGCTGACCCCAGCTCCGACTGCATGCGCAAGGCCGGGGATAAGGTAGCTCCAGCCGCAGATCCAAGCCAAAAANCTTCGCCAATTGACGCCATGCCAGAAGTAGTAGACGCCATCTTTGCTACCGTGGTAGAGATCTGAGAGCTTCAACTTCCTTCTTCTCACCACCCAGTAGTCGCAGATCATGATACCAGACATCGGTCCAAGGAACACACTATAAGCAGAGAGAACGCTGATAAACGTCGATGCAGATGCGAGCAACTGCCACGGACAAAGGGCAATGCTGATCACAAGAGCGAGATAGGCTCCGCGTCTGATGTTGATGTAGCTAGGGAAAAGACCAGCAATGTCCATACCGGCCGAGAAAGCATTGTCAATGGTGTTGATTGCAAGCTGCGATGTCACCAAGCCGCATCCGGCGAAGAAGGCAGCGGCGCGCGATTTTGCATTGTAGTCGGTATCCATCCACTTTTGGACGATGTCAGGCGGATTNCCTAGCGGCAATGGTTAGTCTATGGGCTGCGTAATCGACTGCTGTGGTGCAACTCACCAAAGCGCTTCNCCGTATATCTTCTGTGTGGCTGATGATGTGAGACAGCCGAAGAGCGGCATAATGATGCCTAGCCCGATGATTGATATCCACTGGCCAAACACTTGATCGCCAGGACGTCGTGCAAAGCGAGAGTAATCCATCTGATTGACGAGTCCGGCGGCAATATTTCCAACCACAGTGGTGACACCCATTGTGATGCTCCAACCTAACTCTTCACTGCTCTTGGTAGTCGATGACTGGTTGAGTAAGGGACCAGCCCCGTGCGCCGCAGACAACGCCCAGATTGTGATGCAGACCAAGGTGATCCCCGACACGATGGTCATCCACAAGACGACATGTTTCATGCCCTCAGGTCTGATGTATATTATGGGAGCCATGATGACGTTGAAGAGGACCCATCCGATGAATTGTTTCGTATCCAGATTCGCACTGGCCGGGAAGTGATTCTTCATATGCTGGAAACTAGGAAAGATCGCAGCAAGTACATTCTGCACGCAGAGACCACCAGTCCAAGACTGTACGGCGAACCAGACCAGACTCAAGACAATACGCTGCAGCAGCGCTACGTATTGTCCTTTGACGCCCCAAACATAGCGGGATACGACACAAAAGCCGATATGCCAGGTAGCCCCAACATAGCCGTTCGCGATCGCTACCAGCGCGATGATGACTTTACCGATGATGATTGCGACGATGCTCTGCCACACAGAGATACCAGTGGCGACGAGAGATCCACCGAGCTGCCAGTTGGAGAGAGCAATTTGATTGATAGCCCAAAATGATATAAANGCTGGCGTCCGAAGTCAGTCGTGCGGAGACCGCGTAAGTAGGATTCTCAGCAGATCGACTTACGCCCATCGAGTCCAAGTCCGCCTGTGTGGTGGAAGGGGACGAATGTCGTCGTTGATCCATACATTGGAGATGTGATCCTCGCTCGCTGGAACCTTCAGATGTGTCGACCAATTCTTGAGCTCCATCATCATGGATGCAAGACCTTTGTAAAGGGTCCTTTGGAGTGTGTCACAAGCCAGGCGGACGGTATATGTTTGTGCAGTACTGATTGTCGTTAGATAATGGCAAAGACAATCTCCGGCGGGGCAGATTATGGCCGACACATCGGGCAAACCATGTGGCTATCGAAGATATGGTTATCGTGGAGCGGTTGGCCTATCGCTCGCGATAGGGTCGGTCGGCTTTCCACATTGCGAAGAAGGCGCGAAAGCGCATAGCGAGAGGTCCAGCGGCCACATTATCTCGAGCAGCGCTGCTCAAGGAAGCTTGTCGATGGTGAGTGTGAACTTTAGGCGTGCCGTCGGCCAATGTTCGCCGAAGGCCCAAGTTATACGCCGATCTATCTTTCGTGTACCCCGTTCGTGGCTATGCTGCAGGTGGGGTCAGCGGATGCCTATCGCATCGGCGACCCCAATCCCGCCTACATCCTATCGCCCCGCCGGACAAGATATCAGAAGCGGAGGCTAAGCAGTCGGTGCATGAACTACCGAGACAGTTGTATTAATCTATAACAACTTTGGAAGACGCACTCCAATTTCCTGAAGCAGAAGCTTGAGCTGATTCGAGACCCTCCCCTGCCAAACATGATCTCTCCATCGAACGAAAAATGCATTCGCATCGGTGTCGACGTTGGAGGCACCAACACCGACGCTGTCGCTATCGACACATCACAGCAATACACCGAGACACGAGGTCTTCTTGCCCACTTCAAAACCCCGACCACGCCCGATGTGACCAGAGGCATTGAGACTGCAATCCGTGCAATTCTCGATATCTCAAAGCTTTCTACATCGGACATTGTAAGCGTCACTGTCGGCACCACACACTTCATTAATGCAGCCATTGAACATGATGCGCGCCGCTTGAACAAAGTGGCAATTATTCGCCTTTCGAAAAGCTTCCTGCGTGAAGTGCCACCTNTTTCGGACTTCCCACCAGGACTGGCAAACATCATAAATGGCTACGTGGGATATGTTGATGGCGGCCTTCATATTGACGGGTCTCAAGAATGTCCCATCGTGGAATCCCAGGTTGTTGCAAGATGTGCCGAGATCAAATCTCTGGGCTTGACCTCGGTAGTCATCGCAGGAGTCTTCTCGCCGATCGATGAGATATTCCACCAAGAAGAGCAGGTCCGGGATATTGTGATCAGAGAAATTCCGGAAGTTCAGGTTGTATGCTCGCATCAAGTCGCCAACATCGGCTTCCTCGAGCGAGAAAACGCCAGTATTCTGAATGCAGCAATCCTCAACTACGCCAAAAGAACAGTCAGCGGCTTTCGTCGCGCAATGCGAACATTGAAGTTGACCTGCCCACTCTTCCTTACTCAGAACGACGGCACACTGCTCGACTCTGCATCTGCTGCCAAGTTTCCGATACGCACATTCGCGTCTGGCATGACGAACTCGATGCGCGGAGCTGCATACTTGGCTGCTCACGACACTCGAAAATCTTCCGCCATCGTCATAGACATTGGAGGAACCACGAGTGATGTTGGAGTCTTGCTACCTTCTGGGCTTCCTCGGCAAGCTGCCGCATATGTCACTGTTGCCGGGGTGCGAATGAACTACGCGATGCCCCACTTGCACAGCATAGGTCTTGGAGGAGGCACTATGGTGCGGAAAGATGCCGAGAACAAGATAGTTGTTGGGCCAGATTCGGTCGGGCATTATTTGACAAGAGATGCTTTGGTCTTCGGAGGCGACGTCTTGACAGCATCTGATATTGCTGTGGCTGCAGGCAAAGCCAAGATAGGCGAAGGCAATCTCATCAAGCACTTGCATCACAGCGATGTCGCAGACGCGCAACGCTGCATCAAAGCACTGCTCGAGAAAGCCATCGACGTGATCAAGACATCTCCTGACCCAATGCCAGTTCTGCTGGTTGGAGGTGGTGCAGTGATTGCTCCTGCTACCCTCGCAGGTGCTTCCGAGCTCACACTGCCTCCATACCATGACGTGGCAAATGCTGTTGGTGCAGCAATCTCCAAGGTCGGTGGTGTGGTTGACACAATTCAGGATGTTTCTGGTCAGACTTTCGAGCAGGCCGAACAGAAAGCCAAGCATACTGCGATCCAACGGACGATCGACGCCGGGGCTGTCGAGAGCAGTATCATAATTGCGGAAGTCGAGAGTCTGCCAGTCACATATGTCGCCAACCAGTTAAGAACGATAGTGAAGGCAGTAGGCGAGCTTGACATCACTGCGCAGATGCAGACCACTTTTGACGATGATGAAGATGAATTAGAGACAGTGGATGGAGAAGAAGGCATCAAACAGGTCCCACCCAGGACCGTTGAAGCCCAGCAAGTCAATCCGAAGACGTACATTCCTGCGATACTTGAGAACAAGGCCACTGGGAACGCGGAATGGTTACTGTCAGAGACGGACATCGACTTCATATCAANNAAGGTGAGTGTTGCTAGGCTTCTCATGAAGTATCCAGAATCTAATTCCTTCTCAGGCTGTTATGTCCTGGGCTGCGCAGGAGGCGGCTCAGCAGCAGCATCACGACTACAACTTCGCGGCATGCTTCGTCAGGGATACAGGATACGCGTCGTGGACGTTTCCACTCTTGCAGAGGATGCATTGATCTACTGGGGAGGTCACATGGGCTCTCCAGCAGTCTCGGTCGAGCGCCTCCAGGCCTTGGAAACAGTATGTGCCTTCAAAGAACTCAGGGATTATCTACACCATGATAAGCTTGATGCTGTCATAGGCCTCGAGATTGGTGGCGCAAACGGTATGGAGCCCTTACTCGTGGGATCCTCTCGTTTCTTCGACTGCCCAGTAATCGACGCCGACTTCATGGGCCGAGCCTACCCTACTTATTGGCAGACCACTCTGGCTGTACATCATCCTGGCGAGCTTGTACCATGTGTCATCGACTCTGGAGACGGAAAGACCATATTGATGACCAAGGCACCAAACGACGAAATTGTCGACCGTGCTTTGCGTGCCTCATGTGCAGAGATGGGCTCGCGAGTCGGTATGGCAGCAAAACCCACAACAACTGAGAAAGTACGATCTTCAGGAGTCCTGAACACCATGTCGCTCGCCTGGCGTATCGGTCGTTGCATTGCTCTTGCTGAGGCCACCAACACAATGTCTACCGTGGCAGAGGCGATCGTCAATGAGGCAGGCGGACCCAAAAGTGCTCGCGTCTTGTTCCGGGGTAAGATCACTCAGGTTGAACGCCGTGTATACAAAGGACATTCGTTTGGCTCGATCACAATCACTGGAACAGAAGAAGACGACGAAGGTGCAGCAACAACATCTGCATACCGTATGACCCCAATGAAAGTTGGCGGGACTCTGAAGATTCCTTTCAAGAACGAGAGCATCTATGCTGAACATACATCTGATTCGNGGGAAAAGGAATACCTCGCGCTTGTACCTGATCTTATTGCGGTCCTGGATTCTGGCTCTGGTTGTGCCTTGGGAGTGCCCGAGTTCAAGTATGGCTATTACGTTACTGTGATCGGAATTACATGCTCTCCACTCTGGTCCAATACACCTGAAGGCATCAAGATTGGCGGACCAGGTGCATTTGGATACGACCTCGAGTACAAAGCCTTGGGAGAATACGTGCAGCCAAAGAGTGTGATCGAAGAGTACAGATCGAGACAAGGAAGAGAGAGACTGGCAAAGGGGTCACATGGGCAGGTGTCACAACAAAGCTAGAAGGTAATTATAGGTTGTAGTAAGAATCAACATTGGTCTGGTATGATCGCAGTTCGGCCTACACGTAGGTCCTCAAAACGCCTTCCCGATCCGGCCAAAACAGCCTATTATGCATCGTCGCCTTCGTCATCACCAGTGTCATCGCTTCCATCGTCGCTGCCATCATCATCGCCGCCGTCCGAGGTGTCGTCACTTCCATCATCATTGTCATCGCCAGCATTGCTTCCAGAGCTTCTGAAGCTTCCAGTAGGCTTTGAGCCGGCGGGGGCAGTGACCGTGCGAGTTGCAGTGACCGTGCGAGTTGCAGTGACCGTAGCAGTTGCGGTCTCGGTCAAGGTGGTCGAGACGGTGACAGTAGATGCCTTCACGCTTGACTTTGCAGAAGGAGTGGCTGTAATCGTGACTGTCTTTGCGGCAAAAGACGCTACTTCCAGCCGAAGTAATGGTGATCGTGTTTGCGGAACAGGCGCTGGTGCCTGCTGAAGTGACAGTGATTGTCCTGGTACCCATGCGCAATCAACTGGCAGGAAGTCGATGGATCTGTGATTGCAGATGGCCTGGATCGCATTCTGCACTACTACAACAACACCGTGAGCAAGCCCGGCGTCTCCAGTCTGCGCATTAGCACCGAGAAGGATATTGCCCTCCAATTTGTAAATGTCAACCTCTACGGTTCCAGCTACCAGACCGACGCGCGACGACGATATGAACGACGATCCCATCGATGCTGAGATCAATTACCTCACTTATGGTAAAGACGACAACACTTTGTACCCTATTGCCTGCTCTTTCGAGGACACGTCAACGGGACCCAAGCTGTTCTTGGCCAAGGACCCCAAGGCTGGTGCGGAGCTTCTCGCAAGCGAGGATTTGATTATCATTATCACTGGTGGCAAAGTCAGTGAGTGTAGGGTTTAGGGTTAGCAGCATTTCGATACGCTTCTATATAAGCTATTCTTGCTCGTCTAACTACTTTTCTATATAAGAACAAAGAAAAAGGGTACGATAAAAAGGAAGAGGGAAACAGAAGAAAAGAAAAACAAAAGAAAGAAAAAAAAAAAAAAAGGAAAAGAAATCTATCTAGTCTATACCATATCCTAGCCAGTTCCTAGCCCGGAGTCTTACTAGAGTGGTAGAGATATACTTATCTAGCCACTCCGAGGTGCTAGGACCGAGGGACTTTTGGAATTCTTTATAGGTTTGTGAGGTCTCCTTTCCTAGAAGGCCTCCTTAGCTAAGGATAAACGGCTTAAAAGCTCGGCCTAGGGTTTGGTATTTAAGCTTCT